TGTGTCTTCGTATCCACCAAGAATCATTTCGGGCTTGAGGGGTTGCGAGAAATCGGGGAGACAGCTAGGGTCTCCAGGCGACTCAGTGCAGTGGCTGAGTCTGTCCTTCCATGTATCTGGGTCAAGGTTTGAGACAGAACCGCCGAAATACCCAGTGACCGATTGCACCACACAGGCGTCTCCAGTCGGTTTGAAACAAACGTCATCGAAGTTGAGAGCCTGGTCCAACGAGATCACGCGTCGCACGCGAGACTCGACGTCAAACCACCAAGTGAGGGTTTCGTAGTCCAAGAGGGGACGTGAGTCGTTCTCTGGGCGGTTATTCACCAAGAATACCTGCTCAGCTCGGTAGAATGGACCAAAGCTCTGATCAAAGAAATCCTTCTCCTGGGCGGCTGCAGATGACGGACTCACCCAGAGTCGCACCGGATCCGTTTCAACAGTGAATCTCAGCCACCCTAGGCTCAGCAGCGCCACTCCGATGACGCTGGAGGATATTGTTATTGCTGGGAACCGCGCACAAGCACCACCAATTCGATGGAACAAGGCTGAAAGCACAGAGTTGAGCTTGTATACTCCATGTGACCGTTCCATATATCCTCCACGGTGCATGACTTCCCCTTCATCGTCGTCATCGCTAGGCGTGGGATCTTGCAGCAAGCGCACCCGCTCTGGTTTGCGGAACCGGCGTTCCTTGTATGTGCCATAGCTCGCGAGAGCGATAACAAACAACAGAAAGATGGAATAAACGAGGATGACGGCAAAAGATAGGCATGGTAGAAGTCCTACATGACATATCTTGTGGGGAGAGATGGCGGGCAACTCCGGACACACATCCGGGCAGTCGACACAAGAGCATCGGAATGATTTGTCCTCGTCATTGCAGGCTTTTGGCTTTATTGACAAAGCCTCCATTCCTTGCGGGTCAGACCCACTGGGCTCCGTGTGATAATTAATCTGGAACGGGCTTCCAAGAAACTTCTTATCACCTAAAAATTTCATGAAATGGGTATCGTCTTTCGCGCCACCGCCAATGAAGTCAATGGCTTTTCCGCCCGAAGCACCATTTTTTACGTTCTTGCAGCTATCGAAGAAGCCGCTCTGGTACTCCTTGGACCAAATATTGTCCAACTCCGTCACAAGTCTTTTGCCAGCGCTATTTGCTTCCGTTTTGGTGACATTGACGAAAAGCGACTGATCAGGAGAGCATGTAAAGGTACAGAATATGTTGAAGAAGTTGTCTCGGCAGGCGGGGCAAGATGCGATAATTCCCTCTGCTAGTTTGAGGTTACTTGAAAGCGCATCGATCTATGGTTTATCAGCATGATAGAATAATAAATACGGTCATGGCAACGTTGTTGAAACCGGAGGCCGGGGTCTCTCACCTGTTCATCTCGACAACAGACCGGGCCTTCGCTCCATTTGCTGCCACACAGATTTACCAACTTCTGGCGTACTGCGTCTTCTGGTTGTTGCGCCAGGTCATTATCGGGACAGGGTAGCTCTCCCCCGAAAATAGACTGCTTTCCACAATGGCCTCGAATAGCACAACGGCCCTTTTCGTGGATTTTGGTTTCGCCCTGTGCACCGACAAGCGTTGGCGCAAAAGAGCCCAGCCCAACGATCGCAGCGATAGCCCTAGGTAACCGCATCTTGTAGGAAGGGTAGGTGTGGTGATGGAAAGGGCCCTATATACCAGCCTTCAATTAAGATGTCTGGGAGGGCGACGCTTTCAATACTGGATGTTGGCCATGCAATGGTCGGTCCGTGTGGGGAAGGTTGCAGGCCGAGCTCAGGAGCTGGCGCAAGGGGTGAATGCGAATTTAAAGGACAATCGGACGATGGGGTTCAATATGAATATCAGATTAAAATCAAGATTTCAAGCTCGATGGTGGCTATGATAGAAGACGCGATAGAGTAAGTAAATGGAGAGAGCAAAGCAAGCTTTCAAGAAGTGACGCGAAGGCGGAGACCCGCGGTAGGTACATTGGTCACCCCGCACGGTTACGCAACAAACCCAAGTACCAGTTGGCGCTAACGTCAGACGATGATTTGGCTACATCGTGGCTCGTATCACATTGTAGAACTGATCTCCCTCTTCTTGGCATTTGAAAGCTGACCGAGATTGTTCAAAATATATTTCCAAGTGGTCTTAATATATATGTTCTTTTGTCCCCGCCCAAAGAGAACGCATAGCCATAGAGAGATTTCAAGTCTACGCCGTAAGCACTAAGATATACCCTAAAATATGCCCGTTTAAAAAGGTCATAATTTCATTCAAAAAAAATTAAATACAAACATAGAGATGACCGACTCCGAGCTGAAACCGCATCCAATGAACAGGAACTCCGAGTCTCAATACAGAAGAGACAAATATGACTGCGTCTGCATCCCCAGTGATTCAGTTAGCGATGAGAACAAATATGAGAAGAACCCAGAAAGATATCATGAGATGTCACATGTGAAAAAATTGGCAAAGCCATTCGCCCAAGGGGTATCATCACAATGCGGGCCTGGTAACATAACCATGCAACCTAATAGCCGTCATCATCGGTCCGTTGGTAAACGTGGCGGGTTCGGGTCGGATCTTTGCGCATGGTTTGTCCAGAACCTGTAAATCCAACTAAGAGAAGAGACCAATTAGTATCCGCAGAGTCGAAAATGAATCATTTATAGGAAATATATACCTCGTGCATTGACGCCTTCACCTGTGCGGAACATGCTCTCCTTTTTGCCGAATGCACCCTTGCCCTTGCCCTTGGTCTTCGCAGCGAAATCTTTCCATTTGTTTTTGCCTTCTTCGAGCTCCTTGTTCGCTTTGACCTTGCGGGGCATTTTAGCGGGACGAGCCATTCCATCACCGGCCTTGTTGGGTTCGTTGCGAGCCTGGGTAGCTAGTGCGGGGTTGATATCAGCCGCGGCGGAAATCACACCGGGGTGAGGGAGAGCGGGCGAGGGAGGTGCCGAACTGCCTGGGGTTCCATCAGCCTTGCGCTTTCGCGAGTCAGTGCCAGAGATGGGTCGGATATCCTTGGCTGTCAAATTTTCCACAGTTGCATATGACTTGAACGTGACAAGGTACACTGGGTTGGTCGAGGAGCCAGTGATGGAGTTAATTTTGGCCGGGTAGAAACCATGATCACCGGAGACCCAGCGCGCAAGAACAGTGTCGTTCACCGAAAACGATACGGGTGTAGTAGTTACAGCAGGTGCCTCCTCTGGGTGCTCAGAAGGCTTTTGGAAACCATTATCCTTGAATCGACCACCCTTGGGAGCCGGTTTAGCGGGCGCGGTTGGCTTGAGTTCAGCGATCTGAGTTTGGAGAACGGTAATGTATTCTTCGAGTTCGGTTTTGAGGCTGTTTAGTTCCACATTATCAGGGTCTACCTCCAGGCCTAATGCGACAGTTTCAATCTATTGGTTTGAAATTAGTGGCGGGTCACGGCGCGTGGTGACTGTTTGGGGATTTGCGGCAACTAACCTGAGATTTGCATTCACTCAAATCTGTCTCCAAGGAAGAGACATCAGCCATGATGGAATTCTGATTCAGAGAATTGTGCGGGATTGAGGGTGATATTAGGAACTTAATCTGTTCGACGCGTATCGGTGAGGAAGTGAGTAGATTGCGGAGAAATAATTATCTCAATGGCAAAATTCATCCCAGTCTGATCACGTGCGCTCCATTTCCGCCTTTTTCTCCGCCTTGATATACGCCACTACATGGATACATATGTACCTTAACTAGTTAACTAGTTAGTCCTAGGTACATACATATGTAGTAACCTTGGTATGTGGTCAAGACTTTGGTTTTGGAAAGATTTTGGGTAAATTTAGCTTGGTATTCTACCTAGATCAGTAGGCATATTTAATTCTGTATGTTGTGACATGTAAATAGGCCATTAACATATAGTATCGCATACATCAGAGACCGATAAGCAAGTCCGATAATCCACTTTCTGCAGATCGATGGGGATATATGCATTAAGGTACAGTGCTTTAGAGCTATGGAGTACAGTTAACATGCATATCCGAGAAGTTCCCTGTTTTCCCATGTGGAGGAAAAGTGGCAACGTCATTAAATGGTCTGACCTCGGAATACTCAAGCATATCGGACCGGGGATTGGGATACCCGTGGGGCCAGACCCGGAGACATATGTACGAAGTAAGATTGCAATTTCACATACTCTATGCATGTACTAGTATGTAACCATGGATGTAGTTCGTATATTGCCAAGTCAAGATATGAGTCAGAAGAGTCAAATATATCATACTCGGAACTCCGGGAACAGTATGATAGTACTTGTATGGTAGTATGTATAGTATAGTTTAAAGACGTTTAGGGCTCGACAGAAGCTACTCGAAGTGGAGAAGAAAAAAAGAAAGAAGAGAAACTGATTTCAAAGCAAAGATCCCGACAGCCAATGATATCCCTTAAACTACTCACCGCCCATCCCTGATCGCCCATCTCCCCCCTCCTCCAGTCCTCCAGTCATACTCTCTTTCATCATTTCTCTTGGATTCTGCAAGTTTCATATATTGGAATTTCATTTGCTTTCAATTCTTTCCATATCAGCCTCGTATCCGCCTGAGCCACACTTCTACCGCAATTTGACTAGCGGGGAATCTGTCCTCGCCTCAGGCCCCTCTCGAGAGCCGCTAGAAACTCTTCTTCCTCTTCCCCCCCCTCCATATCCAATATCGCCCCAATATCGCCTCCCCCGAAATTTGGAATTATATTATCAGTTCTTACTTGCGACTGATAAAGATCCAACATACAATCGGATTGTTGAGATTGTTGACTCACAAATCCGGCCAAGCTGTGAAGCTATATTGCGAGGATTGAATCATCCTCCAACCCTCGTCGGTTTACGGCATCCATCAATATCTGTTACGGGCGGGAGGCCCGGTTGGACTCTGAATTGAAATCCATTCAATTTCCACCACCCATCCTTCTCTCATCTCTCGTCAGCCCCTCTATTCATTGGAAGTAGACCGCCACAATGGGTGATTACGAACGATACCAACAAGGTCTCTACCTTTCCCCAAACCAGCATGATCTCCTGCTCGCCGCTCTATCTTCCAATAACCCCAGCCAAAAGCCTCACAGTGGTTCTCCCCAAATCAAGTCCTCTCAGAGCCCCGACGAAAATTCCTCAAACGGTCTCAGCGGCCCTCCCTCGGGCGGGTTTGACAATCCTCATGCCAACAATTTCGGGTTTGGGGATGACGAAAGCCCTTTCTTGGATTTCACCCCGGACGTTGACTTCGAGTTCCCCGGTTCCGACCTGATTGGTGACCTACCGGGATCGGCCGACTATGATATCGGCGGGAAGCGAAAGTCCCTCGACGGAAAGTCGGACATAGAAGGGGAAGAAACCGGAAAGAAGCGCAGGGAAAGTGAGGCCAAGAAGCCTGGTAGGAAGCCACTGACTTCAGAGCCTACTACGGTATGCCACTCTTGCTGCACGCGGAAGTTGCTGGGATTAGAGTCGTGAACTGACGTGATTGAGCAGAAGCGCAAGGCCCAAAACCGGGCTGCCCAGCGAGCCTTCCGCGAACGCAAGGAGAAGCACTTGAAGGATCTGGAGGATTCGGTGGAAAAGCTGCAGAAGACATCGGATATGACAAACCAGGAGAATGGCTTGCTGCGTGCTCAGGTCGAGCGCTTGCAGGTCGAGCTCCGTGAGTACCGAAAGCGCCTTTCCTGGATGGCCTCGGGATCAGGAAACGCCATCTCGGCCATGAGCTCGAATTCCATTCCGACTGCCCATTCCAAGGGGGCTTATGGCCTCCAAAACAATGAGTTTCTCTTCGATTTCCCCAAGTTCGGCGATTTGCCTGGTGGTCATCTCTTCAACGGAGCCAACAAAAACGACCAATCCAAATCCAATGACAAGATCCCTCAGGCACCTGGTGTCTTGGGTCGCGACAATCTCAACAGTCCTTCGTCTCGATCGAACTCTCTTGCGCAGTCGAACAAATCGAAGTCCACCGGAACTTCCAACAGCGCTACTTCCGCCAAGGCACCTTACTCGGGCTTCAAATCTTCCGCAAATGATAACTCTACTTCGGAGAATTCTCCGTCGTCTTCGTCCGACTCGCACCAGAGCCAGATGCTCTCGTCGAACGGGACTTCCCCAGAACCAAGTCTGAACTCACCTCCAGATGGGCAGTACCGTGAGCTGAGACCAGGTGACTCTTGCGGCGGACATGTCACCACCGATGGCGAGAAATCCTTCTGTGCACAACTTGGTATGGCTTGCGGCAACATCAGAAATCCCGTCCCAGCGGTCCGGGATAACAGATCCAAATCCCGGAGTGTTTCAAGCGGCCAGCCAACCCCAATTGATGGCCCAACCGAGGGCGGAGACTCTCAAGATCTTGGTATTGATTGGTTGGCTCATCAGAATGGCGGCCAGTTTGATCCAGTGCTCTTTGGTGACTGGCGAGAGCCCCAGGATGCTGTGCTGTCTCAGGATTTCGGCTCTTTCTTCAATGAAGCATTCCCTCTGCCGGACCTGGGTAGTCCCTCCCACAACTTGTCCGAGGTCGCCACAGACGCAGCTCCACCCAAGAAGAACCTCGTTGCCCAGATTGATAGCAAGCTCGAGGAGGATGAGGTCGTTCCAGGCGAAGACCAGTCGCAGATGCTGTCATGCACGAAGATCTGGTATGTCCCTGCTCATATAAATATTCGCCAATTTATCTCCCTCCAGATTACTGACTTGACTTTTTTTTCTCTAGGGATCGACTTCAATCTATGGAAAGATTCCGCAACGGCGAGATCGATGTTGACAATCTCTGCTCCGAGCTTCGCACGAAGGCACGATGCTCTGAGGGTGGTGTAGTCGTGAACCAGAATGACGTTGATGACATTATGGGACGAGCCAAGTAGCGGCTTACTTCCAGGACGCTCACCATCACTGCCGCCCTCAGCACAACTCATACTCGGGCTTAATTCACGATTCACGGACCAACACCAACTCATTGATACTTGCGCTCTTTTGATTTCTACGCATACCCATCATCGATTGTCATTTATGGGAGGAATCCTGGTCGGCGTCACGAATACAACACAGGATATAAAGAGGAAAACTCATAGGAGGGGGGAAATAACATCCAATTCAACGGATATTTGATTTTGAAAGCGAATCTTTTTGTCAATGCCCATAGTGGGCAATCTATCAGTGTCCCATCTTAAGGGGACAGCACATTCCTTTTTTTCCTTCTCTCTCCCACTTTTGCCTATTCATCCTCTTTTTTTTTGCAACAGTAATTGCCATTTATTGTTCTATGCTTGTTTCATGCTTCTTTTGATCGGCATCCTTGAGCTTGTCGAATGGGAGACATCGTCTCACACTGGCCATGAGATTTTAGCAAATACGGGATGGCACTTCCAATGCCTATTGTACGGAAAGGGAATATGGCGAACTTGATTTACTACTATCTTTTGCAGCTGGGACAGGATGACTCTGCTTTGCGATGTTCAATGTACTTTCCTTTTTTGTACACAATCTGTTCCTCAATGGACCCCTACTTTGTCAATTGACTCATTTCTACCAGTCCAGATGGATTGAGCACACGGTAATAGGAAGGTGTACATGAGAATGCGTAGTAGGAATCTCGTAGATCTACAGACTCTAGAAGAAGCAAAGCTGTAAGGGTATCGATGTGGTCCACGGACATAAAACTAAAGTACAAAGAGAAAATAGGTGAAAGGGTGTATTCTGTTTTTTCTTTTTTTTTTCTGATGAGGTTTTCTTCGTCCATTCCTCCCTCTGCAAACAAAAAAAGAACACTGTCTGGAGCTCACTGAAGGACTCTCTCACTTCGGAGTCCAGATCAACGCTGCAATTCGCGTTCATGTCCTGTGTCCCTGACCAGCCTTGAGAACAAAGAACATAAAAGGTTGAGCGCTATCAGAGTCAAAAAGGCAAAAAGAAGATTTGCAAATGGGATGAGATAAAAAAAAAAGACACAAAGAATTAGAGTATCAGGTGTGTAAAATCGAGACAATGTCGATGGCCGGGGGAAAAATATGAGATAGAAATTTCAATGTCACCGATCAGGCGTCACCGGATGCGACAGGCTTATCGCCTGAGGGGGCAGGAGAGTCATTTGGGCCGCTCTTGAAGCCACCCCGACCTCCGCCACGACCACCACGGCCTCGCTCGCCACTGCCGCGGCCGCCGCGGCCACGGCCACCGAATCCACCACGACGACTGCCGTCGCTGTCACTGGCACTCTGGTACCCACGCTGGGCGGTAGTGATGCCACCCCGGGTGCTGGACTGCCAGGTTCCGGCATTGCCGACAGCAGCGCGGGTGCTGCGGTCCTCGAAGAACTTGAAGTTGGGCTTACGCTGCTGACCATGGGGGGTGGGACCAGGCTTCTTCAGTTCAATAGGTAGGTGGTCCATAGCCGCCTTGGCCTCTTCGGCGCCCGAGAATGTCACAACGTGGTTGTACTTGCCGAGCTTTTCGATCTTGGTAATCTTCGATCTGTCTTCCTCAGAGATGAGGTCACGGACAACCTGTTCGCTTTCGGCACTTGTCACGAAAAGAGCATTTGCGGGCTTCTTTTCGCCCCGAGGTGCAGGTGATTCACTTGGCTTTTCGTGCGGGGCGGTACCATTGGTTTCGGCAGCTGCGGTCTTCTCTTCCCCGGCGGGCTGAGCAGAGGCGGCAACAGGTGGCTGCGGGCTAATGGACTTGGGAATCACGGGAACAGGGGAGGCTCTCGGTCCCTTCTGACCCTGAGGAATGGGCGCACGCGCGGGAGGGGCTTGGCCGAACTGGGGAGCTACGACGGGGGCCCGGGCAGCGCTTGTCGGGGCGGGTGAGGCGGTGGTCGCTGGGAGACCGCTGGATACAGGTTGAGGGGCACCACCTGCCTGGGGTTTGCCAGTCCGGTGGGCGAAGTTGAATCCCTGAGCTCGCATCTCCGTCGCGATGCGTCCACCTTCAATCTCCAGTACGAGATACCCGAACGCGGCATCCGCCAAGTTGAAGTTCCACATGTTTTTGAATGCACTCTCGTCAACCTGTCCAGCAGCATTACCGGCGGCAACGGGGCCACCGAATGGATTACCGCCATTGGCAATGGAAGGCATCTTGTGAACAACATCGAGGGCATTCTCTAGGAGAGTCTTCTGTCCATCATTAGAGGAGATGGCTGCCTCAACCTCGGCTTTGACCGTCTCCCAGACATCGTTGAATGATGCTTTGGAGGCAGCAAGCTTGCCGCGATAGTGGTCCAAAGACGGGTTCACGGAGAACTCATTGTACGAGGAACCGTAGCGGAAATGAAGACCAGCCGAAATGGAAAAGTCGGCCTTGAGCGTAACGGATAGCTGGTTCAGCATGCCCTCGCGGGCAGGGGAAGCGTGGGTGACGAAGACACGAGTCTCGGAGGGGTCGTAGACACGATTGGCGGTGTCGATGAGTTCGCCCATCTGCAAGAGTGTTGTCCACATGGTACCTTGGCCACCGGCAATAGTCGTCTTTCCTTCACCATTGTCGAAAAGCTTATGCATCACGACGGCACCTCCCAGACCCAGCAGACGGAGCTTCACACCGCCGATATCGAGAAGGCGCGAGTTGGCCTCGTCGATAATGTGAAGTTTATCTACCTTGTACTCACCCGAGCGGAACTTCTCCAACACGCGCACATCTTCGCAGGCACCCCAAACTGTGTAAACTGGGACATCAAGGGTGATGCGTTTGTCCAGTAGCATAGAGAGCTCAGAGAGGGGCAATTGGTCGGGCGGGAAGCGCTGCTTAATTGACTGCTGGGTAGATACCTGTGCGATGGACCGTTTCACGTTCTCGGGGAGGAGGGGGGAGTATTGTGCCACATGCTTCAATGTCCTGTTCGTAGATCCGGGATTAGCTGATGCTGTTCAGTATATTTTGGTGCCTGGTGAGGCGAATGTGTTGGGCAGCAAACACGCGCCGAAAAGCTTCGGAGGAATACTCACTTGTCTGCAATTCGCTCGAGCGAAGTGTCATCGTAGAAACCAAAGTCACCGGTGTGAATGATGTGGTCGGCGCGGGCCTGCTTCGCAAGCTCGTTAAGAGACTTCAAGTTGCCTGTTTTACGGGTCCAATTAATACTGTGTGACTTTGCCAAGAAAACCATTGCCGGGATATAATTACCTCGCACGTCTGCAATGCACAAGATTCGTGTCGGACCGCTCTGAATCACACGGCCATTGTTGGGGAGAAGCGGCGTGGCACCGGGGACAGGGCCCGCAGCCGCACCATTCGAAATAGGGTAGCCTTGAGCACCGAAGTTGGGGCGGGGCTATAAATGAAAAGGAAGTAGTGATATTAGCCAAGCTCTCCAAGATCTCAAGGTATGGTAATCATCGCGATTAGAAGCTGGGGTGCGCAAATGCGAGGGGAGGTAAGGTTAGGGAGCCACCTACAGAAGCCATGAGGTTGTTGGATTGAATCGATGTGAATGGGAGGATATGGAGTGTACGGTGAAGATGAAGGAGGAGAGAAAGAAGGGAAACGAAGGAAGGAAAAGGATGAAGGTGGTGTCGAGGGGAAAAAGATGTCGAAGATTCACTTTCTCATCGATGAAGCAGCAGGCGTGACATGAAGATTAGGTAAGCCACCCCTGGCACCTGGGCACCTCCAGGGCTGCCCAGGTGTCTTGCCCAGGTGGCTTCATGCATGGGGCCTTTGAACCGATTAAATTGATTAAACTGACTGATTTGACTGATTTGACTACATTGTATTACTCTTGGCTGCTGGGATATAATAAATTATTTTTTCCCCTTCACATTAGCCCGAGATATTAGCACAATCTCGTCCTGAGCTCGTTATAGTCTAACATTAGAAGTGAGACAGACTCTCCTTGTCCGATCATCTGGGGTAAGTATTCTCATATAATTTGTGAGCAAGAGACTGAAGGAGGTTAAATCCCATCTCAAGGTGTCTCGACGATCAGGTATGTAGCTATCCTACTCTATAGCGCAGAGGGTGACACGACACGACAACATGTGTCAAAGTTCTTCGATATGATTCCCAAACAGATATTGCTGTCTATCCAACTTCTGTCCCACAGGCTTTGGCACTGCTCCACGCCGACATGATAAAGATTGAATGGATCGAGGGCCCTTCAGTGCCAACAACGCAAAATGTCCCCCAACAGTCGGACGGGCCCTACACAAGATGGGAATTCCTGGCTCATTTCCGTGCGCAGAAGTTACAACATACCGATCAGAGAAAGGCCAGTTGTGTTTTCCGTTGGTCATAAACGACCACAAGTCATCGACGAACTCATCCCTGGTGCTTGTCTCAAAGGTACCAGCCAGCCACATATTCCAATCTGATTTTGCCCAGTCCTGGCGATTATCAAGAGGAACGCCATATTCGCCGCGAACAGATGTGAAAAATTTACTTCCCATTTGATAGGCAGCGTCGGAAAATGTCTCCAGGCCCAGCAATATATCAGGGAAGAGATTATACGGGGTCTTCCAAGTATCTGGCCAGTCAGGATATTCCAAAACGAAATGTGTCTGACCTTTGTCTGTTCCCAGGCCTTGCTGGAAGAAGATGTCTGCATGCTGATCACCAACACGGGAGTAGAACCCATCCCCACTCATCTCCCCAAACGCCTTGAGGCCAACTGCAGCCTTGATTGCCAGATTTGTCTCATTGGCGAGAGGTCCAGCTGCATCATTCGACGACAGCTGATTTGCAATATCAACACTATTTTCCACCAAGTAATCTGCATACTTCTGGAAAACCTCCATGTACTGTGAAGTCCAGTCGTTATCGCCAGTGGCTCGAACATATGCAGCGGCTAAGATAAGCAAATTTCCACACTCCTCGATAGGCATTGGCTCTGCTTCCTGGTCATCGTGGCCAATTGCATGGGGGTAATGAGTGCCAAGGTCATGGATCATGTATGGCAAATGCCAGCGACCAGCAGCAAGGTACTTCATCACGGGCTCCAGCAACAGTCGGATGTAATCCGGATCCATGACGTAATAAATTGGAAAGGCAGGCATGATCACATCGATGGTGTTGATATTTCCATCACTGGAAAGCTCCTTGATAAAAGCCAAAACCTGACTGGTGTCGAGAGAGTCATTGGGAATAGCCAAGTCGATGCCTCCGTATGCTTGTCGGGTCGAAAGAGCTAGGATATCCGCATACTTGGGACCCGCAGCGGCAGCAGATAAGGTGACCAGCTCCTGATCCAGCTTCAAGGACTCTAGCAATGCGCTGCTGTAGTCATTCAAGAAGAATGAGAGGGCACTCGATGTGGTCGGGTACTCTGCACGATAGAAACCTGTGTAGGCTTCTCCCAGATAGTTGATGGCGGCTTCTCTCTCGTATCCGACCACGAAGCTCACGGAAAGGTCACCGGTGACTTTACCGAGATTGTGAGCCAGCGCGACAACACATCCCTCGCCCCAGGTATCGTCCTCGCCAGATAGCTGACCGTCCTCGACGAATAGAGCTCGTACGTCCTCGGGGCTGCCCGAGAGTGCTGACAATTGAGTAAAGTTAGAAGGCCGGGAGGCGAGGATTGCTGAGCCCCAAAGAGCCATGTCGTCTGCCTCGGCATACAGTGGTGCGTCTTCGACCGTGAGCGAGTAAATGGCAAGGCCGTCTTGCTCCTCGAAGCCGCGCTGCGAGCGGCTTTCTCGGCCAGTCCACCTAGCATCGATATCCGAATAAATCTGGATATCATGACCGCGCAATTCAGCTACTTGTACAGTTAAATAACCTGTTATCGTTAGTCAATCCAACGAATCCACAATCTACTATATTGCACATAACCCACTGAAAGGAAGCGACTGCCGAATATAGTTTGACGGTGACACAGGCGACAAGAAATCCAGCGTGACTGCCACGGGCCCAGCCGTGAGATCAAATATTGAGTGCGTAGCTGTAAACTCGGCACGACGCACCGTGGCAGGGCGGGTATTCCTTGCATCCGCCTCTGGCACGCCCATCAGACTATATGCTTGACCATTTACACGGAAAATCACGGACCAGCCGAGCTTCTGGCCAGCCCAGAATTGAGGTTCAGCATAGGGTAGCTGCTGTACTCGGTCGCTGGGCATCCATGCCGATAGATACGGGTTGCGCACTGCTAGCGGGTAAGATGGCGGGAGAACAGGGCGATGCATTACAGAAATCGACTCCTGGTCCGAGTTAAAATAGAGCAGTGATGCGTAGAGGGAACCCAGTCCTAGTGAGCTTAGATTAAATCTCATGTTGACATTTGTGAGGCCACCCGTGCATGTGTCGGGGGTTGAAGTGTGTGGCCAACTGCCCCGGGCACATATATTGTAGATGGCAATATAGACAGCTTAGATGTCAGTATCACCTTGACCAACATCCAAGGGAAGTCATTTTCAAAGTCAGAAGCTGAACATGTACATTGTACATACGGAGTAGTAAAAACCCCCCTTGCTGATCTTCCTGCGTCATATTGAGGGAAACCCCACAGTACTTATGTATCATCAATGGAGTACGAATAAAGTATTAGCCATACATCATAGCCCTGATTTCTGGCCCATTTATTTTTGCAACGTAATACTGGGGCTAAATGGCGTCAATACTTTAAGCCGGGACGACTTGGTAGAACAAGAAAATTCTCTAGCATTCAACTATAGAACTTCATAAAATTCATTCATCTTCATTTCTACAGTGACTGGACCTAAGTTTTGCTATGATTATATAATATACTGCCGGTCAAAATCCTAAACTTATGTCCACTGACTGTATATGTATCTACAACTGAGCCTTTTCAATTCGTCGCCCAATCTCATCGAAATGAATCTGCTTCCCAGACACCAGTGCTTCCTGAAGGTAAGAACCAATCTCAACGGCTTTGACAGCATTGGTCAACTTCATAGGAAGCGGCGTGTTGTCCAAGCAGGCCGCGGTGAAGTCATTAGCCTCCTGGACAAAGGCAGGGCTGAACCGACCCATGAAATTGTGAGGAATTTCCCGGGTAATGCCACCGTTGTGGTATAGGTTGACAAAGTTTCGCTGGGGGTTGCCATTCACTGTCAACTTGCCCTCGGTGCCAATGATCTCAGTGGTGTCCTCCTGGCCAGCGGCCATCATGCGCGAGCAGTAATAGTACGCAATCTTGCCATTCCAGAACTCCACAATACCCACAGCATTATCATAGTCGTTGTATTTCTTCAACTCTGGTTGGACTGCGGTGATACCGTGAGCAGAGATGCTCTTGGGGAGGACTTCGTCCCCAAAGAACCACAGGCTGAGATCAATGTCGTGCACGGACATGTCCACAAACACGCCGCCGGACCAGGCTGCATATTCGACGTAGAAGCCCGAGGGATCAAACTTGTCACAAGTCTGGCTACGGATAATGGCAGGCCGTCCGATAAGACCTTGCTCCATCTTGGCGTGGGCATCACGGTAAGAATCGTCAAATCGTCTGGAGAAGCCACACATCACCTTCAGATGGGGCTTCTTCTTAGCAGCCTGAACTACTGCTCTGCACTTTTAAAGAGATATTCATCAGCATTCGTCGTCATTTCAAACAGGGAGAAACTCATACCACTTCGACATCGGTAGACAAGGGCTTCTCGCAGAGAACGTGCAAGTCTTGCTCGATAGCCTTGATTGTCTCCTCCGCGTGCACCGAGGTAGCCGTACCAATAGCAACAGCCTGCAGACCGGGATGCTTGAGCATCTCATCGTAGTTGGTGTACAGAGTCACACCGTGGGGTTCCAGGTTCACTCTCCCCCATGCAATCTCAGCAGGGTCTGGGGTGAATGCCGCAACAAGCTGTGCACGGGGTGTCTTCTGCAGGAAGTTGACAGCATGAAGCTTGCCGACTCGACCAAGGCCGGCCATGCCAACTTGTAGTTTTTGGACTGTCATGATTTTGGAGGGATCGGGAGAGTTGGGAATAATTGATGTCTTTCTGAACCCTCAGTTTCCTGGGTCTTCGAGGGGATTTAAATAGTTGAGAAAGAAGCTGCTCCATCTCTGCATCTTGATCATTAACTTAGGGTAATAGTCCCCGTTGTAAGGTGAACGGAAAGAATTGCTGGATGCAATAAAAGCGGAAGGTTGGGGTTGGTGGGTTGGTGGGTTGGTGGGTTTTGGTTTCCCCGCATTCGCCTCCCAGATAGACAATTTCCCTTCCTGTGCGATTATTTTGGGGTATGTTTTACCTGCCAATATAATGCCAAGAAATATCATGTTCCAGATATTTCATTAATATGATGAGTGGGTCATGCATACAGCCCCCGTGGGGGGACGGAAAGAATTTCCTCCTTGCAACCACTTTGGAAATCTCAATGTCTCCAAGAAGAAATCGCCTGGTGACTGGCTGGTGCGTTAGCCAGTATTCATCGTGGATATATGAAGATCTCTGCTAATTGATCTGCGCAGTCAACGATGTCGTGGTAAGTCACCGTGGGGTAAGGATCGACATACAGGGCAAGTTGCTGAAACACAGATTGCACAGTCCGACACCTAAAATGTAAGTATTGCCGAATTGCGACTAAGAAGCAAAGGGTTAGACTGATCAAGTGTTGTAGGCGATATCGATGACCTGGGTTGCGAACACTGTCAACAAGCTGGCGTGGATTGTGACAGGACCAATGTCCGGTTTCGCAATGGCCTCTCATTACCCAAAGAGGCTGAAATTGCCTTTTCAGAGAGCTGCTGGCCCCAACTCCGTGGTAAAGGTAGGCTAACTTGTGATTTGCTATTATCTAAATCTAACCAAGCGTTCTAGTGCGCTTCCATGACGAAACACCCGAGATCGCTAGCCTGTACTCGACTATTCAGGATGACCAGCCGGCTTTTACCAATGACACTAGTTGCAGGTTAGCAGTTGAGCTAAGAGAGGAGCTCGACATCCCGAGTGGCCTACTGGCACAACACCCGTATGCAGCTAGTGGAGCTGATGAAGCCAATGCCTTGGCCCAATTCCCAGCTTCTACTACAGAAAATGTGTCACCGTCTGTTCTATCATTGTCTTCTCCAATATCAATTCAATCAAGAACATCCTCCAACCCTTTGCAACCGCTGAGCGAAAGGGAGGCCATCTTGTTGAGGAACTTCGTTGAGAATATGGCTCTCTGGGTGCGTGTATGCCCGAGAACATACCCATCTGCAGTCACTGATTAGAACAGGCTGATATCACGGACCCCCAACGTCATTTTGAAACAGAGGTGTCAGCCCGGGCATTGAAAGAGCCTGTTTTACGATATGCAATTTTTGCATTTTCCTCGCGCCATCTTGACCGACAGGACAACAGCGATGTAACAGAGGCTCTACAGTACCATAATTGCTGTGTTCAATTACTTATTCCAGCGCTTTCTGGGCCACGCGAGCACATCACCGAGGATATACTAGCCGCGGTCGCTATACTCCGTCAGCATGAGGAAATGGATGGTCAGTCATCGATGCGGATGAGTAGCATGCGTCAAATGAATACTCACACATTCCAGGGGAGGACAATCAATTTCACCTCACTGGCACAACTCATATCATGAATACAGTGTCAACCTTTGGCTCCTCGGGTGGCCTGGGCGAAGCTGCTGCTTGGCTTTGTTTGCGGCAGGATATCTATATTTCGTTCACCAGCCAACGGCCTCTGCGGACCAACCTACAAAGCTTCTACCACTCAGATGTGTTTCAAAGAAATGACGACTTTGCATGGTCAAGCAGAATGGTCTTCCTACTTGCTGATGTTCTTCAGGGTGCTTTCACGGACTCTACTATAACACATGGCACAGACCAGATCGAAGAGTGGTATTCCACTAAACCGCACACCTTCGACCCAGTTAGATCAGTCCCACAAGGCCCCGGGCCGGAGCAACGACTCCCTACCATGTGGATGCTGCTACCCGTGCATGGTGAATGGTCCCCATAACATGTGTGTATAGCAGACTCGAGACTGACATTGGCTCAAATGCCTGATGGCAGTTATTGGCATTCAATACTACCATATTGCCAAGATTGTTTTGGCACTTTCCGAGTCTCCACGGGCATCTTCCACCTATGAGAGCCTGCGGCATTCTCGGACAGTGGAGGTTCGTTGAACACCAACATCTTTCGGTCAGCGCTCACATTGGATTTAGAAGAACGTACGCCACCATCTGCTCACTGTCCTCGGATTGGCACAGTCTAACGCAAAGGCCGAGAATACGTTATTTACTGCACGTCATAGTCTAGTCGCCTGTGAGTTGCCAATGTTTTTTTTTTTTTTTTCTCCTTTTTTTGAGAAAGTATTGAACTGACTTGGTAGGGGGTTGGGTCCTTCGACATCCCCTCGACCAAAGGGCTGCGGAATTACTATTGCAAGCCATGCATGCAAGGACTGGTTGGAATATGGATTCGCTCATCCAGACATTACGCGCCCAGTGGCAAGAGGTTGATGAGAATATGAATCCGTAAAGAAAATAAAAGGATAATTCAGCCGATGAGAACCCGTGACTGCATAGGGGAATATATTTAGTAAAAATACCCGAACATGACTTTTCACTTTTTCATGAGAATTGGCTCCAAAAGCCTCCAAGCCTCCAAGACTGGTTGTATACCAAAGGGGTGTGTCAAGGGGAAGATCTCAATCTCAGGGGACTATCGTAGTACGTAGTCGCACCCCACCCCTTTCTCCATCTAAATCATTTAAGTCATTGCACGTCTTTCCCTTCAATTAATTCTACATATACTGTTCTCGTATCATTCACAAAGTACAGAATCAGAAGTACTCAATATCCTCTTGAAACCCCAAGTTCACTGTGTCTCACCCCCGCAAATTCGACGCGCTAGCGGAAAGCGGATCTGCAGTTCCTCGGACATTCGCAACGAGCCCTCGACGCGCGTGACAGGCATTTTGCTTTCCAGACTTCCCCTCAAACATGAACACAATACTCGGGCTATTCCTCGGGCTGGTCCCAGGAAGTCTACTGAAATCCGATCTCCCAAATTCCGGATCGAGACACTACTATATACCCATCATGCAAAGCTCAAATTTCCCTATGAGTGAAACCAAAGAGCACAAGAGCACACCAATTCCGCTTTCAAGCGCATCCCCGCCTTCTTACAACGACGTAAGCGGCGCCGTTATCATAAACCAATATGGCAAACCTCAATTCCTATCACCAGAGGAAGAGGTAGAGCGACAACATCGGCTACAGCAAGCGGTGCGCGAGAAGATGTTAGGGTTACCACGAACGACAAAGTTCGAATGGCACCAGGGAACCTCAGGGACATCAGGAACTGTGAGCGAGGAACCACCACTACCGCTGTATACACCGCGAGAAGATGAGAAGAAATGATGTCATGTCAAGTGCAGATTGGATATGCAGTATTGACAGAACCTTGGGTTCCCTACTTTGTGCATGGGCTGGGCCTGTACATGTGAGCAGGGCACAACACGCAGTACACTTTATATAGACTGCAGGAGGGGGTCTTTGTATGATAATGCACCGAGGGTTCGCCTTTTAATTTTATGGTCGTATCCACTATTTGTACAAGAATGCGATTGTAAATGGATGCGAGGCTAGTTCCGGAACAGTCTCAAGCCACCTTCCTCCCGATCAACATCTTCTTCTTCATCGCTGGCACCCTCGTCGCCTTCACCGAGCAAACCACTGGCTGTTTTGCCGAGCAGAGAAGCAAAGAACTCATCTCGTGCGCGTGTAGACCAGGAACCACGGTCATCAGGGGCCATGAAGTTCTGAAGTTTTTCATGCACATTGTACTTCATCTTGCGGCCCTTGGAAGCACGGGTATCAATGTCTCGCTTCACCTTATCGTTGCGCATACCAGTGATTGGGTGAATGGGCAGGCGTGAGGGCAGCTGGTGCAGGTTGTCAAAGCCACTGGTCATGGAGTCGGCAGAGGACATGCGTTGCTCAACGAGATCGCGCAAAAGGGACTGGTAGAAAGCTCCGTCATCGTAGAGAGGTTCTTGTTGATCAGATGTGCGCGAACGCTTGGAGGATCGTTCTCCAATCTCTGTGGCGACTTGAGCATCGAGGACGGCTGTGATGGTCTGTTGGCGACCGGAAGTAGAACCGAGCAGTTTGCCTCTGGCATTGGGGAGAGATGCAGAAGTGCCACGAACTTTCGAGGACCACTTGTCGAGAATGGAACGACGGTGGGAAATGGACTCAGACTCCAATTCAGCCATGCGCTCCCATAGCGAGGCAGAGCTAGTGGTAGGTGAGGCGGGGGAGGGTCTCTTTCGCTTTTTGCTGCCTTCTTTGGCGGTAGCATCAGCCAGGGCAGTACGTAAACCTTCGAGGGTCGACCATAATGCCAGCGCAGCTGACTCCGCCGACCTAATTGCTTCCTCATCCACAACTTCCTCTTCGTCCATAGCGTTCTCTCCATCTGCTTCGTTCTTCGAACCCAAGACAGCAGCGACACCGTTGATAGACGTCAATCCACTTTGAAGCTTCATCCGCGCGTTAAGGAGCGCATCAAAAGTGGTACGTTGTTGCTTGACAGCCTTTCCCTTCGTAGCATCGGCCTTGGCTGCCGAGGAGATTGTCGCAGCAATGGTTTTCTGATCCGTCGCCATTAGTTTCCGAATCTCGTCGCGGTCAGCGGACGGTCCGCTTGTGTCCCCATGTCGGACATCCTGGCGGGTCTTCTTGGAGTGCTTGTGCACTACCTCGTCGGCATCCTCACTTTCATCCTCATCATCCTCTTCGCTCTCTTCATCATCATCATCATCATCCTCGCCTCCCTGTGTGTCCTCATCGGAACTCTCCTGGGCCAGGGCATTGTCGCCGCTGGCAGATTCTCCGAAGTCAGACGAGATGTCTGAGTCCTCGTCATCCTCCTCACTTTCAGCGCCTAGCGCTGCCCGGCTGACTCGGGCACCATCATATTGTTTCCCTAGGGGGAGGGGGTCATCTTTGCGGAGCTTTGCTTTCCTGTTTGATTATTAGCGCGTTGTTAATACCAAATACACAAATTTTTACATACCCAACAGTTTGATAATGCTCTCTGCCTGCAGTCACTTCTTCTTTATCTTCACCTTCATCGTCACTTGATTGTTGCCCATTATCGATATCCTCGGGATCAAAATCTAAGCGCAAAGTAAGCATTGAATGTTCGGTACCCAAGAGAATATGTTGATGCATCATTCAGGCATACCTTTAGGAGTTGGGTCTTCAAAATCAGCAAGCTGATCAGCTAGGGAGCGAGCTGCGCGTGGTTTGCCCATGGTGTTTGGTATGGGGAGAGAAGAGAGTCGACGAGCAACTTTTTTTACTGGTTTTTCCGGATAACGGATTATTAATCCTATCTAGGTTTAGCGCCCGTGGGCGCCACAGCTTCACGTGGGCGGTGTACGGTGTGGGAGCTTCAACTACGAAAGGCGGTCGGCTCTTTTATTGGCAGTATCGCGGTGGATATCTTGCACTGCATCTTCTGGGACTACTTTCTGTTGCTCACAGATTATTTGGTCCTACATTTTTCCTTATCATCTGCCTCTTTGGGCCTGTTAGTATGTTGGTTTCTCCATCTGGCACCATAGCCAGAGGCACAAGGCTTTTTTCCACATGTCGAGCTCTTCAGCATGACAATCCTTTGGTTAGTTGTTAATCTACATTTCGGAGCTCCGGTGATGGCCTCTCGGCCCACTGACTGATCCCACCATTTCATTGCCAGAATGGCTATTTTCACTTGCATTGACTAACTATGAACAGGGACTTCCACGCTCTGGTACCCCGCCAACTTTTCGTTCGCGCCGAGGGCTGCCCGAAAAGCGCAAGATTCGAGATGTCAAGAAAGTTGTTGCGGTCTCTTCAGCAAAGGGAGGAGTTGGAAAGTCTACAATAGCGGGTATGTTGATATTCTTCGTTCCTGTCTATGTCTCAAAAATGGGTAGCCACTGCAGAAGACTTGTGAGCCGATGTGGAACGAACAATCGCTGAAGAGATCTTACCAGTCAATCTCGCACTATCATTTGCACGTCGTGGTATCAGGACTGGAATTCTTGACACTGATATCTTTGGTCCTTCTATCCCTACCCTCCTAAATCTCTCCGGCGAACCTCGCCTCGACGAAAGTGAGTCTCCTGTTTTAAGCTTATCACTATCGCAGCCATAATCAACATGCTTATAAACATTGCCAGACAACTGCCTCGTCCCTCTAACAAACTATGGCCTCAAATCGATGTCAATGGGCTACCTCCTCCCCCAAACACAAGCCGACAGCACAACAGGCGAACTACCGATGGACACAACCCCAATCTCATGGCGCGGACTAATGGTAACCAAAGCCATGCACCAACTCCTCCACTCAGTATCATGGGGTCCACTGGACGTCTTAATCCTCGACCTACCCCCGGAACCGGCGACGTGCAACTCACAATCAACCAAGAAGTCATCATCGACGGGGCAGTGATCGTATCAACGCCGCAAGACATCGCACTCCGCGACGCCGTGCGCGGCATTGGGATGTTCCAGCGAATGGAAGTGCCCGTGCTCGGGATGGTGCGCAACATGGCATATTTCGCGTGTCCACAGTGCGGGACTCAGACTCGCATATTCTCGCATGGTGATAGCCACCACCATGTGCACGGTGAGAACCACGGTGTCGTGGCTGAGTGCAAGCGGCTCGGAGTGGACTTTCTTGGTGATATCCCTCTTGATGCTCGGGTGTGCGAGGATGCTGATCGTGGGATGCCGACTGTTGTTGCGGAGGAGGGTGTTGAGCGCAGTGCGAGGCGGGAGGCTTTCCTTGGTGTTGCTGAGCAGGTGGCTCGGAAGATTGGACTTGATTGGCACTGAAGGGTCAATACATCTTGCCTAGACCTATACTTATGAACATTGTGTATTATTATTTTAGAATTGCATCTTCCGGTGGCTGGCTACTGGCTATTTATGTTCTTCGGCATTCGCGGTTTCTTCTCATTTGGGGTATAGACTGTATTCATTCTCAGAACTACTTCCATTTGCAAATGGTGGTCGACTGCTGTAGGCCTCGCAGCTGACTGCCAAAATCGGGTATATCCAACACAACAAAACACAAAAATAACAAAAGAAAATCGGAAGTCGCTGCATGGAACTTCAACAAAAAAGCCAAAAATCGAAGAAAGAAATTGGAAAGGTTTGAATGAACAATTCAAAATGACACAGATGGTGGGATATGTTCATAGATGGCAATTCTACAAGGCTTACTCGGCGGTTTTGAAAACCTCTCTGTCCACCATTTCAGGACGGTGCGACATGGAGTCCCGACCAGCCGCAGAGAACACAGATAGAGTATCTGTAGAGCGACGACCATTCTCGCCAGCCATAATTGGGGCAATAATACCCCGCGCACCAATCACAGCTCGGGTGCTAGCGGTATCGGATGCCATGTTCATATAGGCAACAGAGTCCTTGTCGCCGCCAACGGTACTACCAGTATCAGACAGCATCTCGCTTCGACCAGCGGCTGATCCTGCAGCGGATGATGGCCGGTACCTGCTGTGAGCTAAGGAGAGATCTGATTTCATCGGGAGAGAGCCTGCTGCATGAAAGAGAGCCCTCGTGCTAGCGTTCTCATCTGTGAATTTGTTGTTGTTCACCTCGGGCAATATAAGGATTGGGCCAGCACTTTTCTGCGAGAGGGGTCGAGATACGGTCTCAGGATCTGTGGACATGCGTCTAGTAGAAGAATCACCGTTACTGAGGTGTTCCTTTTTATGCCGGCTGACTGCCGTGTAGCCGTCAGACTGCGGTCTGTTGTTGGTAAGGTCTTTGTCTGAGGCTTTTTCGGTTTGGGGATTGGTCGCCGGAGTGCTAGACCATGCTCCAGCCTGCCCAGCATCAGTGCTAACACGGGTGGAACGTTTGCCCGATTCCTCGGCCCGCTTCTCTATTTCCATTCTGCGCTCGTCATGTCTGCTTCCCCAGCCACTCCACATCATCATGCCGTAGTTCTTCTTGGCATGTCGTTTTGGTAGTACGCCAGGAGCAGCTCGCCGGGCGGCCAAAGAGCTCGGGGGAGGGCATTCACCCTCAAAATCTTGGAAGCCGTGCGCCAGCTCTTTCAGGCGTCGGCTCTGAACCCGAAGTTTCTCCTTCGCAAATCTGATATCCCATTCCTTCTTTGCGTCCAACCACATTTGGATGAGCAAGGGGTTGATTGCCCCGATTTGGGAAGCGGGGATCTGTAACACTGGGTAGGAAGATGGGGAATCTAGCGGGAAGACATGTCCTCGTTTATCGATTCGTTGGCGTATCATGTATTGATGGAACGCTGGAAGAGGATCCCCGGCCTTTCCGACAGAGGAAGGCCCAGGTGCGTCAGGCGGACCGTTCAATGCGGTTTGAGGCCCCGGAATATCTTCATCTTCTGAGCTATTTGACGAAACGGCCCAAAGAGAACTATCATCCACGACTTCTACCTCGCCATTTTGTGCACGCGCCAATGCCCAAGAGCCAAACTGCGAAATGGAACGGAACATGTACTTGGCTGGTCGCGTAAAGCTCAGGGTGGGAGCGACATGGCATAGGTTGTCCCAGACCTGAAGTTGTACATAAGTTGGTTCGTACTTGTTCAAGGTCTCCCGGGTGGGATCATTCTCATCGAGATATACGTCATTAGGTGGGTATGCTTTCGGATTGGCTGCTTTGTGGGCGATGTAAAACTGCTCGTCACGAAGCGTCTCACCGCCGCCGCTCAATATTTGTAGAGGAGGCAGGCCACCCAGAGAGGGTTGGAGGACTGGCGAAACAAGAGGGTGGGACATGAGTTGGTTCGTCGTGTATAACTGGATTTGGTCCTTGAGTTCAACTGTCTGCCCATCCAAGACAACGTGAATATTATCGGGCTCGGCATCCAAACTAGCAGGATTCGGGGCTTGCTGATGGCCAGGGTAGGCATGTTCGGCTGGGGGTGGGGCGTTTTCATGGACAGTGTAACCACGGATGGCAGTCTCTTCAGCAGTGCTGTTCGGTTGGGGAATAGCTTTTTTGACATCCTCGGCAGTCACTACTGGTTGGCGTGATATTTTTTTCATTTCCAGGATATCATCGGCATTGGGAGGAGGCCAAGCGGGCGAGGGTTTATGGCGGAAGCCATAGGCAGGTATATAATCGTCGGGGTTATCCTCAACAATACTGGGGAAAGAGTGTGTCAAATCAACCCAGGGCGAGATCAAGATGGCGCCCGCAGGTAAGGGGATACCCTGGTCTCTCATAATGACCAGCATCGATAGAGCCAGGCCTCCACCCGCAGAGTCACCGGCAAGAATTATTTCCTTTGGTTGATAGGACATGAGCAGCCAGAGGTAAGCCGCCATGCAGTCATGCAGGCCACATGGGAAAGGGAACTGCGGCGACAGTCGATATTCCGGTGCAAATACACGTCCCTTCAGTTTGCGCGCATGACGCTGCATCATGTACCGATGTGTGTCGACACTTCCGAAGAAATAGGCCCCACCATGGATATATAGCATCACACGGTTACAATGCCCGCCGGCCCCTTCCGTTTGATTGTAGTGGTTCCGCATCTCAATCCACTCTCCCTTCATCTCTTCAGATGGCCCGCGCCATTGCCACCATTTCTCTCCTCCCACTCGTATGACACCCTTTGGGCCTAGCTGCTTTGTGACAGCGTCTGCAGCTGAGGACAGGAACTTGTCGGGGATTGTGATGGTCTCGGTTCTCACCCAATGTGGGCTTGGGACCCATTGGCGAGTGAACGCCTGGAGGTCTTCGACGGGGTGTTTGGATGCATAGAATAGGAATTGACGAACGATATGGATACCCTCATCATAGGTAACATGAACGGTGGGTTTGTCATGTAGCGATTTGCGATGCAGGTACTATAGATAGATCATGCGCCATCAGCCAGACAATTCTAACCCTGTCAGGGTATTCCACAAGAACTTACGTGAGTGATAAGAGTGTGAAGGACAGTGGGAGTCAGTGCGACACCTAGTGCGACTGTATGTAATGGCATAATGGTTCTGTTCCCGGGGGGGGGAAGGATAGTAGTATGCCAGCTGTCGCAAAATCCAAGAAGACCAAAGAAACCAAAGAAACCAAAGCCAATAATTATATTTAAATGAAAGACAAAAGTGAGGGTCCGATCGCAAAATGGGCCGACGTCATTTAAAGAGCGAAAAGGGATTGGAAGAAGAATATCCAATAAGTTGACTTGTTAAAAACCACAAACACAAAAGAAGGGGGGAATGATGTCATCGGGGAAATCGATCTGTGATAATCTGAGCGTTCCATTGTCAACCTCCGATATCTTACCCCATACCTACATCTACCTAGGTAGGTATAGAGTAACCTCCAGCTTTTACAAATTGCGGCTCCTCGGTCTTCCAATCCAACTAACAATCACAATATAAACCATTCCGATGATACCAGCAACAACACTAGTTGCAATGACCGCCCCACGCGGTGCTCCCGCAAGCTTGAATCCAAGCCCAGCATTGATGATACCAAGAATCATCATCAACCGTCCAAACCAGCGATGCATATAAGAAAAAGGTCCTTTCCCACCTGTCTTCCGGAAGAATCGGTGCTGCAACACACCCATAGCAGGCTGGAAAAGAACAAGGCATGGTACAATGATCATCCCCAGGATGGTATGGTAAGAATCGATCAATTCAATCTGCCGTGCTAATGAAACACCGACTCCAAAGCCCGCAAGTGCGACGGCCAAAGTGATGAGTTGAAATATTCCGTGAATGTTCACCGTCCATTTCGACGGGAAAATATGAAGTCCGAGCGCGAAGAATGGGAACATGACCACAAAAGCCAAAACCATGAGCACAGCATGGGCCGTCTTTTTCCTCTTGACCGTGCTTTGGAAGGCCGCAAGGCCCGGATCTTCTTCACTGGAGGAGATGGGCGCTCGGGCCATTTGAGCGAAGGGATTCACTGAGCTGCCGCCCGTCGCTTTTTTCAGGTCGATCGTCATGCCACCGTGATCATCATGTTGGGTGATACCCTCAGACAAACTGACCGAATTCAGGGACCCCCCATATTTAATGGACCAAATCCACGGACTTGAAGAGCTGTTCACGTTTTCTGTTCCTCCATTCCATTCCAGGCAGGTATCGCATCGGACATTGGCAGTGATGACCCCGTCGTGCACACCACTGCCATTCAGGATTGTGATCTGGGCGTTCTTGTTATACAACGGTTCGATTTCCCCGACACCCGACCGCGGAGAAACAGTGACAGTGTTGCCAGATGTATACACGACAAACATATTGGCGCCTGCCATTTGCATTCCTTGACCCAAGGCAAACCACTGCACTTGGCGAGTAGAATTCATCTGTAAATATATGGGGCCCGAACCCGATTTAGCTGTATTGTCGGGGACATTGAAGCTATAGGTGATCTCATCGTGGCCTTGAGGATGAATGCTATGAACTTGAACTTGGGCCAGGGCAGGAATGGCCCAAAGCCACGAAAAAATATGCCGAACCATTGAAAAAATTGAGATTGACTATTCTGATCTAACAAGGGAGTCATCCCAATAAATACCTCCCAGCTCTTTGTTGCACGGTTGACATACCAATTGGCCTACGTCAGGCCAAGTCTTTGTGACTGTAACTTTTAAATTTTCCGCAGACATTTGGAACCCCTGTCAAAGAGTTGCGATATTATCTTACGAGATGCCTATTGGAGTAGCTTAAACTGACTATCTCATTTTGGTCTCAAGCTACCTACGGAGTAAAGTCAAATGCAATATGACCTTGCTGCGCCTCCCCATGTCAAACTCTGATCAGTGTCGGGGTTAGCTGCATCAAATATCAAGGCTACTGTAATTCCTAATGAGTTCTTATTTGGGTAATATGAGCGGTCAATCCACAGTCACATCTGGAAGTCCTCCCGAAAGCCATACCCAGCTATACAATTCCGGTGTGTCTAAGCTTTTGGCGAATTAAAATTATGCAGATTATGGGGAAATAGGGTTATGCATAGTTTCAAGTTTATGTTTGTCTATACGAGGTGACCGATATCGTAGTTCAGGGAAAGGAAGACAGTTCTATAACATTCCATTGACTCTTAAACTAACTACCTGTCAAATACGGACATCCTCAACTGCAATGAAGATGTTGTTTTTTGCTCTTCGAAATTCCCTTCATCAACGCCATGTATGGAAACTCGGATGATACTAGTATGACAAGCAAACCTACCGGTAAAGACGGCTTCACCTTTGTGTCTCCCCGGAGGAAAAGGTCGAGGTTCATTTCCACCCGAGTCATTCATTGTCCCAAGCCTTTCTTTGTAACCCCTGCTATCCTGTATCAGAAAAGTGGGTTTGTCCCAACTACAAATAAATCAGTAAGCATTACAACAAAACCTATCAAAATCCCACCGAACATTGTGGTTACATACTCTCACCGTCAATGACACAAATCCAATTTGGTACCACGATGGTCAGATTGGCCATTGCCAGACCGGCATGTTTGGTATTATCAATCCCCCCGTAAGCAGGGCAGGCTTGGCATATTCATTTTTTGTCAGCTCAAGTGGCCAGGAATCCCTGGACATCTCCAAGCACGCTGCAGCAAATGCAGAAGGCGGCACCATAGCTGTAATGGTTCAGGGTGGCTCGGATAGTCCAAGGACAAATCGTCGAGCAGCACGGCCAGCGAATCACCGAGCAGAACAATTAGATCTATTTCAAGTCCAGCAAACTCGGCTAATAATATGACCATGCCCATGTGTATGGGTATGGGTATTGTATTGTCTTGGCTTCTCTTGCATTGTCTCCATTTCTACGATGTAAGGTCATCAGTGCTGGTGCTGCAACAACCGATGGTCCAGATCGCAACAGGAGGGTTTTCGCAATGTCCACGTGTCTCTGTATGAAAGCTTAGTCCAATTGGTTGTAAATAAAAGATATCCCAACTTATGTAGACAACTATGTCTTCGTGTGTCCCGGTGGTAGTGGTCATGGTGCAAAGTTCTTACCGGTTCTGGGAAGGTAGGGTTTCTATCCGCAAACTGTACAGACTCAGCTCTCACTGGGTAGCTAAAAACGTCGTGAGTAACTTGTTAGACGTGATAAGTCGCTAGCTCTTTCAGCCCGTCCCTATGCGGGTTAATGTCTATCAATATACCATCCGTATATGACTTTTAAGTCGAAGCTTCCACAAGCTCATCTAGCTGATAATATACAGGACATCATAGAGCCATATATGTAACGCTGGATATCGTGATTCTGCTCAACCCGCAGCTCAGTCCTTTCTTTTTCTTATTCCATGCTCTGGGCTTGAGATGAACATATACTGGCTTGAGTCTGTCTTACAAAATTATTTTGAATTGGACGATCTCTGCAGAAGTCAACGTCGATCTGTGCAATTGCAGATTAGCCACAAGGTCCCCTTCCACGCGGTACTCTCCAGAAATGAGATACGGAGAATATTCCCACTTTTTCGGGGAAATAAACAAAATGGGCTCGAATGATTGTAGAGGATATGGTCGATCGCATCCTCGTGCCTTTCTTGGCACCGCAGAAGGTCCCCAGGAGCATCGAAGCAAGGGATGCGCTAACAAGTGTATGAAGATAAAAGCTACAAGCCATGCCAGATGCTGAGCTCAATCACAGTCGCAATGCTCGGCAAATTATCTTTTGCATTGGCGACGCTAGTCGCCCAGGCTTTTCCCGGACTTGGAGCGATCATTGAACGAGAAACAGTCAAAGTGACAACCTCCCAGACAGTTCAAGGTGGTGAACTGGCCAATATTCATCTCGACTGGTTTAGTCAACCGCCAAGTCTGATCAAATCTGTGTATGGGCCCTGTGACGTCGACTATTCGTCGACGAAAGGGCAAATCATCGGACAGTTTTCAATTCACGATGATCCTCCACAGCGACTTGCTTGGGCGGTCCCAGATGAGGCTCCAACGCACCATTGTGTTTACATATATGGCTTTGACGGCCCAAATCTGACGCAAAAGGTCTTGGGCAAAAGCAGCCCTGTCTCCTTGCAGAAGAAGACTAAGAAACGATCCACAGCAGACACCGACATCCCATTGCTGAAGGACTTTGATGCGCAGGGAGCATGGTTTGACGGAGTGGCCAAAATCAAAGACAAAGTGGAAAGCAACGGTGGAGTTGCTTCAAAAAGCTCACCAAAGAATACTTCGATCGCAATTGTTGGTGGTGGGGTCTCCGGGCTTGCAACGGGGTTGATGCTGGACAGCGTCGGGATACACAACTGGGAGATCATCGAAGCCAGCGACCGCGTTGGTGGCAGATTCCGGACAAAATATGTCGCCGACACTCAAGAATGGGCTGAGATGGGACCAATGCGACTTCCGCACTCTGTCACTTACAGAGACGACAATGAGACACTTCTATATTCTGATCATCAGTTGACTTTCCAAATGGCCAACATCTTGAACAACATGAACAGGAATGACTCGCAGTGGAAGATTGACTTCATACCCTGGATCCAACACAGTCCCAATGAGTTGTATGCTCAAGGGACTCGCCGCCATGCAGATGGAAGAATCCCAACTCGCGCTGAAATCGAAGAGGATCCAAGCCTGAAAGACCCCCCAGAAATGAAAAGTGCAGAATACAGCAACACTGAGAACAAGATGGACAAAATCCTGAAAGACGAAAAGACTCTCAAATCTCTTCAGAAGGATGTCTGGAGAGCCCACAAGACCGCCATGGACCAGGGGCTCGATGACTGGAGCGAACAGGCAATGATGCGACATGTCTTCAAAGCCAGTCAGAACATCACCGACGAGATCTGGACATCATCCGACTACGATGTGTTCTGGGATGAGCTGCATCATAACTCCAATCTCGGCCTGGATGGAAGCAAGGGCAGTATAGGCGAAACAAAATGGCTCTGCATCGATGGAGGATTCAATCGCCTATCCGACGCTTTTCTTCCTCACGTCCGCGACAGGCTTACTCTCAATCGAAAAATCCGGAAACTGCAGTCGGTCAAGGGAAGTGATGGCCACACCCGCACTCGACTGTCATGGTACCCCAATGTCTCGAATCGCACCTTCGAGTCCAAAGAGTACGACTACACAATTATGGCAGTGCCATTCACCATGACCCGCTTCATGGATCTGCCCAAATTCTCCTCGGTCCTAGATCGCGCGATCAGCGAAGCAGGTCTTCGATTCAAGTCCGCATGCAAAGTAGCCCTGCTATTCTCCGAGCGATTCTGGGAAAAGGGCGACCGACCAATTTTCGGCGGCTACTCCAAGCCATCAAGTGACTCAGTCGGTGCCCTCTACTACCCAGTCTACGGACTCAACGAGTCCCGTCCGGGTCTGATCATGCACTACCGAGGCGGCGATTGGAGCGACCGGTTTGTAAGTTTCTCCGACGAAGAACACGTCCAGACGGTGCTGGACTCGATTGTCAGTCTGCACGGTGAACAAGCGCGCGAGCTTTATACGGGAGATTATGAGCGTCTCTGCTGGCTCCAGGATGAACATACTGCGACTTCTTGGTGTCGGCCGGATGTTGCACAGCATCAACTATACATTCCAGCTTATCATCAGACGGAGCATAACACCATTTTCATTGGGGAGCATACTGCGCCAACTCAGGCTTGGGTTAGCTCTTCACTTCATTCTTCTGTTCGTGGGTCGATTCAGCTGCTGTTGGAGCTGGGTTTGGTGGATGAGGCGAAGGAACTTAACCAGCGGTGGATGGGGAGATGGATCAAGCTATAATGTCTCTGTCCTCCTTGGCTTTGGGTATATTATCCTAAAAAGTGAAAATATTCATAATATACATAGGTATTCACCGAGCAAAATAAAATTTATCTGCAAGTGTTTCCTTTTTAATGTGGCATAGATAGAATATGTCTATATATACCATGGTCTCTATATCAATTGTACAGCTCCCCCTTTACGAGAGGCTTCACGATGTCCGCAGAAAAGGTCACATGTCCAATACCATTGTTCATCTGTGGCTCTTGTCACACCCCATTTCAACTTCTTATACGCCAAGTCCTTATCGAATTGTTGCCAATCAGTTAGATCATCTTGTTTCCGAGGCTGACAGGCAGCAGCTATACTAGCGGTACAACATCCCGCTAACGGCATGCCACTCGGAAAGAAACTGTATGAAAATAGAAAATAAAAGTAGAGCAAAATATATCCGACCATATTTTGTCCTTGTTTCTGGAGGCGTTCACTCCTATCATGCTAGACCGTAACCTGAGGGCCTCCATTGAAAGTGGCGAATGGCGGAATAGTCCAATCTGCTCCTTCAGTGAAGTTCTCGGTTATTATGACTCCCACATAGTCATTGCGCTGGTGGGTTTTGAAGATAACCGAGTTCCAGATCATATGTAATGAAAAGGAGCTTGCGCCAAGTACAAGCCATAGAGACATCTTAGACTTCGAAACAAAAGAATAAATTGCAAATACTGGAAGTCCCAATGATAAGCCAACGGTGTCTCGCATGGGCCGCATCGACTTCGCTTATCGTAGGTGAATTCAAACATTGCATAGCAAAGTTGCTGGCAGCCAGTAAAACCGTACTGAGCACATTGACAATAACGTGTACCATCGTCGTCAACATACTTGTAGTACGGCAACTACCTGTGAAAAACGCGAGGCTGTGGTTTTCCACCGATATTTGACACAAGCAGTGACAAGTGTGACGATATTTACGATGAGAATCACCATCGTTACTAGCGCACCACAGGAGGTCGTGAGCCTCCATGATTCAAGCGCCCGTATCCCGATAGACTCGCTGTCTTGGTCGGTTTCGTCACCAGTGTCGTTGCCCTTTGACCTGATTTGCTTATAGCGCGGCGTCAAAGGCATCATCTCGGTTTGCATGGTCGGCAGAATAGTTTTGGTGCCAGCTGAGCGACTTAACTCCAGGCTTGGTGAGTATTTGGACAGATGAGATGAAAGGGCTCTGATGCTGGATTTGCAAACCTAACCATAAGTGTGGGCAGGGATTTCTGCTCAGCTCGGCTTCTCTTGTGCAACTTGGGTCAGATCAGTGCATACATGAACATCCAAGGCTACATTAGTCTTGATGTCATGGTCTTGATACCATATGAATTAGCGTTGTGGTGCATTATAACATTCCAATACTGTGTCCTATGTCATTTCCCTCCTGTAGTCATTCAAATACCCTCTCTACCACGACAAAATATCTTCAGTTACCGATATAAACTTTCCCGACACATTTTCCCTTGTAGCACTGTCAAGAACACCAAGCATTCCCTTGACACTATCCTCAACAGTCACCGGCGGGTTACCAGGATATCCCCACTCCTTCGCAGCAAAATCGCCCGCGCGGGTTTGCACCCAGCCAGGATGCATTGCAAACGCAACCAAACCATTTTTCTCATTTTCAACATGAAGAGCCTTGGTAAGCCAGTTGGAGGCTGCTTTACTGGGACCATATGCCCCACCGGGAACAGGCTCCTGATCAGCAATCGAACCGACGGAGGAGGAGATGACCATGAGCTTGGGGGCATAAGCCGATCTCTGCATAAGTGGCCAGAAGGCCTGGAACACAAGGAGAGGAGCGATGGTGTTGACTTCAAACGATTTACGGAGGTCTTTCGCCGAAGTCACTAGGGCCGGAGTCATGGGCGTTGCGAATCCGGCATTGCAGATGAGCACATCGATATGCGTAACTGTACTGACTGCTGCGGAGAAGGCCTGTGTAATATCTTCAGGGGATATCGCAGTTGAAAAATCAAGTTCGATGATGTGGAGGGCACTATTTTTGCCCACGGCAACACTCTCAACATCTGACCTAAGACTTGTGGCTGCGTTGTGGCTGCGCACTGAGGCCACGATGGTGGTGGCAGGGCGTTCCAGTAGCCGTTTGGTCAATCCAAGACCGAGGCCTCTGTTTGCACCTGTCACGACATAAACTGTGTTTGCAGTGGAGGCCATTATCATCAGTGGTTTTGATAAAGGATCCTTTTTTGGTTCAAGAAGCAAGAGAGGAGAGAAAGAAAGCAACGCGCCCCCTCTCCTTTTATACTTAGGGCTTATGTGAAGCGGGCCAATCAGGGCTGAACTCCTGGGGTCATCACACCAACAGTTGTCAACGTTGTCATTTAATTCAAGCTGGGCACCATACTGCTTACATACATATGTATTCAAGTCAAATATCTATTGAGCCCTACGTCTATATGCAGTTAGGGTATTAAGATATTCAACAGACGCCAGGTTCTCCCAAGTTCCCCAATCTCACAAACTTCTCCTGAGATCGACCGAGAAATCCCGAAATCATTGCCAAGAGGAGTTGGAGAACAAATCCTATCTATCTTCATATGTTAACAGAAGAGGGGCCAATAGCTGCAGTCTATATCCGTTATGTCTCCATTTGGTGTTAATAGGACTAATAGGACCTGTGATTCCGGTACCCTCGGAAGGTCCCCAGCCGCATGTGCGTGAAAGGATCCGATTGTGAGTTAGGCTGGCATATTTAAAGATCCCATCTGTCACAACATGTCTGCAAGAAAAGCACATCATGGCTCCTAATGGTCTTGGATCCTACCTTTGGCGTGTCTCTATCTCTCTTCTTCTCTTCTCGGCTGCCTCAACCATCTCCGCCACTTCAAGTGTTGACAACGGCAAACTGTTTACGATCAATGGCATCAACTACTATAGTGGTGATGCGGTCTCGAGAATAGTTATCTCGGATTTTGATTCTACTCGATTTGATGCAATCGTTCCCCTGACGATAATTCGGACAGATGAAACTCTGCTCACCACGAACATTATAAAAGAAACCATCTCAAACTATTCGGCCACCGATGATGTTTTCCAGTCCGAATTTCTTGAAGGTGGATATTAATCAAGTCAATAGTTCTGCCGAAGAGCTTCCGTTAACTTCAAGATAGCGCTTTTTCTTGTCTACGATGGAGACGGTCGGGGCCAAGTCGAGGCTGATGTTCAAAATGCTCTGGGGGGGCTTGGAAATAAACTTTTGATGGCCTCTTCCAGCTATCAATCTGGGGCGCGTATCACATCTGCCAGAATGCTTCGTGATATACCAAACGGGCCCTACTTTTACTCGCCGCAGACTGGAGAGATCTATCAGGCCTTCCGTCTCTATTCCGATCATCAGCTAGCATTCACCGAAGCTGCCCTTAGCGATGGGGCCGGAGGATTCAAGCCCTTGCCAGCAACTTCATCGGTGAGTAAAATTGTGACCTGTCTACAGAAAACTTTACTGATACATTCCAGGGCGCAATGACGAAGAGCGTTGCTGTACCATCTAGGCTATACTATACACCAACATCAATGAAGCCACTTGCAGGGGTACGCTTAGCAATATGATCCGCTGTGGTTCGAACGTTGACTAACAACATGTAGTTACGTTTGGGAGTGAAAGATATCTTTGACTTGAAGGGACTACGGACTAGTGGTGGCAATCGGGCCTTTTACGATTTATATCCTCCGCGGAACACTACAAGTCCCGCACTCCAAAGACTCATAGATGCGGGGGCCATTATTGTAGGAAAAATGGGCACCGTGCAATTTGCAAATGGAGACAATCCCACAGCTGATTGGGTGGACTTCCACTGTCCTTTCAACCCTCGAGTAAGTCCAACCATTGAAATCGATCAGATTGGACTAACCGTTGTCCAGGGTGATGGCTATCAAAGCCCCGGCGGTTCATCGTCAGGCCCTGGTGCCGGTATCGCATCTTATGACTGGCTAGACATTGCCGTGGGAAGTGACACTGGTGGCTCCATGCGCAACCCAGGGAGCTTGCAGGGACTCTTTGCCAACCGCCCTTCTACTGGGGCTGTATCTCTTGACAATGTTCTTCCACTTTGCCATGCACTCGATACAGCTGGAGTTTTTGCTCGAAATGCTGCAACATGGTCAAAGGTTATGCATGCGTGGTACCAGAACTTCACTAACTATAGAGAGTATCCGAAAAGGTTGTTCTACCAGAACTCTTCTTTCCCTGGCTCCAACACAGCATCCGGTGCACTGCTCGAGGGGTTCGTTATGAAAGTGGAAGATTTCCTGGGTACGAAGAGGGAGTTTGTTGATATCGCTTCGCATTGGGAGAAAAGTCGCCCTTCCGAGGCGCCCTCAAATATAACTGATTTACTGAATACAGTGGGTTTCAGCAAGATTTGAATACATATTCAGACACTGATATTCTAGACGTATGCTGTGTTGGTATCTGTCGATCAATACCGCTCTCTTTCTTTGCCGTTTTACGCAGACTACGCAGCAAAGCACGACGGTCGCCGACCATTTGTGAACCCAGGCCCCTTGTTGCGATGGGCCTGGGGCCAGAATAATGGTGGTGACGCCGCATATGGCGAAGCTCTCAAGAATAAAACAATCTTCAAAGACTGGTGGGAATCGGATGGATACGGAAAGGCAGACACAAAGACTTGCTCTGAGGGTATCTATATGTATCCTTATAGCAAGGGTCAGACACAGTATCGGAATGCCTATTTTGAGTGAGTGAAATGCCCTTGAAGAGACAAAATGATCTATTGCCAATATCTACAGTGCACCTTCTGCGCCTCCGATGGGCTTTACGGATGGTCGGGTGGCCATCTTGGCCGGTACCCCTGATCTGGTAGTTCCTGTTGGAGAGGTCCCATATTACTCCACCATCTCGCTTAAAACTGAGTTCATGCCGGTTACGATGAGTTTTGGCGCAGCCCGAGGGTGTGATTTGATGCTGGTCAATCTCATCGAGGATTTGGAACGGGCGGGTATCTTGAAGCCCGTGAGCACAGGGCCAATGATGTATCCTGCATGAGTCCAACGCATTTAGTTGACATTTTAAGTCAGTAAGCATTAGTACAGAATCAGGCCATCAATTATATACATGGGATTCCAATGTTGCATTTTTAGTTATGCGAAATATCTCGTGGTCCGCGGGGACCTTCTTCCAACCCGTTTCTTCTAGGTGCGTCGGGGCGCCAGCGCCAGAATGAGCGCATGAAAGATGAGCTTTGGTCACCATTCTCGAATATATCTGCCGCATGCTATGAGCTGTTAGTCATTATCTTATGATGTGAGTGGATTTTCCTACCTTTCCCAGAACCGGTAGGAACTTCGCACCATGACCACTATCACCGGTGCAAGCGAAGACAGATTTCTCTGCGTAGGTTGGGACATGATAAATCTTATTGGGAATATGGTCAGCAAAGTTATCCGGGGGGAAGAACAATATGCTTACCACAAATTAATTGTCCAGTGAGTCGGTGTACCAGCAAATCTTTGTAGAGAAAAAGGGCGTATCCTCGAAATCGGGCCGGAAGATAGACACAAACTGCTTAATGCATACAAGGCTGGCTCTGGAAGTAGTGAGCACTCCTCCACCGGAAAGAGGCACCGACTAATGGCCGTCCTGGATGAACGGGGTATCTTGCGGCTCTGGCTGGAAATTGGTCCACTGAAAAAGAACAACTTAGTTAGTAGATATCGAGAGGGATATAACTAGATATGTAGGTAGCATTATATACCTTGACTCCATGGTATCCAATCTTGGTAAGGCCTTCTAGGGTTCTTGGTAGAACATAAATACTCCCTGTGTCTTTTCCAGAAATATCTCGTGGTGTACTCTTCCAGGTCATGACGGGAAATCGTTCTGGTGAGTACTTGTCCCATAGGTCGGTGTTTCTCTTGTCAATCATGAATTTTGCAAGACTACCAGCTGATGATTCGAGGTGGTAGCTCAGTTCAGGCAGAATTTGCGTCGAAAATGATACGGCTTCGAAATAGTGAATAAAGGAGATAGGAATCAGGGATTCTCGCGACTTACCAGCCACAACAACGCCATCCTTCCTCTTTAAGCCAGCAACTTTCTCTTTACTTAGCTCAAGGTCCCTTTTCACTTTGACCAAGTAATCAACAGCTCCTTCTTGTGGTCCGAAATGAAGTTTCACGCCCTTATCGGCGGCCACTTTTTGGTAATGAGCACAGGCATTACTACACCTCACAAATCCAGCCAGAGAGTCAAGAACCGCCTCATACTTGTTTTCAGACAGGGATGTGGAAATTGAGTATCTTGTCTTTCCAGCCTAGTTGATCATCATCGGTGCGCAAGTATCATGTTATATATTATGTGTTACCTACTCTGCTTTATCTTTCAAGTTACTGTAACACAAGGTTATGACTTTAAATTAGATTAAAGAAATAGGTCAAGAAGCCTACGATTTATAGGTCAGTACTTGATATAGACCCGATGTGTCTATGTCAATTTCCCCAAAAGAGAAAACTCTGACACACAACCGCCCGGATGGTCTAGTGGTACGTTCCACTTCAATATGCTGTCCTGCGAATCTCAACTAATGAATAATTAGGTATGATTCGTGCTTCGGGTGAACCTGTGCGAGGTCCCGCGTTCAAATCGCGGTTCGGGCCCTTCTTTTTTTTTGGCAATTTAAATTGCATATATCACCAGTTTCTACCTTAATCCTACCTTAACTACTCCGTAAAAGCAATCCACACTACAAACTGGACTGCGGCCGCTTGCCGAAATGAAGGATCAGAGACTCAGCCCAAAGTAACAGCGCTGAATTGCCCTTGCAGGTATTAAAATCCCTGGAACTGACGCAAGTTATCCGAGTGTGCTATTATATATAGTAAAGGAGTGGTAGCTGTGTATGATAACAGTATGCTCAAATATCAGATTCCACGTTAATTGGGTATATTCATGTATTACTGAGTGCGGCAGAAGTACCATACCAGTAGAGTATACAAAATTGTGGCAGGATGAAAGTTTGACAGGCAAGAATTAATAAATATCTAAGTATCACCCTGAGGAAATAGACCATGGTATGGATGCTCGCGCTCTACATGCTTATCAGACTCATACGCAGAGACAGGCTCATGTGAGCATTGAAATCTCAACCGTGGTTTCTTGGTGCTCACGATATCGTTGGCCAAGCCCTCGAACAGACTACTAGTCGACTTGACATCGATATTGTTTCGGCTGTTTTTCAAAGAAATCCGGAGCAGGAGCGAGATCTTTTGCTGCGGAATCCCTTGCCGCAGGGCCTGGAATCGCCACTAGTCATGGTGTTGGTCTGCCACTAGGAGCATCGGTATTATGGTACTTGTGGTCGGTAGTGATGTGTGCTCGGTGTCAAGGTGTAAATAAACTATCACATCGAAAAAAAGCCAGACAGTGCCATCAAAAAATCGGTGACACCAAAGTATGTCTTACTCGGCGCATCACCACGGGACGTGACCATATCATATATATGTCGACCTGCGGCTAGTGGTAGTAGCGTTACGACATTGAAGATTTTCTTATTAACCGCGTATAATTTTATCCATACGCCATCGAAGATAAAAGAAATTAAAATCCAGAAGTAATAACCCCAGAGACGGGGCTTGCCAACACACTGAGCCCAACCCAACCTTGGAAGTTAGTTTATCAAAAGCACAATAACTAGTTAACCAACTAGTTAAATACTAATACATGTATGTATGAGTTATGCTTTGGTCTGCTTTGGATCCACCCCCCTGCTCGTGAAGTGAAATTCGATATACGAAGGGTCTTTCTCCCAAAATCCAGTGTAATAACTAACTAACATGACCAAAAAAAGCCAAAAACGAAAAAGAAACGTCCCCGGGAAGGCTTGAACTTCCAACCTCCCGATTAACAGTCGGACGCGCTAACCAATTGCGCCACGGAGACGTGCTTGTTAAAGAGGCAGGGACTATTATACTTGTTGATGTGATCGAAGTATTAATGTGATTAAATATTCTAAGGTTATCTTAATCTTAACGGATCCATATCTTGGACGATACTATGACTAACCTGTGTTGGAAAGGTTTATCTTTGGGGGTTGATTCCGTACACGAAGAATTCTTTTGCTGATTCCGCCACAACAAGTCTCCGTGGCGCAATTGGTTAGCGCGTCCGACTGTTAATCGGGAGGTTGGAAGTTCAAGCCTTCCCGGGGACGTTTCTTTTAATTTTTGGTTTTATTTACTCATGTTAGTTAGAATTTCCCTCTCTTCCTGTTTTATTTTCTTCTTTCTTTTAGCTTGATGAGGTCAGCTTATAGATCTAATATTGAATTAATTTTGATTCAAACTCAGATGGAATTACAATGTGGCTATGGTGGTTCATTCTATCTGTACGGAGTATTGCGATGCAACCTCGAATGCAGTCGCCCTATACCGTAGCATAGAGAGAGTCTCGCGTGAGCTGTATGTGGATCGACCATGCAATGTTTCTGCCGATCGTATGGAAATAGCAGCCAAGATATTCCATGTCTCAGCCTGCCTGCATGCTTCCTCATGAACCCCACAATAGTCCTCGGCCTTATTGCACCGGTTTCTGGGGGGCTATCTATTATCGGAGTATCGGCTGATGATGGACCCAAGATGAAGGCATCCTATTTGGGTCGTGTCACCTGTGAGTCTGAGACCTTCATCTAAGACCTGCGCCGAATGTAGCCTGTCAGCAAAGAGGAAATAGAACAATCTTAGATGGGAGGCCTGTCGGATGGAGATATATAAACCTCGTCGGGAGGGAACAAAATGTATACAAGCAACCAAAACATTATACTCTTCCTCAAAGTACCATCAAATCCTCCACAAACATGAAGTCTACCATCACCTTTACCTCTGCCTTCCTGGCAACCCTCAGCCTTGTTGCTGCTGCTCCGGCTCCGGCGGCAGCGGCAGCGGGAACAGTATCCGTCTCCTTCGACCCCAAATATGATGTTGGAACATCCTCTCTGAATACCGTATCCTGCTCCGACGGTACCAATGGCCTAGCCACTCAAGGCTACACCGACTTCGCATCGCTGCCAAGCTTCCCAAACATTGGCGGTGCCATCACCATCTCGGGCTGGAACAGCCCTAATTGCGGCAAATGCTACGCGCTGCACTACTCGAACGGCAAGATCGACAAGACAATCAATGTCATTGCTATTGACACCGCCCCAGGTGGCTTCAACATTGGCCTGCAAGCCATGAACACACTGACCAACGGTCAGGCGGTGCAACTCGGCCGTGTTGATGCCACTTATGTTGAAGTGGATGGCAGCGCGTGCGGGCTGTGAGAGTTAGACAATATCTATGGAATGTAATAATGAAGGGACAGAATGGTACACGAAAGCACTGGATAATGCGATGGCAGGGATGAGAATGTTGGACCGAGTATGTATTTAGATCTGTCAAACTATGTACACAGATAGTCTATAATATATATAAAGGTTCAATCAAGCACCTTCAACATTTCTTCTACACGCCCAAGCTTATCCCGAGGCTTGCCCTTTAGTTGGCCGCTCTCTCGCTCTGCTGCATCGATTCGCTGCCAATCTTTCCACGAGGTAGGGCGTAGACCACGGCGCTCGGCCTCAATTTTCACTCCGTCCCAGCCCAGACCGCTACTGTGATCGGGTGCATGGAGCAAGGATGTTGAATCAGCACGTTTTCCCAGATCCTGCACAATGGTGTCTGCAGTCGTGAATGCATCGGTCATTGTCGAGGCAATTACACCCGTTGGACCTCGCTTCACCCAGCCAGCACAGTACAGGCCGGGTAGGAGGGAGATAAGAGATCCGTCAGGTAAACTTTGAGGCTCGCCCCTGTTCGACAGGCTTGTTACGCGGCCAAATCCATCATTAGGAATGATACCGCGCCGCGTATCGAAGTCGATACCAAGATCTTCTAGTCCTGGAAGGGGAGGGGATTTGTAGCCCACGCTGCGGAAGAAGACGCTAGCTGGTAGGTTGACCTGTGCACGCTTTCCACTCGATAAGTGCTTTGGAGAAACCTTGGAGCTGGGGCTGTGGGGGTCGGATGGGTCGAGTTCGTTGCGAGAGAATTTTACATGAGATAGATGGTATGGATAATCAGGCGACCAGTGAAGAGAATCGGGTGCAAGTAAGAAATCCAAAGACCAAGACTTTGGGGCTGTCAGAGGGTCATTGGCTGATCCTTTAGCTAAGAGCTGCATTAGACGCTTCTGCGCCCGGGGCAGTGCCGATACTACTTCTTCCGGTGGAAATATATCCTTTGGAATGGGATCGAATGATACACCTGGAAGCTGTAGCATTTCACGAAGCTCCTTGATGGTGAAGGAAGCCTGAGTCAAGTAATTAGCAATCTGGATATCAAAAGTCCATTATTGTAACTTACCTGTAGGGGTCCACGGCGCCCAACAACTCGCACTCGCTTAATGCGACTCGTGGAGAGTTTTTCCACAGCATAATCTGCTATATCTGTCTTTTGGAGAGTATCGACGTCTGAAAGAAGAATCCGGGCAACGTCTAGTGCAACGTTGCCTTGTCCGACAATAACGGCGTTCTCTCCGCTTAGGTCCGGATCGAGGTCTCTGTGCTCTGGAAGACCATTGTACCACCCCACAAAGGCACGGGCTGAGTGCACGCTATGCAGAGCTTGTTCTCCAGGAATCCCCAGCTCCTTATCTTTTGTGGCACCATAGGCGAATATGATGGCATCATAGTGTGGTTTGAGGGCAGCGAGCGGCAGATCATGTCCGAGGTCGACATTACCGACAAAATTGAAGCGCGTGGACTCGGCCACCTCTGTGAATTTATCTTCGCAATTCTAGTTTTCAAATAATCATGAGCTTGTTCCTACATACGTTGTTCAATGGTCGACTCATCACTGAATCGCGGTTTACCGTGACTCACCTTGACCTCGGGATGGTCCGGGGCAACACCATACCTAGCCAAGCCGAATGGCACAGGTAGCTTCTCATACATATCAACTAACGCATCTTTCTGTTTAGCCAAAAGACGGTAGGCAGCATAGAAACCCGCTGGGCCGGACCCCACAATGGCCACACGGACGGGTCGATCGGTTTGGGCGACATGACTGTTCGAGCGTTTGGATGTGAATTGAGATACACAGCTCTGATACCGTAGAAGAGGCCGGCGATTAAGCCGCACAGTGCATTGAGCACATATGAAGGCCTGTCTTAAGCGCATGGTGCATGGATTCAAGAAACCGCGGAGGTGATCGGAGATAATGATACGGAACACGTGAGCTTATCGGTTGCCCCGGGTAACTATCACATGTTTGCAGATGTACTGAGACCTGGGCACATCCCAGAGCTGACAGTCACATTCCACATTCCCAAGGTTCATCGTCAACATTCCTCTCTTTTGCTTCGCGTGGATGCCACGAGTGGCTTTCAGTCGCTACCATGGGGAGATCGTCACCTCCATTCCTTTATGCGAGTCCTTCCGCCTACAGCTTTAAAGGCCCGACCGACCGCGGCTTCAACCCGAGGGCCGCGACAGAGGCGAGCTGGACTCGTCCAGCAGACAAGCCCAAGCAAAAAGGACCGCTAGTGAATTTAAACCGCCATCCCGACACGGTATGTGCGATCTCTCGGAAATTAATGGTGGATTCTTCTAATGGTGGATGTAGTGGGGTTCTTTCAATACGGCCAGCTCATTTACACCGATGAGCCACAAAACAAAGGATCGGGTCAAGTATGCACGATCAACTCAACTCGCACTTCGAGTGTTCACTCTTCTGGGGGCCCTTGGGTCCCTGTTCTGCTCTGTCGTTATTAAGGGGGCTGCAGTGACCGTCATCTGGATCATTCGCGCTGGCGTGAGTACAGTTCACCCAAGAAAACTTTCTCTTGCTGACCCTTATTGTAGCCCATAGTTGCAATTCTACACACGATATATGGCATCTACCATAATTCCCGGTCTGCTCTTACCCGGCCCGCAGGTTCTCAAGCCAGCTATGGGCTATTCGCTTCGACTCTCGACTTCGGACTTATCCCATTCTACGTGTTCACTGCCTTTATGGCATACGGTGAATGGACCTCCAATGCATACCACTGGGGAACTCTCTTCAACAACAGCGACCTGACTGTAAAACTGTCCGAGGCCACCTTCATCTTGGCTATCGCAAATGGCGGGTTGCACCTCATCTCCCTTGCCATATCGGTTTTCTTGGCTGTCACATTCCGGAAGATCTCCCGCCTACCACCTGACATGAACCCGCTCGAAGACAATTTGACCGCACGTCCCCGTAAGAGCCATAAGGAGACCCAAATGGAGGAGAAACATCTCAGCCAATCCACCCTGAATTCCAGCTTCGAGGATCCGCTCATAGGATCTCCTCGCAGCGTGCCATTCATGCACACACGTGAACAGTCTTCCGGTGGTAATTCCAACCGTGAATCAATGGGTATGCTGGACGAGCAGCGACAGTCGCATCCTTCCTTTTATCAGCATCGCCTATCCCACTTGGAGTCCCCAACGGAACCTCACATGGATCCCTCCAGCCCCGAGACACTATTCCAACAAACCGCGAGCCAGCCCTATGATTTTACATCACAGACACCTGCCCCAGAATATCGAAAAGTTGCCTCCCACGCTCCCGAAATCATTAACGCCACTGCTCAAATGCGTCATCTGTCATCACGTACTGCTGATCGATCGGAAACAGTCAGTCCATTGTCCGATAATTGGGTGGCATATTCTGAACGGTCTCTATCGCCAATGGCCGAGACGCAGGACGGGAACGCAGCCACTCTCCGCCAGTCCTCCTCCGTTTACAGCCGACAGACTAACAAGACCACCACGTCCGCTGGTAGTGGCATTCGAGATTGGTTTGCTTATGGTTCCAAGCCGGAGCCAAGTATTGGAAGTGCTATCCCAGAAGATGTACGTGGGGAATATGCGTCGCTTGCCATGCATGAATTCTATGGCCTTGATGATCACCACCACCGTGAACAAGATGTGGGTGACCAGCGCATGGACATATTCCCAGACCCAGAAGATCACGGAGACGACTTTGATGACGAGCGTGATGGCTCTCTTCCATTTAACCCGCTCATGCTTAACCCACCAACTCCGCAACCTATTCTGACCGAAAAGCCCGAGAATACCGATCCCGTGCGGCGCGTTGTCTTGGGCGATAGCCCCAATCTATCATACAATGCACAGGCACAGCCAGTATCTGTTCCACACGAGAGCCCCAACCCCACTTCGCCCAAGACCCGATTCTATGGCGAGCTTGATGTAGATGGCAAGCCTGGATTGGCCGTGTCTCGCGAGCCAAGCGAACAGATTGTCCGTAAGCCCACCAAGCTTACGAAGAAACGTAGCAGCAAGATGTCTGCTTATGAGGCTCTCAAGAAGAACGATAATGACGAAGAAAACCGATACCTCTCAGCCCGGATGCCTGCTTCGCCTCGCGCCACTGAAAGCGACCGCAAGGGCCGTGTCGTGAGCAACACCGGCGCAGACACTGCCCGGCCTGGAATTGCAGCCGGAGTTGGTGCATCATTATCCTCATATGGAAGTTACATCGCCGGCCTGGGCGTCGGACGCCGCCGCGATGTAAGTGGCAAGGTCGCTGAAGAAGGACGCAGTGAGAACCTTCTCGATGAGCAACCCGGCCACAACCAGAGCGAAAACAACAGACAGACCCCGAGCTCTTCGCCAACTCGGGCTGCAGGATGGGCTCGGTTCGCCGGACTTTGAATGTTATATCTATCGTCCTTTTTTTCTCTAGGAGTTTACGGTTTGTCTTCATGAATGGCATGTAGCGACTTGCTTTTGTTTGGGACTCTTATATCCCGTTTCCAATGGTTTGATTTTCATGGAAATATGTATTGATTTGAATCGTTTGGTGTATTATGGTTTTATTTTTGTTGTATGTAGTTCTGGCCCTCAATGAACATTTAAATCGAGCATGATAGTTAGACACCTTGCTGTACACACACTGTTCCGATCCACAACGGGTTGAGACCGTTCGAAGTAAACTATAGTAGTGAACCAACGCTTTTATTGGTTTAAACATGGCCTCTGCGTCTAAAGTACAGACCAGCCCACTGATCGTTATCAGCTGCACCGTCCATGCTTGCAGCGTTGGCACCACAGCCGCCAGCCGGGCCCCAATGTTGTAGATATTATCAAAGAGCCGTATATTAAAGTCTACGGTCTCTCAGACGAAGCTAACCCCATCCACGGAGTCACTGACCACTTGGTCACATCAAGCATAGCTCGAAGTATGGGATTGGTCTCTGATGGAAAGATAAAAAGGTATAAATTTGCTGAATTTCCCTCTAAGGTATGCATTTGAGGCAATAGCTCGCAGAACCCTCTTGCGTGGATAAGAAGTGGCAAAGAGAGACGAGCCAAAAGAGAGCCTAATAGAATACAAAGCCCCCAATCTTTCTGGCAGTTCTTTGAAGATAGCATTGACAGACATCGCTAAATCAATGAGATGGCAGTTGCCTAAGAACTGGAGTCCTCAAGTGTCTCACTGTAGTATCTGCATGGGGTGTGACGCTTAGGAACAGGCTGTGCTGTGCCTAAGTGGCAGAAACCGAACAGTAGAAACCAAGCAGCTGTCCCAAATTCTGCGTTATTGAGAATTGTTATTGAGAATTGTTGCCGAAGAACAGCTTGTTTCAGGAATTCGCCGATTGTGTTCATATTTCTATGGCTAATATAAACAACGAAAAAGAGTATTCCGGAAGAAATCTTTCACCCGCTGCAGAGTCGAGCCCGATAACTTGCCACTGGACTTGAGCTCAACGGTGTTGCGGGAAGTGCGTTCAGACAAGTCCGACCCGGAGAGGGTAGGAGCTTCGGAATTATAGATGTGAAGTGAAAACACAAGGCAATATACATAGTACATAAGATATATATCCAATCTTGATATCACACCCAAAAGGCCGAGACAGCACCTTCAGGGTGTGCTGAGCGAGCGATCACCGAGATATATCTCAATTGCATAGAGTGTCTCATGAGGGAACACCTTCATATTCCCATCCTTCGATGACACGCTTTCTGCGCCGGGAATTCCGGCGGTTGGCGTTGCACTTGACAAAGAAAGTCAATGCTGCGATAATAAGAATGATGATACCCGCAATTGCGGCGACAAGCACAGTTCTGCGCTCGAGTTGCTGCGGGTCAGCGGCATAGGGACACGTCGCCTCATAGCCACCGGATACCCAGCAGGAAGTAGCATCTATCGAGTTGAAATCTACAAAGACCTCTTTAAGGACGGGATCTGTGGAACTCAAGTCGACTTTTGTCTCTGGCAGAGAGAGAAGATGCCTGTAGAGATAAGTGTTTTCGAGACCGGTGCGCGGTATAGCGAAGCTTGATCCCGGTGGACAGGAATTCGACACGTTGGAGAAATATTCGGTCGTGTCTGACAGGACCCAGGAGAAAGGCGAATTACCGACTCGACAGGCGCCATGTCGCTGCTCAGTGCAGTTCGTAGATCGCCAGTGGCCTCCCAGCGTTAGATCCATGATCGCACAGCGGTCATAATTGGGATCACCATCGCCGCCGCCATAGTTTGCATCGTGTGGCTCACCAATTGCCCAAGCCCAGGAAGAAGAGAGGGAGACATTACGGTAATATTCAACTTGCTGGTCTGCAGTCTGGCCGAAGAGAGTGGTGTTGAGAATTGGTGAGAGACCACAAGCTGTAACGTCAGAGAGAAAATTCGATAGCGAAGCCATCGTCTCATCTGTGGAAAGACCATCAGGGACAGGGAGACGACTGGATATAGCCCATGATGAGTTGGTTTGAGACACGCGTGTGAGACCAGGCTCATACAGACAGCCTGAAATGAGAGTGCCATTGGTGGTTGCGGAGACCTTCACATCAGAAGTCAGGTGTCCGGGAGGAAATACCGAATTTTCTTCGGTAGACAGATTGTAATTCACCAGTTGGGAATCGACAGAGCCATATTCAATGAGCACTCGATCGCGTTTCGCGAGCTGAATGTACTTTGATGATGGCCAACCATCTGGGGTACTCTGTTCACCCGCTTCATTTTCATGAACGGTGAAGTACTCTGTGATGGGCATATAGCCCGCTTCGACGTTATACCATGAATGGTTTAAATTGCTTCGGTCCGAGACAAGCTGAGCCGGGCTGTATATAAAGTCATCGAGGGCGGTCCCGAGGATTGAGCCGGCTAGCTCAGTTCCCGATGGCAATTGACCTCCTGATAAGGTAGAAGCAGGCTCATCTGGTGTGGAGTCACTTGCGGCGACATGGAGATTGATAACGAGATAGGTTGTGTAGACGGTCAAACGGGAGTTTGTGTCTCGGAAGTAACCAACAAGCACGTCTGTTAAGGTGTAGGGATCGATGTCGTCGGTGCACTTGTATGAGCCTAGCTCATAGAGAGTGTGTCCGTGTGAATCATCATTACCGGTAATAGTCGCAGAGTCTGCACTAGCTGTTGCTGTGGTTGTCTTGGTTGCCTTGGTTGTGGAGGTCTCTGAGGATACATTCACCCCAGATTTGACTGGAATAGATACCGGACAGAAAGACCAAGTCCTACGGTTGACCGACCAATATAGATCGACAACAAGGCGTCGGTACCCGATTGCAAGGAGGGTAGAGAAACATTTTGCAGCATCCTCTCGATCATAGATACGGTTTCCGAAACAGGCAGCTGACAGTGATACAGCAGGGTTTGTCACATAGTTAAGTGGAATTTGACCAGCCACATCACGTTCGCTCTGGATTAAGATATTCGCATGAGTGTGGGGGCATTAATTGCGAACTGAGACACATACCAGTATAACAGCCACCCAGGTAGCGTTTAACAGGGTTTCCATGGAGTCATATTGGACAGACATTGAGCATTGACATGAAAATAGCTCTGAAGCTCATGTTCAGTGCATGTTCAGCGCGATGTTTTGACGTTGAAATGCTAAAAGGGAAGAAGATTAACCTTGGAAGCTTGGCCGGGGAAGTCGGGAGGGCGGACAAATCAGCTGAGTCAATCTGGCCACTTCTCTTCCTTTCTTTCACAACTTCCTCTACCTTGGACTTCCTTTTTTCTCTTCTGCTTTTTATCTCCAATTTTAATTCAAAATGGCCACCCCCGGCCAGCCCAGCCCTGAGCAAATGGCGGCCATGCAACAACAGTTCGCCGCCGAAGCCGCTAAACGAGGGATGACGCCGCAGCAGTTCGCCGCAAAGCAGCGTGAACAGCTGACTGCCGATGCTGCAAAGCTTGGTCTGACTACTGAGCAATATGTTGCGCAGTTGCGCATGCGAGCAATGCAAGCCCACCAGCAGCAACAGAAGGTCCAGGCCGAACAACAGGGTGAAGCAGCACCAGAAGGACAAGAAGCTCCGTCGCCCGCACCCCATCAGCACCAACACACAACCACACAACAGGTTCCTGTGAACCCCAACAACCCCCCTGACCCAAAGGCAGTTGCAGTGGCCAACTGGCTGCGGTCGCAGGACCTCAAGCCACGCACATGTATCATGGACGGACAGCGCAAGGACATGTTCAAGGGTGAGCAGCGATCAAGATCTAAATACATCGCGAGGAATCACCATCTAACAGGGTTTTCTATAATGCAGTCAAGCGCGCAATCCGAGCCATTGAATCCCCCGCCTATGCCAAAGCCGCCTCAAAGAAGAACTCCCTCCTCCCCCCAGTGACCGACCGCGCGTCCGCCGAGAATGTTTTCAAGCTTCTTCCACTTTCCCTTTTGGCTCTCCGAGTGAGCAAGGTTGACCCCCACGAAGGACACAACCATGCCAAGCCCAAGAACCGCACTAAGGGCCTATGGACCGTGAAGATCGAACAGCACCAGGAGACCGACCCCATGATGCATTACGTTTGGTTGTACGATGGCCCACAATGGAAGCAAAAGGCCATGGCTGCCGCCGTGGTCGTGGGTATTTTCGCTGTTGTCTTGTTCCCGTTGTGGCCTATGATTATGCGCCAGGGAGTGTGGTACTTGAGTGTCGGTATGATGGGCCTGTTGGGTCTCTTCTTCGCCATGGCTATCTTCCGTTTGATTCTATTCTGTGTTACTGTCTTCACCGTGGCCCCGGGCCTTTGGCTATTCCCCAATTTGTTCGAGGATGTTGGATTCTTCGACAGCTTCAAGCCTCTATGGGGCTGGCAAGAGGTATGCATCTCTCTATTCTCATATTCTCATATTCTCAAAAATAGTAAAACTGACCGTTCAACCCCACAGACAAAAAAGAGCAAAAAGTCCAGCAAATCCAAGGCCTCAACCTCTGCTCCCGCCCCAGTTACCGCAGCTGCTCCCTCAGCAAACGCTCCCTCAGCAACCACAACCTCCGCCGAGCCCACTTCTACCCCGTCCGCAGTCGCACCGCGACGAGGTCTGAGCGCAAGTGTGGAAGAGGTGGAGGAGTAGTGTGCTACTAGTACATCCTGAACGACATTCAAAGCTGATAGATCATCACAATTGGTCGAACGCGGTCTAACGCGGGTGCTTATTTCAAACCATACTCGCGATTTGTATTTTCAAGATCCTTATTCCATGTTCATTCTGGCGTTTTGGGCCTTGCTCCTGAGAATTGATATCATTGGGAAAGCCTTTATTTCCCTCGGTTTCTTGTCTTCATTTCATTGCCCAATTTTCTCTGGGTTCCGTGTAGCATCAAATCGATGTAGGCCTCTTGAGTATTCGAATATTGCAGACAGTAGACAAGAAGGAAATCTGGTAATGCACAGGCTCGGTTCTATGCTCTATGCTCAATTTACACCCATGCTCCGTGGCTTAAAGATCCCCGATAGAAAACAGACGACGGAAGATACTGAGTTCGGAAGGGAGAAGAGATAAGCTTCCAATGCCAAAATGTAGAAAAAATAGAGTAAAACGGGGTATATACAAGAACAAATGCCAATAGAAACACATTCGAAACGAAGAGAGATAATATAGACAAAAGAGGAACTGATGTATGCACGCAAGGTCTAGTATCACCAATATGCGCAATAAGAGAATGGATATGATAGGCTCTCAGATATGCAATAGATGCAAAAGGGGTATTTGATGCTGAGTGAGGCCAAGGCAGTAACGACAGAAGCGAGAAAGGAAAGAGGGTATGATGCATCTCAAGGTGTTGTCGTGAGAAGGAGATCGTAGGAAATGTAAAGGTCGAGGATGTGAGGAGGTAGTAGGAGTATTGGTGTCAGAGCGAGATGAAGTGTCATAGATGTGATGTTGAGTCACAGTAGAGGGAGGGTGGATTTAGACCAGGGGACTTTTGATCAGTTTCGAATGTCGAGCAGTTCGTGGGATATTGCTTGCTGGGTCACTACTTGCGGGATCAGCACTGCTCTTCCGATCTTCGACGCGATCCCGCACTGGCTGGGATCCATAGAACCGTTGCGTTGGGGACGTTGCAGACCAGGGGGATAGCATCTGTGGCGCGTTCGTGCCGGTGGAAGTAGCAGGGGTAGTGGTATTGACGGTAGGAGGGGCGGGCGAGGGGAGCTTAGGGAGTGGGCAGTTGGGGGGTGGTGCAGATGGAGGGCCGATTGTTAAACCCAGACCGGGCATGCTCTTGCGGCGCGACATGCTCGGACCAGCTTGGTTGTCTGCGTACACAGTGGAGACTCTCTTGCGCGGTATTGGATCTGCCGGTGGAGAAACGGGTTGGACCTGGGTTGCATTGACACTTTTACGACCCACGCTAGGGCGGCCGATCAGGCTGAGTGGACGGGAAGATGCCCTGGGATCAGGTAGAGGGCCGGTGGGAGGCGCTGTTGTGGGTGCTCGGGAGAAGTTTTGGGCATTCTGCGCGGAACGGATGGTTTTGGTCAGGGCATCCTCTGAATTCGAGGGTCGTAGTATGCGCCTGGGCTCCGATGAATCTGTGTAGCGCGAACTAGCGACGCTGAATGTCGGAGATTGCTGAGGAGATGCAAAAGCGGGCATATTCGGGTCGGTGTCAGCGCGGCGTGAAAAGCCGTTGATTGATGGAGGAGAGGCATGAGAGACAGGGATCGGCCCAGATCTCGGAACGAATTTCTTGCTAAACGAGGGAACACTGAAATTAGGCGCTGGAGGTGAAGCACTGCGGATGAGAGCTTCGGGAATAGGCGGTGGGTGATTCGCTTGTGGCTCCTCTGTGAAGTCGGTAATGGGGGGAGGCTGAGGTGGCAGGGGCATATATAAGGATTGTCGTTTTCCATGGCTAGAAACGGGCGGGCTACGCGTGTAGATTCGGTCAAGTTCTTCCGGCAGAGGCTCATCAGGCCTGAAAGCGCCGGTGCCTATTGGCGGTGAGTTGGGTATATTCGAAGAAGTGAATGATGAAGAACGAATGTCAGAGCCGATAGAAGCAGAGCCGTTGGTAGGATTTGTGGCCTCGGTTCGGCCAGTCGACACTGATCCGGACCGAGATCCAATTATTGAGCGACGATTAATCGACACATAAGAACTGCGGCGAGATTGCCATGTTGCACCGCCGACAGACTGACCATCTTCCTCCTCAGACGGCGATTGGAGGGCCTGCGGTTGAAGGAAAAGACTGGAAATGCGATGTGGATCTTTCTTTACCATCTGTCGAACGCTCGATTTGGACCGCAGCTGAGGCATCGTGTCTTCATCCGAGTGCTTCTCTTGCGTGAATTTGCGTCCTCCCCGTTTTTCGATTTCAGCTCTAACGGCCACCAACCAGCTGATCATATCATCGGGGTTGTCGAACACCAGAAGAAAGTTGCGCGAAAACCGCGGGGTATTAGATTTGTGGAAGCCAAAGCGCGAGAATCGAGGCTTGGGGGGCTCTGGTACGGCGGAATCATCAGTTGTCGGATTGTGAGAGACTTGGACTACCCAATGTTTCCCGGGGATAGCATCACTAGCAAATGCGACAGAATTGGGCCCTAGCAGCAGCATCCTCTCCGGAAGACGGTCGTGCTTCCCATCACCTGCATATTGGAGGATGTAACCAGTAGTTGCCAGGACATATATTTTCTGGGTCCAGTCCACCTTGTTGATGGTACCAGATAATGTCCGGAGATGCTTCCTTTGCTTTTGTTCTCGCTTTTTACGAGCGGCATCAGCGGCCTCGTCCTGCTCTAACGGGTTGGCAGGGTTGTCGTCGGTAGAGCTCCTTGCGGTCGTGGCGTGCAGGCGCAAGATGGAATCCGCAGAGAGAGCAGGTGCCGGGAGGCAGTCATGCTTGGTGGATTGGGGATAGGCCTGGAACAATGGGGGAGGCTTCCAGCCATACTGTTCCCGGTTCGCATGTTTGAGGTCGGGTTTCGGACGGGGGGACTTCAAGGTTGCGCGCGAGCGTTCTGTCGGAGAGGTAATTGTCGGGGAGGTAATGGTGGGATTGGAGTCTATAGTTCGGGGGCTCATGATAGAGGGCGACATGGGGGCTTCCGAGAGAATGGCTGTTTGAGGTTCCGGCTGTGCCTCCATAATCTCCTCCAATTTGGGGTCGGCGCGTGAAGACTTATGACCAAAGAGACTGCGCAGACTCGTTTTGGAGGACTGCCGTTTAACAGGGCCCTGGAGCGGAACGGGACCTTCTGATCCATTGGTACTTGGGTACTCGGTTGGCCGAGGGCGTTGTGCCCGTTTTTGAGCAGCTGGTCGACTGAAATTGGTCTGTAGTGGCGCAAGTCGACGACCTCTGCGTTCGCCAATTGATGGCTGATCTGGATTCATTGTTGAGGAGCGTCTCAAGACAGTCCCGCACAGTTTCACCCAGCTCCAGACAGTTCAAGGCGTCAGGATTTTAGGACATTGAGCGCATTGAAGAAAAAGGAGCGACAAGGTTTAATATAGGCAATGATCATCGGAAGGGAACATGGATATGCACTTATTCGACGTCATGGCACGTCCGACAGGAAATAGCCGTTGAAATATGTTGTAGATCTATAAATATGTAATAGAGAGAAATCAAAATTGAAATCGAAATTGAAATCGAAATCGAAATCAAGGAATGGCCCTTTCGGGAGAGAAGAAAACATCCGAAAAAGAAAAAAAAAAACACCAAGCAGGATTTCAAGGGGAAATTCGCATTCAGACTAGTTCCAACCGCCAGTGGGGGGATCTACTGGTGATAGTGTCGAAGTGGCCAGACCGGGGAGTAAAGAACGCAAATTTGAGAAATGTTTAGGCAGCCGGACCACACTTCAGTCCCTGACCAGGATCAACAGCCATCAGAACAGCGCTCTCATCACAATACTGCGCCATTGTAACATCCTTTTGTGTGAATCCGCGTGGACGATGGGTCGTCCAGTGCACATCGACAGAGCCAATCCGCTAAATGAGGCGTCAGCCTTAATTTCTTTTTTTGTAAGGCAATTCTAAATGTCCCACTTACCACGGTCATAGTGGGATGATGTTTCTTGGACGCACTCTCGGCCGCAATCATATTAACAAATGCCTATAGGTTGTTTATTCAGTCTCAGCGCATGAAGCAGAAGCAGAAGTAGAAGCAGCCCCCAGTCCTAGTCCAGAACAGACCAAAAAAAAATAAAAATAAGAATAACTCACCACAGCCTTGAAATAACTCTTAAAATGAAACGTTTTCGTGATCCCCATCCCGTCTCCATCCTGCGCCCAGCCCTGCTGTAATAGAGCATCGGCGTCTCGGGCAAGTTGCGCATCCCCGCCCTCGGCGAACTGAAATGCGCTGGATGCCATTCTCGGGAATTGGCGCGTGAGGGGGAATACGGGTGCGTGCAGGCCGGGAAGTCGAGTGAGAGGTCTGGTATTTGAGATGTATCTCGCACAGAGACGCATGGAAGTAAGACAATTCATTTTCTAGGTACTTAAATGTATGTCGGGTGGAAGGAGGAGAGAGAGTTGTCAAATGTTGGGGCGCACGGGCCAAGTGTCTCTTATCGGAATTATATGGCTGAGACTTCAATGCTATTCTTACTCACACATGTATTTATGAATATGTTTATGTCTTGCTTATTCTGGGAATTTGCTATTGAACTGGGTTAAGATTTATTCCAAATTTATGCATCTTGCCCAGCCGGTTGAAATGCCCCTTGTTACAGACCCATAAAGACGTATTGATCGCGCGTTAAAGCATCTAAAGGTACTACTAGTACAGAGTGAGGTGGTCAGGATATGACAGTATAATAACTGAAGTATTCTTTTGGTATTTTACATCTTCATAATGATCCTGAAGGGAATAACTTTGAAACAAATACACAGAAGCGTCACTGAGGCTGAGAAAGCTCAACGCCTAAATTCGCTGTCATGTTCCAACCAAGTCCCAAAGTCTTTGAGACCTGGATTCATTCTCTTCAGCTCAGAGATGTCGGCCTTGTAGCCCCCATAATGGAACCACTTGAACATATATCCCATATCCTTCATCGATGCCATGAAGATTGAGCAGAGGATCTGGAAAGTCGCCGGGATTGACTGGCCCGTCTTTTGTTTGAAAATTAACGCCATTTGGTCATATGTCAACTCATCTCCTGCCAAGGAAAGGCTCTTGTTCTGGTATGCCTCCGGGTATAGGAAAGCTTCAGCACCGAAGAATCCAATGTCATCCGTCCCCACCATCTGTAAAGGCTTCCCCTTCAACGCCACCTTAAAGCTAGTCGCAAAGACCTTGCCGAAGAGCCCTGGAACGAGATTCTCATAAAAAGCAGCCGGTCGAAGAATTGTCCACCTCATGTCGGTGTTCTTACTTCGCTCGACGAGGTGGTGCTCGATGTTGTGTTTGTTGATAAAGTGCGGGACTTTCGTCGGAGTCGTATAAGAGGCATCTCCCCCTCGATCAACAGAGCTGTACACGAAGAATTGAACTTTCTCCTTCAGCGACTCATTAATGAGTGCCTTCCCTTGCGACTCCTCCAGCGCACCGTTGCCAATTGCTACCTATTCCGAGCTGGTTAGGCCAAGTAAAGTTAAAGGAGTTGGGGAAAGTGTATGCATACCTGAACACTGTAGACACCCCAGATGGGAGATTTGGCAACTAGTCGCGCATTTCGGAATATAGCAGCGGGATCGTCCATGTTTCCCTCCACCAGTTTGATCTTGGATGACAACTGCGCCAATTTCTGGGCAGATGAGGATTGGGCATTGCGTGTGACGGCAAGAACTTCAAAGGAAGCTTTTTTAGCAATTAGACTCTTGATGAGCGAACCTCCTTGCTTCCCCGTCGCACCGGTAATCAGTACTGCAACCATTGTGTGGAGGAAATGCCCTGCTGCGTTGGTTGTATGGACGTGGGTGTGAATGATGGTGTCTTCCTATATTTCCAGCCCTTTAAATATATCGTATAGGTCTCTTAAGTGGCAATACTGACCAGGGAAAATAGTAGAGAAAAAAAAGATCAAGTGTGAGTTCAGATATGCAACTAGTATATGTCATTATTAGCTTTCGGGCTTCATCTCAATCCCGTGCTGAGTAAAGGCAGCCATAAGGAACAATCGTTAACTAATGAAACCTCGTCTTGGAATTGAGATCAGTCCCGCATTGTAAATTAGTAAACTGGTTCATTTATTCTTGGAATAGTATCACGGCAATGATATTAACCCCGACAATAGATTGGTTACCAAGCTTATATACCACCCACGTTGGCACGCTTACAAAACAAGTACCCCGAACTCCGACCTCTTTGCAAGCAGAGGCTATTGCAGGTTTAATAATTTGGAAAGAGCCCTGGAGAGATCTCGGGACCTATAAATTCCAATATTCAGCACTCACATTTTTTCCTACCCATAGAATCAATCAATTACCAAACCCTTTTACTACAAAGTCAGCAATGTCTAAACTTATCACAGTCTTCGGTGCAACAGGACAGCAAGGCGGCTCTGCCATTCGCACTATTCTGCAGGATGCGAGCCTCTCCCAGGAGTTCAAGATTCGTGGTATCACTCGCGATGCATCCAAGCCGAGGGCTCAAGCTCTCGTGAAACAGGGCGTCGAGGTTAAGACAGTAAGATCCCGATTATTCACTACATAGAAATAAAGCCGATGCTTATACCTCCTTTTTCAGGCCAACATGAACTCAATGGAGTCACTGGCTCAAGCATTGCAAGGCAGCCACTCAGTCTTCCTTGTGACCACTCCGGACTGGGGAAATGCCGGGTCCGATGCTGAACTGGTACATGGAAAGAATGTTGCTGATGCAGCAAAAGAGGCTGGTGTGCAGCATCTGATTTTTTCGTCTTTGCTCAATGTCACAGAAACATCCGGTGGTCGACTCAAGCATGTCCCTCACTTTGACCACAAGGCACAGGTCGAGGAGTATATTCGGTCGCTTGGCGTACCAGCCACCTTTGTGCTGCCAGGTTATTTCATGACCAACTACACTGTATTTGGAATGCTGCGCAAGGGCGACGATGGCGTTTACAATTTGGCCTACCCTGTCAGCAAAGACGCTCAATTTCCGCTCATTGACATTACTAGCGATATGGGTACGTGACAAGGCCATCCGACTGGAACGTACAGCTTAAGCTAACGTAATGGAATGGACAGGCAAATATGTGGCAGCGGCCTTGAAGAATCGTTCCGAGGTTCTTGGTCTTCAGCTTTTGGCGGCAGCAGACTATTACTCCCCTACGCGTGTCCTTGCCGAGTTTGAGTCGGTCACTGGAAACAAAACCCGATTTGTCCAGGTGGACACAGATACTTACAAGAGTTTTATCCCTGGTCCGATGGGTCGGGAGATGTTGGAGAATCACTTGTTCGTTGAGGACCCGGGTTATTTCAATGGCAAGAGTTTGAAGGAGAGTCACGCACTGCTCGAAAAGTCTGGTTATCGAGTGACGAGTTGGGAAGATTTCTTGAACCAAAGCAGAGAGTCGTTTTAGTAAATTAGGAGATTGGAGACTTCCAAGGTTGTGACAATTATACAAATGGACACACTCTTTTTGCTTTCGACACATCTAAAGCTTGATACTGGTATATTCAGATATATAAAATCAGATTACAAACTACAAGTATACTGCCATGATCTGTAGGTTATCAGCCAGATCTCGGATTGCTAGGATAAAGAGCCTTGAGAGGAATTTACATCTCAAACAAAAAACCAAGCATCTTTCTTTCTGTATATTTGTGAGGTTTAACAAAGACATGAAGTGAGATTACTAGAATGAGATCACTTCGAAATTTGCAACTCCAATAACAATTTCAGCACATTGGCCTCTCCCTCCAATTTGGAGACGCGCATTTTCAATGCATCTCGCTCTTGCTTGATAGCATCCAGTTCTGCTTCCAATTCGTGGGTACGATCCACACGAGGTTGGCGGTACCGCCGGGCAGCTAACATGTTGAGCCTTGTCTTAGATGCTCCGTCGGATGAGTCCTTGGATGATTCGCTCGGTGACGAGCTCGCCGAGGGCGAGGTAGTAGGCTGTACTGATGAGTTGGAGACATTTGGGGTTTCTCTTGGTGTTAACCCAGATGGGCATGTCAAACATAAGTCCATCCGGGAAGGACTGGGATCCAAGATCAGGAGAGCCCGTAGGTGTGGCATCGAGGGTAGGAAACAGAGGCTGGGTCCATGTAGAAGCATCCCAAGTTGGTAGAGCGCGATCGGTAAATGTTGGATCGGTTGGTGCATGGAAGGTGGAGTGATTTGAAGGGGGAACGGTGTAGGAAGGTAGTGTTGACCAAGTATAGGGATCTTGAAATAATAGGTCATTGCTGGGGCGTTGAGGGTTAGACATGGGCGGTTGCGAAGGCGATTTCAAGGTGTCCGGTGTCGCATCCGATGGAAGATCCGATGGTAGCCATTGTGAAATAGTTAGGATTGGGTCCTGAGACACAAAAGAAGCAATACGAATGTATTCAGATGATCAATCAGTTCAAGATCTTGCGACGGCTTGAAGGGGAAACCCATTGGACGTTTTGTGCTACTGATCAACACATCTGTGATGGAGCGAGGGTTTTATATATTTTAGTTCAATTCGAAGAAAATACTTTGAATATTCCACTTTTTGAGACTCGGATTTACTAGATAGCCGGAATTCCTATTGTCCAATGTATACCAAAACAATTCTCCTCCGAACCACTTTCCTCCGAGCCACTTCTTCCCGACGCTGGAGCCTTTTACCCCTTCGTCCACAAACAGATTATACCGCTGCTCTTTGGGCGGAATAGCACCACCAATGGCAGACGCCTTGGCTTGTGTAGGTGCATATGCAAGCACAGCTGGCTGAGCTTCTGGCTTTGTCGATTATCCAAAGAGCGCGAGAAGCTTATGCGAAATTTCCACAGTTACACCGATACCCCAGAATTCTGCCTGGCTGCTATGCATGTTGTATGCATTGATCATATCATGGGACTGTCCGGTGATAGCCTTTTACCTGCTGCTGTTAAAAAGCCAGTGATTACCAATGGAAGCAAGGAGAGACGGCAAGAGTTTGAGAGATATGCTGAACTCTATAGTTCATTCTTGAAGGTGAGATACACCCCTTCAAATTATACCGAAATTTACTCACAACATGAAGATGACCCGATGACTATCGAGTACCCTCCAAATCTACCACGAGGACGAAAACGATTGGAACTAATGGAAATTCATGGAATCCCTTCGCCGGAATTTCTTCTTCGTTCATATAATCAGCATTATGGAGTCAAAGGCACGAAAGCCGAACGATATCTACTTTGAGCCATTGAACGACAACATGACTCTCAGACTTCCACTTCCTGCCCCGGAACGAATGTGGCTGGCGTGCAACGCCGAAGAGTGGATGCTTGCGCGTGCACAGACACTGGGACGTTCGATTCCACGCAAGTCAGCTGAAAGTGATCGTGAACCGGTTCTTCGGACACAGGGAAATGTCTTACAGGCAGTCCATGCAGGAAAGGTGGATGTTGCATCGTAATTGCCACTTGCATGATCTTGGCGAGCGCTATCATCTCCCCACCAGGAACTACACCATTCTAGCCGATTATTTTCAAGCTCCTATGCTTTAGGCTTAGTCGTTAGGTTTAAGTTGTCATGTGTGTATTCTCTCATTTCGAATGGCTAGCTCAATTTTACTGAGGTCTGGGATCAAAAAGCGGCAAGAAATGAGCACTAAGATGGAAGGGGAAGGGTCTCCAGTACCAGGCATTATCCGATATGTACGAGAGGTATGTACATACCGAAACGGCTTATTCGGCAGAAACTTGTATGTACGTAATATAGAAACTAGAAAGTAAAGTAATATTAAGCTACATTTAACATTTAGCGCTAGCCCTAACCAGGAGTGTCTGGCCCCGGGGGGTTCTAGACAAATCCACAAGCCCTCGATGTGACCCAGGCTTGAGAGTATAGTGATTTCGGCTATACTAAAAGCGGTTTCTTCCTTCGAATCAAAGACTCTCGGCTCCATTGACTATATCCAGTCTTGGCCGGAACCGGACAGGGATTGACACAGACCCCCGGTAAGAATGCCACATCGTCTCTACCGTGTCCTTGGTGCTGGGTCCGATCAGAGACCTAATGTTGTACATAGTACTAATGTACCAATGTAATAGATCGAACTCGATATACTCGCAGTTCTCATGCTACCCACGCAATACATATCTCCCCTCTAAATCATTACATTGCTTGTCCGAGACAAATCAATTGTCTTCACTTCACTACATTGTATACTCGCATACTGATAGCCATAAAGAAATTTGTTCAGGCAATAATAATGGTATAATTCATAACTGGTATCGCTCAGTCGCGAAAACCCATAGCATACATGACACCCCCCAGATCGCAAATCTTGTCTTTCGAGTCAAAGCAAGCACAGAAAAAAACAGAAGACAATTAATTTCAAGAACCAGCGCCCATTCTCCTTCCAGTTCAATTCCCTTCAATCCCCCTCATACTTAAAAGGGCACAGGGACAAAAAGTCACAGACCGGCAGTGGGGTATCCACCGAGCGTCGGGTGCAAGAATTAGAGCCAGCCACGCACAGCGTAGGATTGACGCGGATGAAAGCATGCACGGAGAAGTAATGTGAAGAGGCTTATAGATTCCTATAACAGGATGACAGTGATTTCACTTCCATCATTACTCCCACTGAATATGAGTATTCAAAGCAAAAGAATAAAGCCAAAGAACAGCGATCAAGGATTGAGGTTGATGCTGTTGCGGCGCGAATTGGCACGAGAGTTCACTTGAGAATTGACCCGGGAGTTGCCTCGGCTGCCGATCGTTGGGCGGATGCGAAGGTCTTGCTGGGAGCGAGCATACGAATTGGCGCGAGATGCCGCAGGGATCTTGGACCCTCGTCGGCTCTGGACCTGCATTTGGTGTCGGGCATCCTCCAGTTGCTGGGCGAATGGAGAACGCTTGCGCAATGCTGGGCCCTTCCAGTAAATGACATAGACCGCAATAACAAGTGGTATGGAGATACAGACTAGAAGAACGTTAGACCGATGGCTCACGTAGAGAGATAGGGCAGGATAGACATACAGAGAATGGTCGAAGCGTATTCAAGATGGTACTTGCCACCGATATCTGTCAAAAATTGTTAGTATAATAATGCGGAAATTTGTTGCATGTGACAACTTACTCGTGAAGAACGGCGTGGCCGGAATAGTGAGAATACCAGCCAGGAAGTCTCGCGACCAGCCATTACCACCGGTCGCAGAGGCAGAGTATGGTCCGTAGGCGCAGATCATGTAGTCAATCGTGGCCATATAAATAGCATAATTGGCAATACCAATGATAGCAGCAAAGATCATAGACCCAATCCAGTGGCATTGAGGCAAACTGGTCCAGGCGAATCCGATCAGACCAATGGGTAGGCAGGGGACAGTATACAGCAGCCACCACAAACGAGACTCATACTGTGCCCGTTCGCTCTCCGGATTGTCGCGGCGCTCTTTGATGTTGCGCTTGATGATCGGGAAGAAGGAGAACCAAGCGATGAAGTAGCCAACCAGAATTGGGATGAAGGCCAGACCCTTCTGCCAGGTGTTGAACCCCCACTGGCCGTACACAAGGGAGAGCGACTGGATGAACATGAAAATAAGGGCATCGCTGAAACCACTCAGCAGAGAAAGCACCAATACAATGGGCTCAGTCAGGAACATCTTGAAGGGACGAATCCAGGTAGACATAAGCTCACGAGGCGGGAAACGCTGGCGGAACGACACGCCCTCGGTAGGGCCCCAGATGCTGGGGTTTTCGCCGGACTTGCGCATATTTTTGGCAATCCGATCCATCATCACGGTAGTTCTAGTTTCTGGGACAAACAGGTAGTGGGCAGCTTGCACGAAAACACCGAAGATCAACTGAATCCAGATATTCCACCGCCACGGCAGGAAAGCCTCGACGAAGCCACCAACCACCGGTCCAAGCACAGATCCGCCAACGGATGAAAACACGACAGCGGCCACGGCGTATTGTTGCGCATCAGGTTCCCACAAATCGGCAATCATTCCCAGGGTGACAGAGCCACCAGCGGACGAGAGACCACCGAGGGCACGACCGACCATGATGGAGGCGAAGTTGGGCGCCAGAGCCACGGGGAGCTGAAAGAGATTGACAAGGAGCAGAGATGCCTGGAGAATGGGCTTGCGACCCAGCTCCTCACTCCACGGTGCCCAGAGTTCACACCCGAAAGCATAAAGAACCAAGAAGATCATGGCACCGCAGCGTGCAGCCTGCATGGAAACATTGAACTCCTCTGAAATTCCCGTGGCGGCGTTCGAATAGAGCGATGTATTGAAGTTCATCGATGTTTGAACGAGGAAGATGACGGCGATAATGGTCCACTTCTTTTTTTCAGTGAACGAGTATCCCAGTCGATCGTAGCACATGTCCTCGGTGAGCTCGACTACCTCCGAGGGTGAGGGCGAGGTCTCCTCGAGCTGATCCTCTTCCTCCAACTTTTCAGTAGCAGCATTGACAACGGCTTGGGCGTGGGCAGCTTCTGCTGCCTGCACGGTATCCCTGGGCTTCTCGGAATTGATCGCCATTGTTGACTCTAACCAGTGACGTAGAGATTGTAGTATAAGGTATACTGGTATGAAGACCAGTGATAGTAGAAGAAACCCCAAGAAATGAGGACACAAGTAGTCTGAAGAAGATCAAGAAAGAAAGAGAGAAAGAGAGAAAGCGAGAGGGAGGGAATAAGTATATAGAAAAGAAAAAAAAAAAGAGGAAAAAGCGATGAATTAAATACAGAAACGGGGAGAAAAAAAGGCAAGAGCCAAATGCAGGCAAGAGCCATTCAAATGTTGTTTCCAGGGTTCACCATGTCAATACATTTCCCGTACAGTCCTAGTACAATCCTAATACCGAGTTCCAGCATGTCACTTTTTCACGTTGCTGTGACCCAGTGAAATTATTCTTTAATTTATTACATATGTACCAGATTTACTCATTTACTCCGTACTTACTTGACACACCCTCTAGACGGGATGCCGATGGCCCCCATGGAACCCCACTTTTTCTTCTCCAGACTCTCCCATCTCCAGACTCTCCAGGTTCTTTTGCCCCTTTTGGCTCCTTTGATCCTTTGGACATACACAACTACAGCGTTCCTAATTCATTACCTAAAACATACAGGACTCCACGAGAGAGTATCGTTTTTTTTTTCTCTCATGGTACTTCCAGGGCTAGTTAGCCGGAATAGGAAGCTCGCGTTGGGGTAATTTGGACCCACATTGGAGAAAACTACGGCCATCTCCAGTCAACTTCCCCGTTGCCGCTCTAGGCCGAGAGAATGTCCGCTTCGAGTCTGTTCAATATAATTCACATGCAACATCAAGTCTACATCAGGATACAGGAGATCGGGATATCAAACCCCATGTGCCCCGCGAAGCAAGGAGCCGGGGTTATTGCCGACCGTGCATGGTTCTAGTGTGATGGAAATTCTACGTGGTACGGAGTGGACTCGATACAAAGTCTATGAAAATGACAAAAGGGCTGAAAAAAAAAAACTCCAAATTTGTTTCCTCTGTTAAAACAAGATATTGCCAAGTCGCCCATTACTTGCCATCGGCCGTAGGTGACGTCAGGTCAATCCTAAGAGGTCAAGTCATTCGTCAATCTTATCCAGGACAGGAACTGCGGCTAAAGGGCACTAGAAATCGCCCATGGTCCATATTACGGCCGTGGCGTTTGATCGTCATCAGGGCTCAGCCAAAAACTCTTGTTCGGAGAACGCTTACCTTGTGATCGAGGTGTTTTTTATATATTTTTTATTTCTCTCCTAAATGCCCGATTATTAAATTCTTCTATAAAGTAAAAAAAACCCCTTCGGTCGTCCAGCTTTGCGTTCCAGAATACTGTGTGGAAAGCTGTCAGTTACGTACTTGTCAACCAGCCAACCAGCCAACCAGCCAACCAGTCAACCAGTCAACCACACGATGGATGATGGCCTGATCGGAATCCCTTACAGCCCCGCAACCCTTCCACTGTTACATTTCCCCATGATTACTGATTCTCATTGCCTACTGGGGTAAAAGCCCAGAAAGAAGGTTTTCCTCACATCAAGGGCGCCCAAGGGGGAATGTACATTGTCCGGAAACAACCACAGGCCATCGCACGTCCCCCGGACCCGGGATCGACAAAATCGTGTCTAGAGCGCCACGCGATGCTTTGATGATCTTTGCGGCGATCCTACCTAGGTACAGCCGGAATTTGTTTACATGTAATCTATAGTTATAGAATCATGACTCTTGAGAACTTGTGAATTTGAGCGCCACTCAGAGAAACCGGCGTATTCGCCTCTTGGCCTGCGCGCAACCAGGGGCCAAGATATGATTTGCTGTGGCTCGACCTTAGTACCCGTGGAAATGTGGCCTGGCCCATGTTCCGGAAGAATCCTATAAGCCCCGAGAGAAAGAATCCGAGTTGTACATGTTCACCTGAGGTGTAAAAAGAGAGTCTGATAACTAGTCTATGTTGTATGGCCTCTTTTTTTCCCTTTCTAGAGCATTCCAGCCTTTCAGCCTCAGGCATCAGTTTCCACAAACGGCTTTTGTATCACGTGACTGACCCCGCGAAAAAAGAGCCTGAGTCAGCAGATCCTCACCGGGATGTCTGACGTTACCTACAGATTAGAGCTTCTACAATCATACATATTCTTCAACATCCACGCAGTTATCACTTGGAGATGTCACCGGATCTGAATTCTCTTCCTGCATCGCGCTCGTCTTCAACCTCTTCCTCGATTCCACAACGTAATATGCCCGCTCCTGGAACTGGTCCGGCGCCCGTGAACCCGAACACCGCGTCACCAAGGCCCTCCCGTGGCTCAAGCATAGGCCGACTATCGGTATCCGAGCGACGTCGATCCGCTGCCGGCATGAATCTAAACCTGAACGAGATGCAGGGCACTAGCCCAGGATCCAGCAGCGAGTTACCTGCATCAGACCACCGCGACCATCGCAGCTCGATCGGACATGCATTCCGCACAGCTAGCCCGTCCAGCCACGGTGGAAGCCCCATCTTCGCGACAGCAGATCCGCATCACCACCGCGCACCATCGCTGGGAGAGCTACACCAAGAGCTGGAGCAAGAACAAGAAGCACAAGTGGTGGGTCGATCATCAACCCCGGAAAGCCAAATTGTAGTAAGCTAACCAAGTAACCTTGATGGAATGTAGAACCGGCTTCTCCAGATGATCCGCAGCCAGCAGGCCCAATTGCACCAATACCAGCAGCAACAGAACCCGCAATCATCCGCTGCAATCGACGACACAACCCCGGCATCCGAACGGTCGGCCTTCTTCCCCCCTGGCCCGGCAGCACCTCCAGCCGGCAACAGATTATCGATCTCTTCTTCATTCTCAAACCGCCGAAACTCACGACCTTCAAGTCAAGCAACGTCACCGAACCTGCGGCCGTTAGACTCACGTGGACCGGAAGGCGTGGAGCCATTCCCGGGGTTGCGGGATAGTGCATCTCGGCGCGGCAGCCGGGACGAGAGTGCATTTTACCAAGCCGAAGCGAGCTCACTAGCCCGAGAAAACGTGCTCCTTCGGCAACGGATCCGGGAACTAGGTAAGAAAATCCCGAGTTAGCGTATTTTTATCCCGCAGTAATTCTGCGGAGTAACCCCGCCCCGAGAGTGGATCTTGGATTTAAGCACGTATACTAATTTTTTTTCCACAGAGAGACAAATTGGCGGTATGACGGCTTCCCAGAGCGCGTCCTCTGCAACAACGACTTCGGGCATTCCGTCCGGGCAAGCGGGGACCGAAACCGCGGACCCGCCTGCCGTGGGCTCAACGCGAGACGGCAAAGACTGAAGTGCGCATTCAGCACGAGTCTTGGCTCGTTGAAATGACCCCCACAGGGCGATATGATTGATACAGGTGATACCCCGGATGTCATCCTAGTTGTTCAATACTCCACCGATGCAATACTATGACAGAGGATAACCACAGAAAATCCCTCAGCCCCCAAAGCAACGGATGTTGCGCGATTTTGCAAATCTTGGCGCCTAAATCTTCGTGAAGGGTCAAGTCTTTCGAGTTCTGGCCACCGATATCCCATCTTTCGAGGACAGACACAGGTGTTTCTATTTCCTTTTGTGGGAATGCGCAATGTGGCTTCATGCGCTTTTTGTCATGCTTGCAGTTCTGACCAGTGTAATTTGTCTTACTGTCGAGGTCGCAATCTGGGAAACCCCGAAGTTAATGTAGAAATCCATGACAATTCATGTTGACTTTATTCACTGCATTATAAGTAAATACTCAAGAGGTTGAACCTAGATACGTAGATTTCTCTGTCTCTTCCCACATATACTTAGCCATACTAACAAGGTAATCTCTCGAGATCTTAATAGCATTTCCCATATTCTATCCGAGTCTAAAAAATGAGCCATCATTACCCTTCCGTGTAGTCCAGCCCAAGAACCAAACAAGCTCCTTGAAACTCGCCACAATCCCATCCAAATCCTTCTCATCCAACCGCCCCGATGTGAAATTATCGCAGGCCTCCCGAGAGATGGAAGATACGACCAGGCCACCAAGAGACTCGACAGGGGCAGAAGCAGGAATAAACTTATTCTGGCACAACCAAACAATACCCTCCCTCGTCCCAAAGTCTTTATAATCAACTAAAAGGCTCCAGAACACCACAATCCTCCCCTGAAGGACATCAACAGATGAGAAATTGCTCGCTGCCAGAACCTGCAGTTCATCCAATCACCAGAAAACAATCATATCAGCATCAGCCTGTCAATGGAAAGGGTGTTCAAGCGGCTCCAGAGTGTTAATCATATCATTAGTATCCCTCCGAACAGGCTCCAACTGCTTGCTCACTGGGAATATGATCTAACAGCGGATTCCCCGAATCACCAGGAAAAATATCGAACCGTACCCAAACGCCGAAATGAAGCGATCGAAATATAAACGGACCTTCCATCCAAACACTGCAAAGGCCCAGAACCACGTTCACCACCACCACCCTTCCTCCTTCCTCCCCGCTCTCACCACCACCAGACCCCGGCAAGCGACCTTGACCCTGACCTTGCGACTTCATCCGCGTAATCAGGAAAACATCAAGATCACGCTCAAAAGCATAAAGAATAATCCCAAAGTCGCCCTCAGTGGGAGCAACACCATCATACGGCAAGTCTAGAGCAGGATCGGAGATAATATCATTGAAGAGGATGCGATCCTGGGAACCGAGGGAGCCACGCGGACCGGTGGACATGTTGTCCATGTATACTAGAGGAGATGGAAGTGTTTTTTTGATACGGTGTAGGTGTGGAGGTATTCCATGTTGACGGGGTCTGATATATTTGTATGTGCAGGGCCATTCCCAAGAGGATCTTGTTCATGCTCATGATCATTCTTCAACAACGATCTCATCTCTTTGCGGTGTTCACCATAGGCGAAACCCAGCCAACACTGCGGCTTAAAGGGTAGCCACTTCACGCCTACGATGGGGTCTGATGATCTGGTACCGTGATAGAAGCGTGTTCCCTTCTTGACGGTGGCGAGGAAGAAGGACATGCCGTTTGCGTAGATGGATAATTCGTAGTAGAGGAGAGTTGACTGGATGGTGTTGAAGTAAAGACGATCTGCCAGACACGAAATGCCTTACGACTAGAGAACTGGGATTCAAATATGACTTTGAAAATGTCTTTGACAGACTCTGGAATAGTGTGAATATATACACCGTACGGGAACTATCAAGAAACACATTCCTCGATCCAATTCTCCTCTCTTGGTATTTTTCAGAGGACGCAATGCTAGAGATAAATGACGTTGTGTACAATAACAAGTGTAGATACAGGGCATTCCAAGTTGAATAACAAATATATATTCATCTATCAGGCGCTGGAGTAAGGAAACAAAAATCCCAAAGCACCAAAAGTAACAAAAACCGGGTATATGCAAAACAACATTTACAGCTTCGGCTTCTCGGCCTTGGCAGCCAGGTCGGGCATGAGGAGGTCGCGAAGATCAGTGGCAGCCTCATTGAGGAAGTGGCTCATGCGCTCGGCGCCGAGACGCTTGCAGACGATATTGAAGTTGAGGCTGGAAAGGATTAGTTAGTGATAGGCCTAAATGGAAAAAAAAGAGAGACGGGGGATGCTTGACGCTTACCTGTTCTCGTTGATCATGTAGGCAATTCCGAATCCATCGTCAATAACCTGGCTCCATCCGTATCCATTGAAGAACTCGGAGCTCAACTGGGAGGTGGAGAGGTACCAAGAGGAAGAGTAGGCGAATGCGGGATCCTGGTAGATCTCGGGCAGCTTCTCGCCGGGCTGGAGAAGCTTCTTCAGACCGAACAGGTGACGGTCGACACCGTGGCCGGCGCTAGCCTCCTGGGTGTACTTGGTGTGCTGGGCGAGGGCAGCGCGGAAGAGCTTGACGGTCTCCTCGCGGGGGGTGGTGTGGTCCTCGTGAGCCTTGCAGAAGGCAACGCTCTCGTCGGAGACTGTGCGGGTTGTCTCGGTGCGGCCTTCGGCGAACTTGCGGGTGGAGGCGGACTCATAGGTGGGACGGTTCTTGCCGTACATCTTGAAGTAGGCCAACTGGATGGTCATCTGGACGAAGGCGTCGGGGCTGCACTTGAACTTCTTGATCAGACCCTTGCCGTAGCCCTGGTAGGCCTGGACGACCAGCTCGTGGGAGCCGATCTGCTTGCGGTGGTACTGAGTTGCGACGTCGATGGCCTCATTGGCGGCGTCGTTCAGCTTGAAGTTGATGGGCTTGGGGTCAGCGAGCTGGGAGCGCACGGACTGGGCGGAGAGGTCGATTTTCTTGTTGAAGATGACGTTGTTGATAAAGTCGTTCAGGCGGTGGGTGGGAGTGCCGTCCATCATGCTGTGCTCGCCCATGAAACCAGCGGTACCATTGTCGTTGACGATGAACTGCAGAGGCTTGTCGAACCAGCGGTTGGAGCCATCACCGTGCCAGTACTGCGAGCAGCGCTCAGCTAGAGTGACAGGGCGGGCATCGTCCAAGCAGACCACGAAGCCAGCAGACTCAATATCCTGCAAGGCCAGCTCATTGGCAGGGTCAAGAGAAACGAGGGTCTTGCGAGCAGCGGTCCAGTGATCGCGGTCCGCAACAGTCAGCACGCCAACGGGAGGCGCGGGCTGTGCAACCTCGTAGATGCGCTCGAACTGCTTCTCCAACTCGGAGACATTGAGCTGCTGACCGTCCACGACGAGCGGGACCTTGAAGAACTGGTTCTTGCGCACCACGACGATGTGCTGGTTCTCAGAAGCGGCATACTTGCGAGGGAAATCCGCGCCTTCGGCGGGAATACGGCAGCAGTTGAACATGTACTGGTACGAGCTCATGGCCTGAGGCTCCTTACGGAGGTACTCGGGCTCCAAAGAGCCATCATCGACCTTAGCCTTGAACTCGAGCGCAGCAGTGGTGATGGCAGCAGCGCGCTTGGCTGGGTTGCGACGCTCGCGGTCGTCCCGGTAGGAGTAGAAGTAGGAGACGTAAGGGATGACGGGGTCGCGGTAAGTGAGGTAGGCGGCCTGGTTCCACCACTCGGCGAGCCAGTTCTTGATCTTAGGGTCGGCGGCGCGAGCCAAGAGACGCTTCTGCAGAGACTCACCCTGACCACCGGGGCGGACGAATTCCTCCACAGCATTCTTGGTGCGCTCATACTCGGACTCGGAGACGACAGCGTGGACGGACTTGAGGTACCGACGGCTGGTCTCTTCTAGGGAAGGAACGGGGAGTTTGGGGAGAGAGTCTTCGAAACGAAGCATCTTGCCCTTCGAGAGGTCCTCCTTGTATCCTGTTGTTCTGTCAGCGTGTCTGGTTCTTATTTCGGTGCGGATAGGCTAGGGATAGCCCACATTGCGCCGGACGCATGTGTTACTCACCCTCAGGGACGGAAGATGCCGTTCGTCGGGGGGCCATTGTGAGAGTCTATATGCGAGTCAATGGATTGATTCCAAGAGATTTCACTGCATTCCACAGCAATCCACAACAAATGTAATCAGAAGAGGACTTACCGAGCGGGCGAGGAGAGGGTTCGGAGGAAGGCGTTGCCTTGGCAGGGTAGAAATACGGCTTCGGGCAGAAGCAGTGAACATCCCTCTGGTTAAATGAAAAAAGTCGTTTGGGGGTATAAGGAGAAGTGAACGTGAAGGTGAAGCTTAAAGGGAGAATAAGAAGAGTTGGCCGAATGACGCTCAGAGACAAAGCCTCGGCTGGCGGGGAAGCCGGTAAAACGCGGTACCGGGGGGGCCACTGGGTCTCGGTGTATCTCAGTCGGTCCCGACCGAGTTGGTTTTTCTTTCCCACGGGAAAATAGTGAGAAGGTGAGGGGATGAGGAGTTTGAAGGTCTGTTGACTAATTGTGGTTTTTTTTTTTGTTTTTTTATCTTCAATATTGTTCCTTCTTATTGTGTGTTGACTATATGTATCTGAAGGCGGTTTATAACATTGAACATTGAACGAAGTGTATAATACGGAAATACCAATACCTGATCCACCTCGATGAGCCTCGGTCCATTTTCTCGTTGATCTTCACAGTCACAAGGAAGAGATGTGGATATCAGAGAGAATATTAGAATGTGAATGTCATTATTTTATTTGAATAGGGGGCATGACTTTGTACAAAAAGAATGTAAAAATATACAAATATACAAAATACACATACATATGCACGAAAAGACCCCAAACATCAATACTCCGGTTCTCCGGGCGATCACTCGCAATGCGGGGAGAGCTTCTAGCGTAAATGTACGGAATACGATAATATGGAGTACACATGTGCATGGACAGTCTCAATACAGTTAAGAAAAGAAACAAAACATAGTAGATTATGTATAGATGGGAAAAAAAATAAACCAAAGGGAAATCTCCCGTTCATCCGATCCCGTTGACCCGGCCAGTAAAACAAAACAAATTTGAATAAGAAAATAACAAGAAGCCACCTGGAAAATACAAGCACACCGACTAGGATCCACGGGGAAAAGGAAATAAAAGTCAAAGTCATAGGCAACTGGAGGCAATTTGGTACAACGTAGACCAAGCCCAGATAGACCATTAGGAGACTGGCTGCACGGCTGCCGGTTGATCCTGGCCATTGATGGCTCGAGGTACCTGCACCCCGCTGCGACGTAGCTCATCTATTTTAGCCATGGCAGGCCCCGTGCAGATGCGACCGGTCTGCATAAGCGTGCGGAGACGTTTCCGACGGGCCTCGCCGCTGCGCTCTTCGCCGCGACCAACGCCCTCATCCACCCAATCTACGGCATGGACCTTGAAGCTCATGCCGTCGTGGCGACCGTCCCATTTGCGAGACTTCAGCCCGAACATGAGAGTGCTGTCATACTGGGCCACGCGGGGAAGAACTAGAAGGGTGATGTGCAAGTCCTTGTCCGTTGGGGGTATCGGTGGGAGGCGTGAGCCCTTGGTCGGGGAGTCGCCGTCAGTAGTAGCTTCGGGCGGCGGTGCGTGCTGGTAGGTATCTTTAATCTCCAGATCGAGCATTGACTCGTCCACGTCGTCGCCCCACGCACCGCGAATGAATCCGGAGTGGATGGCAGCGGCGACAGGGTCTGAGTCGTCTGTATAAACGCCGGTGCCCCAGAGGGCGCGTCGGGCGCAAATTTCCTCTCGGTGAGATTGATTGATTCGGAAACGGGGGACTCGAACAGTAAAGGTGCAGTTCTCTCGCTGTTCGAAGCGGGGAAGAGGTTTGGGGGTTGTTGTATATCCAAACTTGGAGCTATCCACAGAGGACTTGGCAGCGGGGGTACTGATGCGAGGCGTGTAGAGCGTTGAGCCAAGGTGGTGCCGAGGAAGATGGGCTACACTCGAAAGCAACGGTGCTAGGTTCACGGTAGTACGAGGCTCACGAATAGGAGACGCAGCCGGAATGGTGGCTGGTCGAGGAACATGGTGATGATGGTGATGGTGATGTTGGTGGTGATAGTGTGCGGCAGGAGGCTCCGCTGGGGATGTTCGATGGAAGGTAGGACGTTGAAGGGAGCTCAGGGTAGCCGCATCTTCGTCTGCCTTGTGGCGATGATGGTGGTGGCTAAAGGAATGTTAGCATTTGGATGACACGAGCTGTATCTGATTGGGTAGAACATACTGATGGTGATGGTGGTGGGCATGCCGAGACCGACGGGCGTTACGTGCTGACAGTATGCCTCGGGCGTCATTGGCCTCGATTTCCATCTGCTCCTCGTCGCGCGACTTTCTCGGTCGTCTGCCGGCTGCAGAGGATGGTCGAGCAAGCTTAGACGCCTCATCCATCCCTTCTGCATTCATTGAGCGACCCGTGAGGCTATCGCGTTTGAAGGGACTTGAGCCCAATGGTGTCGATGGTCCGCTGCCACCAGTGGCCGCGGTGACACCACCAACGCCGCTGCCAATACCGGAGAACACTCGTCCCAGTTCATTCTTGATCGCTGGCTCTCCAGCGGGACCAATGTATGGAGCCTGAGCGCCTTGTACAGCTTGTGGAAGCGGCGATGCACGGCCACCGCGTTTCCCATCAACACCTACGGCCAGTAGGCTGCGGTGATGGAGCAGTTCATCGCTTCCTTTGCGTCGTCCTTCATCAGCTAGGGCTGCTAGACCCGATGATGCGGCAGCTGTCGATGCGGTGATAGTAGGGGTGGGTCCTATCCGTGGAGGCTGCCCTTGGTGTTGTCTGAGGTACGGATCATGGGGCGGCGGCGGAGTTGGCTGACTGTTTCGAGACTGAAGAGAGATCTGAGGTTGTCTATTCCCACCCGGTTGCGACCCCAGTGATTTAGTGTAGCTTTGAATGGCCCCAAACCCGAAACCCGACCCGTGCTCGGGTGCAGGGAAGCGCTTACTCTCCGGTGACGGAGGGTGAGAGCGACCGTGGTCCCACGTAGAGCCGCTCTGGTGACGATCGAGCGGGTCGCGTTCACCGTAGTGGGAGCCATACCGATATGTTCCAGGCTGGATCAACTTGGCATCCGATCCATGGGGTGGAGCCCGTTCTCGCTCCCGCTGTGCAGTATCCTCCGAGCGCCGCTCGCCGAATATGTTTGCAAACCGACCATGCTGTGGATCATGACTTCCGTACGACCCAGATGCAGGTCGAGGGCCGGACTCGAAGGGGCGATCCGCGACCCCTCCTGGCTGTGAGATCGGACTGTAGCCGGGGGGTCGTGTGGGTGCGTCTGCATGGGGTGGCTGACTACTGGGCCGAGTGATCGGACCGTTGAGACTCATGCGACGAGGTTCACGGTACGGTGGCTCTGCCGTGGAGATTCGAGGCGAAGGGTGCGTCGAGTGTGGTTTCTCGGGATACTGTGAGAGCGACGAGCGCGTCAAGCCCCCGAATACCGACTGCTCTCCACCCTGACTCGAGCCTCCACCGGACCCAGACCGGTATGTACGGGCGCCTTGAGGCTTGGAGAATGGCTTCTCCGGTGTATGTGAACGATGGAAGAAAGAACTATCGAGTGGCGAGGGTCTTGCCGGGGCAGTGGGTGGGGACATGGCGGCGGAAGATGACGATGCGGGTGCATTACCGAATATTGACGATGCAGGTGGTCGCGAAAAGAACGGCGCTGATTCTCGTGCAGGTTCTCGTGCAGGTTCTCGTGCAGGTTCTCGCGCAGACCGATCTGGGTCCGAGCCTAACATGGCGGAAATCGACATGCTGCTGCCCGGTCGGAGCGCCTGATCGCTAGGTACATCGCGCGACATCAAAGAGCCCCCAGGCGCGTGGGTTGATTGGGCTCGTGAGGAATATGAGTGTGGAGGGGATGGGGGTGGCATTTGGCGATTTCCAAACGCGGGTGGTGCGGACTGTTCGTTCGGGCCTATCAGACGGGTTCAAGTTAGCAAAATGTTTGTTGATACAGCGAGGGGATTCCAAGATGACCGCGCATGTCCCGATCGGATGAGTGACGAAATCCATGTATCGCGACAAGGACGGTTGCACGGGGCTCTCGGGCCCAAGTCGGGTGCTCACCAGGAAATCTAGGACTCCCACTGCTGCCCTGGGAAGTACGACGCGCTGTTTCTTGCTGTGATGGCGTATGATTCATAACGGAAGCACCTAAGAGCCCTGTGAACGAGTGAGCAACAGTTCAAAAGGGAAAGCAAGGGCCAGATCGAGGAGAACCCGTGACTCCGGAAGCTACCACGCTAGTCCCAAAAGGGCAGGGGCTCATCTAGACACGCTAGACCAGACCTGGACTAGCGCTCCCGAGCTGTCGTCCAGTCGATCTGCGCCACCGGGGAAAATCAATCAGGGGCAGTGAGTTTAGGCAAGGGAAGAGGAAGAAGTCTTGGATGGGATTTGATGTGTCGCGTGACTTTAACCATCCGAATCCGATGGCCACAAAAATCCATTCCTCCGTGCGCCCATACCCACAAAAGGGGACTGCAACAAAGTAACAAAGTGGAGGCCAACCACGGCACAAGTCCGATCCTTGGAATCCTCAATCTGGGGCATCTGAACCATTTGGGCAGAGGGAAAGTAAACACAAAACTAGAGATATTGCCTACCTTCACGATATCGAATAGCCTGAGGTTGTGAATTATTCCTGCGGTGCGTTTGTTCATGATTCCTCGTCTCAAGACTCCCATGCCGACGGTGTGCTTGTGTTGGGCCATTCCTCGGAAAGTATGCGCTGGAAGCATCTCGAGAAGTATTCGACGTCCGTGCGGCGGTTGACTGGTAGAGCTGTGATGGAGAGGGCGTTGTGTTTGAGGAGGGAGAAGGGTATGGGCGAGGCTTGTCAGTCTCTTGACGAGACTCGTTAAAAGGCGCAGCGAACTCTTGTGGATCGCGAGGTTCTTGTGAGGCCCCCAAAGGCGAGGGCCGTGGCGGGTATGAGTGCTGTAGTCGTCGGTAGTCCATGTCCAAAATTGTGCTGGGCACCAACTAAGAGTAAGATAGAGATAGAAAGGAAAGTATAAGAGAACAGAATGGCGGTGGAACAGTGAAATGCAAAAGAAAAGAGAAAACGGGAATGGGCCAGAGCTGCAGGATCAGCGGTTGATCGCGCGACCCGGATGATAGCACGATGGGAACGTGCAGAAAGAAGTAAGGGTGCTTAGGTGGAAATGTGTCAATAATCCACAACCCACAATCAAAAAGATCTCACTTTGACCGAAATTTTTTCCAAAGTTAGGGGGAGAAAAAACGGTGAAGCGATGACGGTGTCTCTTTAGCGTGATGGGCCTCGGGGCCAAGACCTTTTCTATCTCGCATGCGGGGATTGTGTCCGATTGTGTTCGACGGTATATATATAGTTGTGTGATTACATTTGACATGCATCTAATATTTTTAAAAATACAGAAAGAAGAAGAGAAAGAAAAAAAGAACAAGTTACATTTTCAACATTTCAATATATTCTTAATATTCTTATTTTTTTTCCATTCGGGATTCATGCCCAACCCACATGCTTATTCTCTAAATCCTGGAGTTTGTGTCTTGTATTACCTGTTCCTTGTGTACCGGGATGTGTTTGTGCTAGGCCTATTGCATATGCAGGAAATGTGCTAGGATGACCTTGTTTGGGCATGAAATGTGAAAAATTAAAAAAATTCCTATTATACTAGGCTTTGGGTATACTTCATACATGTTTAACTTCTTAACCTCCTCAACCAGACGAACTTGTCCTAATATATAATACAGAGGTACAAGATGCACATATAATCACAAAAGAACCAATCAGAGACCCTCGACGTCATAGGAAACACAATATTCACCACTTGACCGTGGAACCTCACTCTTACTTCAATTGTAGTCGGCGCTTCCACCTCATTCCACTCTTGGTCAGGGCACGTTGGGTGCGCTCAAGTGGGTAGTTGACGGGGGATTCACCACCGGTGAAGATGAAGAAGTCATAAAGGAAAGCACCCATAAACCCACCACTCAGAGCTCCAACCCAAGGCCCATACAACCAGTAAGGATCAGTGAAAAGAGTGTTAGAGTAACCAAGAGCAAGAAGCGCAAGTCGAGGACCAAAGTCGCGACTCGGGTTGAATGCCGCTCCGGTCTGGTGGGCAAAGCACATACTCAGACAAGTGATGACCAAGCCGATAATCAGTGAGTTCATACCAGCACCAGGTGGAGCATTCTGGTCATCACCAAGAGCCAGAATGGTGACGGTCAAAAAGGCCGTACCGAAAAACTCGTTAAAGAACGCCGTGGTAGAACCAACCCAAACCTCACGGGAATTCGTCACAAAGCTGTTAATAATACCGGTGTCCGGGTTGAGGTAGAGGTAGTTTTGAATCGCTTCGTAGTAGATTCCATACGCAACAAGAGCCGCACAAAAGGCAGCCACGAACTGAGCAGCAAAGTATTCGGGCATCTTGCGTTTGGGGAAACCACGGAAGAACCACAACACCATGGTCACGACAGGGTTCAGATGGGCACCGGAAACACCACCACTAATGTAGATGGCCATCATAGTTGCCAAGCCCCAGGCCCAGGCGGTTGTGTTGGGATTGCCCTGCTTAACAACGGTGACGGACAAGTCGACACAGAACCCCATAGTGAGCTGGACAAACACACCCAGGCCCTCGGCGAGAGCCTCACGGTGGTGGGTACGGATGACCGACCAAGTGTTGTGGTTGTTGTGCACTTCATCCTCAACCAGTTCCTGCACAAGCGGATGCAGGTCGTCGGGGTAATCTGCCTTTTCCAGTTCGGGAATATCTAGGAGTGCGTCCAGTCTCGTACCTGGGTCTTGAATCCCTAACTGATCATCACCGAACTCCAACCGCTCCTCTGGTTCATCATTGGCTGGAGAATTTCCCTCCTGCACAGCCGACAGTTGTTCTGGGGGCAGATCCCAGGCCGAAGGACGGCTTCCCCGGATCGAGGAGGTACGCGACATGCGCGAAGTCTGTCTCGCGGAGGTGCCATCACCCGCGAGAATCTTGTTCATAAAATTATTCTCACGCTGCAAACGAGCATCCTCAACCTGGGCAGCCATCTTGCGCGGGTCGGCAGACGTATCAATGCGACCCTGCTCGATATCATTGGGGTTCACATCAAGCCCAAGTCTCTGCGAGTTCTCCGTGGGACGCTGGGCATTTGCCAGGTTCTGCAAGAGCTCATCCTTGGTTGGCACCATGCTCGGCCGCACCACACGCGGCAACGGCTTTGCCAGAGACCAGACCGGTCTGGTGTTGGAGGCCTGTTCATAGGATGGATTTAGATCTGCGTACCCCGGCTGGACGAAAGGTTCCTGAGCCAACCGCAGCTGGGGGGTTCCATCTGGTCCAGCTAAGGTGAATTTGCCCTGCGTACGCTGTGCGAGAGTACGGCGGGTAACCAAACTGGGTGCTCCGCTGCCATTACTGCGTCTCGAGGCAACCGAGCTATATCGCCGGGTACCACTGCCATTCTCAACGGAGGTTCTCATGGGTGAGATATAATCCGCATCGCTGACGGCTCGGTTCCGGGCTGGTGACTGTGGTTGAACATCAGACTAGAAAGTATGTTAGATGATAGTTTCTTTCTGGTGCTTGCTTCAACTCACTCTCACCCTCGGACCAGTCTCCGGATCCATAATGACTCTGATTTGAGATGGTCTATCCGTATGATCGGCAAAGTTGATGGGTAAAAGGCGTTCCTGCCAAGAAAGAACAGAACTGCTTTAAAGCAGAGAAAAAAAGAAGAAAAAAAAAAGACGGAACAAGAAAGGACAATTCACACTAAATTTATTTCAACCTCCCTCCTACACTGTGTGACGCCATGGCTCGAGGATTTTCATTGAACTCCTCAGTTGGAGTGTAGGGTGGATCATACTCTCAGCATATCAGAACCTGGCGACCAATGAGTTGTTTCAGCATTCGATATAATTTGACAGTTCCTGTGCTGGTCCATGTGAGCTCCACAAAAGCTTGCCTCATTGAACCATTTGAGTATTTTGACGCTATCAAGTAACTCTGTTGTGACCGCGTTACTTGCTTTCCAAGGTTTGTTAGGGCCTGCAGCTATATTGTTTGCATTTTGTGAGGGGAAGATGGGTCTGTATGTCATCGTGCGTTGTTTTTCTTTATTTTGTGGAATCGGTCCAATAGACGTGTCCCTTGGCATGCAGCTGTGGATTTCAACCTTGGAAGTATCCAAATCTCGGGATTCCTGCTTTTCTGTGGATTATCAGCAAGTTCCGATCTTGACTGGGATTCCACAGGAGCTTAAAGGGGAGTTCCGCTCATATGTATGTACGTCAATTAATTTTATTAAATATGGTTCATTTGAACGGTTTATTTGGTAATTTGCCCTAACCATATAATTAGATTATAGCATGGCCGATCGTACATCTATTCAAATCGATATCACGCGCTTACGCGAGTCTGCAGGATGAGACCTCAGGAGCCGAGAGTATGCCAAAGTGGAGCTTTTTATCAACCTCCTTGCTGTAGATGGGAAGCTGCAGATGTGGATTAAAAGAACAAACTCAATATTGAAAATCGACGATATCATTCACATTATTAAAAGAAAATCAAATTGGGTATCACAGAAGTCAACAGCACTCATCCTATACACACCGGCGATAGATGTCGGAGGCCATCCTTCGTAAAGTCACTCGTCGTAAACCGTCCTTCCGGCAAAGCAGACCAGAAGACATCAGAGTAAGAATGATTGACACAGTCACTGTCAGGGAATTTCTCCCCAGTAACTACAACAGTCACAGGACGTTGAACAACATTCTGCCCATCCCAATGAGACAGATACCCCCTCTGCCGGAGAGTATCAAGTTCTTCAACGAGATGCGGGTATAGTTCTTGAGGCAACGTCTTGGCATCAAGCATCAAAAGGAAAGTCTGAGCCAGGTCAGCGTCAGCGTGAAAGCTGCTTGGCGTTTCGGGGTTAAGAGATGACCGGGCGGCAGCATCGTTCTCAGCGTCAAGTTTCGCCAGAAGAGGGTCGAGACTGAGCCGCTGTAGGATGTCCTCGGGATCGGTCTCCGCAACTGCGTTTCCAATCTGCAGCTTCCCGTTGTGCATCCAGACCGCCGTTCGGAGCCCATCGCATCCCTCGTTGAGAGACGACCTGAGGGCATGTGGGCACGTGTCTAGTGTAGGGAACGTACACGCACCACTCTGGGGGTGAATGTGGGCGTGTGTTGTGGATGCATGAGGTAGGAGTATCCGTTTGATATTGACCGGGAGCAATCGGAGACATTGGAATGCGGCTCTGGGAAAGAATGTTGTCAGATAGGTGTATCTCGGAGACCACAGCATTGTAAATATTGCGGTAATACTTACAGACATCCGATGATAAGGCATCCGGCGCGGAAGAGGATCGCCTTTCGCTTTCCAATGGATTCGTAGTATTCATTGAGATAAAGCGACAAGCCTGGAATGCACTCTGTCGGGTATGATCGTAGGGGATGATCATCGAGAAGCCATGGATCGTATTCGAATCGGGTGTTGGACTCAAGGTCTAAATCCTCCTTTAAGGATTCCATGGTAGTGGTCTCGTCAGATGCACTGATAGCTTCCATAGCGAGATTTAAGGGTGAAATCTCCCAGGCGCGATATAGCTCGTATAAGGGGGCGAACCAGGTTGCAGAGTGCCAAGTGCTCAAAAGCCAAGAGTGCGAGGTGCATGGTATAAATATCGTAAGCTCAAGGTATCTAGGATGAGGGGACATCGCGCAATTGTGCAGGGAATTGCGCGTAGCACGCCATCATGATTGGCGATTGCATTTGCATGATCGCCGGGAGAAGGTGAGGTCTGTTAAACCACACATTCTGCAAATCAAGAAACTGTGCTGGATATGATTTTATAAAAGGCAATGAATCCATTCGCACACGTGTGTAACATGTCATAGTTATATAAGGGCTGCACGATAAGACCTCGGGAGCATCTTCACAACTCACCTGATTCGCCAAGACGCCAAGACGCCAAGACCCGGCCCATTTAATTTCATCTTAATATAACATAGTAGTATGGAGTAGGTGTGGGAATATCACAGTTTATACAGAGTACATGAAAAACCGTTATGATTTTCACCTTTTTCTGCCTACAACTCTGTATGAGGAAAAGCTACACGGAAAGACATACCGAAAGACATCACAGGTAATGCGGCTGAGAGGCCATTGAATGGCTATACCTTTTTAATTTGTTAGTTTGTCATACTTGTACATACATCTTCTTTCTCTATAATAATAGTCTGTTGACTTTGTCTACCAATGATGATCCTCCGAGGTGGCTAAACAGGACTCGATTCACCCGAAAGAGGTTGTAAGAGAAAAGCAAAAGCATCCAACCAGCCGACGGACAACCGGGATTAACCAACTCGGAACATCGATCTACCCCTACCGCAACCGGTCGCTCATATCTCAGTTCTTGCCTTACCTTCGCGGGTGGGGACCCACTGACACAAACCCAGGCTGAGTGAAAGATACCCGCTAGTTGCATTAGCTTCTTTCGGGAGCACGCCGATCTTAACTACCTCGAAGGGATTAAAGCGAGAGTTCATGTGTTCCGATGGATGCGTATGTATGAATTGGAAGTTAGGATTTACATACGACTGGCCGAGTTTGCGCGTCTGAACGATACCTATGGTTCTACGGAGCGAGACTCGAGGAAATATCGACTAAAATCCCACTATTTAGGAAGAGACAGATGACGACTTCAGTCCAGTCTTGTGGGGTTGGTTGACATCCCATAGATTTTAGTCCTCTAAGGCTGGATCACTCCTGGAGCACGTCACCGCTTGACGCGTCTACCTAATCAAGCATGGTCACCTTGGTTTCTATATTTATGAAAGGTTTATGTAGATAGAACAGTGACAAGTGAAATAAAAATTCGTCGCTAAAATAGCTCAATAAGAAGTTCTCTGATTGCCTGCGGGTCCATCTCTTTCATCTGACGGATCTCATAGCGCTTGATATTAATATAGTGGTCTATCATGGGCCGACCGATCATGGAAGATAGAAGGCCATCATCCGCATCCAAGATTTCCAAAGAATCATTGAGGCTTTGTGGTAGGGCCTCGCCACAAAATGAAGCTTGATTTGCTGGAATACCCAGATCCGGCCAAGTCAATGGCTCCTTGCCTGCCAACCCTAGAAGCCCGGCACCCAGGATTGCTGCCAGTGTGGAGTACATATTGGCAGTGACATCGATGCATCGAAGTTCCCAGTGGCTAGATTCCACCTTTCGAATAGGGACAGCTCGTGATTGTGTTCCCCAGCCGACTGTGTCTCCAGCCATGCACGGTTTGCGCCGTTCGTAAGAGACTTCTAGCGGCAAGCAGAAGCTCCAGAGACTAGGAAGACGCTTTAGGATGCCCGCGAGGAATGAAGCTTCAAGGGTGGAACTGGCAGGTTGTAGTGAGAGATGCATATGTTGGCCATTTGACTGCGACTCAAAAGATACAGGTTTAGGAGACATAGTAACCTCATAGCCATGGCGGGAGAATGTGTCTTTGAGGTAATCGTGCACAAGTATCAATTGATCGACCGCTTGTATTGGTTGGAGGGGCCCTAGGACGATCTCATATTGTCCCCGAAAGCCTTCTGTATGCACCGCTTGGACTACCACACCTTGGGCGCGTAGTCGAGTCACGCACTGTTCCACATATTGGAAACACGGATCCCGTAGACCTGAGACGGCAAAGTGTCCTAAGCCGCCACTGCATCGAACCATTGCATTTGAAGATGGGTCCGATTTCATCACAATAAACTCCACTTCGAAACCTACGAGGAAATCTAATTCCCACGTCTGGCGTGCCTCTCGCAGCACCCTTGCTAGCGCCTGCCGGGGACAGAGATCACTACTGATTGGGCGTTCTAGTTTTGTGAGGTTCAAAGCGCACATCACAATCGCAGTTCCGGGATGAGAAGCTGACCGAAGGGATGACCAGTCTGGAACTGCCCAGTACATGCCTCTTGGGGGATCATGGGGAAGGATATGATTGCTGACAGTACAGCCGAGCGCGATTCCAGCGGCCTGAATAGGCGTTCCTTCGGCAACTTGAGCGATAACGGACTCAAGAATGAGTACGCGGGCCCGAAGTACACCCGAATAGTCCTGCCATTGGAAACGAATGTAGCTGATCTCAGGGTGATCTTCTCGAAATTGCTTGAGGATTTGTGTCGGACATGCGGGGATTTCCATCGCAATGGGGATTGGATAGTGCATTAGTGCTGCTAAGGTTTTGATGTTGAGGTCTTGCAAATTTTCCTTGGGAATTCATGATTATAGGGGAAACCCCGAGGGTTGAATCGAAGGGAGTGGAGCATAAACCTTACGTTTGACGAGTTATACTAGTAGATACAAGATATGTATATATACCTTGGTACATACAGTGCCGATCTTTTCAGTGAAGCGGAGCTTTGAAATTACTGTGGAGAAATACGTATTTACCACTAAATCACACACAGAACCAGAGGTTCCTGGGGGTATCTACATCGTATAGTAATCAATACTGTAATAGTACCAATCTTAGTTTTAGCCCTAGTAATATCTATGAATGGACCACATTTTGCAGACTTTTGCAAGATGCCCCCCATTCGGTAATCCTAGAAAGGCTAGCTATTTAAGTACTGAACGATATGGCTCTCTTCCATTTGTCCAGCCCCTTCTTCTTCCCCACCACTTGAGTGCATGACATCGACATGGCCACTCCAGCGGTTGAAGAATTTCCGAATGACGCGATATTCACGAACCTTGTCAAGCTCAGAGAAACTGTCCCCGGCGCGGTGATTTATGATGAATATGGCATTGTGTAAGGGTATAGGGACCTTTTCGAAGATATTGTGCATTTGCGTCAGGTCTTGCGAGAAACACGAGAAACACTTCCGGGTTGTATGGACAGCAGGGGTCTCTTACAACCAGAAGCCAAACCTGTTGCTACCATGACAGTCAGCATCTACTACTTTCTTGTTAGCTTCATTGCTATCGCGTCTTTAGGAGGGGCATCTGTTCCACTGTGTGAGTTGCCTCATAGTCCTCAAAATGGCGCCGAGGCGAACAATAGCTAATCACATATCAAGCACCCACCGCCTCTCTGGAGAAAACCGCCTATTCATTGAGCAAAGCAAATGCTTGCTGCATTCTGTTTGATCCTTGGACAGCCGATGAGTCCATTGTCATCAAATCCCATGTACAGAACATCTCAGGCCAGCGGCTTCACACCATCCAGACGCAGCGAGCTGAAGAAAAGTGAACTTCACACACTAAGATCGAGATTGAGAGTCTCTCACTATCCCTGAGAGTGATATATGCTTGATCATGTTTTCTTCGGGCACCACCGGGCGGCCGAAATGTATTCTTTTTCGAAACCCAGGTGGAGCCCACGAGCCTGTTTCTAACGTACCGCCCAGTACACTGGATAGGAAGCTCAAGTACGCCTTTAAGAAATGTCTTGGTGGGAATGAAAACTAGCCGCCTTATGCGCGGCGCTGGTCTAGCTCATATCTGGGAAGCGCTCAAAGAAGGCATTGTCACAAGCACCTCGCTAACCCCAGTGCGTCTTAAAGCCATGGAAGAATATTACTATTCCCATATTTGTCAGTTGTCATCGGAAGACCATGGCAGATATGTTGCTAGGGCGTCCAAGCTGCAGACAGTTTTGGCCAGTGGCTCCATGCTGAATCCTACTACGGCGCAATTTTGGAAGAATCTTACCAACATGCCCATTGCTACTACATTTGGGATAACTGAGATAGGAGGTGGGGTGTTTCGGACCTCTCCTTACAGCGCCTTCGTCGATGTTCGTCAGAGTTGAACCGAAATTATATCCATGGATGTTATTATTATACTGACGAATCTGAATTTGGCAGGATGTATTGGCGAGCCTATGCCAAATAAAGTGGTAAAGTTGTCCGATGGTGACAGGTGCCAACTTTTCGTCAAGGCTCCTGGGATGTTCACCCAGTAAGGGGGAATATTATTAAAGATTTCGACTGTTTCTGAGAGTTGATGTAGCTACATCGGCGATGAGGAGGCCACCAAGGCTGCCTTTGATGAAGAAGGTTTCGAACAGATGATATCCTTCGTCGCGAGGGGAATCAATTCATCTTTCTCGGAAGGGCATCGAGTGACTGTATGTTGATACTAGCGAAAGAAGTTGGGTAATGCGCTAAAAGTTCAAACAGGGATTAGATTCTCTGCATTCACAGTGTCGTATAAATTACCCAGACTTCTACGAATTCTACAAGAAGAAGAGGTCGCTCGCCCCCTTCACAACTTCGGATAAAGGTAGGAAGAACGAAATGCGTGAAAAATACTTTGAAGTATCTGGTTATCGACCCAATGATTATGCCGTGCCCGGTGTGGAATTCTTCGGAAATAAGACTGGCAGTTATTTTATTAACCCTGCAGAAAGAGTACCCTCATGAAACAATTTGCAAGTGTGGATTTCTTTGTGCTATTGAACAGAGCATTGAGAGCGAGCTGGTGAAGAGTTACCGTGTAATTAATTGACGCGTTTTGCGCCTATGAAATACCTGCACGTGGCTTCCAAGGCTGTATCGATCGAGATTGTAATCTCCGACGCGGCAATGGCCGATGATCATACTGCTTTTTTGCCTTAGCGGGCTCTTGGTAGTTCTTCAGCTGAGCCGCCGAACTGCTCCACTTCCAAGGTCTTCCAAGGTTATACTCCCGCTATTGTTCCAAGGTTACCCATAAGCGGGGCCGTCTACCAAATCCATGGGTGTTTTGTATACTCCATACAATGTTGTTGTATTGAATTTTACTACTACTTATGTACTAGGGCTTCAATATTGGTAGATCGTATCGACATTAGTACTAGCTTAGGATTTATTGTATTGTTGAATCTTTGACTACAAAGTCTAGTAAGATAATGCCGTAACACAGAACTTCTTCCCGTCCCCAAATAACATTCTTCTTTCGTGTTTATCCGACCATGAGCACTCAACCAGCTATGCAGAGTAGCCCCTTGCCGGCCGACTCTAAGACACCCTTACCAAAATATGAGTACCCGCCTGAGACGAAAACCCAGCGTGAGCAAATCCCATGGAAAAATGTTTGAACAGGCTGACAATCGAAAGTGAATTATGCGGACCTAGTTACCCTCGACCTCTCCGAGTTCGATCTTCCGGGAGGTAAACAGAGGCTAGCAGAGCAATTGAAGGAATCTGCACATAAAATTGGTATGTGTCGCCATCTTCTACGTCACGACAGGGTCAGCACTGACGCTCAATAAGGCTTCTTCTATGTCACCAACATCGGCCTCTCCCAGGAACAAATCGACCGACAGTTCGCAATCGCCAAAGCATTCTTTGCTCTCCCGGAAGAAGAGCGACTCAAATATCGGGCCCCGCTGGAAGAAGGAAGCTATAATGGGTACCGACCCCTTGGTGCGGTCGACATTAAACCCGGGGTGAAGGACACCCTTGAGTTCTATAGCATCTTCAAATGCATCGCGGAGACTGAGAGAACGCAACCGAAAATCATCCGAGAATACTGGGATGAGATCGAGAAATTTTCCCGCCATGTGCATGAAGATATATCTTTTAAGCTCCTGCAGCTGCTGGCGATCATGCTCGAACTGCCCGAAGACCATTTCCTGGAATGCCATCGCTACGAGGACCTCTGTGACAGCTCCATCCGTTACATGTACTATCACGCCCGGTCAAAGGAACAGAACGAGGCTTGTCGTGATATTTACTTTAATGGGCACACCGATAACGGTAGCATGACGTTCATGTTCCAACAGCCGATATCTGCGTTACAGGTGCAGCGCAGTCCAGAATCTGACTGGGAGTATCTATACGTACCGGCCGGCACCCTCGCCGTCAATTTGGCCAATGCATTCAACTTTTTAACAAATGGATACATGAAATCGGGCTTCCATCGGGTGATTGCGCCCCCGGAGGACCAAGCGCACAATGACCGGCTGGCATTACTTTACTTTTTACGGCCGACGGAAAAGCTGATTTTGAGAACGCTTGATACTCCCTTTTTGCAGAGGGAAGGCTATGGGAAAACAACAACTGAGAATGATCTGGAAATCTCGTGGCATGAGAACTGGAGAGACAACGTGAGGAGCCGGGGTCTGCGGAATTACAATAAGTGAGTTGGGAAGCTGGGACCTGTCAAGTCTCCTTTGGGATAGGCGGGTTTCAATTCCGACTGAGTATAACATGTTGTAAGGCCCAGTGTGGGGAAAAGAACGGCAGAGGAGTGGAACAATGCCACCTTAGTTAGTATTGGACGGAGGCGAGAGAAAGGTAGAGTGAATTTACACTTTAGAACGTCGGCCAAGAAGGGTCAAAGAGAAGTAAAACAACAGCCTCGTAAGAGTATTGGGGAGATGAGATACAAAGCACCAGGATGCGAGTGAGTGAAGTGGAAAGGGAAGAGAAAAGGGGAAGAGGAGAGATTAAAGGGAGTTGGAAGGAGCTCTGAGGGGGAAGGAGCTCAGGGAGGGGAGGAACCCCGAGGAGGAAGGAGTGCCAAAAAAGAAGGAGTGAAAGGAAGGAGTGAAAGGAAGGAGCCCTCTCATTTCCCTGCCTCAGGCTACAACATGTACCTCCATAGGTACTTTCTTCGACTTAACAGATGAAGAATGCCTGTTACATTGTTAGAGGGAAATGAGTTCCATAATCAGAATTTTATGCCTATAATAATATGGAATGTAGCTACATGTAGATCGTCAAATAGCTAGTAGTTGACCATGCATGGATCTAAAATGTGAGTTCTGCTCACAGTCTTGGTTGCGGTTTCCCAGCCCCGGGGATGTTAGCAAATATCTTATTCTGGCAGCTCTCAAGTCGGGATTGAGTAGACTCAAACAGCCGCGGGAGGCCAGTTTGTGCAAAATCGACATCATTGAGTACCATTTTCGCCAGGCCCTCAGCCGCTAGGAAGATTTGGGGCATCCCGTGTCCCGTGAACCCAGCGATGATGTACTGATCCTTCTGTCCTGGGACATGGCCAACATGCGGTAGTCCATCTGACGAATAGCCCATGACTAGAGAAGTTGAGTTAGTTTGGTGGTAAAGTAAGAATATCATAGATCGAGCAACGTACTCCCTGTCCAGACTCTGTCAGTGTAAGCGTGACTATTCTCCCAACCAACAAAGTTCCGCTGCATATAATTATCCCAGTATCGAACAGCAGGCTCCAGTACCAGGCTATCATCACTGACATTGTACCAGCTATCCAGATCATTGATGAAAGCCGGACGAGCACCGCCGACGACTATACTCCCATCGGCGCGTGGGATGAGGTAGTCATAATTCCAATTGTTCCAGCGCAGGGTATAAGTATCTGTCAGACGAGGAGCGGTGGTACCTGGAGGAACAATGATTCGACTGCATGTTCCTCGGACGGGAATAATCTTCTCCTTATATTGGGGGGCCAGACACGAAGTATAAGCATTTGTTGCTAAAACCACTGTCTTGGCAGCAACAGAACCCCGAGCACTATTCACTGTCCAGAGATGACCTGATGTTGAGGCAATAGACTGTGTAATCCCAGATACCGGTGTGTGCGTCTGTAAATTTACGCCTTGGGCAATTGCCTTTTCCAAAAGGTGCAGCACGAATTTGTATGGCCAAATGTGACCGGCCTCATATGTGAAACAGCCCTGTGCACCCTTGACTCCGGAGAACTGAGGTAATACAGGTTAGTATATCCCCATACGATGTTTAAATATGTGCTCACCTGTTCTGCCTCATTGCTGGGGATATAATTTGCCCTCGTTGTTGCTTCACATCCCTTCTCGATCAATCCTTCGTATGCCTTCTTGAGTGTTGCGCTATGAGCCCGAGACAGCTGAACATCGATAGACTTTGTGACCGAGTATTCACAGTCTATCTTTTCTCTTTCGATGAACTCCTTGAGAAACGAGACATGCTTAGCCTCGAAAGCGGCAACCTCAGCGGCAGCCTCGACGCCATGATCAGCGGCTAAACCAGCGATACCATTATAAACATCAGGTTTCATGTGCCCTCCTACAATACGCAAAAAAAAAGAAAACAGTTTAGCAAAAGTTTCTCAGTTTTGACTATCCCAATCTTACCATTTCGCCCAGTGGCACCGGAACAAGCCTGTCGAGCCTCCAAAATCACAATCGAAGGCGGCGTCGACCCGGGGCTGATTTGGTCGAGAATATGGTGCACAACAGATGCCCCTGCATATCCAGCTCCTATAACAACGATATCACACTCCCGAGGGAGAGATTCGGTAGATCGGTGGCTGTCTAGAAAGTGAGGCTCTGTCCTCCAGAATGACGTCATCCCATTTGGGACCGGGGTATGCTTCGATTCCATTTTGGAGACTCCGAGACCATTAGCAGTCTTGGAAACATAAATGAATATAATTATTTATTGGCATTGGGCACTAGGGTGGTGTTTCCTCTCCCGGCGGCTTTTCCACCGGTAACTTTCCCGGTCCAGCTCGCCCCGCTAGTTAACGACGCTAAGGCATACAGGTACAGGGGCAGTGATAACGCTTCGTGCGGGGGTATCTAACAATTTGAGTAGTTGATTTGGATGATTGAGTTTGGAGAGACAAAGAATAAAGGAACTGGGGAATTAAATCAACATTATCAATAGGAGAATCGATGTTGGAAATTGCTTCCTGTCAGAACAAGAATATAGTCCCAGGCCATAAGCAGATACCTTGGTTTTCGCTATGGTTTAGTTGTAGAATGCTGTATTACTTCTAGCATTTACAAGTGGGTCAATATGTTTAATAAAACGAACACGATATTCATATTGATGTATGTAAGACTAAGTGCAAAACTTCAGGATGACGCCTGGTGGGCAATGATCTTGTCCGCCATCCCTGGCAAAGTATCGTCCATGACATCCATCTCTCCAAAGAGTTCTGACAGGGACTCCTTCTCCCACACAGAGCAGTACGCCCCCTTGAATCTGTACAATAAAAGTGTCAGTAACAGTCGTGGCAACTCATGACTCAAGGATGAGACACTTACCCAGCCTTCCTCGCCGCAGAAACATCCCACATATGCGCCGCCGCAAACCAAGGCGTCTTCCCATCATTCTCCGACTTCAACTTCTCCAACAAGGGGCGATAAGCCGCCAAGTCAGGCTTACCGACACCGACGTCATCACAAGAGAGCAAATTCTCCGCAGGCAGCTCAACACCCGCGTTCTTGAAATAGCCTCCAACACGGTTGATATCCGCCGCGGTAAAAGCCCACACCGTGAAACCGGCATTACGCAGCTTCTGAACACACTCCGCCGCATCAGGACGGAATTTGAGAAGTTGGTATTCCGCCATAATATACTCTAGATCTTCGGGTGTGGCCCAGGTCCGCGGTTCAGCGATCCCGGCCATCCAGAGCATGCGGTAGAAAAGCGCGCGGAATACTTCACCGAAGGGGACATAGCTTTGTGAAAGGCTCAAATTGGTGTACTCGCGCTCGGCTGCTTCCATCCACGTATATCCCAGTAGACGAGGCTTGATTCCCTCTGCGCGCAATCGGTCTCCCAGGCGGGCATCGATGGCGTCGAAAACATGATCGTAGGCAACGAGAGTGCCGACGATGTCGAAGACAACGTGCTTAGAAGAGGACATGGTTGGGTCTTGGCTGGAGCTGGGTATCAGGAACTGGAGCGGAATTTAAACACCTTTTGCAACCGAGACCGGTCTTGATATATGTTCAGATAGATAAAGAAAGGCAGGGAGACAGATCAGATAAATACTAATCAGCAAATCACCCCTCCAAGGTTGTTTATTGAACTTACCTTAGGTACCTCTGACTCATCAGAATATATGTATGCATCCATGGTTCCAAGATTGTAGAACCCCGCACCGGATATGCAGGAGCTCGTCGGATTATGAGATCGTCAGTGTAGATAGCACTATGTACTAGTAGTAGTAGATTAGAGCCGGGAATTGTTGGTAATAACCATACAATTACTAGTAGTCGTTAGAAGTATTAGGATTAGCTGAATACATTTCCCGCACATGACCGCCGACTTGGGTGACAAGCGGAACCACCTTCAGCCTCATTCTACTATCCAGATACAAAATTTTATCATTATCACCATGATGGTTTCGCTTGGGACTGTGATTGACACGTCGAGGCTAAATAAGCAGTACAACCTCACTTTACGATTGGGTTCCGTCGCGTTAGATTCGAATTGGACGAAAGCGGGAATATAGTTCAGTGCCGGCGGGTGCGCAACTTGCTCCCGCCGGGAATGTGAACGCGTTGAAGAGATAACAGCGATAGCGATAAGGATACAACTGACCTCCCGAGGTCCCAAGGTCAGGAACTAAATCTCAGATAAATGGACAGATAGTAGGTTTCATGTTTCTACAAGCACCTCATCTACGACTCACGCGGTCAACATCATGAACGAAACTCCGATGCAAACCGCGAAGGACGCAAGCAATCTCAAAACAAGCGAGACCAATGACATAGAACGCTCGGCGAGCTCAGTAACTGAGCGTCATGGCAGCACTATCGTCCTTTCGGCGTCAGACGATGCTGGGTACCATCGTTCTTTGACGAGGCGCCAAATAATGATGATGACTTTTGGAGCTGGCATCGGCACTGGGCTTTGGGTGGGAACTGGACAAGCATTGCACTATGGTAAGCAGTCAAACTATGATATACCCTTCAAGATGCAAGTATTGACATTGGATAGCCGGTCCTGCTGGTACAGCAATCACCTATACAATCACAGCGTAGGGCGCTCCAGATACTATGCTCTTGTGCTCTTGTAACTAACACCGTCTGCAAAGGATGATCGTGTACGCCCAATACTCGTCAATCGGCGAGATGACTACATACAAGCCTATTCATGGTGGCTTTATCCGACAATGCGCTGAATATGTGGATCCGGCGTTCGGCTTTGCGATTGGTGTCAACTTCTGGTTTGCGGTATGTAAGCCTACCGGAATATGAAGGTCATGTGTACTGACGCAGGATAAAGTGGGTGATGATAATTCCAGCCGAGATCACAGCTGCGATATCCGTCCTGAAGTACTGGCCACAAACAGACGTCGTGCCACTCGCGGCATTCATTACTCTATTTCTGGTAGTCTTCGCCATCGCAAACATGTTCCACGTCCGAGTCTACGGCTATATCGAGTATTATATGTCCTTTGTGAAGTGCGTTGCAGTTGTCTTGATGATATTCTTTATGTTTATCATGACATCGGGAGGAATACCAGCAACAAACGGGCCAATCGAGTTCCGATATTGGAAGAACCCTGGGGCTTTTAATAATGGAATAAAGGGCATTTCTAAAGCTTTCGTACAGGCGGCTTTTAGCTTTGGCGGTGGTATGATATCCAAGCACGAATCTGAGGGAAATATACTGACTGAAGCTAGGCGAGCATATCGCTGTTATAGCTGGTGAAGTAGCCGATCCCCGTCGCACTATCAAGAAGACAGTTCGACCCGTTTTCTGGAGAATGTTTACCTTCTTCGTGGTTAATATCTGGCTTGTCGGAATGTGTGTTCCATCCAATGACACCGATCTTGTTAACGCAAGCGGGACTATGGGAAGCCCCTTTGTCATTGCAATCAAGCGGGCGGATGTTTATGGCCTGGCACATGCCATTAACGGGTTTATATTCCTCAGTGTTGTCAGCTGTGGCATTACTAGTGTTTATATCGCAAGTCGAAGTTTGACAGCACTATCTGACCTGCACATCATCCATCCGTTCTTCGGAAGAAAGGACTCGCAGGGTCGGCCCTATGTGTCCCTGATTATTAGTTTGGGCCTTGGTGGTGGGCTGGGCTATCTCAACTGCAACAGTGTGGGCACTTTGGTGTATAGTTGGTTTTCTGCCTTGGTAAGTACACCAGCAAAACAAATAATGTGAAGAGTGGTTGACAATTTGGGTTTAGGTGGCAATAGCAACGCTTTTCCAATGGGCCTCGATCTATATTGCTCATCTTCGCTTCCGGCAAGGTCTTCGAGCCCAAGGCAAGGATCTTAGCACACTCCCATTCAAAGGTCTTCTCACCCCATGGGCGCAATACTTCGGTCTCATCATTGTACTGTTTGTCTTTGGTTGTGAATTTTACCTGGCTTGCTGGCCATTCGGAGAAAAGGGTTCAGTGAAGAGCTTCTTCTCTTCTTATCTCGCAGCCCCGTTGTTCGTCTTTGATTACTTTGTATACAAGGTGAGTCCTTCAAAAGTTGTGATTGACGATCGAAAATGTCTGACCTTAGCAGTGGTATTTTAAAACAACGATAGTCAGGCCAGTTGACATGGATTTCGGTCCTGCCAAGGCCTTTGATGAGCAGGACCTTATCAATGCTATTACTGCTGAAGATACGGGGCTGGATTCAGAGAAGAGCAAGCACAAAACTTGGAGAAAGCGTGCTCAGTACATGGTATTTGGATAAGAGCAGCAATGAGAAAGAATCTTAGTTGTGCGCCTCAATGTGAAATCATTTTGACAGAGATGAAACATTATACGTATCAAATTCAAAATCACCATTTGACCAATCAGGGTGAAAGAAAGCCGTCATATCGTTCAGCTCTTGATTCGCAAAAGCTTCTGTACCAGGTGTGAGATGCGACAACGGACTAAAAGAAGACAGCTCCACATTTCCACTTGGAGATTTATCCTTCTTCAGTGACTGCGTCCAGTCTTTGAACTTCGAATATGCGGACATATAACTTTGGTCGCTTTGTGGCTGCAAGACAATGTCATCTTCGGGGACGACTAGGACCTGACTGATGGCTGTTTCGAGAGACTCGAGGTATGATATCTCGGATTCTGAAGAGCTTCCTCCTACCATCTGACGTATGAGACCCATTCCACGGTGCAGGCCATCTTGGAGTCTCTGGGATTTTCCCGAGTTGAGGCTTTCTGCAAGGATAACCAGAATAGCCGCACGACAAGCACCAAATTCATTGTAAGAAGCGCGGCAAAGGCCGACATGGTCGGATAAAGATTGTAAAGTGTTGAGAATGTCCAAAGCACTCGATACGCAGTCATCCACCAAAAATGATCGACGCACCCGTCCTGAGTCATGATCTGCACCAATTATAGCTTCACCTGATTCTTTTCTGTCATCAGCAAATATAAATGCACGCCCCATGTAGACATATATAAGCAGATAGCACAGTCTGAGATGTGCGTTTTGTCGGAAATTCGGGCCTTGCGAGCATAGGTCTCGACATTCTTCAGTAGCTGGGAGTGAGTCCCACCACTGCTTGATACTCATCCTTAGCCGCTCGAGCCGCTCTGAATATTCAGAAAGAAGCCTTTTCGGACATCTTTTAAATTGTGCACTATTAAACTATCAGCCTGTCGCTGATAGACTGGTCGCACATTTTGAGCCACTTACAGTGTTTCAGAGACCTCTCCCAAGTATAAAATCAATGTATGAAACGCGGTTAGATTGGCAAAGCGTGGTGACTCAAATGTCGGACAGTCCCTTGGCATATCAGCGTTTATTTCAGATCGCGCGATTGAAATAGGGCGTCCATGCATGATGCTGACATATCTATGAAGCATTAGTTAGTATTTCTCTGAAATGCCCTATTGAATATCGTACTTTTCAATAGTGTATGCTGTCCAAAATAACCGATTCCTAACTTCGATAGTTCTAGAGTCACAGTTACCACCTTGATATTTGCGATGCATCCCATTTTGAATCGCCATCTTCATTGCAAGACCGTAATAGGTATATGCAAGGCCACCCGTCGAAACAGGCAGTGAATATGTGGCGAGAAGCAAGAAGGCCTGCACACTTTCGTGGGAAGCAACCAAAAGAACATCTGGAATAAGCTTGCATGCCGCGTGGTAGAAGACTAGCCCGACAGAGTCCTCGGAGCACAGGTTGAGTTCTTCGGTGATCTCTGAAGCAGGCTTTGGTTTTTCATCCTCCATGTGGGCTACCTGGGTTCCAATGGCCAGAACAATAAAAACAGAGCATACCCAAGGAAAATCAATGGCCGTATATGTAGTTATCGAGCTGTAACAGAGGGCTACCTTCTCTTCGATCCATTTCCGCTCCATGTAAAAGGAGTTGATCTCAACGTACTTGAAGAACATGGTAATGAGGAAGTCGGCAATAGGTCTCGGTGGTAGGTGTGTCATTGTATTCACTATAACTTCGGGTGGGGATTGAAGCTGGGTTGGTCGCCAGTATTCTTTGACCTGTGGTATATCGTCAGGCACGCTTGAGTTTTTGCGCGTAGAGATACAAACTCTGGAATCAATCTGATTTATCTGACAGCTCATTTTGCGTCTTAATTTCTGAGAGAAATTCCAGTGGGAAAACTCCCCCGAATAATGCGCCACATTATTGGACACGAAATGAACGTCGAACGACTCGTTGATGTCTAGGGCAGTTTCCGGCAGAGTGGTGTTCGTCGAGCTTCGTAATTTGTCCGCGATACGACTGATGTTATCCTCGTCTAAAGACACATCCCCAAGAAAATGGCGGGCAATATACTCTAGGCTTTGTATTCGCCGATTATCGTCTCTCGGAATGGACGCGACGGGGGCGGAAGAGAGGCGAGGGGATGTCGTTGTTGGAATCGGCTGGCCTTGAAAATGGCATGGCCGTCCTAGCCGCTGACATCTCCAGCAGGGTGGACCGCCCTCACACTTTTCTTTCTGTTTTCTGCATGTCTCGCAACTTTTTAAGAATTGTCAATGCGAGGCGCGGAATGATGCCGAGCAGCAATGTACTTACGCCAGGGAAGCGCGTCTCCTCTCCCCACGCTTACGCTTCGTGCCATGATTTGTTTCTCGGTCGAGAGACATAGAAAGAGCAGTAAATACCAGGAGAGGGTCTGGTGAAAGTCATGAAGACAGGTCTTGAGAGATAGGGGACATCCATGGGTGTTTATCTCTTATCTGACAATATGCGGGGTAACCTTATCCCATGCGCAGGTAGGTGATTGCGAAGGCCTCATGGGAAGCACAAAATCACAGGGGAAATTGGAAGCTTCATTCATTACTGTTCTTTGAACTGGGCTTGAAATTTTGGTTTATCGATATAACAATCCTACTAAAGTATCCCAAGATGCATCTTCATCCTTCATGATGGATTATTCTTACCTTGCCAGCAATGCTTCCTTGGTATCCAACGCCCCATCGCGAAAGAGCTGCGCATCTTTTATGTTGCCAATTTCCTCATAGACATGAGGCATGCGCCATCTGACCCGCGATGATTCTTTTACATTTCCGCGCTGCGCCTCATTCAACTAGCAGCTGACAGGTGATTTGTTTAAATGCTCTAATGCAGTGTTATTGTTTCCCTGCAACATGGCGATGCAGTCTAGTCGATATTGTGCCGCCATAACACTTGCATGTGTTGGCTTCCCCACCGAGATCAAGTCGAGGGCTTCTTTGCTAAGCCTGTAAGCTTCGTCAAATCAAGAAGCTCTGACTTCACATCCTCGAGCCTGAAAGCTTAGTTTTGAGTCATAGACGACTGTACAATATAGTAGATCGATATATAGGAATAACAAGAGCAGAATAAATACAGAGGGCTTCAGTATCTGATCAGTCCCTTCACATCTCAGCCAAAGGAGAAAGAACGACACACGCGCCTTCCCTTGTCGCATCATACTTATGTACTTTGTTTACTTTCTTTTCCTCCAATTTTTCTGTCCCTTGTTCTTCTCTCTCTACATTCCACTTCTTTCTCTTCCCACTATCAATCTCGCCTTTTCCTCATTCTTTCATTCCTCGCTCATTGCCAGTCCACCACACGGCTTGGATGAGCGTTCGCAACACACCGACCGCTCTCTTTTCAGCCTCGACGTTGATTTGATTTGGCTGATCCTTCACGCACAACATGACAGCTGGAGCCTGCTACTGGAGTGGCCGCAGCTCTTACTGCTGCCCTTGCCGTGGCCAAGTACTGCCAGATGTGGTCGAATCTTCGTCGACCTATTGCCTGGAGTGCGGGCATCCACTCAGAAATCATTTCAGAATTGGGCGTAAGAGATTTCTTCTGTCTGTAAAATTGATTTTAACGCTCTTTTAGCGCACCCAAGTGATCCTAGTGCTAGCCAGGTCTTGCTACCAAGACACCAAACCGTGAAAAAGCTTGCCAATCGCATCCATGAACTGAGAGTGGTGCTTGCCCGTGGAACCCCCTCATCGGGAAAAACCTTTCTCGCCCGGTCTCTTCATACCTACCTCCGTGGACAGGGAGTCAAGTCTATTTACATCAGAAGCTTCCCCCTTAGCTTGGAGGGTGGTCCCACCGCGTTACATCATCTGGTCGAGGCCTGTCACATCCAAGGTTTTGCGACATTTGGGCACAGCGTTCTTCGCGACAAATTTGTGTTCCTCATCGATGATGCGCACACGACTTACAATAACTCCGAGCTGTGGTTGATTCTGAATTCGGTGAACCAAGATCGACTCGGGAACATACCAGGAGCCAGTTTCTGTATGTTCAGTGCATTCGGTACCCCCGATAGGGGCGTTATGCCACACAATATGGGGAGTGACCTGTTGATATTCAATAAGAGTCAACGTCTTTTCTTGTCCGAGCGGTCTGCCGAGGATATCACACTTTTCTACACCCGAGAAGAGTTCGATCTCTACATGGAAATGCATTTCCAGGGTCGAGGTTCCGATTACGAAATCTGCGATATTTTGAAAGATATGATCTTTGGCTTAACTGATGGCCAGCCTGAGTTGATGGATGCATTCATGCATCTCTGCGACATGGTATGTGGTCCTCCACCATTTCTAGTATTTTTTGTCATGTTAACATTTTACCAGTGGTATGAGGCATTTTATAAGGATGACGACCTTGATCTTATGAGCTACGATGACTATGAAATTAGTCAATTCTTTCAAACTCGTGGCATTCTGGAAGGAACAATCGCGGTAATTGTAAACTTCGTGGGTCTTCCGCTTTTGCCTGAAACTTTTTTCCTCCTGAACATGAGTTTGAGGTTCTTCGCCAGGCTCACCAAACCCGTGATGACGGCATTTTATTCGACCCACAAAGTGAAGCTATGCTATCATGCCTCACAAAAGGTTGGCTTCACATGGAAGAGAGCCGACAAGGAGGATTCAAATGTTACTTTCCAACAATGTTTCACAACAGGTACGAGACATGCCATCTGTTCGAACGAGACATGCGTACTAATAGTATATCAGGCTTGTGGAATACCTCATGGGAGTCCAGGATCTTAGGTATCCCACCCCGCCTACTTTGAACAGAGCGGAACTTGAGTTGATGTTGAACATGCGCAACATGACGATTTCCTAAAGGGGGTTGGCTATTGTGAACGATGAAAACAGTGGTTGGCAGACATCTAACTCATGCAGGATATTTGGCTTTGTAGAATACTCACACTATGTTTCAGAAGGGGTTGCTGAATGTTTCTGGGAATGATGAAGATAGGTTCGAGGAATGGTCAACCTATCCTGCATTGTCGGTCTATGTCAATCTTTCACTGTGCTACCATGTGTGAAATGTAACTTTAGTTTGTGGAAATACAATTCAAGTTGATTTAAATTTGACCCGTGTGTCATGGCTTCCGTGAGGGACTCAGGTCGTTCGGTACACTGAAAATGAGATTGCAACCTGATCTTTAATCTGATCCCGAAACGTATCGGACTGCACAAATTTCGATCTCAGCTCGGGTCAAGTCCGCAATTTTGTCTCTCCGGATCTTGCACTCGCCATCAGAAATACTTAGAGCCTCATAGCAATGCTAGAATGTCTCGATGTTGGCTCGGCGGTGCAGTGCCACAGGTTGGTCTCCTACATATCATACGTTCGATCTAGGGTTTGCCGTCGAGACAACATCGATGAGATGTGAACGAATCGCCTTCAAAAACTTGTTCCATGCCCTTCGATATGGGACGATCGATGTCGCTATCTGAGGATATAGTTGCTATGATATCTGATATTCACGGTCATCCGTTGTTACAATGACGTTCTGATCATATCCAAATGGTGCTTATAACGTGAGTCGAGCACTACGCTCTTGTCAGAATAGAGTGTCTCTCTTTCCTTAACTAGCGGCTCCAATCACTGGTAAATGACCACGAGATCATTGATAACCAATTTTCTGGGTTTGAATCCCCTTTCCGTCGCTTTTATCGGTGCCCCACCCAAAGAAACGTTGAAGCGTGTGGATAAGTTCGGGATTTTTCGACCAGGCGTCTGACTTTTTTCATTTCTAGAATCAGTTATCTGACACCCAAGGCTGGTCACTAATATCTCGCAGCCGTAGCTATTGTGGTAGCCAAAAATGAAGCCCATGCAATTCTCGAACCACGACCCTTGTCTTTCACCTAGGTTCTTCCGGGGACGGTTCAGAAAGCCATGTCTTACAGAAATCCCTGATGGAGTGTGCCTATCTACAATCAGTCAAAGAGGTTGTGTCTGGCTATCGATCTGTCTAGGTATATAATTATATAGTCAATGGGGCCTCGGTCATCGGGTATACCCCGCGATGACTCAGAAGGTTAGGGTTAAACCGGCCCCACGGTTCATATAAGCTGAAATGCCAAGGGCATTCAACCCTTTTCAAAGGATCAATACTCGATTTCTCTCACTTCGTTTGCATATCTTCGAGTGTCAGCCTCCACATAAACTTCACGCTCACAATTTCAACACCACGCATGCACCCCCATCAAAAGTACGCATTACACTGCGATCAAAGATGGAACGCACTCTAAGGCCAATACATGTCGATGAAGGCAGTCCGACAACCTCACGAGCTGTTCTGTATGTACCGGTACACAATCGTGACCTTAAGAACTGGATTAACACAGCCGCAGACAACCCATCATCATCATCATCGCCTCGACGACCCTCGTCTTTACAGGATGCGGAATAAACTTCGCATTCGGTGTCTTCCAAGAGCTCTACGACTCCATGTCAAAGGAGCCAAATACCCCGTTCACCGGCGCAACACCGGCGCAAATTGACCTGATCGGCACCCTCTCAATCGCACTGATGACAATTGGCGCTCCATTCGCGACAGCGTGGACAAAGCAATATCCCCCTCGATATGTCATCTGGGCTAGCGGAATAATTCACTCAAGCGCTCTTCTTTTTGCAAGCTTCAGTCAACACTTGTGGCAATTCATCCTCACCCAAGGCGTTCTACTCGGTATGGCCACGTGCTTGACTTACATGCCATCTGTAACCGTAGCACCGACCTGGTTCACACTGCACCGCGGATTAGCGATGGGGATAATTCTCGCAGGAACAGGAATCGGTGGCGTTGCATGGCCACTCGCTTTTCGATACCTCATTGAGTCCGTCGGATTCCGTAACACTCTCCGTGTCACGGCGGGGATATCCTTCGTACTCATTTGCTGCTCGGGGACATTTATACGCTGGCCTGCCAGTCAGATCACTCGTATTCAAGCCGAGAACGCCGCTTCTTCCCGTTCGTCAACTTTTTTCCGCCTTCCGCTGGTCGATTGGCGTGTTGTCCGAAGTCGCAAGTTCGTCGCTCATGCGCTGGGTGCAGCATTGCAGTCTGCTGCATACTATACACCGGTGTTCTTTTTCGCGTCTTTTGCGCGTACACTAGGTTACTCACAGGCAACATCCGCGAACTTCATTGCCATCTCGAACGCTGCGAATGCGCTAGGCAAGGTGGTCATCGGCCACGCAGCTGACCGTATGGGAAGACTCAATACACTGGTATTAACCACCCTCATTTCAGCTGTCTCGGTCCTTGCATTGTGGCTTCCCTCCTGTCTATCTGCCACACAATCTACCGGGAGTACACTGTTCATCGCATTCACGATCTTCTATGGCATTTTTGCATCAGCATACGTCGCTCTCTTCCCGACGAGCCTCGTAGAATTGTTCGGTGTGCAGAACTTTGTCAGTGTCAATGGCCTACTGTATATGGTACGAGGCTTTGCAACCTTAGTTGGAACCCCAGTTGCGGGCGCGCTGATCCGTGGAAACCACGAGAAGAGTGTCGGTCCACGAAGCTATGAGAATACCAGCATTATGGTTGGTGTACTGCTGGTTGTGGCGACGTTGGCTGTGGTCTGGGCGCGACTTGAGGCTACACTTACCCTTGATGCTGCTGCGGGGCGCAGAATGAAGTGGTTGATGTAAACTTTCTGCCACGCAGAAATTGAAGGAGACATATCGATGTGGATGGTGAGAAACATCCCAATGCCACAGACTGTACATTAACAATATTTACCATTATTAAGCGGTCAAATATAATAAAATCCCTTCTCAATTCTATCACATCTGACATCCATCCTGGGTCTAATGCTTACATAGCCGCTAGGCTGTAGACAGGGCAAGAGAATTACCAACACAGAAGCGAACTAGATGCGCTGTCAGACAGGGAATAACTAACAGGGCTACAAATTCCATACGGTTACCTCTTAGTGCTCGGACTTATCGTATTGTAAAACCAACACTGGAATATCAGGACATCCTCACGAGCACACTTCATCTAGAACATCAATTCTGATTTCATTGGACTTGACACAGAAATGTCCTTCCAACCTTGGAAGGTTACCGGTTAGACTATATCATGATCATGCAGGTCGGGACTGCTGGAAACAAATTCATTGGAACACAAATCCTGCATTTCCACAAGTACGTGGCTTGAAACGTGGACATTCCAACAGGAATGCTTCGGTAAGCGTGTCCCGTCTTGTAGGACAGTTATATATATTTTCCAGAAGTCCTTACATATCTCTATTCTTTTAGATTTCGAGCACTCCTCCCCATCGCATTTCATTTTATCGACCATTTACAACCATCAACATGAATGTTTGCTTCATCTGTAACCAGATGGCTAGAGGGAACCCAATCAAGCATGGTAATCTATTAAACGACCCAAAGTCTTATGAGACCGAACATTGCGTGCTTTGCTCTCGTGATTTCTGCCAAGCCCATAAGTCTAAAGATGAATCAGTTTGTGAGATCAATCATCACACTTATTACATCAAACACCGGCAAATTCCTGGTCTCTTTCCTTCCCTGGAAGCGCGAAACAAGCAAAACGAGCAACTTGGATTTGGACAGCAAGAAGCAATGGTGTAAGTCTTTGTTCCGAATGCCACCCTAGAACTTGCTGAGATGTTTGAAGTGGGAATGGTCAAAGTCTATAGGAAAACTATGCTATGGATATATACGCCATCTTGTGACAACTACAAATTGTTAGTGGAGAGCTAGCTCGATGAAGGTGATCTGGAGGCATTGGATCTACACATTTGGATTCTGGTGACAGTTATGCGAAATTGTAAATGTTTGAGTTCATGGCTCGGATCAAATAGCCTTCCATATCGTGCTCCTCCTTATGGTTGATGTTGATACTAATCAAAAGCTCCTCTCAATTTGATCAAAACTGACAGGATGGATCTAAGACTTCTGGCTAGACATAGGGGGAGTTGGGAATACACTCATCAATACCTTGTATCTCTCTCAACTTGGATAACCCCGAATCATAAAAAGCTTTTAATACATCCACCTGTCTCGCGCTCGCTGTTTTTGCCCCTCTCATATCCACAAACACAGAAATAGCTTAAACTATCTGGTAGACAATCCGCGAGCGTAGCCTTTTCCTCCTTCTCACCCAGACCTTCGTTCACCCCTTTGGCGAAGTACAAAAAAGTTTGAATCCCCATACTCAATCATTTCAGCGCCACAAAATGCCTTAGTGGCCCGTTATTCTTCCAAAGCGCTTGAAGAAAGTCACGAGTTCATACATCCTCGGACAAATCTAGTAGCTACATATGGACAATGGCAAAGATGACTTGGCTTTGGTGCTCGGGACCCATGTGGACGTTGTGGCGACCTTTGTTGCCCGCCTTGAAAGCTCCTCGCAAAGGAACAAACTCAGCCAGTGCCATATGATGTCCGGCAATCTTCAAAACCAACTTTTCACCCGCGTCGAATACAATGCCGGTAGGCCAGAGTCCAATTTCCAGACGCACAATCTCACCTGGCTCCACGCGTTCTTCCCGGTCATGCGTGTGGACCGGCCAGTATGGCTTCGAGAGGTGAGAGTCCAGTTTGCGGTGACTGGCACGAAGGATACCCGTTGGCCCGAGATATTTCAGGCAGTTGACAGTTTCGACCTCGGATGATTGCATCTGTAAATCACTCAGGGGGATGTTGATATTCTGTAATGTCTTTCCGGCGGAGTCCGCTTTACGGAGCTGAACAAAGACGTCCATGTCGTCATGATAGTTGCAAGACATGTACAGAATGACCTTAGAATATCCAACGAGATGGCTGCGATGTTGGAAAGTGTACACGAACTGGATTTCCTCAGTGTTTGTGTCCATCTGCATTGCAGAAACATCGGACTGATATGAAAGCGTTAGGGTGCTAGGAGAGGGGTTCTCATTGAGACTCCCGTCAGCGGACAGGTAAAGCAGCTGAGGCCGTGCACTCGGGACTGGCCAGTCATTGAATACATGATTTACTTCTGGCTCCTAAGTTATGTTAAAAGATGGCGGAGACATTGCGGAAATGTGGATAATGTACCTTGTGGAAATTCAATGTGGAGACTCTGACTCGTGGGGTTTGCTCCCATGAGTTTTGGATCCCCTTCGTGAAACGATCGAAGAATAACTGCAGCTCGTTGTTCATTTCCGGCTTGTATAGGTCGTGCCATTCAAAGGTCGGATGAACTCGCAGCCTGGAACAATAAGTATACGTAGAATAGCGAATATGATGAGAAAAACAAAAGAAGGTGCGACATACCATTTATTTTGATGAGGAATATCTTCAAATCCACGGAAGGAGCCTACTGTATGGAGACCACTGGAGTAACTTGCCAGCACGTAGGCAGGAACCTGGATGTCCTCGATCTTCGCCCTCTTATCCTTCCAGTACTCGTTCATCAAAGGGTATTGAGCTAGCATACCCACCACGTCTTCTTGTTGATTCCGGCCTGTCATCCAACAATTAGCATCGAAACTTCCTCACGAAACAAAAAGCAAAGCCTTACCAAAGAGACCATGGCTTCGGAGAAAGCCCCAGAAAGGCGTGTATGGGACACCACCTCGACAAAAAGTCTCTCGATAGAAATCACTGACACCCTCTAATGGCGCGATGCAGGCCAAGTGGGGTGGCCGTTCAGCCGCGATGGACCACTGGGTTGCGGCCAGCCACGAATTTCCCACCAGCGCAACCTTTCCTGTGCACCAGTCCAGCTGAGCAACATGTTCAACAGCATCGTAGCCATCCTGACCGTCGCGTGTTCCGAACCATCTGTAAGCTACAGCATCAGCCACTGTACCGTGGTGATATTCGTTTGCCAGTTGAAATGGTTTAATTGGAAAAATACCTGATGTCGCCGGTGGAATCAAAGACTCCTCTTATGTCCACATTGACGATTGCATAGCCCCGAGATGTCCACTCGGCCGGGTCTGGCGCTTCAAAGCTTTCGTACCCAGATAACTTGTTTTGTGGAACACCAACACGTCCAGGAATCAGGTCAAGAGTCAAAAACCCTAATTCATTGCCAGAAGGTCAGTTACTGAAAAGATTACAACACAATGAAGGAAAAGTAGCAAACCTTGTCCGCTCTTCCCATAAGGGCTCCACGCCATGAGCGCGGGGACCTTTCCATCAAAATCCTTTGGGCGATAGACATCAGCCCGCAAAATGGTCCCATCACGTAGAGGAATCTCAATATCCCTTTCTAGAATAGTATTGGCGGCGAATTCTGCATGATTGCTGTCTTTTCGATGTCCTGTAGGAAGGATCACAGTACCGGGGTTACAGCCCTGATATTGAGCACTGGGCGAATCCAGCGACGAAGGTGCACATTGCAGCACTTCGATATCTCCAACTTTGTACATATCTGATGATATACTAAACTAAACAAGTGATGATTGAATTTTTGCTCATGGATGAGTATCAGCAGCTGTACGTAGCGGGCTGTCATCCAACATTTATAGCTTCAACCCCACCCTCGGAACCTGACAGATGAAACAACAAACTCCCCGTGACTCCTAGATCTGCATTTTGTTGTCTGCTTTCAGATCGGTCCAGCAATTTTCAAACGCCATCGTTTTAGTTCATGTTAGCTTGACTGTATACATAGCTAGACGTTTTTATTTGGCATAGTGCCCTTACTAGAGATTACAATCCACTGTATTCAGGATATGTCTAATTACGCATTCAGATATGGGTGAACGCTGGCATTTCGGTAACATTGTAATTTGCATTCGCAACGTCGGAACTTCGAAAATTTGCCATCCGGACAGTATCTGTCCGAATGCCGAAAATCTAGCAATGAAAGCATGGTATTCGTCAATTCCCCGCATCGGGATGATTCCTTCAGACATGCTTGATAATTCAGGTTTACTAAGACCACATTATGCGCGTATAAACTCGGGTAGAGTGGTTCAGTGGCTCATCCGCAAGCCCATTTGGGTGATTAGTAACCTGTCTAGGCACCCGTGGACGGCTGGAAAGTGGACACTAATGTGAGTTGGCATTTTTGTTCCACTATCTCATGCAGTCCTCTTGTTTTTCGGGAAAAGATTACGAATACTGATGGATATATATATCAAAGGACCAAGGGAGATCGAGGGCCCCAAGTGTTCAACGGGAATCATTTTTTTACCGACTTTGACCGAACATTTTGATCTGTGATCCAATAGATTGTGATTTCGAAGATGGCTTCTAATCCACCTGCTGCTTGCTGTGCTACTGGCTTTAGACATGAGGGAAATCCCCTTGGGGAGCTGAAGAATGTTGAAGGCGGTTAGTTGATTTCCCCCCAATGTACGAAGGAGCTGTTCGTTTACGCTGGTAATTCTACAGTCAACACATATATCAGTCGTCCTAAGAGTACAGAGACCCCTTCGAACGTGGTTATCATAGTGAGCGATATATTTGGTATTTATATCAACAGCCAGCTCCTCGCAGATGAGTTTGCCGCCAATGGATATTTGGCACTCATTCCGGATATCCTGCAAGGGGATGCCCTCACGCACGCCGACATGGAGAGCGGAAAGGTTGACCTGAAGGATTGGATTAAAAATCATCAACCAACACACATTGACCCCATTATGGAATCTACTATCCAGTATGCCAGACAGGAACTGGGTGCAAAGAGAATCGCTGGAGCCGGTTACTGCTTTGGTGCTAAGGTGAGCACCCTAGTATTGCAGATAAGAGTGACTTTTTCTAATATCCACTGGCTCATTGTAGTATGTCTGCCGCTTTTTGAAGGACAAAAAACTTGATGTGGGCTATCTGGCCCACCCCTCGTTTGTGTCTCATGAGGAACTTGGCGCCATCACAGGTCCTCTCACCATCGCTGCTGCAGGTAAGTTTGTGTTTTTCAAAAACACCCGAGACATATCGGAAACATCGTTAATGATTTTGAATAGAAATCGATCAAATTTTCACCACCCAGCTTCGACACGAGTCTGAGGACATTCTCAAGAAGGCTGGTCAACCTTGGCATATTAGCCTCCATGGTGGAGTCTCGCACGGATTCGCTGTCCGCACCGATTTGAGTAACAAGTCTTTCAAGTTTGCGAAGGAGCAGGCTTTCGGACAGGCACTGGGCTGGTTCAATTACTATCTGTAAAATGGACGTAGCCGTTCAAAATTGCGCTTTGGCGGAGCTCTGAGGGGAATCAGGAAATATTTGCTTGTGGTGTGTTGAGAATCCAGGTTAATTCTTAGTAATTAACATGGAGCTTTCAACTAATTCGACATGCTTTATACATTACGAATCACTATACAACTCTCGCACGCCAAGAGCTTCGAAGTCCTACGGAATCGAGATTAGCGCCGCCGATGCAGTTTGCCGTCTACACCACCAATTCCTATATACAACCGCTTCTTTCTATGTATGAAGAGATTAGACAGTTTACAATTTCATTTTTGGGACTATAATCATAGTTCCATTTATCTTTGCAAGAGATACTCCCTTTATTTTACATGCTGTATAGTCCCTTTTTGTACTATTTCAACATGATAGATAACATGATATTTGTTATTGAGAATAAAATGAAGGACTATTTGAGCTACATAAAGACGGCTGCCTGGGTGGCCCAAGGAACCGAAAACTTATCGAGCTCGAGTCCGTCCGGCCTATCACCCAAGTTACCAGTCCAACATGAACCCAGTCTGTCTGGCTCTTCATATGTATCAAAAGCAGGATCGGAAACGAAGGGCATCGGCATTGGGTTCAGCGACAAAATCCTTGTTTCCAGAATGAGAGCGGAGACGGGTTCCCAGACGAGACTGATCTTCGGGGCTATCGCGCCGATATCTTTAAGCACTGAGTGAATATCGCCGCGTGGGATATATAACCCCACTCCTTGGTTCTCCGGTCGCCAGATCTCAACCTCTATCTCGGGACAAAGATCGGCTAAGGCACGCATGATGATCCCAGCGTAATAAAGAGAGATGCTAAATAGGACATGACGGTCTTGATGCGATTTGGACACGTCATTGATCTCATTTTGTTGCACATTGCCTTCTACCAGGTGCCATATCTTGTATGCATGATGTAATGCGACCTTCGCGGCAGGGTTGGATGCCCACGAAAATACTATCCTTTCGGCAGCTTGCGTTTCCGCTTTGCTTTTAGACTCCCCCACACAACAGAATATTGTTTGGAGAGCACTGATATCAGCGTGCAATTTAATACACCCTATGTGGTAAAGGAGCCAGGGTTCAGGGGGAGTATGTTGCGGCGGAGAGATGAGATCAAGCATTTCTTGGATGGTTGTCCAGTTATTTAACGATTGAAAAGCGTGTTGGTGTTTCGCAAAATGTGTATTTTGACTCAAAGTAAGATTCGACGACGCCGAGGTGCTTGAGGATTGGTCCGAGTTCAAATCGTCCGTCCAAAATTGAGGAGATGGATGTCGTTGCACCGTTCTGTCAGCCGCAAACGGAAATTCGTAGTGATGCTGGGGATTCATAACTTGGGAGTCCAGGGGAGAATGCAAGGTGGTATGACTATTCTGTTTGGAAAGCTTTTGCAATTGCATCTGTAGGCCGCAAAGTATGAGCTCACTTGATGAGGCATCAAGAGCTTCAAAGTTTGCGAAGGTACCATCCGTTGCGGTGCGGATGAGGTCCGCGTACAGTGTGTACGAATTCGGCGCTTGAGAAGCGGTCAACAGCTTCTCGCGCCAATCTGGGCCGACATAGGCCCACAGTTCTTGACTGCATGGTATTTTCAAATCAAAATCGAGATGTGAAACCAGCGGTAGCGTGTTGAACAGAATGCTGAAGTTAAGTTTCACACCGCAGAAACGCGAAGGCCAGCCGCCGTCTTCTCTCCATGCGGATCCAGAGGGCGAGGCTCTCTTCAGATTGATTGCCATCACATTGACAAACAAAACCAGAACCCCGTTGGTTGGACGGTTCGGTAAAAAGATTTGCCCTGTGCGCAAAAGATGCGAGGATAGTTCTGGCTTCGCGAACGTACTTGGATTCCTGGAATTTACCCACGTATAATGACATTACCTCTGTCAGGATAAGAGCTTCAAATATCTCTTCCATTTTGACGGAGTTTTCGGGGCATTTCAGGCATAGATTTAGAAGAATTGGGCGCAATGCCTGGTGCACAGCCATACCATATGCAGTTGCATGCGAGGAACCAGCGTACATGGCACCAATGGAAGTCATTGTCAAGTAGAGAAAAGGTTCAACCAAGTCGTAATCGAAACCTTGTCGCCAGGATATTGGCCAGAGGTTATAGAAGTTTTCGAAGAAGCAAGTGATAAAACTGTGTAATAGATGTGTTGCGCTTTTATGAGCCACGCCGGAGAGCTCAAAACATGTCTCAACAACTTCAGACAAAGACCTTCGTTTATAGCTGCGAATGACTGCATCCCTTACTGGAATGACTGTGAAATCGGCAGCTGCTTCATGCACGATGCCTTGAATAATGACATGCGGCCTTTTTTCGCCTGTCACGTGGTGTCTTCCGTTCAGAGAATCTTCGAACTTAAAGGGACATTGCCGCGCAGAGAAGTTTACATCTGGGATCTCCATCTCTGTAGTACAATATTCTGCCCTTGGAAAGTATGTATCAGACTGAACCACTCCGGTTGCTATATGCTCGCTGAAAGCAGGGTTTGTCCAACTCGTTTGATCTCTTTCGCAGAAAATTGGACTCGGCGCTGCATTATCGGAAAGCACCTGGGATGGTGAAGTAACAGCATCTGGAATGTGTAATGGCCATAATCCAGCTTCTGTCCCAAGGTCCGGTGCATCCAGTGCAAAGCATTCAGAAACGTCTAACGTCGCGGAGACTAAATACATTAGCAATTGTTTTCGATCAGCTAAGACCTCACGAGGTCGTCACTTACTGCGAGTTGATGGTGATAACAGTGGTGTACCTTGTGCGGGAGGGATTCCGCCTTCAGCCACAAATGGATCATAGGTTGCATCCGGGCTGTTCTCCGCGAACCCTTGTGCGCTGGGGCGACTCGATTTCATCAAATAGGAACATTTCTTGCCACCCTGAAGGCAATGATGACACGGACGGGCACCATTGCAGCGAACTTTGTTTGATCTACGCCCATCACATGCTCGTACAGAGCGTTGCCTATCACCATTGCGATTGGTATTACTGTGAATTTGTTCGTGACGGCGTAGAACATCGACCCGAGAGAATGATAGGTTGCATGTTTCGCAATAGTGCCATCGGTTACGGTCATGACTTTTCTCGTGTCGCAAATAAGCACTATAGCTCATGTATTGGCGCGAACACTGGTTGCAGGAAAAGAGCCCCATATTATGAAAGGACGAGGTCGAAGATTTGATGGATCGAACTGGGTCTTGATGGAGTCTGTTGGGTGTCTCGTGTGCCTAATCATGCAAACAGCCCTAGAGGTCAATAAAGAGAAAGCAAACAGTCGAAGCTATACATACATTATCGCTACCCCTCATCCCCTCCAGGAAGAGCTGGAGGCGAGTGGAGGAAAAGCAAGTATAAGGCATCCGCCCTCACCGCCCTGACATGACGGAGAAAATTCGCCAAGAACAGGGGTCTCGGTGATTTAGAAGACCGAGCCCCGTTGATTTCCATGGGAGGTGATCATCTTTTAAGTTCTGACCCAAACCCCGCTAAACCCCGCCAAACCCCGCTCAAATCTTTCATTGAAGTCCGGTCACCGTATGGATCAATACTCAATGTACTAGCCTCAATAACTGCCTATATACGGGGAGGCATTGTCATCGCGCACAGCTTCATTTTTCATGGTTTTTTTATATTTATATTTTAATTTTTGACAGTGCTGTGTTCAATAGAAGGATGCTCTTTTTAAATACGAGAAGGACTACAGCCATTAACTTAGTGTAGTCCATATACCCGAGAACGGACCTAGGCAATAGGATCCTATGCTCCCTGGCTTCTGGCCATGGTTATATATAGCGAGAAGGACCATTGAGTGGCCTGTTATTAATGTATTAGTATGGTATGAGATCTCAAGGGAATGAGGGCGTTGAACGAATTGGGTGGTGGACACTGTTTTTTGGGGGGGGGGGGGCTAGTTCTTTAAACCGGCCGTGTAGCTTGCGGTCCCCTACATTTATGCAGTACATACTGGATTCGTCACCTTCTAAAGATCCCGTGTTTTTGTTTCATAATACGTGTTTATTTTAATCAGAGTACTGCCGTGGGCAATCAAATCAATGAAATTGTTCTTGTCTCAAGAGACAAACAACAATGTGTTGGGAGCTGGTGGTCTGCTAACTATTGGAGCGGGCTACCTGGGGGCGCAGTGTTCGCTTTGCTGTAGACTACTCTTGATCTAACCGGGGCAGCAGTGCCAACGCATTCTTGAAGTAGATCTTATCCCTGAGATCCTGGTCCATCGGGAATTTGTCAAGATCTTCCTTGAATCGGGCTATCTTATCTGCCGGAGCGTAGGGCGAATCCGATCCTAGAAAAGTTAGAAGATATACTTCAAAGAGCAACCTGTCGCCTAGAATAGGGAGTTCACCATAAAGAATATGATCATGTGGCACAGAACCCAGAAGTGCGGTCAATATGAGGGGCGAACTGGAGAGAGCGAGATCGTAATAGAATGATCGGAAGTCTTCCATCCATTCTTCATAAGACTTTGTGCCCTCATTGGCGTCAAATGGAAGCCCGCGGAGAGATGGTGTTACTCGAGAGATCAACCATGGAAGAGTCCCACCGGCATGGGACAAGATGACCTTGCAGTCCGGGTATTTGCGCTTGGTGCCTGAAGAAATCAGATCAACCGCAGTACGGGTTGTTTCGTGGGGATAATCGACTGTAGATTGTGCGAAGATCTCGTTGACCCGGTGTGGGTCAATTGGATGAGTTGGGTGGATGAATACCACTGCACGACGGGAGTTCAGTTCTTGCCAGATTGGGTCGAACGCTTGGTGTCCGAGATATTGATTTTTTGGGCCATAGCGGGTAAAGATAGTGACGCCGTCGGCCTTCAATACATCCAAGGCATAACTGATCTCGGCGAGGGTGCCTTCAGTGTCCAGAAGGGATGGCATTGCCGCGAAGAAGCCCCACTGTGTGGGGTTTTGGTCACGAAGGGAGGCTGCGTAGTTATTGCACTCTCGAGCTAGTTCCCTTGCACCCTGATCGTTACCCGCAATGACCGGGCCAGGAGCAGTCACGGAGAGAATAGCAGTTCTCGTTCCATTCACCTCCATGGATGCTTCGTCGGACTCGGGGCTCCATTGAGGTGTGGGGAATCCAGAGGGATCTCCACCCGCATTCTGAACAGCTGAGAGATTTTAAATTCACGATGTTCATTGGCTCTGAAAGAATCTTTGGGATCATACCTTTGTTGTAAAATTCAGGAACGAAGTGGTGATGCGTGTCGATTTTGGTCCGGGTGCTGAGCGGCGGCATGTTGTAAGACGGGGAACTGGGATTCTGGTTGGTAATTGCTATAATGAAAATATTCGAGGATTGAAATTTGCAGATTGGCCAAAGTGCATTAAATATACGGTAAGGAAGCGGAGAATCTGTACAAACCACATTTCCCGATGAGGGGCACAAAATTTCGCCGCCGGATGAATGTTCAGATCACTACGGAGTAGTCTGCCTGCTTCTCGGCGTTTCGGCTTTTACGGCCCTCCAAGTCAGAGAGCAACGACAGAAGTTGAGCAATGGCGGTAATCAGCCGCCCGCGTTGGGTTAATATGCCGTGAGCTGGGACGTGTCGAGATTGATCGACGCCCATTCCGACACTTGGCCTGTTTGTCCAGTGGAAAGTTTTCTGGGACACAGCCACTCCGTATTCATCCGGATCTAAGGCTTCATGGTCACGATTCGGAAAACTGATGGAACATGATAGTGGTTCAAGTTCACGGAGAATAAATTCCCTATCAGGCAACCTACACTGCCAGTTAAAAAAAACCACCGTCCCTCCCCGGTCCACCGCAGATCCTTGATTTTCTGCTATTACTAATAATATGTTCGCTTTTCAATTATATACATTAATAGTTAGTGTACTATCCGTTGGCCCTAATAACTACCTATTGTAGAGGGGGCTTATAAGAAATGGCGGTGTGAGTTAAGCTGAATACGTGTATTAAGTGCTAGAAGCAAGAGATTAGAAGAATAACCAACCTTTCTCCTACCAACTACCCCTTGCCTTCCTTCTCCTACCTTCCGCTATTCAAGAACCTGCCCTGGTTTTGAGACAGACATTACCCGCGTCTATGACAGCGCTCCCCACTACACTATATATACGAGGGCGTTATAGTATATGACAATCGTAAAATTAGAAATGAATTAAAATTCATACTCCTCTTTTCGTTATACTAGGATTTCGATATCGGTGTAGTTTGTAGATCTAAGAACGGACCTAGGGAGTAAGATCATTTGCTCCCTAATGTCACGATCTGCATGTTATCACATGCCAGAGATCGTTTGTTTGCTTTATTTCCTTTGTTCTTCGAGGTGCTACTATTCCTAATTGGGAAAGGGGTTTGTTTGCATTGTGGGATAGCTCTGCTATAAGATCCCTGGGATTCACCACTTGCTCTCTCTCCTTCTCCCCATCTTTGCTTTTCTAGTTTGAATGCACTCTTTCTTGTTGATTGACCTGGCACGTAACACCTAACTCCTAGTCCTGGTTAGATAGGGAGAATAACTATTCGATATTCTATAATTACTGAATTGGTATAGTATAGGATCTTAGGGGTAGGAGAGCGGTAAACTAATCGGGTGATAGACCCTGTTTGGGGGGTTGGGGGTGTAGCTTTTCGCACTGGCAGTTTACATACGAGAATGCGATTGAAAAAAGCATGGGAAATAAGGAATTATAGCATAATGTCAAGCAGTTAGGCATTGATAAATGTGCTGGCTGAATAGTGGAACAGGATTTCCTCGTCTTCAATATTTCTAAAATGATCCCTACAACGAAAAGACTAGGAAAAGCCCAGAGCGCGCTCGACAAATTGAATTCTCGATTCTTTACTGATAGAAATTCGGAAAATTATCTCATCACCCACAAAACCCCCATTCACACTGAATTCTATGGTAGACAGACTTCCGAGTTCCATGCAGTTGCTGAATCACCCGACCCTGGCTCCATTGCTATTCAATTTCCTTCAATATGATTTTTATCATGGCTCTGGGATAGGGAGGGTTGCAAAGTAGCTCATGGCTTTCTCGTTTGCTTCCCGACTCATTGGCTTCCCCTCCTCCGACATTTCGCTCAAGAGTTTGAAGTAGTTGATGTAGAACGCGGGTGTGTAGGTATTGAAGAACCTGGCTTCCATATCACCGGGATTGGAGAAGGTATGGGGGCTGCGGGTTGGGACCACGACATAATCGCCGGCGTGGGCGTCAACGTTAGCCTTGCCAGGGATGTGAAAGCGGACCATGCCTTGAGTGACAAGGAAGGTTTCATCGTGCATCTCGTGCCAATGCGGTGGTGGCCCTCGAGCGCCGGGAGGAATGATCAGCTCAGCTGAACTGATGCGCATGTCTTTTTCTTTTGTTAGATATGATGTAACGGAGTCGGATGTGCAAAATTACCCGTGTTTGATCCATCCTCCATAACACGCAGCTTCAAGTTTCCCAGGACTAGGACGTCCCCATTCTTTGCTGGAACGAAGCTAACCGGGCGGTCTGGTACTTCCATTGTGATATAGTTGTGTTAGATTCTGCTGGATTTGCTTAAATTTTTGGTCGGAGCCCCGGGACTAATATATATTTGCTTGAGGTGTCCGGACTCTACAACAATTCAAAGCGAACACTCCACTCTCTCGTAAATACCATCCACGAATTTGTTGGTGGCGCATTGGTTGTAAGCAAATGAGTGACGAACCCTTTGCTGATCATTCGGGTAAAGTGGTGATCGGGATTTGGGCCTTGCTTCCGGACGGTTGCCTTAAATCCGATATCGCGCGTAGCGTAAAGTTCCGGGGCGTTGAGTTATATCCGAGGAGTAGACTTTGCGATTCTGTATGTTGTACAACATATAGAACAAATTGATAGTAAGATGGAGATTTTTGTTGTCAAAACCCCACAGCGGAGTCCTTTCTATTTAATTTAAAGTACCTACCTTTCCTCTCTTCGCAGGCTCAATACTTTATCATATTCCCCCAACTCCGCTCACATTGTCATTCGAATTCAGTGTTATGACGAGTATTATGAGGAAACAAGAAAAATGGTTTGCCGCCCTTCTCACTTGGACTGGCCGAGACTTTTCCAAGCAACATTGAATCGCTAACAATAAATTGTGTTTAGTATCCTCAGTGGACCGGTCGACGGGACAAAAATGGTTGCGCTATCTATATATTCCCAATGCGGCACCTAACAATAAAGCGGTTGGATGCATACTTGAAGAATATATCATCCTGCCCAACATCGCGCGAACATATGGTGGACAAGCCCGACATTACCCCTCGGGATCTTCATTTCCACGCCCTATACGAGAACCTCCAACATTTTGTCTTTCCGTTCGTCTCACAACTAGCAAGACCAGATATGAGCATTCCTATCAGCGAATCCACACACATCGTGGATGTGAGCAGAGTGAGTATACGCCAATTCTGGAGTATCCGGAAATATCTCCAAGAGGCGAGTGCGACGGCCACAGCGCACTATCCAGAGACACTCGGTCGAGTTTTTGTACGTCTCCCAAACTAAAATGGATTGCAAGTAAGATCCTTTATCTGACATGATTTGTGGCTGACCATCGGCGCTCGTCAAGTTAGATCGTCGGTGCACCCGCCTTCTTCAAATCCATATGGGATATGATCAGTCAATGGTTCGACCCGGTCACTCGATCGAAAATCTTTCTTCTCTCTTCCTCTGATGATGAGTCGACTCTACGCTCTTTCATCGATCCACCTAATTTGCCGAAAGCTTACGGTGGCGAGTTGGACTGGCAATGGCAGGACTTGCCGAACTTGGATGGCCCCGCAAAAGAATTGATGGACAAATTGCATCAGGATACTGCTGAGGGACAGGTGTTTCCAAAAGGGTCTATAATCTTCGAGAGGGGCTGCATCAGGCTTCTGGGAACCATCGATGGGATGCCGAGACGCGATGGCTATTGTCCAAAATAGATCTGAAAAACCCTGGGTTTTCCGATCATGAAGTTTTACAATACATACATACTCTTTAGCTCCCAAAATAGACAATCAACATTGATTTGACGACAATTAAACAACTGCGTACTCAGACAGATCACTGCTTAGGATAGACATAACGTAAAATTAGTGTAGGATCAAATTGCAAATAAGATGCCGCATGCCTTACGATTTATTATCACTAGCATAAATCCCGTTCACACAATACGTATATCCAATGGGTCATTGCCTTTCAAATGCATGTGTGCGTTTCTTAGGCATTCCCTGTGCCGTAGCCTCCTGTGAGTTAAGGGCAGTGCCTCCCTTAACTCACAGGAGGCTACCCTCCCACCAATCGTCGGCGTCATCCACAGTGCCATGGTCCTCCGAGACACTTCAATACTCAAAATGACATTTGAGCAGCTGACCGACGTGCTCCGTCCCAAGATCCAAGGTGGCCTCCACTTGGACCGTCTGTTTGCCACGACGGACCTCGACTTCTTTGTTCTCGTGTTGTCTATCGACTGCGTCATCGGAAATCACGGCCAAGCTAACTACGCTGCCGCTAATATATTCCTGTGCGGGCTGCGTGCCGCGACGGTCAACGGTGGCGCCATCCTCGGCGCGGGCTACATGCAACGGGCGCTGGCACGAGGCGAGCTCGACGCCATCGTCCGCCGGTACAGCATGATGCGCATGTCGGATGGCGATTGGTGCCAGTCCATCTGCGAGGGCATCGACGCATGCTGTCTAGATAGCCCTGTCGGGCCCGAGCTGACCACGTCCATCGCTGATGTTACCTAGCCGTTTTGCTATTTTTTTGGTCCTATTTCATTACAATCGGAGCAATAGGGGAGGTGTAGGAGTGAAAAGAAAAACGTGCGTTGGTTGTTTTGTTGGGCCAATATAGTGGGGCGGAGTGGGAAGGAACATTTGACTAGTATCGGTATGTATGGACAATGGATACAATACCCTTTTTTTACTTTTCTATCACTGTGAAATGTACCCACCATCAACATTCAAGATGGCACCTGTAATCCAACTCGCACCATCACCACTCAGGAAAAGCACGGCTTTGCCAATATCCTCTGGCAAGCCCAAGCGTGGCCATGGAGTAGCACCGCGGATCTCTTTATTAAGTGTCTCATCCTCCATGGCAGAGCGAACCATGGCAGTTTCGATAAACCCAGGACAGACAGCATTGATGTGGATCTTATCAGGGGCGTAGTCAAGTGCTGCTTGACGAGTCAATCCCACAACTGCAGCTTTGCTGGCACAGTAAGAGGCTGAGATTTGGTTAGCAACTCATGATCGTTTCTGATTGTTCTCACGGAGAAGAGAACTCCATACGTTCCATTGAAAGCCCCACCAAGCCACCGATCGATGAGATGTTGACTATCCAACCTCGGTCTCCAGGGGGCAGAGGGTCCTGCTTCATCATCTGCGCAATGGCATACTTCATTCCAAGAAAGACACCACGGGAATTGACCCCCTGTAGAAGTAAGCTTCTCTGTCATATTTGAAGGAAATGTCCAGTTGCCCTACCATTGTCTTATCAAATGCATCAACTGACTCTTCTGCAACTCTGTGTTGCCCACAAAAGACTCCTGCATTGTTGACCATGCTTTGGGTATAATTTAGCAAGGGTCGCTGCAGGCAAAGTACTCAAACATACATATCCAGGCGACCATACGTGGTCACTGCTGCTTCGACGAGTGCCTCCATATCCTCTGCTGAACTGGCATCTGCCTTCTTGAAGGTGGCCTTTCCCGTCCTAGCGATTACCTCGTGCGTTGACACATTTTCTTTTTCATATCCACCAGCCCGCAAGTCGGGCGTGATGTCGCTGCACACAACACTCGCTCCTACTGAAGCCAGTGCCAAAGCAATTGCTCGGCCAAGGCCAGATGATGAGCCAGTGATGATGGCAACTCTGCCTTCGAGGCTATAACAAAGTTAGGGAACAGCTACGTCACTGGAGTATGCTCGGGGCTGGAGGAAATGCCCACTTACTTCAAGATACCCGACATTTTTAGCGTTATGATGCCGTTGTTTCTCTTCGTGTTGATTCTGCAACCTACAAGGAGTCGGAGATCGGTGTCAATTTTATAATAGATGTTTTGGTAGGACTATCTGGGGCGATATCGGACAGAAGTCATAGAACCACCACTCCTTCGTTAAGCAACATTGAGAGTGATAAATCACGACCAGGGAATGAACTGTAGGCTCCAAATCAGAATTAGGCAATTCAGAGCGAAGAGAGGCGATAGGTAACCGGGGTGGTCCACTCTCGGGTTCTACTGCCTTACCCACTTGAACTGTATCCATATCCGTCCTCCGAATTTGTCAGTTGATTTCATAAATGAGCATACTATGCATACCTCTTGAAAATTCCTTGCAAAAAAGTTGGATATGAGAACAAGTTCAATCTTCACATTCTGAGTTGTAATAATCGTCATCTTCCAAGTAACGTTAAGGGGAAGCTTTGCATTACGTAAATGTGCTGTTCCGAAGGTAACTAGCCGTCATCCAGAGATAATGAACGCCTGCGCGATAAGAGAAACCTTGAGTCAACCTATTTGCCCCTCGGGCCAGGCAACGAACTACCTTGCTTCCTAGAGACCAAAATGCTGCACTGGAAAGCTCCTTGTTGAGCTCGATGATCACGGGCCAAGTCTGAATCCGTAACCCCAACCCTTATCGACCCTAGCATCATGCCGGAGAATTGCGACGTGGGATTACGGACGCCCTCAAAAAAAGGAAATAAATCGTTCAACGGATGCTGGACCTGCCGACAACGAGGCATTCGATGCGATGAAAATAAACCACAGTGTTTCAAATGCATCAATGCCAACCGCGAATGCGAGGGTTTCGACGTCCGTCTCACCTGGCTTACTATCATGCCAGAACAGCTTTGTCGAAGACAAGCGGCATCACAATGGGGATCTAGAGAACTCTTTTCACGTAGAGACAACGATGGCGACGAGAATACCCCTAGTCAGCCCAAACGCCGCCACATCCCCTCGCGGACCATGTTCAACGTGAGCCTGCCGTCCTACAACGAGGTCGAGCTAGATATGGTTTTAAACGAAATCAAAGTGAACAGCGAACAACACGATCATGCACGTCCACTGCAGCGGGGTCCATTCGGGGTATTTCGGCTGGAGCCCCAGTCAACTGCAACCCCACATTCGAATTCCCCGTTATTTGCAACTGCCGTGCCAGCTGCTCCAACACCGGATGACCCCGGATACACCGGGGATGACGATTTCACCTTTACGCAGCCCCGGCCTGATGACGTTGGGGCTCTCCATGATACCCTATCCAGTGCCCCGGGCCATCTATCCCCGCTATCCAACCCATCTACTGGTCTAGTCAGCACAGATTACCTCACCCCCAGCCAGACATCAATATCCTTGCATTCTCCGCTTGCTGTCTCCACCCAGTCAGATGTCGACTCTTATCTCAAGCTGTGTGAACTACTCCATCACTGGAAACGATATCTTAGCCGGTTGATGATCCCGTTCGCAACGGAAAACCCTTATGTCACTATAATCACACCTATGATCGAGTCGACGAACCCGGACCGGATGAGTCCCGCGAGTAGTGCGGTCTTCTGGTCGGTTATTACTGCATCTGCATTCAGTAAAGCCCGAATGGTCCAGGACAGTGACGAATATACTAAGCTGGGAGAGGCTTACTATTCCAAGACATTGAATCTTCTCAGCATTTGCTTCTGTACACAAGAGGCTCATCAAGGCCTAGCGGTTCTCGCAGCGATCACCATAAGTAGCTTAATTGACGTGTTTCGTCCTTTGCCAGACTCCCGCGAAAGCTGGCAAATGCATCTGCACGCCGGAAGGTTGTGGATCAGGTCACAAGAGCTGGAATTACCGTCTCAAGATCCCAAGGCTTCCATATTAATTGAGCTAATTCTTTTACTGGAGGTCCTTGGCTTCTCGGGTAAAGGAAAAGCTACTCCTTCCGTGCATGACTCCTTTTTGTCGCTCAAATACAGCACAACCGACAGGTTCAGGCTCAAGGTCCCGGTGCTGCATGATTCATATCAGCTAGAACGCATGTTCGGGTTACCCCTTAATGTCTTTGAGTGTATAATTTGGACAAATATATTGGTCCAGAAAGGCACTCTGGCATCCCAAGAGGACATTGAAGCTCTTGGGTTCCAGATTACCTCTTCAAATCCTGAATTCTTCCATCACTACTCGTCAGATGCACCCGATGCGTACGCTCGGATGTGCGTTCGATATTTGTTTTATTATGCCTGTGAGATCTATTTTGAGAGACAAGTTCTGCACAACTCTGTTGCAGATGTGCAGTGGATCGTGACAGCTGCCTTTCCGTACATCCAAGGCATCCTCTCCCATGACCATGAATTGCAAGGGCCTTATCTTTCCTGGCCCATCTTCATCATAGCGGCTGAAGCTACGGACCCGGAAGTCTGCAAGACCACTATCGCCTTTTTTGATCTGGACTTGCCCAGGAAGATAGGAAACTACTCCGCGGCAAAGGAGGTATTACTAGAAGTCCAAAGACGACATAAAGAGTCGCATCCAGTAGATCCCTTTTTTCATTGGACCCAGGTCATGGATGAATTGGGCCTTGATATTCTTTTGGTTTGAATATGAATACAAGTACATGGATTGATCCGAAACGTACGCATCCAATTCTAGTAACAATGGAAAAGAACTAGCATATTGAGCAAAAAATCTCTACCTGTCCAAACATAATCTTCGACTAATCCCATCATAAGTGACAGAACTCGAAGAGGCTTACTCAGTTTCATGAACACCACCGGCAATCTCCTCATACTGCTCAATCTCCTCGGCAGTCTCTCGTAGGATCTCAAAGCCTCTCTGCAAATCCTCGTCAGGGATGGTCATGGCAATCGACATCCGAATACGCCCCTCCAACGGATATGTGAGCAACCCCTTGTGCATGGCCAAAGCAGCAAAGCGTCTTGCCGTAACAAGAGGGTTGTGATAATCCGACTTGAGCGTGATATTGAAATCTGCTCCGCGAGAGGTAACAAACTCAACGAATGCAAACTTCTGCACCCAGTCTTTGGTATATTCAAGAAATTGGTCTTGGATCTTCGCCGCCCGTGCTACCAGACCTTCTTCGTCGATGATTTTCAAGGCGGTTGTGGTACAGGCGATGGCCATGGGTGTTTGCGCGAAAGTACCTGCACACTGGTAGGGCTTGACGAGGGACATGGTTTCATTGTTGCCTAGGACGAAGGCAGCCGGATAGGCTCCTCCCGTGATGCTTTTGCCGATTGTGATCATATCCGGCTTGACGTCTTCGCCCAGCCATTCGGAGCATAGGAAGCGCCCTGTCTTGCCTGCGCCCATGCGGATTTCATCGGAGATGAAGAGGATGTTGTATTTCTTGCACAGAAGAGCAACTGCACGGGCGTATTGTTTGTCTTCCTCGAAGGTTCTTGTTTGAAAGTTAGCGAGACTGTATTGGCTTATCACGATGATAAAAGGTCAGCACCTACGGCAAATGGCCATGAATACACTCCATGATGATAGCAGCAACATTGCCATGGTGCTCTGTCAAACATTCTTCCATGTCCTCGATGTGGCCGTACCGCAGGATCGTCTTTTTGACCGGATGTACATTGGTGAGCTTGTCGTCAAAGACTCCATACGCTATAAGAATGGATCATTTGTTAGACCGCATGCTTGTTCGAAGGTTCTAATACTAATTCTCTCCAAACTTACCATCTCTTTCCACATCTGGGTTCATAATGGGCCAAATTCCGGATAATAGGCCATGGTAGTTGTCTCCGACGCCAAGAACGAGCATTTTGTCTGCTGAAATGCCCTTCACCTGTTGACCCCATTTCCGTGCAATCTTCACCGCGGTATCCGCTGCCTCTGATCCAGTGACGGCGGCGTTAATCTTGTCATATCCAAACCTACGGCACATCATTTCAGCAAATGTGGGCCAGCTGGCCACACGCAAGGAAGTGTTGACAATCGTAGCTTTTTGCAGAAAATATCACGCATGTCAGAAACTCGGCTCTTGATAAAATAATCCAGTTCGCGAACCGTGTTACTTACAAGTTTGAGCAGTTGAAGTAACAGTTTCAACTAATTTAGGATGGCACTGTCCCAGACTCCCGGCACTGAACATTGCAATGAAGTCAATGTATTGCTTCCCATCGATACTCTGGATTCAAACTCAATATAAGTATTTTATTCCAATGTGTCAAGGTAATGTTGACACTCCTTGAACCTACCCGAAGCGTTGACCCCTGCCCACCTGTAATGTACGCAGGGAGTGGTGTAAACCCACCAACAATATACTCGCTTTCTTTCTTCATCAACTCCACCACTTGCGGCGACAAAGCTGGAATGCTTTTCTTGGGAGACGCCGGGGAAACATCGTGCTTTTCGCTCACGGTAGATTCAACAACTGTTTGAGCCATAGTGACAATGCGAGATTGAAAGGTTGGAGGTAGTGGGAGAGGATATCTGTATTGAGAATATCTCTTTGCCTTTTGTTTCAATGAAGACAGAACAGCAGAGTTTCAATATATAGTTGATGAATTCGTTCCAGAATTTCTTTCCACCACAAGTGCCCCGTTTATTTTACCCGATGTCTACAGTTGATAAGAGCTATCGAGAGTAAATGTGGCAAAAGATTATAGGAACTAGATGATTCGGCTTGCCATTTGCGATTGAGGATGCAAGCTCGCTCTCAATTTCCCAACTTTCCACAAGTTGAGGTGAGTGGAGATCTTTTCGTCGCTTGGAACTGCCTCATCATGCAGCGCGGGGGATCATTGAATTACGTTAACGCGGAACATCACAGATAACCTTCAAGCTTTATCTGTCGAGGTATTTTGGTATCCAGGGAATAACAACCGATTTTCAGGTATATATCTGTGGTTTCAGAGACCATCATCTGCTTTGTCCCACATCAACCGACACTACAATTTGTTCATCATCGTAACTAAACTCCGTCATCTCTAATTTCCACAATTCAATATGTCCAAGAGTCTCGCTGGACGCAATGCCATTGTCACGGGCGGCTCGCGAGGCATCGGCAAAGGTATAGCTTTAGAGCTTGCCAAACGCGGCGCCAACGTCCTCATCACATACGAGAAGTCCGCCAAACACGCCGAGGATGTTTTGGCTGAGATCGAAAAGCTCGGAACAAAAGCAATCGCGCTCCAAGCAAGCTCTCAAAACATCGAATCACCCCGCAAGATCGTAGCGGCCCTTGTCGAAGCATGGGGCAAAGTTCACATCATAATCAACAACGCCGGGATCGGCGACGACATTTTCCTCGACGACTTGACCGAATCCGACTTCGATCGCCACATGACCATCAATGTCCGCATGCCCACGTTCCTTGTCAAGGCGGCGATGCCTTTCTTCGGCGACGCTCCCCGTGTCGTCAACATGTCCAGTATCATGGCGCGTGTGGGGAGCGCGCAGGCGACTGCCTACACTGCTTCCAAGGCAGCTTTGGAGGGTGTCACTAAAGTACTCGCCATTGAGCTGGGCCATAAGTATGGTGCTACGGTCAACTGCGTGAATCCCGGTCCGGTGGATACCGATATGTGGCAGCAGACAGACAAGGCGGTGCGCGATGAATGGGAGGCGAAGAAGGCTGTGGAAACTCCTGCAGCACCGCGGATTGGCACGGTGGAGGATATTGCGCTTATCGTGGCCTTTTTAAGTGAGGAGCAGAGCAGGTGGACGACTGGTAGCACGGTTTGTGCAAATGGGGGAATGGTGTGTGTATGATATGCGTCTCAGTTGGAGGTCTTAGTGTTATACCTTTTTACAATACAATTGGACTTATCTGTTGGAATTATACGATGAATTTACGGGGAAGCATGTATGTCAAGGCCAACGAGGTTGTTTAGGTCTGATCTCTCCTCAATGAAAGAGAGATCCTATTTAATGGAGATCATTTCTCCTGAACTATCCTCTATATAGTAGGTGCAATGCTGATCACTAGATTCATGCTTGGCGAGGCAGGCATTTCATGCCTGGAGATTCCTGGAGAAGCCATGAATCTCAACATTATCTATACATCGCGTTTCAAGTAACCGGTTGTTTTTATATTCCTGGTAGCGAAATGAACACATGTGGTTTCTCTCGGCTTGGTCCTAGCATGTGTTATTCTATATCTAACGTTATAATTTGTCTATAAAGCATTGAAGACTACACTGACTTCATTTTTTTAAAAATCTTCCGAGGGTTGACTTTGGTTGTATCTGGGGCCCCCAAGTCCTTCTGCTCCAGATGCTTAATTAGATTAAACTTGATGCAATCACAGTTCTCCCTTCCAGGGTATGTGGCATGATTTGCTCCAAATTGATAGCGATTAGCTGACACGATGAAAGATAGATAATGACCGGACAGCTCTAAAAGAACCGCTAGGATAAGAAGGTTTAACTCATTAACGACAGGGATTAATCAGAGGAGGAACGAAGTATGGATAATCACGTGATGAATCGGGGGGCGTTCTTCCCTTCGAAATGTATTCTTAACTCTTTCCCTTCTTCGTGCATCACGGAGAGGACTCCCATCAATAAGACTGCTGCGTTTCATCTATTTTCATCCTTGTAGACCAGGGCTTCCTTTTTCTAGGAGCTGTTACGCCTCGTGGGGTTCGAATCCGGAAATCGAGAGCTGGGAATTCGATTGGCGGCTGTCGTTGGTTGGTGGGATCAGGAGATCCACCCTCCGAAGCGCCGACCCGAAGAAACCCTACCGTCAAGTCTGGCCCTAGGCTGATAAGGCGGGCGTAATCATCGCTCCGAACTTCCATTTCTGATTCACAAATAAAGGTGGGGAAACTGTGGCTGGAACCTACCATGATAACAAACCGACAAACTACGGACTCGGAGACCATGATATGACTTATAAGATACAGGAAGGTCCTGAGCGGACGGTTCGCAATCGAGCAGCACTTCTAGAGCCTGCTGTGCCTATTCCCATTTGAACCCCCGATACCGACTACAGGGAATCAACATGGCAAGATCAATCAAAAAATCAGCCATTGAGTCCAGTACTCAAGCCAATCCCGACCTTGCAACGGATGTGGGGTTTGTGGAGGAGCTGCATCAACGACCCTTCAGCCTGTGGAGCACACTGGGACTAGCCTTTTCGGTCACTTGCACACCTCTATCCATCGGCTCTTACCTCTCCATCAGCGTGGGTGTCGGAGGAAGCCCTGTGTTCTTCTTTGGGTACATCTTCTCTGCGCTGATGAATCTCTGCATCTGCCTTTCTTTGGCCGAGATTTCGGCAGTATATCCCCATGCATCGGGTAAGTCGTGCATTCGATTGATTCTCTTGAGGGCGTGAGACTGATCCAACTCAGGTCAAATATACTGGACTGCAGTCTTGTGCCCGAAGAAGTTCGCACGACCATTGAGCTATCTCAGCGGTTGGCTAACTTCTGCTGGCTGGCTCTTCTGGTGTGCCGCATCGTGTCTCCTAACCTCACAACTCACCTGGGCTCTCGTCCAAGCCTGCGACTCAGCCATTGTGACCCAAGCCTGGCACTTCTACTTGCTTTTCATCGCGTGCGCTTCTATCGCATTGGTAATCAACATCCCACTATTTCGATGGTATCCGCATCTCTTGAAGACCATGATCTTCTACACCAACATAGGAGCTATCTTTATCTTCATCGCTATCCTTGTCCGAGCAACCCCCAAGCAAAGCGCCAGAGCGGTGTTTGTGGATATCATCAACCTGACGGGCTGGGATTCCAAGGGTGTGGTATTTTTCATTGGGCTTCTACCAGGTGTGACTGCGGTGAATGCATTCGATTCAGCAGCACATATGTCTGAGGAAATGCCTGAGCCCAAAAAGCAGGTTCCCAAAGTCATGGTAATCAGCGCTTTACTCAGCTTCGTCGCTGCTATCCCAATGGTCTTAGCGTATCTATTCTCAATTGTTGACCAAGAAGCTCTCTACACCCCAGTGGGTGGCCAGCCTATCATCCAGCTCTTTCTTGATTCAATGGCCTCGTTGCCATTAACCATAATATCGTCCCTACTGCTTATCGTCTCGATGACCATGTCTGCAGTCACCATCCTTACAACATTCAGCAGGATTTGGTGGTCTCTAGCAAGGGAAAATGGCACACCATTCCCTTGCTTGTTCTCAAAAATAAGTGGCGGGAATGAATTGCCCGTTCCTGCTATCCTGTTTGGTTTCTCTGCTACGGTCGCTCTCGGCGCGATCCAGCTCGGTTCAATAACTGCGATCAATGCAATCCTCGGTGCTGGCATTATTTGCATTATGTTGTCTTACGTTGTGCCCATTATCGCGTTCATCGGAGCCAGAAAGAACCTTCCCAAGAAGCGTTATTTCAACCTCGGGCGCTTTGGGGTGGTCTTGAATATCATTGCCATTGTGTGGACCATTTTCATCACAGTATGGCTTTTCTTCCCTCTTTATCTTCCTGTCACGGCTGTGACCATGAATTATGCAATTGCTGTCGTGGCTGGAGTTTGTGTTGTTAGCTTGATCAATTGGTTCGCTCATTCCCGAAAGTCGTACAGAGTGCCACAAGCGGTTTTGGAGACAGAAGATGCAACGGGTGGTGCCTGAGGGCTTTTGGTGACAAGTTTATGGTGGTGACTATTTATTTTATCGATTCGCGTTTGGGGGTCTTTCTTTACTCGATGCCTGCTCAAAGTATCCTTCGATAATTTTATGTAACAATAAATTCAGATCGCAGGCCTTTAACAAGAACTCAATTCTGGTATTCTTTTCTGTTTTCAGTATTTGCTGTTACGCCTTTATTTTACGCCATTCTATGAAAATAATCAATTTAAAGCAATGACTATGTACATCGGTCCGGTTGGAAACACTATATATGAATCCACAATGAGGTATTTTCAAGCTAAACTGATTACTGCTATGGTCAAATAAGGTGATCTTTCAGAAACTGTGCCTGGAATGCTGCATTCCGATCAAAGTTTGGACCAGAATACGCATCGAAGTGTCCGCCTGGAAGCATCTGAAGGGTCTTGGGCTCCAATGCGCGTGAAAAGGCTTCTAGAGCTAAATCAGTGGGCGAAAGAACGTCATTAACGGCCACTGTCATCAATAACGGTACTGGCGCAATGCGATGAATATGAGCCGATGGACAATACTCCCGGAGCGCTTCGACGCTGTAAATAGTCAGTATTTCTTCGGCTCCAATTCCCACGATAATGAAAAAACAAAGGGCATATACCTTTTCAGAGTAACTTGGTTTTGCCAATCGCACTTTCCAGCCCAGCTAGAAAAGAAATTATAGCTATCTGGCGTGGGTAACGCAGATGGATTCTGAGGATTGGAATCGATGACTGGCAACATTGCAGGAGGTTTCCCAGAAGCGCGATCCAATCGGTCTAGAAATTTGAGTGAGCTTCAAGTACACAGTCAATTCGGCATTGTTGTAAATTCCTTGCCTTTTTCAAAAAGTTCGTTCATGCCTCCCACAAAGTCCGGGCGAATCAGTCTCTGGAAATTACTATAGCCATCCACGCAAGGGACTTGGGACAACACGGCTTTAACCCGCTTGTCTGTAGCTCCCACCCAAAGCGCATGGCCGCCACTGAAGGAGCTGCCCCAAATGCCGATTTTGTCGGCTTGAACGTCTGGGCGAGATTGTGCATACGTGATTGCATCAGAGATATCGCTAGTCTGCTGGGAGGGGATGATCTCCAACCGCGGCTGTCCTTGCTTTGAGTTGCTCTCGCCAAAGCCTCGGTGGTCAAATACGAGACAACTCATTGATAAATTGGAGGTGAAGTACTCGGCAAATGTGTTTAGGTCCATCTCCTTCACGGCGGAAAAGCCGTGGCACATCACAAGACAGGGCGAGGGTGTAGATGGTGACGGGCATGGTTGAAAGAACCACCCGCGAATCGTGACGTTGTCAGATGTTTGGAATGAAACTTTTTCGGGTGCCATTTTGTGAGATTGTGGATTTTCTATTGTGGAAGATGAAGTCAAGCCATTGAAACAGAGGGAAGTAAAGCTTTTACCTCGAGAGGGTGTCTAGAATTACCAGAATTGATATTTGATCTAAATGCGTCTCTTTATTCGCAAGGGAAATGGTTGAGCGCTGACTCACGGTTATGTCGACCAGACAAAGTCTGGGGCGTATCTAGCATGCTATCTTACACACTCTCATACTCGTTAGAAACTTCCCAATCCGAAATTGTTTCGTCATGTAGATCCCTAATTTTGACCAATGATATGGAGACATTGGTCAACCATCCAAGACAAGAAGTTCTGAGCGAGTATCTTTCGTAGGCATTATCGGTGAGGATCTTGACAGAAGCTCACACTGTGACCGATGATAGTGTTCTTTGGAAAATCATCAGCTTTGTGTCCAACTCAGATAGACTGTAGATTGTCTAAGATCCTTGATGGTAGCCACGAACCTTAGGATAAGCCGAGCCTCTAATATAAGGCCCCAGTCCGATCCCACTTCAATATAATCAACTCTCAAGTTAGTTTTTCTAAGTTGAGTTACGCTCAATCACATCTTTACCTTGAACTTTGACTAGCCTGCTGCTCAAAACCAGTCTACCACACAAGTCCTGGTAAATGAACACCAATCCAAATCATGAGAAGTTCTAACTAACAACCCCAGCCAAAATGGACCAAGCAGCCTACGAGAATTACCTGACGCAAGTAAACCTGGGCAAGGTCCGTGACATCGCCGACCAATACTACGACGATTCTCTCGAGATTTCCTCCGGGGGTGTCACCTACAATAAGACGCAGGTTCTTCGTCTACTGGACGTCACCGCCGAACAGCTCGTGGAAACCTTTGAGTTGGTGAATTTCTACCAAGCCGAGGATGGCATCGCCGCCGAGGTCAAGACCACCTTTGTGGCTAAGAATGACGTAACCAAGGAGCCGTTTGAGAAATCTGGCTTTCCGGAGGCCTATATTGAGCTTAAGAAAGGGGAGAGCTTTGTCGCTCACAGTTTGTACACTTATAAAATCAAGTGTGGGAAGTTTGTATTTAGTCGGGGATTCGCAGCGTGAGAGAAGAGCCAAGTAGGCCTATTAGTAAGCGAGTTATTAGCGGTTAAACTTTTTACTAGTAGTAAAAGGTAACTAGTATAGTATGGCCCTCGGTAACCGTGATCTGCTGGCCCAGTTGCCCGTACTCCATCAAAATATCTCGAATTTTCAGTCGCCATTTTCTCGACTGCTAGAAGGCAGTGCATACTCCGAAGCAAATGGGGGGTATTCAACATAGTCTATTATAACTTGCCGAAATTTGAGACCGATCGGAGCTCACTATACCTCAGAAGTCTGGCGTCGAAGTTCACCTGGAGTCAGGCCTCCGACCCACTTTTCTCTTTTCCTCCCATACTGAAGGATTAACCCCAACCTAGAGTCTGCCAGACTTCCCCCCCCCGGTAGGATACAGAAAAATAAATGGGTTTCACATTGGTATTAAGAAGCATAGGAGATACAGTAAATGTCAAGGAAGCTAGGAAAAGTCCAACATTTGGTCTACGTTTTATGCCCTCATTCGGCATATAGACGCGTTGATGGCTGTACCAGCAAGGACCTAGACTTCCGCAAAGCCCACAAATGGACCCTCACCCCAGGCCCAAAGCCCAACCGGCACTGGGCTTTGGGCCCTACCTTCAAAACCCAACCTAACCCAATGGGCTCATAGGGCCCCCATTAAAGCCCATCTCGGCGCTGACAAATCGGCCTCTGTAATCGCTGTATTACGATCTTCTACCGGTCGTATAAAGTTCAAATTTAGAACCTAGGTTTATAGTAGCTATATAAGTATATTAATTTATTTCAAATAAAATCCGACCAGCGGAAGTCGAGATATTATAGAAAATATAAAAGTTAATATTTGATCTTGGATATATATTTAGGATTTATGCGGGAGTACCACCACTTTCTAGAGAACCTCTGTAATTTTTAGAATTTCTAAATCAACGCGTTTTTTCGCATTTTTAAACGTGATTTAGAGAAATAACTAGTAATCGATTCTAGATCATTTAAACTGATATAATATTACATTAGAGATAAGGCTTAGAAACGGGGGTAAAACGAAGGGTAATTAAAAGAAACCAAAAAAGGGGTTCAACTTTAGATTTCTCGGCATATTTGCATTGTTTGGGGCCCATTGGGCCCCATTAAAGCCCAGTGGGCTTTCACCTTAGGCCCAAAGCCCATCGGTGGGCCCGAGGCCGGGCCTAAAACCCAACCCATTTGCGGGTTGGGTTGGGTTGGGCTATGGGCTTTATGGGCCGGTGCGGAAGTCTACAAGGACCTGAGTTAATGCTTTCACAATACCTCCCTAATGTCTTCGGGATATATTCTAACGTACCTAGGCCAAATTCTCGACTTCCGGCAACCTGCGAAACCACCTAAAGACCCACCCCACTATCTCTCTCCCCCCTGCCGGTCGCGCTGGCCGGTACACCAATGCCGCGAAGATGAACATTGCTAGTATTCCTAGTGTATTATCTATTTCCAAATCATTTGCAGTTTATTAACAATATATTTTAGCTGGGTACCGCGCCAACTTCGGCCCCCCGGTCAAGCCCCGCATTCCCTTCACTGGCCGTGGCGATATCTCTATCAAAGAGGTTAAGAAATACCTGACTACCAAGTACGTTGTTTCGTTCCTTTGTGACCCCTGCGCCGTTAAGGAGGGTGCTAGTGAGTGCCTTATCTTAAATTCCTTTCTAACTCATTGCTAATATATTCAAAGTGCCCTGATACCTATTCACCTGCGCCTACCTCACTCGCTACTATGATGTGGCTGCTGACTTTGACATAGAGGACTATCCTAAGCTTAAGGATATCGCTACCGCTATTTCTGACACCGAGTGAGCTATCGGTGCTCTTTTACGAGACCTATGACAACGATATCGGCGTTTTTTATAGTACAGCTTTTATGGTAGTAGTGGTACTGAACCCCTTATGTAGCTGGTTTAATTCTAGTCAATTGATATTTTGGGTGACATGATGCGATGCTTCGTTTTAGAATAGGAAGTAGCCATGGGACAGACAATAAATGGCGCGATATGGAATACATCATGGTGAAATCAGATACCTGACATTTCAGGAACCTGAACAACCAACTTGAAACCTATGAAGACGTCTCAGGAATTTGCTAAGCTATCTGACTGTTTGTCCGTATAATTCACCATTCTATCCGTTCATCAATTCTCACCTGGGCTGTCAGCATATTTTTATCGCCGGCGTTCTTTCCAACCTCTAGGAGATAGACGCATTTCTCTGTAATCCATCTTCCATTCCAGTGAGCCAGGTCCCTCTTCTCGAGACTAAAGGTCACTTTCTGTGTTTCGCCCACCGCCAAAATGCGTGTCTTCTCAAACGATCTTAGCTCCCGGACCCCAGCACCATCGAGGATGGTTGAGTACAGCTGAACAATCTCCCGACCGGGTATATTTCCTGTATTGCTCACTTCTGCAATAAAGTCCCACCCCGAAGTAGTCTCCGATGTTTCAAGGCCGGAGATATCGAAGGTCGAGTATCCAAGACCATAGCCGAACCAGTATCTCGGTTTGACCCCTTGATGAAGATACCAGCGATATCCAACAAATGTCTCTTCAGCATAGACTACTTGTCCATCTATACCAGGCCATGTGTGCTTATTCTTGTGGAAGTGCAAGTCGGTGTATTTGAAAGGCCAGCTGATGGGCAGCCGACCTGAGGGGTTCACCCTACCAATGAGAACATCGCAGAGGGCGTTACCTGCCTCTTGACCACCATACCACGTCTGGACTATGGTATTTGCCTCAGGTTCCCAGCACATCTCCACGGGTGACCCTGACTGATTGACGATAACAATGTTTTCGGGATGGGCCACTGATCTGAGGAGAGACTGTGCAAGCTCATCTTGTGTCCCAGGGAGGGACATTGTGGTACGATCATGACCTTCGCCCTCCCATTCCTCATTCAACCCAAGGATAAGAATTGTGAAGTCGCTACCATCGGCAAGAACAACGGCGTCGGAAATCGGATTCTCGGGGAGCTGCTCGAGGAAACCAAATCGTACGCTAGGTTGAATGCCATAGACATGCATTGCCTCGGGTTTTTTGGGATCTGATTCTGTGGAGATCTTAGAAGACGACTCGATGCACACTTCGTATGCACGTCCAGCAGTCATATGAAGCTTCCCTTGCTTCTCAGTGCTACCAAAAGAATAGAATGTTTCCGCAGGACCGGACCAGTCATGATTATCGATGAGGAGGTGGTTGTTCACATAGAGTCGGGCATTTCCAACATTTGCTATGCCAAAAGTGTGCATTCCAGTAGTCTTTGGTGTGATGGTGGTTGAAAGACGAAAGGAATATGGATCTCCTTTCTCGTACACCACAGCGGGTGCGGTGTCAGAAAGATCAATGTTGGAAGAGTTGCGGTATTGAGTTTCTAAAATTGGCCCAGAAAAGTCTGTTGATGCAAAAAAGTCGAGGCGGAGCATGCCCTTTTGTTGCATTGTGTGCTCACAGTGCCCTGAGTACGATTTCTCAGTAGCCGCTAAAGGGAGATACCGATAGCTAAAGGCACCGGGGGTATGCTGTACATCAACCTTGATACCTAAGCTGGCTGTGACAGCGCTGAATGCCTCCATAGGATGCGTCTGATAGTGCGGATTCAGACTCGACGAGCCACCGCCACCTGGTGCCCCATGAAGAGAGTTGGGTCCGATAAATGCAACTCTCTTTCCACGGATTTTATCAGGAGAGAGTGGCAAAATGTTCTTCGAATTCTTCAAGAGAACTATGCCCTCGGCGGCTACTGATCGCAGTAGCTGTCGATCGAGGTCGGTGTATGAAGATGTCTCTGTTCTTTTGCGTGATTCCATGGCTTCATTTGCAGACAAGCCTAGTAAATTCTTTCCCGCTAACAGTTGCAGCACCCGAGAGCAGGAGGCATCAATTGCCTTTAATATCTCTTCGCTTGGTGCTCTCTGTAGCAGTGCAAGAAGACCAGCTCCCCGATGGGCAGCAGGCCCTGGCATTTCCAGGTCAAGTCCAGCCAGTAGACTCTCTGCTAGGGAATTTGTTCCTCCCCAATCACTCATGATTACACCATCGAAACCCCAATCGTTTCGAAGTGTTTCTGTGAGAAGTTTTCTATTCATGTCCATGTGAAGACCATTCACGCAATTATAAGCGGTCATGACGCAGGTCGGTGGACTTGACGACTTGACCGTCATTTCAAATGGACGCAGATATATCTCTCTCAAGGCTCGCTCTGTGACATTTGCATTGACATTGAACCGTTCGTCTTCTTGTTCGTTGGCCACACTAGGATATTCCGCAGGTCAGTGGGTAGTTATAGGACTTCATAGTTAAAGGAAGCACGTCTCACAAATGCTTCACAGTTGCGCCAACTTCTCCCGATTCCTGAACGCCGCGAATATATTCGATTGCCAGCTTACCACTGAGCAAAGGATCTTCACTGAATGATTCAAAGTTTCTTCCACCCAGTGGGTTGCGAGCGCAGCAAATCGTAGGCGCTAGCAGCACTTGGGCAGCTTTTGTCTTTGCCTCTTCGCATAGCAATCTGCCAATTGCCCTCACAGCATTGGTAGACCATGTTGCGGCTTGAGCAACAGGGGCTGGAAGAAAGGCCGATGTTGGACCATCGACAGTAGACTTGCCCCTTGCCCCGGAAGGGCCATCTGTCATCTTCGGACTGGACTTAGAAATGAAATATCGCAAATACTACGTTGCTGGCTTACCTTGAGTGATCCTATCCCTAGTCTTGCCACTTCTTGGGTCTGCCACCCATCAACACCTGCTAGTAGGCTCACCTTCTCCTCTGGCGAAAGCTGTGATAGCAAAAAATTGATATCGTGGGCTGTCATGGTTGACTTCTCGGGTCTGAATTGAAAAATTCAGGACAGTGTTCAAAGAGTACCACCACTGGTATGAGACAGACATCAATGGGCGGGGTAGGCAAAATATATACTAAATTTCTTGAGCTTTTATAATGTCCTTAGTAAATTTTATGATCGAACTTGCAAAGGGCAAGCCAGGGATCAGGCCCTACCACATTGACTTCGTGATATGGAGCCAGCCAAGGAGGAGTACCACATCTGAAAAGCATCGCCCGCACTTATCCCATATTCCCTCTCTCGTTGCATACAGTAGTTAGGGAGACAGGCAGAGATCAAGCTTGTGATTCCATCGTTATCACTTGTTTCGTTCTTTAAAACACACAGTGATTCCTGAGATAAGGTGGAGACCTACCTTGTGGCTGGCTCGCTATCAATTGCTTTATGGGTCGTTCAGCTTTCTTATTGGCCGCTATCTAGACCCGTGTATAGGAGTAGGCTCTGTTTTAGTGCTAAAACCACTGTAGCGTCCTTGGCTATAGGTTTACTTTCTTATCTTACCGCTTTCTGATTAGGTCTAGCGCTATCGCACGTGGTGATTTTTATAAATTCTGGTTCTAGAACCTCACTAATATATCCGGAATAAAGTTATAGCCGATAAGCTTAACCTTACTAGTATAGGATTTAATTCCTACCGGCTAGATAGTCTCTCTATAGTAAACTTAAGAATATATCCTTCCGATAGTAAGTATTAACTTCTTATATCTAAGGATTAGCCGACCTAAGCCCCCCGCTTTATCGGATCTAACTTTATATTAGAAGACCTCCTAAGGACTATTAATTTCTATATAGAAGTCTTAAATTATATTTTATAATTATAATCCTATATATAAAGAGATTATTTACTTCCTTAGGCTACCTTTTATAGCTATAGTTAACTATTAGTATTAGTTAAGATTCGCTTGATTAAGGTACGTTTAAAGTTCGTAATAACGTCCTTTATAAGGCGTTCTAGAAGCATTTACCGTATATATTTAAGATAATTATAGGTAAGTTCAGCCTCGATAAAGCTATGCCCCTTTTCCGGCCAGTCCCACTGGGCTGGATATAGGAGCTTGCGGTTCTATCGCTATCACTTGTCTCGTTCGTAGAATACACAGTAACTCCTAAGATAAGGTGGGGACCTAACTTGTGGCTTGCTCGCTATCAATTGCTTTATTGGGTCGTTCGGCTTTTTAATTGGCGCTGGCTGGGTCGGTGCATAGTGGTAGACTTTCTATAGTGCTACAACCTTCACATCCGCGGAGACTCGCTGGTGATTGCCAGATGCGTTGCCAGAATATTTACCGCTTGGGTGATAAGAAGTTCTGTAACTCCTGTATCTCATAGAGACTATCAGCTTCCAGAACTTCCAGACCTGAACTCCTATCTTTCTAAACATAAGTATTGGATAAATAGGTCTAAGAGTTCCACGATAATTCATTTCGCCTAATGCTGAACTGAGAATTAAATTGCTTTCTCTCCCCGTCCACCATACCATGGCCACTCCCCCTGTTATTATGGTTCCCGACAGTAAGAAAGCGAAGTTTATCCTCTTCACATGTGCCTTCATAGCAATCATGAACTCTACAACCCTGGGCTATGATTCTTCGATGATGGTGAGTACAATGGCTGCCTGTATAGATACCCACATGACGGAACTGACGCGCTTTGCCATCAGAATGGACTTCAAATGTTGCCTGCGTACTCCAGCTACTTCCGCCTGACTACAGCGACTACTTCTTTAAACGTCGCCATCGTCTTCGTTGGAGCTGTCATTGCAACTCCGATCGCCGGCCCTCTAACCAATAGATGGGGTCGTAAATGGGGCCTTGTGGCAACTTCAGCGATCGCTGTCGTTGGAGGCGTTATTCAAGCCGTTTCCGTCCATGAAGCCATGTTCTGCATCGGCAGGCTTATTATAGGTATCTCAATCAATATAGGAGCTGTGGCTACACCGGCGTGAGTACCTATTGGATGTGAAGATAATTGCGATGGCTGACGGTGCCCCCAGATACCTTGCAGAAGTAGCTCATCCACGCAACCGCGAGATGCTCGTCGGGCTCTGGGGGTCTGCCTATTATGTCGGGAGCATTCTCGCTGCATCAGTCACGTTTGGCAGTCAATACCTCAACTCTACCTGGGCATGGAGATTGCCATCCCTGGTGGGTACTATGACCATTATTTGAGCCTCGATTTTGGTTCAAATCTGCTGACATCAACAAGCTCCAAGTCCTACCTTCAGTCCTGTGCGTTATGCCATTGGCATTTATGCCTGAATCTCCTCGATGGTTGATCTACCAAGACCGTCATGAAGAAGCTAAGATGATGATGATCAAATATCATGGAGCAGGTGACCCCAACTCCCCTATCGTCACCATAGAATACGAAAAGATTTGCCGAACACTCTTGCATGAAAAAGAGACACAAAAGATCGGGTTCAAAGCCCTCGTATCAACAAGACCCAATCGCTGGAGATTCGGTCTTGTCGCGGCCACGGCTAGTAAGTAACACAGACACTAGTATCTATTACTGATCTAACCTATCTTCTACTAAAGTCTTCTGCCAGCTTAGTGGGAACAACATCATTACTTATTATCTAGGCAACACTCTGACCACGGTTGGCATCACAGAAGTACAGACGCAGCTCGGTATCAATATTGGTATCAGTAGCTTTAGTCTAGTCGTCTCCGTGCTTGGAAGTTTCTATACTACAAAAATTGGCCGTCGCCCTTCCTTCTGTAAGAAAGCCTTGTTATTTCGCGGTTCAATATTATAGAATACCAACTAACGGGTTTTAGTGGTCTCCACCGCTCTAATGGGCATTACCCTTGTTGTCTACGCCATTCTCACAAAAATATATATTGGTAGAGACGATTCAGGAGCATCTAACAGTTTAGTGTTCCTGATCTTCCTCTATTTCGGAATATACTCATTTGTGTGGACGCCTCTTTCCGCGCTCTATCCAGTGGAGGTGCTCCACTACTCGACTCGTGCGCACGGATTGGCAGTCTTTAGCTGCATCGTCTACCTTACGGCCTTTTTCAACACATACATAATACCCTTCGCGATGAGAATCACCTGGGGGTTCTACCTGATCACTGCTTTGTGGTGCTTCGTTGAATGTGTGGTGATTTATTTCTATTTTCCAGAGACAAGGGGTATATCCATGGAGGAAATTGATGTTGTATTTGACAGGGTCATGGTTACTGATGGGGTAGAAATGGTCACAAAAGCGGATGTGGAAAACTGAGTTTATGAAGGAAAAGTCAACAACCATGTTCTTTTCTAGGCTAGCCTCTAGTTGGCTTGGGGGGTATCGGTAGAGCTTGCGGTTGAAGACATTCTTACGGCAAGATGTGAAATAATATCAAGCTGGAATGAATGAATGTTAGCTCTCAGTTTCTCCTTCGTTGCGCTGCCATCTAAACTCATTTGGAGCCCAAGATATTTCCCTGTAGGCTTTCAGGAGGAAGCGGATCACGGTGATAGGATTTATCGGATTGACTGGACAGCACCAGGATCAAAAGAAAAGGCATAATCGTCCTCCGATGCTAGTAGTGGTTGAAAACAGAGAGAGAAAGAGATGCAAAGTACAGGATCTCTAGGGCCGTATAGATCGCGGCCCCCACTCCGGATGATCGGAGGGTCGGAGGGTCGGAGATCAGCTGACTTCCCCCGGCTTGTCTTAGGATTTCTACAACATATTGGCTTGCCATTCACAAATTTTCGTGTTTGACTCGGCTAGGGCCATTAAATGTGCATTACTGCAACCGCCTCATACGAAAGTGAAGTATATTGACCGCATGAGACCATTCGACAGTATCATAGAATCAGTCGGGGATCACTTTGATGTCAAGCACCCATCCAACACCCCCAATGGGACCAGAACCATTGATTCCCGAGGCCGATTCTATCTCACAACCCCGACTGAAGTCAAGTCGGCAGCGGGATAAGCCGCAACTATCTTGTAACTCGTGCCGCCGCCGCAAGTAAGAATGCCACCCCACGAACTCGTCTGTGACTAGCACTCACAGGACGGTCCGTTTTTTTTGTTGTCCAGATCGCGATGTGATCGTCAACACCCATGCTCGCTCTGCTCCAGCCGAGGACAGATATGCACATATGTCGATAACTCGAGCATCACGGGCATTTCAAAGCCTCAGCCAGCGGCTGCTGTCCCAGGGGTCCACGACCGATTAGTACATCTAGAACGACTGGTCGTGTCGCTCATGGACGATTCAGCACGTAAGGGCCATACTGCCTCAGTCCCAGACTTTACGCGCTCGATATCTCAAAGTACGCCCGCTGTGGAAGCTGCCATGGAATCGCCCATCGACGGGCACTCCGAATGTGGCAGCATGCGCATCAGTGAGTCCGAGCTCCGGTATGTTGGTGGTGATCATTGGGCGGCTATTCTCGATGGGATCGCGGACTTGAAGGACCACTTTGATCGTGACGAGCAACTTCGACTAGCTAACACCCCAGATCAGCTCCCAGATGAGCCGGGGCATGACCTGTCCCGACCCAAGTCCGGGTATGCGCTACTGTTGTATGGATGTCGCAATATGGCGTCTCGCAGCGAGATTTTGGCTGCTTTGCCCCCTAAGGCTGCTGTTGATCGCTACATATCTCGATATTTCAACTATCTAGATCTAGTTTCGTCTTGTTCGTACTCCCTTTTGTGTTCCAATGGGACCTGGGCATCGGGTATTGACTAACCTTGCAGCAGCAGTTCATGGCCCAGGCTTCTTAAGAGAGGTAAGTGCTCTCCACGCTGAAATCTGAACAGTCTCGCTGACGGAAGTAGTATGAGGCATTTTGGGCGAATCCGTCCAGCGTGCCAATCATGTGGATTGGTCTTCTGTTCAGCATGATCTGTCTTGCTTGTTTGACTACTGATGCATGGGATGCTGATGTGGAATTTCTGTCCCTTCAGATTGACCTTTATCGAGAGAAGATCGTCCAGTGCCTAGTGCTGGGCGAGTACACTAAAACAGGGCCGTACGTCTTGCAGACGGTCATCAACTACGTCTATGTCGAGTTTTGTCTCCGTACCGACGCGGATCAAGATACATGGTATCTGCTGGCCTTGGAAGTAAACCTAGCCATGCGGATGGGCTACCATCGCGATCCCCGTCATTTCCCGGGCATTTCGCCCTTCCAGGGAGAGATGCGTCGCCGACTGTGGGCGACAGTCTTGATGGGCGATACACTTGTGTCGAACCAAATGGGCATGCCACGCATGATCTCCGATTGGAAATGTGACACAATGGAACCACGAAATTTGAATGACACGGACTTCGATGAACAGTCGACTAGCCTTCCTCCCTCGCGTCCCTTGACTGAATACACCAATTCCCTAGGACTGATCGCACGACGACGGATCCTAGCAGCACTGGGAACAGTGGCCGATCTCACAGATTCGGTTAAACCATGTAGTTATGCAGAGGTGATGCGCGTCGACGGCGTACTCCAAGACGCGGCAGCCAGTATTCCGCCCCTCTTGCAGATGAAGTCCATGGCCACGAGTATGACGGATCCTCCGCAGGTCATCATGTCGCGTTTGTTCTTGGGTCATATGGTCTACAAGGGGCAGATTGTGCTTCATCGCCGGTTTCTATATACAAGTTCAGCCGACCCGGATCATGATTCGATGAGCTACTCGCGAAAAGCCTGCTTGGACGCTTCGCTAGGCATGCTGAATATCCAACATGTGCTTGATGAGGAAACATGTCCAGGCGGTCAGCTCTATACCATGAGATTTCGAGTGACATCCATCATGAACCACCAGTTCCTCACTGCTACTATGGTACTATGTTCAATTCTCCATCGTGGGAAGACAATACAGCGGGAACAAGAGATCCGGGCGGCCCTTCAGCTTTCCAGGTCTATTTGGATACGAAGAAGTTCCACATCTAAGGAGGCAACGAAAGCGGCTGAGACTGTTAGCTTCGTGCTCGCCATGGCCGGCGATGGTCACAAGCCCGATCTCGCTTCTAACCAAGATATGTCCCACGATGTGCAAGACAATGATCAAACGAACGCTTTCCAGGGAAGTCGTGCCAAAGGCACATGTCAAAGTCTGGACGAAGAACTGCTATTCCCGGGCAACATGGGTTTATTTGATCGTAAGTCTCAGGTACCGAACCTCCCCGTGTAACTTATCTAACCCAACTGTAGCCGACCATTTTGTTATGACTGGCTCCTTCGGGATGTTTACGTCGCCCGGTCAGCAAGACCAACACTATGAGATTAATTTCAACGGAATAGAGAGGCCACCTGACGAGTGGATGCTGAAGAATTTTCCTAGTCCAGCATAGTTATAGCTGAAACTGTATATACAACATTTTAGATCTGTCAACAACTGCAATGGCGAGAAGTATCGTTGGGATTTGCCGCATCTGTCTGTATACATTGTGTAGAGGTACTCGTTCTGGAGATTGTTCGTCGTTACTGATTGGTCCATTGTATAACCTCTGTACACATCTAGTTTGGCGTCAATTATCTTACCGCTGTAAAGTAGGTGGCCTGAACTGTTGAACTGCGAAGTCTGCTTAGCTGTGGGTTATTGGGTGAGGGGGAGGGGGTGAGACGAGGGGTTCATAGCCACAGGTGGGGACGTCACGCCTTCCATAAATATTATTTCAATTACCTAATTAGGTAGAGAGACACAATGGGAAGGAACGACAAGAAGTACACAGGTACATTGAAGTGGAACGTACGTAGAGCTTACAAATGTGGCCAGGTGCAGGCATTACCCCTGCGCATTAAGCTTTGACCCCGCGGGCAACCCCAGTATCTCGTCATCTCTCTTCGGCTTTCAAGGTGAACAACACAGCCAATTATGGGTGAGAGCACTGCAGAAAAGGATATCCAAAATGAGAGGGACAAGAAATGGGAGATGGCATCCACGGCCCGGATGAAGCAGATTGTTCCTGGTCTCTTTCTTGGAAATGTCCGGTCATCGTGGAAACGTGAAATGCTTGAAGAAAATCATATAAAAGCAATTGTCTCTCTTACAGATGGCCGATGGGTATGGTGGAACAGTATCACAAGAGAGGCAGTTCCAGAGTATCATCACAAATGGGTTCAATGTGCAGACTCATCGACGCAAGATCTCCTTATCCATATGAGCGATACCTGCGAGTTTATTGACCAACTGGCATTCCCTGCGCTTTCCTCATTGAGCTCTTTGCCTGTCGATAATGAGCTCGAAACAGATGATAAGCCAGAGGCGATCATGATTCACTGTGACCTTGGCATCTCACGCTCACCAACTATCATCGTCGCCTATCTTATGCGAAAACTGCGCATCCCGGCAATAGAGGTATTAGAATTTGTTAAATCAAAGCAAACAACACCAAGAGTCAGGCCAAGCAGGAACTTTACTCGTCAACTTCAAGTGTGGGAGGAAGTTGGATATCAACTATGGGAGGATGAAGACATGAGTGTCCCAAAACCGGCATACAAGACGTTTCTGGAAGATCGAGCTGCCCTCATGAAAGCAAAGGGGCTCACTGGGAATGAGCCACTTGGGCCCCTGACTCTACTTGATTAAAATGTTTTCCCATTTCTCATATCGCAGCATATTATTGTCAGCATTATTACATTGAACCATCTCATCTTCCACACCTGTCCAGGTAGGTACCTAGTCAGGCTATATGTGCGGCGCAACGGATTCAGGTACAAGGCATATAATTTCTAAACTAAATGCTTGATCTCACTCTAACCCGAAATGAATGCCCAAAATAAATCCTAACGTCAGTCGTAAATCGTAATCCTAATATCCTCATTTCACAACCCGGGAGTCTGTGCCCCTTCCCCGATCCCATTCAACCCACCAGCGAGCCCGTTCATGCGACGATCCAGCAAATCCTCTTCACTGTCAAGGGAAGCGATGCTCCGTCCTCTTGGACGGACTGTGCCAGGGCTTTCAGGAGCACTGTTTGTCTCATCAGGATCGAAACGGTTCGGCGAACGACCCGCTCTCTCCAAGCATCGGAGCTTAGCGATGAAATCCTCCTTAGCATTGCGGTCATCTGCCAACGATGTAAGCCCGGTGACTCGCGAGGAGGCAAACGAGGAACGTGATCTCCTCCGACGCGTGCGGTGTTCGGACTTTGATGCAAGTGCATCCTCACTACCAGCAAGGGACGTAATCTTGCTCATTCTCATTTCCAATGGTCTGTCGTCATCACCGGAGGACTCGCCAGTGAACTTGCGATGGTGGTTACGTCCCTTGTTTGGAGCATTTTCTTCGTGGTCTGCGAGACCAGACCATTTGAGGGAAGTATTTGCATTCAAAGCATTCATGTCCCCGTCAGGGTGAAGTAAGTCCGCCTCGAAGTTGTCAGTCTTGGTCTTCTGGGATAGACTCTCAAGCCAGTCCGCACTGCGATGGATATACTTCCACGCGTCAGGGAAGAAGCCAGCCATCTGCATAAATCCGTGTGAAATCCCAGGAATCAGGGAGATCTCGACGTAGTTTCTCTCGTTAAAGGGACGGTTAGACCTCTCCAATCCCAGGTCCTGGCGCTCACGGAAGTGATGTAGCTTTGCTTGACGCAGTCTGCCTGCAAATATCACCGTGTCATCAACCAGAGGATCTCGCTCTCCCGTCATGATATATGTTTTCGGGAAGCGGGCAAGTAATGCATCTGGGGCCAGGACAGGAGACAAGAAGAAATCGGTGTTGAAGTCAGGGCGATGGTGGGGTCCGATGTATAGAATGATCATCGCACGCGTCATTTCCGGCGTGAGGATGCGGTCGTGGACGTAGGTAATCATGGACGAGACGGCTAGTCTGGTCTTAATTGGTTTGACTTCGTCTTCTGCTTTAACAACAGGCTTCGGGGCTAGGTCTTCGCTCTTTTGGAGCTTCCTTTCCAGTGCTTTGGCCGCTTCAGTGGCCACATTGGCTTCTTTGCTATCCTTTGCTTTCTCAGGTGGTGAGATAGCAGTCAAATCCTCGACCGAGCGACCTGGAGATGTGAATGGTGTGAGTCTACGATATTGATCCTGTTTCCGTTGCAGAACACTGCGGTTTGTCTGACGGGTGCTCTTCTCCTGGATCAATGACATCTGCTCATCACTCATCCAGCTCTCAACCCTCATGTTTAACGCAGGGTATCCCAAAACCACACCATCCGGAGCCGGGAGCACATCCTCTCCACGCCAGCCTTGAGCCATCGCGGATTGCAACACCATCAAGGTCATGCCCACTGCCAGGTTCCCACCGGCACTCTCGCCAGTAACAAGAATACGAGGACGGGTCTTACCACTCAGACCCATACAACGACCGTTCGTGGCAATGATACTATGGTAGACATCATAGCATTCGTGCAGCGCATACGGATATGCGAATTCTGGTGCCTTCTTGTAATCGACGCTGAGGATGGGAACCTTGAGCCGTCCCGCCCAAGACAATAGCTTGTCCTCTGAGTTCCTGGGACTCATAGCCACAAACCCACCACCGGGTACATCCAGCACAATGAGACTCTGATCTCGGAGCGCACTTAACGGGCCATCGAAATACAGCCACGCATTCACTGGGTCGGTGTACACAGACTGCGCTGGGCGAGGGATTCGAATCGCTCGGGCCGGGAACCGAGTCATCCGCGGTCGTAGCAGTTTCGCCATTGACCACAGGTAGGGGCTGGTGGCTTTGTTCCAAGACACGCGCAGATGCTCCAGTGTCAGGGTAGCACGGACCCGGCGAACCTTCTCATCGGCCTGTTCAGCAGCAATCAAATAGTAAGCTGTAAACACTAGTGAGGCTATATCTCGCAACCATTTTGGCTTTATGTTCATCGCAGTCCAAAATCCAGCATCAAGACCAGTGGTGATCCATGTTGCTCGGAAGAAGGACCGCGAGTACATGTTTGCCAATGGTTCAGGGCATTCAAGGCCGACGATCTTGGCGAAGTTCCGGCTGAGGTAGAGCCAGAGGAATATGATAACAGTTGTCTGCCACGTTGTCAACTTTCCTGTGAAGCGGGATGAGAGTGATCGAATAAACGGTGGGCCATGTCTATCTGCTCTGTTGGATGTTCAGCGGTTGGAATTTCTTAGACTGGTGTGAACTAGATTTGCCGTACCTTAATAAGTATACCGACCAGAAGGAGACAACTGCAAATACTTGGATCTTGCGGAAGCGGGTCGAAGGTCTCCCCAAGACGTGGTCTAAACATCGATTAGCTTTAGCTTAGTGTGTTTCAAGTGGGATGCAGGTTGCATACCTATCATTTCTCAAAGTTATGGCTGAGTCTACTCAGTCTAGCCAGTTCAGCCTGTAATGTGTAGTCTATGTGAAGCCAGAATAAGAATACATGAAGGTCAAGTCTAAAGAATAATGAGAATCAAACAGAACCGAAAGGCTAAAGACAAAGAGACAATTTTAGACAAGTCAGCCACCATGAACAAAGGACATAATGCCATGCAGCGTAGTTCAAGTAATGCAACCTTGTCATTGGAGAAAAGCCCTGTGAGGCCGGGGAAGTTGAATCACATGTCAACAAAGTCCCACTTTCACATGTCAGTGACGACATCAGCTGACATTCCGCTTTTCAGCTGAGGGAGGTTACACATTATACCAAGCCAGGTTACACACAGTAAAACCGGCGGTGACCTCCCTTAGCTTGGGTTCTTAGGTGAGGTCACCGTGGCCCTTCTATTATTATATAATCAATAGGGCTTCCACAGAGCCCCACAACCTTGGAAAGCTCAACCCAGGGGCTGGGCTTTGGGCCCGGTTGTTGGGCCCACGATGGGCTTTAGGCTTTTTTTTTTAGGCCCACGACCTATCGTGGGGGCCCATTAGGGGCTCATTCCTTAATAAATAGTGCAAATATACTATTTTCTCTTACCAGATTTCATTCCTATCAGTGGCCGAAGTCATCTCTACCCAGCTAAGTTTCATCACTTACCGCCTACTAACACCCCATTCCTATCAGTACTTTTCCCGTCAGTACTATATGCTCAGTCATCTTTATCCAAGTGATATTCATCACTTACAGTAGCGGACAAGTTTGGCTTCTACGAAATGTAGACTCTTTCGCTCTTTCTTGGCGCCACATCGGTGGCCCTAGTGCCAATTTGATTAACCAGGACCATGTCTACGAATAATTTTTATATTTAGAGTATTGATTTAGGATTATGAATACTTTCGACGATCATCTTCATGTCAACGGTTTCATGCAGTTTTGTTGAGTAGAACAAGTGACACTGATTTACAGTACTTCCGGAAATCGGTGTCACCATTTGCACTCTTTGATTCATTCTCGAACCTTGAATGCCAAGGCCACTGAATTGTATTTAGAATAGTCTCGGAATGATACGCTCCAAACAAGGCGTATACAGTATTGCGATGTAAATTCCACTACATCCTTTGAAGGTGCAGTAGCTAGGATTTATTTACGTATCCTTGAAAAGACTGATTAGACGTTTTGCATGGTTGCCAAGCCGTAGAAATATGTGATTTCTTTCAAAAATTTGATATAAGTTGTTTTTTATTTAAAGTGCGCCTGGAAGGATGACTCCCGCGCCCCTGCAGTGTACTTCGGTTGTGGTAACATGCTATCTACTTGTTGATTGTCCTTCTATCACAGCCGTAGGCGCAGTTGCAGCTTGTATTAGGAATGCCACAGTCTATAAGCTACCTTACAATCGGTAAATAAACGCATACTTCACAGGAACAGCGTAGCTATAGTAATAGCTAACGAGCCAGTGCAGAAGATACTATGAAATATATTACTAGAACTTAGCTCAAACCTAACTTGGCATCAAGATTAGCAACTCGATCTAGCAGTATTTGTACCACATTCCCATGACCCAAAGTCGACGCAGCCTGTAGGGCACTACTATATATTCCCCCACCTGGAGCATTGACGTCGGCGCCATGCTCTAAGAGAATCTGCACAATCTTTTCATTACCGTGAAATGACGCAGCTTGCAATGCATTGCCCAGGATGCCTCCTTGAATGTTGACATTGGTGCCTCGAGTAAGAAGCAACTGGACTGCCTTTTCATGACCTTGAGATGATGCCGCCTGTAGTGCATTGCTGTATAGTCCTCCACTTAGAGCATTCACATCGGCGCCCTGGTCTATGAGAATCTGCATAATCTCTTCATGTCCGCGAAATGATGCAGCCTGTAGTGCATTTCCATAGGTTCCTCCTTGAACATCCACTTTGGCGCCTCGAGCTAGGAGCATCTGCACAATATCTTGATCGCCATAATCCGATGCAGCCTGCAGTGCATTATTAAGAGCCCCACCCTGAGTATTCACATTGGCTCCCCGTTCCAAAAGCATCTGCACAATTGTTTTATATCCTCCATGTGCTGCACCGCAGATTGGACTAGCATATTGTCCATTTTGGAGTATGCTTCCAAGTAGCACATCTTCGCCATCGGGATCGGCACCCTCATCTAAGAGGAGCTGCACTGCCTTTTCATGACCTTGAGATGATGCAGCTTGTAGCGCACTGCCAAACTTCCCTCCCTGAAGGTTGATGTCGGCGCCCTGAGCAAGGAGCATCTGCACAATATCTTCATGGCCGCCATATGATGCAGCTTGTAGTGCACTGCCAATTCCTCCTCCTTGAAGGTTGATATCGGCGCCCCGAGCCAGGAGCATTTGCACAATATCTTCATAGCCGTGATATGATGCAGCCTGTAGTGCACTGCCAGATCCTCCTCCTTGAAGGTTGATATCGGCGCCCCGAGTCAGAAGCATCTGCATGATTATTTCGTATCCTCCATGTACTGCAGACTGTAATGCCGTGGTATGGAAACCATCATGGGCGTTGACATCGGCGCCCTGAACCAGGAGCATCCGGACCACCTCTTCATGGCCTCGAGATGATGCAGCCTCTAGTGCATTGCTGCATGACTCTCCACCTAGAGCATTGACATCGGCACCCTGATGCAAGAGAATTTGCACCACCTTCTCGTGCCCTCTATATGACGCAGCCACTAGTGCACTACCATATCCATATTGCCAATGGATCGTGTTCACAATCCTTTGTATGTCTTTTGGACTTTCCGATTCATTGAATATCAGATCGGATAAGATCCAGTCAAGTCCCAACAATGAGGCGTAATATAAACGTGATCCCATAGTGTCTGTGTCAAGATTCAAATTGAAATTGACGCCTTCCGTTGGGCGGTCCACGTTATATAGCTTTATCCAAGTTCTGAAAATGGTTTTCTGGGTCTTGAACAACTCTACCACAAGCTTTTGAACATCTGGCTTTCTGTCCTCGGAGATTTCGTAGTGGTGGAACCAGTACATAGCAGCGAAATGAGCAAAGGGGAACTCCATTAGTTTCTTCTCATTTAGTTCGCCAGTAGAAAGCATGGGTTCCAAAAGGTAGACAAGGCAAATTTGTGCAATTTCCGCGTTCGCAGGTCCTTTGCGCATTTTGAATCTTGCTGCTTTTCGTTGAAGCATACGTTCCGATTGTAGGTATTCCTGCACAGAAGAATGTGCTATGCGAGCAATGCAATTTTGGTGCTCACAGCCATACTTGACTTCCGAAACCTCCACAAGTCCAAGACAAATTTCCAAAATGCCATTCAGCTCATAGGATCGACCCTCACGATCAAGGTGCGATGAATGACCAAGTTCAACCGCATGGGCGTCGATAAGCTCACTCACATTCAGTGGTCGGGCAGAGAAGCAAAGCACAGTCAGGATCCGTCGAACATCTTCAACATATGCTTCGTCGATACTACATAATATTCGCTCATATGTTTCGTCTAGATCGCGAGGTAAAGAACGTAAACATTCATCAAGCTGATTCCCGTTCTTCGCCCGTCGAAAAGCGTTGAGCTGACACTCCACATAGCGGAATCTGTGTGCAACTACTGTTAGAGTATTGAAACATATTTTCTTTAATAGATACTTACACCCCCTGCGCACCCTGTATAAGTTTTGCTTCAATCTCGCTATGACGGACTTTCCACCTCTGGAGCTCTAGATCGTTGTCGAGCTGATGAGAGACAAAAGCAGAGATATCTTTGTTGATAGGTGAGCATCTCACAGAAATGCTTTGGTTGTTATACGGAATTAGGGATCTTCGAATGTCTAGCAGGTCACGACTTGTTACTAAGAGATGAACACTAGGCAAGCTCCAGTCCCGTATCGCCTGTATCGCCCTTAAGACACCTTCCCTATAATAGTGTCGGGGACTCTCGTCTAATGCATCAAGAAAGATGTAACTATCCTGGAATTGACAAAGGAAGGTTCGAAGTAAGCCGAGTAACGCCTCTAATGGAGGAGTTCGTGGATTATATGATGCGTGGAGTTGCTTTAGTTCCTTTTCACCGTCTTGAAACTGCACAGATAGTTGTAGCAGTAATGCGCGTAACATGCCGTGATCATTTTGCTTTGACTCATCGTTAAAGGCGAAGTAGAAGAATGCGACTCCTACCGCGTTTGTATCCTGCATCTTTAGGAATGTATGTTGAATTGCAATTGAACAAAGGACGGACTTGCCACATCCTGCGAACCCATTAAGCCAAAGAAAAGAATTGTGCTCTATAAGCCAGTGCGTAAATTGATGATTGTTGACCAACCAAAGGCCAGTGCTTGGATGATGTTTTGCATATATATTGTTATGGTTTACAGATGCATCAGGGGCCATCAACCAAACGCGAATAATATCAGAGATCTGACTTATGTTTGTCCGCTCAAGAAGAGCTTTGACATCCGATATTCCGTCTTCGATTCGACTGTGGCTTTTGAGTTGTAAGACACTAAGTGCGAACGACAAGTTTTCTCGTATCGTAGTGATGTCCTCATCGATCTTCTGCATAGTGCTTTTCCGGAACGGATAGGCGGCGCGACGTCCAGCAACACGGACACGGCCTTCGAAGCCAGGAACAGAGTCGTTGTAGAGTTTCTGACACTCTATCTGGAGCTCTTGGAGTATTTCCTGGCATCTTTGTGTGGCTTTGTCAACTTCTTGGAGTAACTCATCTGCGTCGGCACGGATTTGGCGTTGCTGGACTTCAATTTCCAAGGATCGAAATGCACTCTGAAGATTTTCGATATTTTGGGTGATTTTTGCAACTTCGTTGTCTCGGCTTTTGTAGGCTGAATAAAAATCGACCAAGGTTTGCGTAACTTGAATCCCAAGTGAAAGAAACCCGGCGATCCCCGCTGCAATCGAGAGCGGATCACTCATGGCGATAACCAGCGGCCACCTTTATTGGATAGAAACGTTCTGCGGTATATCAAAGAGAAAATAGCGGAGTATTGGGGGAGATAGAGAAAAGGAAGCAGATGGCATTGCGGGGGAAGGAGCTAGTCAAGTGGGTGCCTAATCTAATGCCAAGGATGACAACGTAGGTATGAAGCGTTTGTAATGCTCATTCACCCCACAATACAATACTTCGTGTATTAACAGGGGTACCTAGGTAGTTCGGGGGCTGGTTAGGGTTCGAGAAAAAATCGAAGAGTGTAAGGGGTGACACCGATTTCCGGAAGAACTGTAAGGTCGACTTTCCTGTAACCTAGGATACTTATTCGGATGGACAAATGGGTGAGAGTATATGAGGTAAATTAGTATCGCGATCGTATAGCGTGCAGATCATTCAACGTAAGTAAATTACCGATCATTCCTTTGTCGTCGTCCCGACTCAAGCATCAACCTAGGCAACAATCAACCCCTAAATCGTTGCAAAATGGCGCGGAACCTTACTCCCTGGCAGCGTCGAGCTATTGTACACATGATAAGCAGCAAGAACAGACTCACTCCATCACAAATGACCGAGCTAGCAAAGAATAGTGAGCGTTTTATCACTAACATAAACAAGAATATGCGGTTGTTCGACAGTCCCAATTCTCCCACGATGTAGCGGTGCAAAGCCGGAACATAGCCGCGATAGCATATACTGAACTTGCAGAAACAGTAATACATACATCATTAGGCGCCAATCTTGGCAGCTGTCAGACCAGGGTTAGACCTATGACTTCACCGACTGGAGATCCCTAAGCTGGTCTTCATCTGCGTACCCTCTAGAGGGCAGTCTCGGCCTTCCCTGTGGCTCTCCGGACTACTATTATAACAAAGGTTGAGGCATTATGCGTTCAAACCCTTCAGTCTCATCAACCCTGACCACACTATCCTCGGCCACCCCCTCCTCGGCCACCGCCCCATCCCTGACCGCGCCCTCCTCGGCCACACTATCCCCGGCCATCGCACCCTCACCCTCCTCGACCACCGCACTCCCCTTGACCGCATCCTTCCTCATCGCACCCTCCCCGACCGCACTCTCCTCACACGGTGGAGCTCATCAGCCGGGGAACTGGCGGCCATTTTCGAAGATATGGCAAAACTGCGCTGCTTTGATTGCGTCTGGAACCGCTCTGATGGTGATCTACTACACGGTGCGGACCTATAATTTAGCGGCCTGGACCGCTAAAAAGGATTACCGCGAGTTCTGTGACAACGCTGAGGTATTTTCCTGACGCCTAAGTTTACTCCGATTATATACTAACAGCTCTTGCTCCACCAGAACCAAACTACTGTCTCACGATGTCCGATCGAATATCCGCCGGTGATGAAAGGCAAGATTAAGCGATGGATACATGTTGGCAGTGCCATCTGGAACGAATCCCAATTAGACTTTAGCATTCTTGATGGTAAATTAGGTTTGCAAGTTGGCATATTTCTCGTGCTGATTGTTTTACTCATCGTATCATTCTGGCTGTCAAAGCACCCATTAGCTTTGCAACATCTACCTCGATCCTGCGTCATCTTACCATTTCACAGGTTTTCTGCGGAAGAACTAAGTGGCGCAGCATCTATAACACATACTACCACGCTCGTTGATCATGGATCGTCGCTCATCCGGAGACACGTCCCTTCATTTTCCATGAATCAGAATCCGACGTATCGGATACCTTGATATCGAGAAGGCATGCGTGATATTGTTTCTCACAACAGGACAAAAATGATTACGAAAGGAGTCTCATTCAATGAGGAGTACAACAACGACGGAAGGCACTTACGGTCCGTCCCGTGGGAATAGCTCACCCGATTTGCTCTATAAACCACAATTGGGTGAAACAGAATTTGGGGAAGTCCTGTCTTTGTTTGAGATGAGCAATTTCCAAGTACGCACTGTAAAGTAGAGATGTAGCTCTTTAATGGGTGTGAGTGAATATAATCATCCGGTTGGGGTTTGGCTTTTTAGTAAAGATCGATCTCATTCAGGAATTCTGTTGGAAATGGAACGTTGTATTGCCTATGTATAGTTGATCTGTTGATGAGTTAACATGGATGGGCTTGACTCAGTTGCTGTATCTGGTGCACACTGGGAATGGACCCACTCAAACCCTCTGCACCGCCACTTCTGCCTGCATTCCGGTGCCAGAGGCACTAGCGTCGGGCGACGCCTCGGCGTTGTCCGTCTGTCGAATGAATTGCACCTTGAACTCAATGGTAAAACGCCCACGGGGCAACGTCCAATTGCGATATTCACGCCATGGGCGGTAGCTGAAGGACAGGAAGCATCGCACGAGGAACAGAGCCAAGTGAATCAGTCTAGATGCCCAGTGGGTGTTAATATGTATTATCAAGGAATAGCAGAGAGGATATTTTCGGAATGACCGACCCGAACACCACAGCCAACCAGGATAAGACCTGGGCGATATGGATGAGCCATAGGGGCACATCTGCGTCCCATCCGGAGCCGTCGAGGTCCAACTCCAATAGACTATTACCGATTGAGAATACGGCGATGGCGAGGTCCAGGATCAGGTTCAACCAGAGCCAGATAGGTCGGTTCCAGAGATACAGACGAGCCAGATTAAGGAACGAGATCAATCCGGCGGCCAGGAGCTGTTGTCGCTGTGGTCAGCAGCCTATTTTCCTGGTGAGGAGTATATATATGCGTGACATCAAAACATACCGTCCCCAAGAGGGCAAGTAGAGTACCCTCTGGTGGCATGGGGCTGATATACCCAAATCGGGCAAGAAATATGAATATGATGGTCAGGTCCAGAACAAGGATGAAGACCGCGAGCAGTGCCGAGCTCCACGTCAAAATGAAGATGGTTTTGGTGCATCGTTGTTGATGTCTTTCCACAATGGGAGCGTATCGTTCACCATTCGGGGATCCTAATTCATCGGCTGTGGGGTCCAACAGCAGCGGGGTATCTTCAGTGGTTCGCGACATTATGTCAATAATGGGATGAAGAGGGCAACGTCGCAATATTAATGGGAAGAGAGTCGAGAAGTTGTCGGGTTATCATGACTAACCTACTTAGGTAAAGGTCGCGGAATGACTCCCAGGCACCAACCAAGCGCCAACAGGGTAAGCACTAGCTCCATCACCGTTCCGGGATATACTGTCGGGATAAAAACCAGAAGATTTTCCACCATCATGGATAAGTCAGCTTGTCCATTAGTCATGTATCGTGCACATATAAATTGCTACTCCATTTATATTCCGCTTTCCAGATTGCGGACTTTCAAAGGCGTCCATTTACTCCAAAAAAATACTATTAATGATCTCTGCTTTTCTCCCGACCCCGACCTTAACGTGGAAATGGAAAGATTACGTGATTTAGAAGCCAAAACCGTTGCGGCTTGGGCTTTACCTCTCTAACTTAGCCTCTTTAATACTCGTCCCTCATGTTCACATTACCACGTCCTCCAGATCAAATCCCACTAATGCTACATCGTTTTAGGGCTCACGGCGTGAGACAGCGCGCGTCCCCCAGTCTACATAGCAACCCTAATAGCACGCGCGCAGCTCGTTCGCCCCTGTTTTGCCTTTCTCGGCCTGGCTTTCCTTGGCCTTAGTGTTCTAGGCCTTTGTCTACATGTATTTGCACGATCTGTTTCGATGATTGCTTCGCGTGCTGTTCATTAACGCTCTTCTTATCATGATTCTCTACGACGTAATGCCACGGTGGCTTCACCGAGTTTAGTACATAATCAATCCATGTGGGACCTATGTTACCTGGCCGCGTTGTCTGTAATCCCCATAGTGGAGCCCCCCACTTTTCGCCCACAGGGTTCATCTTGGAATCGCTCTGGTTTTCAAATAATAATTTCTGGATGACTATGTCTCTATTTTCTAGTAATATCGCGTCAGTCGATATTAGATATATTGATTTATAAAGAAATGCGCCCTACGTTGTTATTTATTAGATACAATGCGGAAAATTTACGAAACGAATTGAAATATATTTCGAACCCTAGTAGTTTCACTTGCTCTTAATACCAGATATTTGCTGGTCGAATTATCTGAGATACCATACTGCGAGATGCTGGAAACCCCGAGAGGAGGATTCACACCGTAGTGAATTGATACACAAGGGTCCTAAATTTAGAAAACATTATCCTGCCCCTCGATAAGCGCAAGCAAGGTTGAAGCAAGGCTCAAAGATAACTTCCAATGCCGTATGCTCTTCAGGAGGCCGATGATCCCGAAGACCTGGTTCACAGCCTTCCGCTCGACTTGAGTGTTTCTCAAATCTGCCGCATCGATTTCGCCAACATGCACTCCAGCTAGATCTAATTCTGGAAAGCTGCGTTCCATGATAGCTCCGTTGCTGCCATTCCCGATATGCCCAAAGCAAAACCAGATGATCCCACAGTGGTAAAGGGACGTGGGAATCTGTAGTGGACACTCAGACCCAATGGACATTGACTCGAAGTGCTTTCTGATGCAGACAGCGTGTATTAGAGATCTGGTCGCGTCCTGGGAATTTGCCCACTGTTGAGCATATCCAATGGCTTCTCGAGCTCCCTCTGGGCCGTCTCTACCGCAGGCTCGCTCAAGAGCGTCAATATTTGAGTATAAGAGAATGAAAGTGGAGTGCCAGAGAATCCTTAATGGATATGCCCAGGCCTCACCAGGAGCGGCAGCCGATAGATGCGTCTCGTACCAAGATAGGAGCAGTTCCTGGCACTTCTCGGCTGCACGGGGGGTAGTCGAGAAAGTTTCCTGGCACTCACAGGCCACAGCACTAATGGACTCAAGAGAGGCACAGAGTTGGAAGTCACTCGTCCCTCGAGGACTTCGATTCTTCATCGACCTGTTCCCAGCCTGCTGGGTCTGTTGCAGAATCAGCTCGCGCCACGAATTTGCGTTGCTTGCAGCAAACACCTCATCTGAGGAGATGATTGGTAGACGCTCAATCGCAGGACGTAGGCATGGCTCATGATGATGAATCTTCGCTAACTCAGCATCAAGTATAAATATTCCGAGCACAGCGCTGTAGGATATTAGTGAGGTTATATCGACTGGGTAAAAATGGTGGGTTCACCGTTTTCTCTCCTCTAGGGAGATCCAATGCTTCCACGAGGACTGCAATTTGTCATTCGGGAGGTTTGCAAGGGTTGCAGGTAGTTCTGGTGATGTTGTATGCGTAAGTAGTCGGACTCTGCGAGCAAACTTGGCCATAGTCAGCATTTCCAATCGTCTCTTGTCGAGACAAGATGGTCTGCCAAAACTCACTGCAATTATACTTCCATGAAAGGCCTCAATTCCGGCCAGATCTTTGGGCCGCTACAGGAAGAAAGCAGAGGTATTAAGTTAGCCTTTGCACATAGTGAATCATTTGTATGGTAGAGTAAGAGAATTCTGTGGCTGGAAAAGTACGCACTCCCATAAGAAGACCGAATGTCTGTCCTAGCAAGGCCGACTGAATGGCCACGATTTTTGAATCTGGACGTTGAGTGATCATAATGTCCCACTGAATTTCCAGACTGTCGATTAATATTGCTGTTCAAGACCGATTGAATTCCCGAAATGGACGGGCCATCTGACTCACCGAAGATAAAACTGCTTTTTGAAGTCTTTCAAAAATGCTAATCCCGTGTTCGATTGCTCGTTCAGAGCCGAGAAATAGACTCCCTACAGAGCAAATGGACAGAAGAAGAACGGCATTCTGCGTAGAGGGCAAGAAGGATGGCTCATGGATGATAGGAAAGATGGGATGAAAATGGCAGAAATACGCTTGCAGACAGAGATGCTACATATCAGTCAGCGCCTTACTCCTTAATTTTCCGTCCTCACGCATTTTTACCACTTTCGAGGACTGGGTGGTGGCAAATAAAGAACGAGGGTAGTAGGGCTTACTAGAAAAGTGGTTGAAGGGAGAATACCGGCTTGCACACGTTGCTGAAGACGTTGAGCGAGCTCGTGGCGATATGTATCGTCAATTTGATTGCAGTTATTCGCTGGGTCTGGGGATATGACGCCCGACGTGGCCTGCTCACAGTAGGTGTGCCATTTTTTCTCCGTTATTGCATTCCCACTCGGCGCCAATCCCGCGTTCGTTGCCTGTTGGTCAACACTAGATGATCCAGTGGCAAGCGGATTCTCATCTGCCATCTGATCAACAGTCAAGAAGTCTCCACTAGTGGCTTGTAATAAGGATGAGTTCAGGGCATCTAAGTCGAAGTTGTCATCCATCAACCAAGAATTCCATCCTGAGTCTAGCTCGACGCCGAGTATATCCGACAAACTCAGGGTTTCGTTTATCTGGAAATCACCAGCTGGATCCTGTGAAAATGAGATAGGAAAACCTAAATCCAACGAGTCGTTTGTATCAGCGTTCGCAGACACATTTGTCCCCACACGTTCTATTGTGCCATTTGAAGGCGTCCTTATCGTTGCGATATTACTCGTAGATGGTGATGAATATGACGGTGGCAATGGATGGCATGGTACCGCAGCAAACACTTCCAAATCAGATTCAGTCGTGGGGGGAGTGACATGAGAAACGCCCGTTGTCTCTTGTGAATGCCGAACGTCCCCCGATCCATCTCTTCGGTAATGTGACCGTGTATGGCGAAGCAATGAGTCCCTAAATCAAATTATGAACATCATGATCAATTTCTTTTTCCTTTAGTTGGTCGGTTCCGTGAAGTGCTACACTCACTGTCTGCTATATCCCCGTCCACAGTCCGCGCAAAGGAATGGCTTTTCTTTCGTGTGGGATCTATAATGCCTGGCCAAATGTTCCGCTTTGGAGAACTCCTTGGAGCATACGGGACAAACGCGGTCCTGCTTGGACGTCTTGGGTCGCCGACGGCCCACTGGTCGAGAGAAAGCACCAGATTGCATTATCACCACACAAGCACGTGAGTTTGAGCTAGTTGCTAATGCCTGAATTCTGATGCTAATGCTGAGTGATGTGATGGTGGGAAGATGATGATGCATCATGGTGGCGGGAAGGTGCGAACTACGGATTGTGGCAACTACCGTCCGCGCATTAATGTAAGTGCGATTGTTTTCTTGTTTCTCCTTTTCCACTCAATTTTAGGATAATGTTCTGCTCTTCACATCAAATTGTAGATAGTACGCAATATTGAACCCACAGCGATATCAAGGATATCGGATTTCATTTTTGACGGACGCCACACCTTCGATCTCCACCTCCACCACGTCCCCAGCCTTCAAAAATTCCCGATTGAAAAATCCCACGCCAGCTGGTGTGCCAGTCATGATTACGGTTCCCTTGCGAAGAGTCATTCCCCGTGAGAGGTGGCTGACAATTTGCCGGACACTCCAGATCATGTCACTTGTACTGGTCTGCTGCTTGACCTGCCCGTTGACCCGGGTAACTAGACGGAGATCCTGGGGATCGGGAATCTCGCTGGCCGCAACAATGGTATGTCCAATAGGTCCAAAATGATCGAAGGATTTGGAATAGCCAAATTGCATCCCAGACGCCTCGGGGAGCTGGAAATTCCGCGCAGACAGGTCATTTCCGGCCGTATAACCCAGGACATACTCCAATGCCTCAGTCTCGGAAATATTCTTCGCATCTCGGCCCACAACGACAGTCAACTCGCCTTCGTAGTCGAGCATTCCACGAGCGTCGGGGTGAATTTCAATTGTATCAAAAGGACCAGCCAGCGCATCGGCCGGCTTGACAAAGATAGGAGGATATTTCGGAACATTCAGCTGAAATCCCCGTCAGCAAGCCATGTAAGACTGGTTAAAATATATTGGAGTACGTACCTTGGCTTCGTTTACGTGACTCTGGTAATTCAAGCCCACAAGGATGATGAGCGGAGTACGATCAATGGGGCAGAGTAGCTGGAAGGCTGTTAAAAGGGAAAAGGGGAACTTGTTGGACTACAAGACCTACTTCATCAACTTGGACAATCTCCTCAGTGGCCAGCAGCTTAGTGAAAGGGTCACCAGTCAATCGTCTGACTTCATATGTGCCACCATTGGCGCTGAGTAGATCCCCGAAGTGGATCCGATCTCCTATGGCGAAACGGACCAGTCGCTTGAAGGCCATCTCTAGTATGGATACGCGGAGTGTAATGATGAAAGATATTAGAGAATGCAGATGCGTCTCAACACCGGATTTGGAGTTCTTCTGCAAAAAAGCAAACTGGATGTCATTACGCGACATTGAATTTATTTATGTCCAGCCTGAGGCGGTTCAAGTCCCCGCAACTTAGGTCCCACCGCGCCGGCATGGCGAAGATGTGGTGGGGCCTTTGGCTGTGGCCAGTATAATAATGTTCAACCACTTCTACTCATCGCCTGCTATTAGTTTCATGCAACAGTTCACATCACCTTTGGACCTTCTCGACTTATTCAATTTCCCATTTCAGCATCATATCTGTCCTCACAATGGAAGTCACGCAATCGTCGGTCCAGGCCAACCACGGAGCCTCCGTGCCCGACACGAGCGCCTCTCAGGAGCAAATGTCTCAAGCGGATTGGCTCCAGTCCAGGGGCATCAAGGCCGAGGACCGTGTTGAGTTGGCCAGGCTCTCCCATATGCGATATCAGCATCCGGATTTGGACGTATTATCTGGATTCATGCTAGGTTTGTGTCACGTAGTTGCCCGATGTGTCGAATACAAACTAACCCTTATAGATTTCGGAATGGCAATAGCAAAAAGAACCGAGAATGAAGTCTGGTTCCGCGGTTATGGAATCGATCAGTATGTTTACTATGCAACCAAAGGACCGAAGAAGTTTTTAGGAGGAGTATTCGCAGTTGAGTCGAAGGAGGAATTCGAGAAGTAATAGAAATTCTTGCCAGTCTATCTCAAAAAGTAACGCTAATCATATTTGATTGATTCACTTATAGGACTTTGAAGATCCCAGGAGCATCCCCAGTCCAAAAATTATCTGACGCCCCCGGAGGAGGTGAGATGGTGACCATCGTGGATCCAGACGGCTTTCCCTTCAATGTGATATTTGGCCAGGAAAAAGGAGAAGATGCCTCTACACCTCCTGCCGAGAAGTTGAAAGCCAACTATCCAAACGAGAAGCAGAGGCTTCGTCAGTTCAACCGCTTCGAACGTGGCCCTGCAGCTATACACAAGGTTAGTTGACTTTCGGTTCTCTTTGACATGATCTTCTATCCATACTAACGATTCATCGTGTTACTGTTAGTTGGGCCACTTTGGCTACTCTACGGAACACTTCGAAGAGCTCCTCTCATTTTACACCTCCCATTTCAACATAGTTCCGACAGACCTGCTTTATATGGAACATGACGGACACAGAATGGACGTGACGACATTTATGCACCTGGACCTGGGTCAAAACCATACGGACCATCACTCTTTCTTCCTCGGGGCCAGCCAAACAGGGTCTCACGTTCACCATTGCTCCTTTGAGGTTTTTGACTATGATACCCAGCATCTAGGACACCAATGGCTGACCAGTAAGGGCTATCGATCCGTCTGGGGGGTGGGCCGACATATTCTTGGATCCCAAATCTTTGACTATTGGTGGGACCCAGCAGGAAATATGGTTGAACACTACGCTGATGGTGATCTGGTCAATGGAGACACTCCAATTGGAATTATGCCGGCGGGCCATGAGTCATTGGCTATTTGGGGACCAGAGGTTCCGCTTGCTTTCCTGCAGTAGTGTTCTCGTATGCAATTTTCTGGCAATGAGTGAGTGCTTTTGAGAAAAATTGTTTAGTTGCTTTATTATTTGTGTGGGACTATTATTAAACATAGCCTATTGATGATAAATAGTGACGGTATCTATGCGGGCCTTGATCAATTATATGGTTATTTATGCTGGATTTAATCTCTTAATGCCACACAAACTTTCATCAGGCTCTATCATGTGCTCTCGTAGGTACGTCTTGTGGTGTAGTGGGGGATCTACTGTCGGAAGGTCTTTGTTGTTGATTGATTGATCTGTTTATGGGCTCTGTATTGTTTGCTTTTAGGAGCACATGTATGGAGAGGTTGGCATGTTGTATGATTCAAGATCAGATGGAGAGACTTAACACACTCTGCGTGAATTCGTGGATGTCGTTCTATGATTACTGTTTTCTCTGCATGATTTGATTTGACCCAAGGACCAGAGAAGGAGATTCATTCTCGTCAGTCTGCTGTTCCCACAGTGGGCTTATACCCCTTGGTCTATCTAGGCGTCCTTTGTTCTTCTAACTTGGATCCCTCCATTGATGGTTGTGATCGCTGTTCGACCGAATTGGCATGATCTCCCTCGTTCCTCGACCTATCTCTGCCATTAATGTGCCCCATATCATATTCAATTATAGAAATTAAAATCTGCAAAATTATCAAAAGGGTTGGATGACCAAGTGTTGAGGTAGATGCCTCAGGGTTCATTCAGTTATCAAGATGGGATTTTAGATAACTAGTTAACTAGTTAGCCTTCTTCTTTCTTGCTGAATCAATCACTTTCATCAGTTCATTATCGTCTGTAGATCTTTAGATCTCATCACCAAGAAATCGAATAATGCCACTAATTTAGCTAATTAAAATTTTCTATACTCCTCTAAGATACCTCTTCCATAATTGGCACGCGTTAGTTATTACATCACTTTTAATGCAGCTGTTTGCGGAGACTATGTGGGACCTAATTGTTGAAACGACTCTTTGTGGTAACAATATCCGATGTTCAATGATGGTGCCAGAAATGCCCCACCACTATGTAAACAAGGTTTGGGGGTGTCTGCAATACACAACACCGAAGGTATATATAAGCTGAGGAAGGAACAGGCATTGAGGCGCGAGATCAGAAGTTTCAAATAACTTTGTGATCGTACGCAACCAAAATGTCGTCTGACTACGCGTTGGAGACTACAGATGTCCTCATATGTGGTTGTGGGCCAACAGGAGCTATGCTCTCTGGCTATCTTGATGGTATGGCGGTCCGGAATATCGTCCTGGAGAGAGAAAACGACGTTACGACAGACCCAAGGGGAATTGTTCTTGACGACGATGGCATCCGCTATTTGCAGGGTCTAGGTCTGTATGAACATGTTTATACGGACATCGGTTCTTGTACGTAGCAAAGTCTATCAGAGTGGCAGCATTCACTAATGATCGACAGGTATCGAAAAAGTATTATTTTTGCCAGGAGAGCAGCAAAGCTTGGCCACAAGACCCATCTTTGGCTTCAATACTGCTTCTGTAAACCTCCCTCTTTTCCTTTCAATCTTGTGGTATGAAATTTCCCCAATGCTAACAAGCCTACGATTCAGTCCGAAGGATATACGGGACATGTCGGCGTCATAAGTCACAAACAACCTGCGCTTGAGAAACACCTTCGTTCCATCATCAAGGGATCTCAGCACTCGCAGTTGAGGAGCGGATGCACCCTTGAGTTAGTCCAGGAAGATAAGGACTGGGTATACGCGAGCTACGTGGATCCTGAAGGAAATAAACGACGCATCCGTGCTCGTTTCTTGGTTGGCGCGGACGGAAAGACGGGCTACGTGCGCAAGCAATATCTGGAACCACGGGGAATTAAAATGGAGTGGGCCGAACAGTGCGTGTTCTAACAGTCATCGCTCCCTGTATGGGAAACCCTTACAGAGTTCCTTAAACTAATGCGAGGTTGCAGGTGTCGCTATGAAGAAACTTGGGTAGCTTTGAACTGGGAAATCACCCTGCCAACAGCAGAAACGCACCCAGACTTCCCACTTTGGAAGCTGGGGTACTCTTCTGAAGACGTGTACAACCAGTTCTTCCCGAAGGATTTCCGGTTCCTTTGTAACCCTCGCCGACCAGCAGTTTGCGGCCGATTCGGCCAGACCAAGGACCGCCTTTGGAGGTTTGAATTCGTGGTTCAGGCTGGTGAAGATCCACAAGAAATGTCTGAGCCACACAAGATTCGAGACATCGTATTCCCCTACCTTTGTCATGCAGGGTCCCGATATGAGTAAGTCTATGATCCATGAAGAGAGTGAGAAGGATCACCGAGATCCCCCATCTAACAACGCGCTGCAGCTTAGACAAAGACGTCGAATTTCCAACTGATTGCGTCAAGGTCCTTCGATCCCGTCCATTTCATTTTGCCGCAAGAAAGTGCAATAAATGGGCCATGGGGCGGGTCATCTTGTGCGGCGATGCCGCTCACGTCTTTCCTCCATGTAATCTAAACCTTTTTGGCTTGTATGAAATTCACGGCTGACTCATTATTTCTATCTATAGTCGGCGGTCAGGGAATTGCTTCCGGCTTTCGGGATGCTATCGCTCTTGCCTGGCGACTTGCCATTCTTACTCGGTCCCGCTCGACTCGACTAGACTACGAGCAGGTACTCGTGGGGTGGTACTCTGAACGCAGCCAGCAATTCCAAAAGTCACTCAACACAACATTGCGAAATGGACAATTGGTAAGCTGCACCAACACAGTGCAGAACTTCATCCGGGACTGGGCGCTATGGATCATGCAAATGATCCCCCCAATCAAGCATCAACTGGAACTTGGACCCCGGAGTGAGGGCCCAGTCAGGTACACCCACTCAGATGGTATGCCGTTTTTGTCCCACCTCCACGGTGGAATCGCATTTCCACAAACATATTGCACTGAAGTATTGGAGGTCGATCATCAGGTTCGCTTTACCGATGATGTGATATTTTCTAAAAGGAAGACCAAGCTCTTCCAGATTGTTGTTTTGCTTGATGAGCCACCCCAGGCGATAGCGACAATTCAAGAGATGGATGGTATTGATGGCCTTAGCGGTGGTCACTTATCTGTTGATGAGGCCACCCTGCTGGTCCAGGCTAAGACCTGCCTCCCTAATGATGAGAACATCGGCGTTGCTAGTCTCTCGCTGTTCAGAACTGCCACTGCGAAGGAGTTTGAAGACTCCGACTTGTGCGTTGGACGGCCAGAACCGCACGGCTACAACGACTCTCAAATCTGGAATGTAATGCGAGGAAAGCGATTTGTTATCGTCAGGCATGATCGATTCGTCTATGCCGCTTGCGATACGAGGGCTGAATTGGTTGAAGCCGCAAAAAGTTTGAGAGAGTCTCTGCCATTGAATTGACTTGTACTCTTTTCCCGGTTCATCTAATCGCGAAAAGAACCATGCATTAAAGCTAGCTCGGTGAGAGCTCTGGAACTGGCTCACGGAAACAATGAACTCGTGTATGGATCCGGGTTAATTGCTCGGTCTAAGGGGAGAGGTAAAGAGATCTCTAGCGGTCGGAACGCGGCTAGTGAGCAATAATGGCTTTCAGGCAGAAAGCCATGACGGTTAGCATCTAGAGGCAATCAATTATTCAATGTATCGTTCAATGAGATTTCAATTAACATGTTGCAGTTTAACATGTTGCGTATGTTTATGCAAGCGCACCACCCAAGTGAAGAAATAACTCGAAGCCAAATGCCGAGCTCGCTTCTCTCTCTCTCTTCCATGCGTTTTTGTTGAAACTGCATGAAGTGAAGTTTTCTCAATTTATCACGATACACTGTTGTTCCGGCGACCTCTAGAGTATCTTTACAATTCATCTATTTCCTCTCCACTTAAAAGAAAGATAAAGAAAATTCGCCTATATTTCAATTTAGGATACCTTCATCAATCCGCCCCACTAGTCATCGTGTTGAGCAAACTTGCTGCTGTGCCGAACCCGCTTCCCAAACTTATACAGAAAAAAGGGATATGGTACGAATAGCACCGATAAACACCCAAGCAATGTACAGGCCCAGCCGACACCCAGGTTGAGGAACATTTGGGTTGCAAATAGCGGAAAAGCACCACCAAAAGATGATCGCAAGAAATCGTTTCCGGCAAGAACAGAGGCTGCATATTTTGGATACGCACTTGCCTCGTAGCAGAAGATGCTGTTGAAAATGAGACAGCTTCCAACTGAGAAGAGCACCGAAGCAATTATAGGAACAATCCAATGGATACTTGCGAAGTTTCCAGTCCACCCAAACCAGAAAAGTGATATCGGTAGACACAACGCTCCTAAACATGCTGGAGGAAGATGTTCTTCCGGGGAAAGATAACCATTCTGGTCAATATGCCTAGATTGCCAGCGAAGTTTCCAATAGAAGTACCCCGGAATAGCGATGCAAACAGCCCCTATGAGGATACCTAAGAATGCAAGCCCATTTTCTCCTGGATTAAAACCGCGTTTTAATTCGAAGACAATAGGAAATGCTTCGAACCAAATATATAAGATCCCATAGATGAGGGCTATGTAGAGGTTCATCAGGAATACGATAGGTTCGAAGAAGCACAATTGAAACGGGCGAAAGAGTGCTTCAATAAGGACATCCTATTAAGTCTATTAGTCTCTCTATCATCTTGATGGAAGTATTGGTAAACGGATTCGGGTACTTAGACCTACCCTGGGATAAACACGGGAGATCTCAATCTCAGCCTCAGATGCATACCTCTGATCGCCGGTGATATGGCGAATACGCCGTGCACGGCGACTGAGGATATTAGACGCAAATGTTTCGGGAAGAAGAAGGAAGAGAACCACAAGAGTAAAGCCAGATATCCAAAGTAACTCCCAGATAGTCCATGTCCAACCTTTGGCGGAATATGCAAATCCTCCCACCAGAGGCCCCAGCACAGGAGCTGAAATAGCAAAGCATCCCCAGATTGCAATCATATAATCACGACTTCTAGCGTCCCAAATATCCGCCATTGAAGCTCCTCCGGTAGCAAGGACAGGCGAGCCGAAGAAGCCGGTTAAAAATCGAAATGCCAAAAGCATACCGATATTCTTCGCGTAGATTACTGCGAACTGAAAGAAAACGAAAACAGTGAGTGTGAAAACGTATACTGGACTTCGTCCCACAGCAGGGAGCTCGGATATAGGTGCCCAAATCATGGGTCCTGGAGGGTATTCCGTTAGAATTGACTAAGAAAGACCAATCGGTACGCAGCTCACCAAGTCCGTATCCGAGCACAAATAATGTTAATCCGAGTAATGCAACTTCTTGACTCACATCAAATTGCTTCGACACTCCTGGTATCCCAGGTGTGTATATAGCAGAGCCAATGTAGATAGCAAATGTGAGAAGCCAGATGAGGGAGCTGACGAAGAGCTTTTTGCTGGTACTCCAGTTTTGAGGGTTCTGGAAACATCAGCTAGAATTCTCACCTTGCAGACCGAGAAGCGTCGTGAATATATTTGCAGAATGGTGTCTCACCTCGCTATCATCGGGCCCTGCCCAGCCGATTATCACGGGTGTCTTTTCTTTTGCCCCGCGCCACGGGCCTGCCAAGGCACTCCTCAGCGGAGGCCTTCGTCGGCTCCGGTATGAAGCTTGCGATACAACCGTGTACAGTCCATACGATTGAGGAAGTTCTTCATCGCTAGTCGTCGAAGTTGCTTCATGTTGTTCAGCCTCCGCGGGTGTTTGTAGGTAGGTACGCCAAAACAACTCCTGAGTCTCTTCTGGGTATGGCAAGATGCGTGTACCGCTCAAGACGCGGAGCAGCTTTCCGAAAGCCGAGTCGCGAAGGGTCTCCCTCATGTGGAAAACTTTCTAACAACTGATGAGTTCAACTGACTAACCAGGTTGGCCATAAAGTAAGAATTTCAATGTCCGTGAAGGTACAAGGAGACAATACAACTTTATATTTCCATCTTGCACAAGGCAAGTACAGATTTCATATTGTCATTTATTCCGTGTCTTACCTGCCAAAAAAATCCGGGGTTGGCGCAAAATCCATACGTTGACCTATGAAACAAGTAAATGGAGGCTCTATCATTGGCCCATCACGGAGGTATGATTTCAGTCTTGACGCCATCCAGAAGGTTGATGGTCAGCCAACTCGAAGGGAGTGGCATAAAACACGGGAGCCACCAAAGAAAACCAGGATCTAGACCTCATCAAACGCGGGTTTGGGCGGGATTTTCCCCACGAAAAACCCTCCCGGGGTCTTGATCATCAGCACCACCGTCCATGGGTCTCTCAAAATTTCGTTCCGGCCCCAAGAACAGTATTGTCATATAATTCTGGCAAACAGATTATAGAGCTGACCCTGATGCATACTGCGAAAAAGAAGTTCCGATTCTGCAATGAAGGGTGCTTTCTCCCCTCTTTACTGCCAAGACCTCACCTCGCAAGGGTCAATAGGCGGTCAAAAGAGCAGTTGCAGAAATACTCGTAACTTGCATAACTTACACGATTCTTCCTGTAATTTATTGTACTCCAGGGCTGCTTTGTATGATATTAGTCAACCGGGTTGAATCAAATGGAATAAAATGAACAATCATATCCGATGCATCCCTAGACTACTGTGCTACTAACGTACAATCTGAACTAAAGGCAGAATGTGGAATCTATCCGATGCGGGATCTACGGAAGGCGAGTCCCACAGAACATTGATTGACTACTAGTTTTACCATGAATATAGATGCTTTAATAATTGGCGGAGACTAAAGCGGAGATACGGCGAGAACGGTAATATATAGGTTATCGTGGAAGCCCCAATATCGCACCGTAATCCCACTCATGTATGATCTTACAATGCCCCGATGCTTAGTCTGTGCGCGCGGGATTTTCAAACCCTTCACTCAGTCTGGTACGGTCGTTCGTTCAATGAGTAATGGTTGAGGCCAAGCTCCCGCAGGTTTGCCAGCTCCCACTCGAAGGTCCAAGTTGCAACAGGATCATCTGGAAAGTTCACTTGGTTGGAAACAAAGGACTGACTTCTGATATGATTCGAAGGTGAAAGAAAGGTTGTGTCGCTTAATTGATCTTTGCCAAGCAATACTTGAGAAAGGTGGGTTATATCTGTCGAATCATTGCCGAAAGCAAAGTGTAAATGGCCAGCTTCGGCAAATGCTTCCCTAGTTGGTGCGGTTGTGGTGTTGAATTCCAAGTCCATATTAACGTCCTGTTATTTTGTTAGATTGTGGCACCTCGGGCTCACTAAAGGAACCACTATTGGAGTCGCCAGGAAACCGTGGATGATATCACATACTGTATTGGTAGTAGTCTTTGAAACTGGTAACATATCTCCCCGCCCATCTTGATTCGATTTGACGAAGTGTGCCCGATACACAAAACTCTCCGCTATATCCATCACTTTTTGGAATATCTCAAGGAGCAGCATTGCAAGAGTTGAACTACTGATGGTCAGAGCCGATGAGAGCGAGCCAACAATCATGTGAAGCAGATGAAGATCATCCGAAGTATCAGGGGCGTGTGGATTTTGAAGAATGTTGACAAATATAGTTAGAAAAGCTGAAAGAGGATAGTATGATACGCGGCTTGAACAGGTTAGCGAGTAATAAAAATGCTTGGTGGGATATAGAGACCAAACGCACCGAATCAAATTGTTGCGAATTATACCCGATCGTTCTTCAAGGCTGCCTAGAATCCTCGCGGTATCCCTGGCAGCACTGATACATACTATACGGCTTGAGGTAATTCCCATATCGACGGTGTTGGGTTTATGGTGCAACTCATTGTCCGTGATCATTGTGCCTCGATAGCTTGAGAGTCGATGGAGTGTTGAGAGACAATTATAATACTCACAGTGTAGTAGCACTGCTGATGGAACCAGATAAGTGCTACAACTTAACGGCCGCCCGGGCTGAATAACCCCGTCAGGCAGAGAGTCTCGCCACTCGATAACCTTCTTGTTCAAACGGTCCACCACCTCGATCCTCTCTGCCCAGGAGGTGGACGACGAACAACGGGGAGAGTATAGCTCGCTGTAAATTTCACCTTCGATGTTGCTCAGCTTGATAAGATTCTGAAAGTACAAGGAAGCAGTAGTAGTGTTGTGATGAGAGAGTAACCCGCAAGATCCAGGTTCATCAATCTCAATTTCTCTGTCGCTGATGGTTGGTGGGCGCCCAAGCCGAAGACTAATGATCTTATCAAAAACGTAAAGTGCCCAGAAGGTGTTATTCCGCTCTTGAATCTCGGCAGGGTCTGGGCCATCCACCTTCCGATGTAGTCCAAGGACAAGAGAGAGGCGGGCTGCAACTCCGATGGCCATATAGCTTGCTTCAACGTTCAGTAACATCTCTAACATAAATGCCTTCCCTCAGGCAGTCAGCCGGGTCCCGTGGAAAATGGCCGAGAAAATTACATACCATGCCAGTGAGGGCTTGAACAGCCATAATTTCCCTACAGCTAAACGCGAGCTGGGTGAAAACGCTATAGCAGTTTCGGAGATAGCTCAATGCATGTCCCTCTCCTTCGGTCGCTCCCTTAGTATGGGGAAAGCAAGGAAACATGCTTATCTCATCTTCGCATATGAGTCTTCCGATGCCAAGCACGACGTTGAGTGTCGCATACCAAGCGGGGCTTGTTGGAGGATCGGTTGTGTACTGCTGCTCATACAGCCGCATGAACTTCTCCTTGTTATAGAGAGGCAAACTTGAATTCACAAATCGGAAGAAGTCTTAATAAAGACTGTCAGTCTTAAAGTTCTCTTCCGAACGCAAGGTGGGGCCTTACAGTCGACTGCAACATCTGCGGAAGCTTTTGACGGAAGCGCTGCTCGAACCTCGGGGGATAGATACTGCAACATGCTAACCATCTCCTCGGACCGACCAAGCATGTATTTCCTAGCCTGGTTCAGAACGAATTCTGCGAGCTCTGTGGAACCAACTTGACAAGAAATCCAGTGTAGACCACGAGGTGAAAACAGTGAGAAGCCTGACGCTGGGCCTAATGTATCAGAAATTGTAAGCCAAAGGTCCGCGGCTGTCTGAAGTACCATATTTACCAATAAACGAAGAGCAGCCTTTCTGATCGGTCAAAAAAAGGGATAGTCCTTCTTCGTCGGTAGCGGGCAGACGTTGATTTTCTGAATGGTCATTTAAGGCGTCAGGAACCGAGGCAGACAACATCGACTCTACCCGGTCAAGCCGGTTCTTCATCTCATCAATCGATTCTCTTCCAAAAAGAATTAGTTTCTTTCACTCCAAGATGAGGGATTGAGAACTTCACCGATGTGACCCTGGTAGTTTGACGGTTCGCCTTCGGTTTGCAGGCGAGAAATTACATATCTGCCCCCGCTGTACGCAGCGAGCACATTTCTCGCCGTCCTTTTTACAACGGACCTGAAACAAGACATAGCGATCAGCAAAGAAGCCTGCAGATACAGAAAGTATAATAACCTGTCATACCTTTGCCTTCCTGCACGCCTCGCAGGAAGCCCGTATCGAATTGATAGCAAGAGATGAAGGCATTCTCCTTTACGCGATAAGCATTCTTAATCAAGCAACAACAACAGTGTAGACGGTGAGTCTGGTGTGAGGAAGATTAGTGATAAATTGCTGTAGGGTTGGCTGTGGCCGTATTGCCGCCACTGGGAGAGACCATTGTATCATAAGGTGAATCGCAATCAAATTCACGAGATTCGTGGTTCGGTGAGACAGAATTTCTGGGGATCCAATTTCTGATTGTCCATTTTCAGAAAAAAGAAGTGTCTGGAGTCGTTAAAGTTGTATGGTTTATGGATCGCTTTCGACCACAAAGCTAAAATCTGAACTAGCCGTGCTAAGCGTACCACCTTAGTCTCCACACATATAAATAATGCTTCCACTAAACAAACTACATAGATGTATCTTCACTAGTTACGTAAATGGATTTCTAGTAGGTGGTCGATTAGTTGATTATGTTTGATTCGTATTGCTTCTCCTCACGTATCCTTTTTCATCTCCTTCAGTGTCTAGGGGCACTGTTCTGTCTTTTTCCTAGAGACTTGGGAGGAGATACCGAGTCAACGGTCCCCCACAGCCCACCGTACTTTAATCTGCTACTTCGCTGTTCTAGACAGTTGCTGGTTCTTCCATACAACACAAAATGTCGCCCGCCACCCCAACATACTTGCTTTTCGCCACTTTGTGGTCCCAGACAGTTGTGGGTTCCACACTCAGGGAGGCCGTGGAAATACTCATTACAGCTTTCTATTATATGATGAAATGGATATTAAGCGGCCCAAACTGGTAATTACAAAGGGTGGCATGGCATATAGCTCTCTCCAATTGCAACCCGTAGAAATTTTGATCCTAATTTACTACCTAAAATTGATATGGAGAGCGATAGAAGGTGAATTCGGCGCTTGATTAGTGGATGTCAATCATAGACCAAGAAGCTTATCTTGGGTAGTCAGTCGGCTAGACCTTCTACCACCTTTCCCCTAGTGATAATTGTCCCTGTCTATTTCCTCAAGATTAAGCCGATGCCGCTGTGTCTCTATTACGAACAAAATTTGTATTGATTCACTTATATCCACAGTACATGAAATAACACCACCTAGCCTCTAGGATCCATATATCGTCATGTTGGTTAATCAGATAAATTGCTCACCAGGTTGAGCCATGTTACAATCTAGCTAGCACGAACCGCTAGTCGGTGAAGAGCGCTTTATGGATGGAACGTGTATGCAAATTTAGTAGTGCAGATCTTGTTGTGTTGAAACCCCAATGTACCAAAAGGCGGCTGAAGTTTTCAACCTTTTTCCTAAGGCTCTTTGAAACGTCCAATTCAAAAGTTTCACTGTTTGAATTGATGAAATATTAGATCCACAAGTGCTCCAAAATTGATTGTAGGAGAATCATGTCACAAATAGGGGGGAAAGAGAGGAATTATAATGGTAAAAGTTGATAATCAAATATATTTAGAATTGCCAACGACAATTCTCTCTATAGAATTAATAAGGGGCTCAGTTACAGGATAATAAGCAAAGTTTGCCCATACCGAATTCCAGTAATTGAAATTCAATTGAACGACAAATAAAGCACTCACGCCAGTGCAAGGCCCGTCTGATTAGCCAGGCCAACCATATCTTGGAGGGGAAGTCAATGATAGGGGCCGCAGCTCTGTATCTCCAGCTGTGCTTCGGGCCGAAGTGAGAGGACGGAATAGTTGTAAAAAATGACGAGCATTACCATTTCCCTCACTGATATAGGCTTGGGGAGGTGGTTTGATGCCACAGGATCTGTCGAAGAAATTGGATGATAGCGTTGATCTTTCTGAAATTCCTTTGTTGATAGAGTTGTCCTGTTGCTGGAACGCGGCTTCCTGTGCAGATGAGCTCAATGTTGATAAAACAACCGGGGCACAATCACATCGACATCTTTGCACTGCACACGCGAGGTCATCACTTTGCACCTCGTATGCTGGAACAAAAATGTTGGCCGGAGTGGCCTTACAAGACAGTATGCGAAATGGAGATTGGAGAGTCATCTCGACTGGCTTTTTCCAGCTTGGGTCGCCATTTTCCAACTTTGAGAGACTTAACACAATCTGCACAAAATGGAAGTTAGTATCATTTTCAAGGCTGTTGACTTTGCATTATTGAAGATTATCACACCTGGATCCAGTGATTGACCTTGAGGCTTGCACCATCTGTGTCAAAATTGAGCGACTGAGTTTTGTCCCTGCGCTTCATTTCAGGACAGCTAGGCAGCTGAACCTTCAGCTCGATTTCAATATCGTTTGAAATATATCCCAGCAAATTTGCGCTGTTACCCTTCATAATTGATGCCTTGTCAGTGCCTCCCATGCCACCATCAGAGATGATGTGCATTTCACTGCCAGGATAGGTGCTCACATCCTCAAGTCCAGCTTTTTTTTCGAATAAGAGTACCTTCTTTGGGGGTAGTAGTAGGCGGCGAGATATCTTGCCACTTGTCCAATGTTGCACATGCTCGGTCACATATACTTTAATCCAATCACAAAATAAATCGGCCATAGGGGTCAATTTTAGGCTGATGGGGATTCGGGAGCCCAAGGAAAATGATTTTCCCAAGATATTCACCCCGTAAGCGAGCTGATCGCGCCAAATTCGAGAAATTGTAATGGGCTCACTCAGCTCTAGTGAGCTCTCTGTTGGTAGACGAACGACAGGAATGTCCAACTTGCCGGTAAGAGTGGAGTGAGGAGGGCCGGACGGTTCAATAGCAGCTTCCAGGTTGTAATGAATAGAGCTCAGTTCTGTCGTGATGCTTTCCGGTAGCGAGCCATCAACGAGAAATTCAAAGCTATACAGATAATCACCCGCGGGAAATAATGTGTAATTGGGCTGGCACTGGGCTGCGTTGCATTTTAAACACTTCCTGGAAACTTCCCCAGAGCAGCCTGGCTGGAACGAGCAGCTTTTCACCCTCTTTGATGCAAGCGACTTGTTGGTACAGAGAAGTTCATCCGTGCTTGCTATCACATTGGCTTTCTCGCTTGCCGGGGACGCAACATCGGAGAGTTGAACGAAGTCTGCCCCAAAAATGTTGCGCTTTATTACCGTATCCCCGCGGTCGATATAGGTCACACCTTGCGTGAATAATGTTCTTTTACCAACACAGTCTGCTGCTTGGCGAAAGATGATAGAATAAGCAGTAAGAAGCGGGACTCCTGGATCGTCGTGTAAATGAGTACATACCTTCTGGCCTTTCCATCTGTACCTGCCCCTGAAAGCGGACCCAGATCTTCTTAACCTTGGTGACTTCAGTGAATTTCAAGCACAATTGTCCCCGGAGGACAGTGCATTTCTTCGTGCTGGGGTCATCCTTCATGTATCCCTCGAGAAACAAGACGGGTTCGGTCAGAAAAATACTAAGATAAATTCCTTGACTCGTCGCAATAAATGGCGCTTGAGTTAAATTGGGAACGAGTCCTGCGGAGTCCGGAATCTGACATTTTGATGCCCGGGGCAGGGTGCGCGCCATGAAAGGTGACGTGGCCGAAGCGGGGATTTCAATATCGCGAAAGAAAAGGGGGGGGGAAAGGAGAGGAGCAAAAAAGTGAAGGATGCAAATGGTATAGACGCTCTTTAAATGATCTAACAGCGATTAGGACCCACGTCCTAGACAGAATTCACAAGCACCAGCTGGCTATAGTTCGTCTGATATACGCTGGATCTACCCAGCTATTCTTACCCAACTCATAATTTGATGGCTTTCGGAGTGGAAATCCTCTGGAAATCCGAAGAGTACCATCGCTCCGAAGAACCTATTAATTGAGTTTTCAAGAGATAGGGTGGAGGCTCGCATAGCCACTTAGTGAGGCAAATCATCGCTTTCTTCGAGAACTATAGAGGGCCTGAGATCATCGATCGATCCCTTGTTCCCCCTCTTTTCCTCTCAAGAATATTTTAGGTCGACCTGAATGGTTACCCAAAAAGGACCATGTGGTTAGAGCTTAGGCACCCATCTCGGCATATGCCTTGGGTGTGACGTCTAATGTGTCCACCTGGGCAGGAAGCCACTTAGTCATGACTTTGTTGTCTGTGGCTTAATTTTTTTTAAGGTTTATAATCCGCCGACTCCAGATCTCAGCCACTTCGGGACTTGTGGTGGCGACCTACCCCCAAATTGTCGGGGAATTCGGGCGGGTCTTATCAGGGCCGGTAAGGGCCGTCCACAAAGGGAAAAAGGAGGGATCACAGAGTTCCAAGGGCGTCCACAAAGGGTAAAAGGAGGGATCACGGAGTTCCAAGATGTCCTATTGTTCCACATTCTTACTCACTATGGCCTAGCACTGGGGTTCGTTAATAAATCATATTATCATCTATAGTAATGTGCAACCGAAACGGGATGTGGTTCTTCAATGCTTCTCCGCCTCTGATTCCACTCCATACGGAAGCATAGAATTGTGTCGCTCCGAAAGCCATTCTCTACTGCCTAGGCCATTCCATCTTGAGAAATAAGCAGCATAGCTAGAAACACCCAGTCCAAATTTATTTCTAGGAGATATGACGTAAATCTTGCATTCAGAGTATATATAAAAACTGGCGAGGGTGGTATACTGCAATGTTCGGGGAATATATATTTTCACATCTGCAAGTGCCTTGCATTTTGACATCAACCTACACGGCATTGACAAAGGATTTATCGTCTTTATCAACTCAGCACGTGAACGGTCCCGATATGCCTTCACCTCAGTCTTGTCCCGAAGAGGGCGAAATTAATTCGTCTGCAACTAAGCTTAGATTGAAACGTTCAAACCAAAAGGAGCCGCCTCGAATTTTCAGTCCGATCACCGGCGAGGATGAGGCAGTCCTTTCGCAGATTGCAACCTCCGTTTCCTAAGCTCAGTGGAGCCAGGGGGCCCAGGAAAGGACCTTGGTCTCTATCACGGAAGATGACCCGGCTATAAACCCCACAACCGCCAAGTTTGAGCCTTACAAATGGGCCAAACGAAGGCTGAACCAGCTCGATGAACAGGGGGTTACCCGTCAACACGCAGGCGTCGTTTTCAAAAACCCGAGTGTGTCCGGATCTGGCACAGCGCTACAATTACAAAGCACCGTGGATTCAGTGCTACTTGCACCTTTTCGGACCCAAAGCTACAAAGGCTGACACATTCAGCGCCCTAAAGGCAAATCCTGCGTGACTTTGATGGAGTCTTGAAGAGCGGCGAGATGCTCATGGTGCTAGGTCGGCCCGGCAGCGGCTGTTCGACCTTCCAAAAAACCATATGTGGTGAGCTACATGGACTGGAGATTCATCCGGATTCAAACATCCACTACAATGGAATATCCAGAGAGAAAATGCACAAAGAATTCAAGGGTGAATGTGTGTACAACCAGGAAGTGGACAAGTATTTTCCTCACTTGACCGTTGGTGAAACCTTGGAGTTTGCTGCCTCGGCGAGAACGCTATCTCAAAGGCTTTCAGGGGTCTCTAGAAGTGATTTCATAAAAGAGACTAGTCAAGTTGCTATGGCAGTGCTGGGTCTTTCCCACACATACAATACCAGAGGTAAGTCAAATGACTTTCAGTATCACCATTCTACATGACGGCTGATTAAGAGGATGCAGTTGGTAATGATTATATTCGAGGGGTGTCTGGTAGAGAGGAAGCGTGTGAGGTATGAATGCTGTTCTTGGCTTCATTATATTTGGATAGTCATAATTCTAACTCGATCACCCCACAGCATTGCGGAGATGGCGCGTAAGAGGAACCCATTTTCACACTAATGGAGGTCCGGCAATAGCTAACTTATTCTCACGGGATATCTAGTCGCGAGAGCTCCGATTGCTGCTTGGGATAACAGCACAAGAGGACTTGACGCTGCTAGCGCTCTAGAATTTGTTAAAGCGCTGCGAATTTCCGCTGGTCTGATGGGTAGCTGCCATGCTGTAGCAACCTACCAAGCATCCCAAGCCATCTACAATGTCTTTGATAAGGTGATAGTTCTCTACGAAGGCCGTGAAATTTACTACGGCTGTTGTAGCCGGGCAGAAAAGTATTTTACTACGATGCTGGTAAAACCCTCCTCGCCAGACTACAGGAGACTTCATCACGTCAATCACGAACCCACAGGAACGCAAAGCACGAGAGGGTATGGAGGATTTGGTTCCACGCACTCCTCAAGAGTTTGAATGGTACTGGAAAAAAAGTCCCGAATATGCGGCCCTCCTCGTGGAAATCAGGCAATATGAGACAGAGTATCCTCTAGGAGGCCATGGCGAGAAAGAAGTCTCAGATGCCAAGCATATGCAGCAGGCCAAGAATATCCGACCCAAGAGCCCGTATATCATCTCGGTGCCGATGCAGGTCAAGCTATGCTCAAAGAGAGCCTACCAAAGGTACGTTATCAAACCGTCTGTAGACAGTTGCATCTCTTGCTTAGGCAGGCCGCTAAAGGAGTGATTTATAGAATATGGAATGACAAGGCCTCGACTTTGACCTTGCTTGTTGGTCGTATTAGGACGCTTGTTTTTCCACTATAGGGCGTTGGTAATAGAGGGAATTGGGACAAGTAAGTGCTGGATGCGATTGAGTGATATGTAAGAGAACTTACCCGATTTTGCAGATTCTCACCCCGACAACAACCTGGCCGACTACTCCTCTGGTTTCTTTGCGGCACGCGTGGGTGTCCTCCGACTGCTTCGCATGCTGAAGAAACTCGACATCGCCAACCGATGCACTTGGTTTATTCCAAGCCACTCCGTCGAAAGTTTCCCCGACGAGATCCAGCAGGTCGTCGCCTCAGGGGCTGAGATCGGTCTTCACGGATATGCGCACGAAGGCGCCTAGCAGCTCACATCCGAGCAAGAACGCGACGTGCTAGAGAAATGTTTCTCGATCATGCAGAACCTGGTAGGCAAGTCTCCGCGCGGGTACCGTTCACCCTTATATCAGCTCCGGGAAACGACGCTTGACTTGCTGGAGGAGTTTGGATTCGAGTACGGTATATGATTTGACCCCTGCACCAAAAGATTGCAGACGTTAGCTGACTTCTAACTTCTGAATAGATGCTTCTCTAACAGACCATGATTGCCAGCCCTTCTGGGCCCCGAAACGCCCTCCCCTTGAGCCTATCGACTTTTCCAAGCCAGCGGCTACCGGGTGCACCTGATCAAGGAGACTTCCTCGCCCCCTGATAGAGGACCACTTGTCTATGTTCCGTGTAACTACTATATGGAGGACATGACGCCGATGCAGTTCCTACCGCATTGCGAAATTTCTCAAGGCTATGTCGATGTTCGATACATCCGGACACGAGTGTCTTGGCTCATATAAAAGGCATGCCGGAGAGGTTTTTGCGATGGGTGAAAGACTTTGAACGAAGGGGGAGGTAGAATTCTTGCAGACGGCAGAGGTCGCGCAGTGGTTCCGAGAGAAACACCTGGGCAAGTCCTCAGGAGTATAGGGCAAGCCGTTAGATAGACCGACCCCAATAAACCTCTATTTATGATAAAAAGGGGAGGGTTTGATTGCATTGAGAAGTTTATGAAATTGAGGACATTCAGTAGACCCCATCCCTAGGCGATAACATGATTCGAAGGTCTGGTCACAGATACATAGTTCTTTGACTTTCAGCCTATAAATGAGCCGAGTATTCGCATAATAGTGAAAGGAAGACAATTCACATGCAGGACATGCGTATGGCCAAGTAGGGTCAGACAAGTAGGGTTGGGGGCTAGGCTCGCCCACCGGCACCCTATGGGCTATCGATTCTGCCAAACAGAGGCTACTTTATGTGAAGCAGAAATGACCAGTCTTATCTGGAAGAGGCAGAAGTATGTGCGCGTTGGGTATTCCTTGGATACACACGGACTAGCAACATGTCGAGTTGAAGCTGCTTTGACACGATCATGGAAATATGTGTTCATCTTGTCACATCTGAGGGTGCTTCAAGCCGTATGAAACCAAGGAACGGAAATTGCGGCCCAAATCGTTCAGAGCCCTTGGCTTGGTGTGATGGACCGTGAAGTGGATATTAATTTGATAAATAGGCTGATGATAGGCCCGTGTGTGATGTGATACTGTACTAGTGGTCTTCGGCCATGCCGAAGAAAGGGCTACTAAGGACGATATTTGGCCCGTCTATTGAACTACCTCGGCATGACGAGACCTCATTCGCTCAGAAGGAGTGGGTATGGGTGACAATTGCATCCCCCCTTCCTTGTACCACGAACTAGTACCAGACACAAATAGGCCACGTGTTAAGGTAGACATGGTAGCTCAACCATACCCTCAGGTTCGGCGAGAGCGTTGGAGCCAAGATCAGGCGGAGTGATTTACGAGAAGTCATTTTCAACGATGACTAGAAGCTGAGTTAAGGCGATTGACGAGATGAACACATGTATTCAATATGCGGCGGGGTACAACTAAGTACTTGGCTACGATCATGCACGAGATCGGCTGTACCCGGCATCTGAGCAGGATGATCCTGGTACAATTTGAAATTCCTGAACTTACTTTGCCCTGCAACCTTCCATTTCAAGTGACATGGTTTCTTGCTGTTCAACCTGCATCTTTCCCCCACCTGGCATCCAAGACTTCCATCCCTCATCCTCGACTACCATCAACCCTCGATAGCCCAGCGAGCTTTTCTTCATCTGTCTTCAAAGAATAGATGCACGACTTGTTTTGATGGTTTTTTTTTCCCGCTCGATGGGCAAAACTATCCGAATTCATCAGTGAACACCCATACTAATGCCGACCAGCGGAACTCACGAAGAGAGATGGCCGCGCTTGATGCAACCTGGGTAACAAAACCGCTACACTAGCTGGAATCAGGGGAATTCATTGGCACTGTTGACGTCTGGGTGGTATATTTATCAGCATCGTCCGGGGTCTCCACACGCTCAGTATATCAGCCCTACCGATCCACTTGTACCAAGGGGATTTTTGGAAGTCCGTCCATGTGTAACGAGGCTCTCTAAACTTCCATTTCCTCCCTTCTTGATCGCACCAAATGCACCACTCGACGACTCGAATTGTGACGTGGTATCCATTGTCGCCGTCTTCGCGGGCCATTTGAGCCGCTTCCAGCCAAGTCTTCTTCTCCCCTTGTGACACGCTATCTTTCACCTTCCTTGATTTGAGAACTCGATCAACATTTCGGCACAAGTCGAACCAATAAGGCACTGGAGACTTTCGAGTTAGCAATTTTCTGTCAAAGCTTTGCGTCTTGCTGCCATACCTGGTTTGCTCTCACACATGGCGGGGCCGGGAAGTGTAATTTGGCTCAATGGGAGGAAGAGCAACAAAAAGGGGGCACACAAAAAAGATTTGTGTGAGCCAGACTGAAAACTCCTCAGGTCCTAGGCAAAATCTGCAGTTACAGCCTGTTTTCCGCCCATGGGTGACAAAAGTTCGCAGTCCTTAGAGCTAATCGATTCCCGGGATTCAGCTTGTTGCTGGGTGGACAAAAGGTCGGGTTTGATTAGCCCTCAGATCTGCGAAAGAGCTACACCCACCCACATCATCTGTCCTCTGTCCAGGCCTACGATAAACTCAACCCGACCGCGAGAACATGATCGTGTTTGATTATTGCATTTATCAAATACAAGGATAGCAGTCCAGCCTTCGATATCCTCAATGCTTTTCTGACTCTTCTGTTCAAGCTATCTATCTTGCCTCTTACCTACTTACGTCTCTCCTTGGCTTTTGATTGGGGCGGTCTCGCGACAGACTTTCTTGGAAGCTAGGCAGCTAGCTGCATATTGGCGGAAATGACAGATCGACTCATTTGAGCATCACAGCCCCTCTGAGAGCCTGTACAAAGTTCCCCGTCTTGCAGGCCCTGACCCGAATTTGAGGCCTTCCTCAACAACTTAAACATGATCCTGGCCTTTTTCCTAAGATTCGCTACGATTTGAGATGTGAAATGCGACCCTTTGGGCCAAGTGAGAGCTAATTTGCAAGAGCTGCCAGTGGGGAAAGCGGGTATTCGTTTGTGACGCAAAATGGGGCCGAATTATGGGGGCCCGGCGGGTCTGGACCTCAGCTAGATTCAGTTTTCTACGCTATCGATCGATCCTTCAGGCTCTCTTCGCCTTGCGTCTGGTAAGTGGCAGTTATTATGCAGCTGAAGACAAACCTTGGAACTCACGCAGGGAAACATGTGGACGTTTGTCGACAACAGGCTCGGGACTTTCAGGTAGCCAATCTTACTACTAAGTATTACTAGTAATTAGGAATGCAGGAAGCCTCCGGATCCCCCCCTCTCCGTCATATATATACCAAAACGAACTTCAGGTTTCCGAGTCGGTTCGAGCGCATTGATTCATTCTGCAAATTTGGATAAGAGATTTAACGTACTAAGAAATGCACTTAATCAGAAGAAAAAAAAGGAAAGAAAGAAAGAAAGAAAACATTCTAAGCCAATCAAAAGACGGGATAGAAAATTGAGTCTGGTACTGTCCAGTTGGCGTTTCAACATGCATCCGCTGGACACCGAGTCTTTACCGGTGCCTTACTAGTAAGTACCCTTAGTACCCAGCGATCTGGTACACAATCTCAGGCTGGTCCCTACTAGTACTAGTACCAGTAGGCATTGAGAGGTACTTCATAGACAGGTCTGATATGTAACCTATTGCATCTTTCCTCTCTCTGATCAAGCCGCTCCTAGAGATCGCCAAAGCAAACTTGACTTGGCGATAGTTTAGTTGATGAAGCCAGTGCCAAAGCCTGTTGAGGTTGCTAGCATCGGTCGCTTCAGGTTCTCGCAGCGGTAATCCACCGGAAAGAAAAGCTTGCTTGGGCATCCCAAGCCACACAAAAAGCTTTTTGACGCGTTCTCGTTGAATTTTTACATTCAATACGGCATCGAAAATTTGCCCGAAACATTCCAAATCAAACAACTCTCCAAGCCAGGCCATGGTGCTGAAAAGTATTTTAAGCTTATATAGGTAAGCTTCCGACTCGTTTTGAGCCTTATGGATACTATCATCAGCGAAACCGATGCCCCAATCTTGTATTCCGGTTTCGCTTTCCTCGAGCAGCAGACGATCGATGATGAAGATACCAAGGGGCAAGCAATCCACGCCATATTCTCTTTCGACATTCGAATAAGTACTCTCATGTACAGACACAAGATGATACTGAACCATAGAGATCAAATCCTTCGGAGAATAACAATTATGAGCCTTCAAGAACATCTCCAGAATCTTAGCTGACTGGGGTATCTTTTGAGCATGCCACTGGCAGGAGTCACTTCTCCGAGTCAACTGTGTTTTGAGCACATTATTGATATCTTCCAGGCTTCCCCTTGTCTGCGCAAAATACATATCGTCAATATCATCGGCCCGGGATTGCCAGTAACTCCGGATATCGAGGTAACGACGCTCGCCAAGATATGGATTGAATTTCACATTCCACGGCGATTCACTAATGACTTCGACTTTCACAAGGCCTTGCCATGGAGGATGTGGCCCTTCTGTGCCCGGAGCATGATAAAAGTTGATGAAGTATGCGTCGGCTACTGATTGGGTGGTATGCGAGCCAACTTCTTCAAGTTCATCGTATGTATGACTCTGAGTAAATCTTTCAACACGGAAATGGTGCCGAATGAGACTTGCGATTCTGCCCCGGTCTGAAGGTCTGAAGATATACATGTAGAGGCTTGCAGGGGTGGTGGTAACATCACTGGTAACATGCACATCTTGCGAGATATTATTTCCCGCGAGCTCATTGTCAAGCGTGATGGCACCATTGCCTGCACTTGGAATATACGTAATCGGTATATCTTTGCCAAGCCTAGCACGAAGAGCATCTTCAAGCTGATCAACGGGGTGAAGATCGCTTGCACGCAGACCTTGATGGTCAATCCTAGTACTAGTAATGTGTGACATGGTGGGAAAATATTCGTGGAGTGGTCAGATCAGAGAGGAAATGACTTGAGACAGTTGATGAATAGAGAATGATATGATCGTATAGTCCATAAACCGATTAAATCTGTGAACTGAGAGTATACCAAAAAATAAAGAGAGTTGATAGACTGCCAGGCTTGAACTTGCTGTCATTTCATGGAGAGAAATCAAGTATTTATAGACATCCTTTGGCTGCTCACGGAAAGATGCGCCCGAGTACATGGAATCAACAAAAGAGCAGTTTGCGCATGATAATTCGCAAGGAATAGTCGGTATAGAAGAGACATCTTCAAACACTCTATGTACTGGCCGTCGGCGCCCAGAATGACCAGGGTTCTTGTTTCGTACTTGGAGATGGAGGGAGGCTATTTGATGTGATATTCCGATACACGAACTACACGAGTCAGTTCATGCATGTCAGCCTCAATGTGAAGAATTTTTCCATCGAGCCAGGATTTCAACGGCTCAAGTTAATCATGATTGTAGTGTGCTGTGTGACTGGGGCGAGATCTCATTCGTCCACGAGGGAAGCCCCCGAAAGGAAAACCTGCAAGTAGGCGCTCTAAGTACACAAAATGTTGACAATTAACCCGGGTGAGAGTCTACTATCACGGAGTATATTGACATTGTATGCACTTAGTTGGGCCGAACGCACTAGAAGGTTGCAATCTGGCTGAAATTTGACGATCGATCTTCATTGTGGATTGCGTTAGGCTGGTCTTGCGCTGTGAGAATAGTTGGGAGCCGGGTTTGCTTCAACCAGGACTCACCTTGATATGGCTACTCCACGAATAGTATGTCTTGAGAATAAAAGAAAGATTCATGCGATTAACCTTCCAACTGGTTTCATTGTAATCTTGGAGCCAGGATATACTGAATCCGATTCAAATACGAAAGAAAACCTTGGAGAATGGTACATCTAATGGTACATCTAAAGCGGGGAAAGACCGAACTGTCACCGGCCATTCGTAGGACTGATGTGCAGAGGGCCATGAAACCGCTGGGCAAAAGAATCAGAACATCGTCCATAATTAGCCTGAGAAGAGTGTAACGATAAGAGAAAAAGGAATTAAACCATGGGGAAAGCGATCTCAGCCCATGTCACTCGGGGTGCCCTCAGTGCCCAGTCATTTGATGCTCTTCTGATCCTGCTCCGCGACTCGAAACGTCTCATTGGACACCAAACCTGCACAGCATGAGGCACTCAAGGTGTTCTTGACATCATTTGAGGTATTTGTCAAGCGGATAATCCCGTCGGCCCGTGATGCACTTATCGATCTGACTGATGCCCTGTTCGACGTTATTTTAGCCCCAGGTCACGATCAAGCCCCCGTTATGTGACTGCATGGCCCATGAGACTGGTATTCTGAGAGATAAGTTCTAATAAAAGCATTCTGCGGGCTCGATATCCAAGTAACTCCCCAGAGATGCAAGCGCACTGACTTGATTTCAGGCCGAAGCCAACGACAATCAGGTTGCAAGCGCCATCTGACAAACATTATCAATTCCAAATCCTTCTGCAGCGAGCTCGTTCATAGGAGCCACGTAGCTCATCTGAACGTTTCTGATATGTAAGTGTGATGGGTGTGATGTCTTTCCAGAATGCTTAGGATCTCAGGCTTCTGAAATCTCTTTCGAATTGTCGGTGAGCCAAGTTGTTAGTGGAAGTGAAGGTATATGACTGGATTTTGGTATTGAACATAAGCCCAAATGTAACGTTAGAATCTGATGCCTGAGAGAGCCGCAAGAGAATCGCCATGAGCCACCGGCAAAGATGCCTAGCATCAAGTCCTTTGGGCCAGCCTGGCTATGGTTGGAAAAGACTTGTTATAATCCGTTGAATCAAATCATAAGACAAGAAACGTCTCCCCGTTACCCTGATCCTGTAAAGAGCCCAAGGGATGACATGTTAGTCACATCGCATTCGAGAAGGAAACAGGGCCTAACGGAGAATATGCTCTTAGTAGTAAATTTGTGCTTTCCAGGTCACGAGGTGCGATGAGAAGTATAAATAGGGAGAGCCTCTCTCTGAACTACAAAAATCCATGGATCGAGCCTTGGATCTTACAGGAGATCAGGGCTTTGCTCAAGCAACGAGAATATTTATTCCTGATTGACCAGGTGTCTAACATTATTAATACGATGAGTCAGCAGGTAACTAACTATACGGCCCAGTGATCACAAGTCGGACTTTATATTTCTAGACAAGACTCAAGACTCAGTACATATTTTGCTGCGCCTTATATAGCGGTGGCGTTTGGGCCGCCTTCTTGATCTTAAAATTCAGTGAGATCGGGACCGGTGCTAGATGATATCCAGTCCCATATTCCATGCTCTTAGACACACTATTGATTGTTCTCAAGGGTAGTAACCCAAGCTCCCAGGATACCACTTCTCGTCCCCCGGAGCTATACAGTTCACCCCCGGAGCTGCCGGTCCTCTGGGAACTATGATTTTTACTCCTGGGAGCAAACAATAACGCACCTAGGAACCACGCCATGGATCTGGGGTCGAACATGATCCCAGGAATGGGAGGTCTCACCCGCGACATAGAATATGGGATCCGGAATGATTAATCAATATTAGGAATACATATTGAAATGCGGGCAATAAGTGCGGGCAGTAGAAAGAAGAGGTGGTTAACTGGGCAAAAATATGGTATAAAGACACCGTTTGAAGAGAGAATTGTTGATGAACGATAAATTGCAACGGTTATTTAAGAGTTGATTAGACGATGCGTTCCACGACACATCAGTAGAATAAACGAAACAGCATGCATCGACTAGCCGATGAATGGAGAAAACATGAGGGTCAACGGGCAAGCAAACTTGCAGCCGGTGACTAAACCAAGTAATTGGTTGTCTCAGAAATTCGAGTAGAGCATGGTCGAGAATAATAAATAAACGAATTCATTCATTCATTTTCTTGTTAGAACAAGTAGGGTGTTGATTGAATATTATTGGCTAGACAACAGTCTCCACTCCAAATCACGCGCATTTCCTAATACCCAGGCACCCCCCCCCCAAGTCTACTGCAAAGAATTCATTTCACCCTGCTCTTTTTAGACAGGCCCGTGGCATGTCCACTTTCTGCTATATTTTTCAGGTCTCCGACCCAAGCGCTCTTGTCGTACAGTACTTTTCGGAAATCGGTGTCACCGCCTACACTATTTGATCGTCTCCCGAACCCTAATAAGAGCCCCACCGGTCCATGTACTAATATTTCCGGATGAATGATATTCCTCCAACATGTTCCATACAGTACATCGATGCAAAGTTACATACACCACATCATTTGGCAGCTTGAAGGCGAAATATCAATATGACCCATTTTCTGCTACATTTATTATCGTATACAAATAAGCGCGGCCGAAAAGTTAGTTAGCGGGCGAATCTGGCGTTAATGTATCTATTACATTCTCAAAACTGAATTCTAACACGACTCTGTGCTAATATTTGCATCTTGAGGTGCATTGCCATAGTATCCACCCTGGGCGTTCACATCGGCACCTTGATTTAGTAGCATTTGTATCACCTCTTTTTGGTCTTCATTTAATGCAGCTTGAAGTGCATTGCTATGCTCTCTACCCTGGGCGTTCACATCGGCACCTTGATCTAGTAGCATTTGCACCACCTCTTTATAGCTTCCAAATGACGCTACTTAAAGTGCATTGCTATAGTATCCACCCCGGGCGTTCACACTAGCACCTTGATCTAGTAGTATTTATACCACCTCTTTGTGGCCTCTAACCGATACGGCTTGAAGCGTATTGCTATAATATCTACCCCCGTATTAACTATATTTGATAGACTAGAAGTCTTCCTATAAGTCGCTAGGATATTTCTTAAAATAGGTTCTAGCCCTAAAAAGGATGTGTAGTATATAGGCAATACTATTTTATCCACGCGTCTTTTAAAGTTAATATCTCTATCCTATAAGCGGTTAATCTTATATAACCTAGCCTAGGTCACAAATGAATTTGTCTCGTTTTAGAACATTCTTAATAGCAGCCTCTTAGCTTCCAACTTTCTTTTTTAAGACCTTTAATAATAGTGATACTAATATATAGTAGCGAAGTGAGTAAGTAGGAAATCTCGAATCTTTACCTTATCTAAGATGCTATTAGAAAGCCTTAGGTGTAAAAGATAGGTAAGGCAGATTTGCGCTAGTTCTATATTTATAGATCTGAGTGCTTGCTCCGCTGACCGCTGCCTTCGGGCCCCACAGTGGCTGATCGGGAGCAATATCATGGTTACAGTCTGTGTGTGTGTGTGTGTTTCATTTACGCTGTCCTCTCGTCGAAACGATATGCAGCCTACCACTACTATATATATCTTCCTATGTACATGTATCGTGTACCACTTCCTAAGCGAACTTAGAGCCTCGCCGAGGCCTGCCGTGGCCTCTGTGCCGTTGTTATGTTTGTGCTGCCCTTATGGCGCGTGACTGAAAAGCCGTTGCGATGCTTCAGCAAAATCTAAGACAGCCTCCACTGTCTTGGTCCGTGAAGCGCTGTCAATCTTACCTCTTCCTTCTTCTCCTAGTACCCCTAACAGTGTTGATATACTGTTGAAAGCGTCGCCAACCTTTCCTCGGAGCTCTCTCCTTAACATTCTCAATCTTAGGCAATCTAATAATATGTGGTAAACGCTTTCCCGTTTGCTATAGATGCACAGATCGTCGTCTCGGAATCGGAAAGCCTTTACGTATGTTGACAACTAGTAGTGTCCGGTTCGTAACTACGTTAATAAGTACGCTCGATTTCTAGGCAGAGAGCCGTATAGCCGTCTGGTGTACTTGGCCGGTAGTGAGTCGTCGATCTAACGCAGATAGGCGCCGGTGCTCGACTCGTTCCCTTCTTTCTTCTACTAGGCGTGGATCCCTTATCTGATATATACTCTCTCGCGTGATAGTAGAAAGCAAAATAGGTATATTTCCCCGGTATAGCTGCCTCTTTAGCTAGCAAATCGGCGGTATCGTTCCCGGGCATTTCGCAATGTCTAGGTATCCACTATAGTCGAATCGATATGCTATATGTCTTAGTGTTCCTAGCCGCTTACAGAATACTATCATTTTTCGATTCTGTTGTGGGCAGCATTCTCTGGAATTTGCCTCAAGTTGATCATTTCTTGTATGGCTCCAAACGGTCACTGAACTGAAGTAAGATACACAAGTACAATAATGCTACTTAATGGGGTGGTAAGTGTTTAGGTGTCAAGCCGATTTCGGGAATGACTGCAACTCGCCACGTTAACAGTTTATGATCTTTGCTTGGAAAAAGGTACCGAATAGGAAATAAAATGAGTATTATTTCTGCTGCTCTCAGGTAATATTAAGTGTATGGATTGGGAGTGACGGTGCTCGAATGTGCAGGTATCTGGTGGGCGTTTCATCACATAGGGTATTTCATGTCACCTGGATGGGGGTTATGCATCAAATACTTTGAGAAAAATCGATCGATAGAAAGAACGTATATTGCTATTTGTCATCAACTCCAGAATCAGACAAAAAGTAGACTGACGAATTTCCGAGTTCCACAAGCTCACCCAACTTTCAGGATTTCTGCGTGCTAGTTTCGAGAGCTGCCAAGTAAAGCTTAGACAATATCGTCGCGGCCTTTTGTGGAAGCTATGTGAATGGCTGTCCCATGACGACCGGCCTGGATATAAGCATCTGCATTATACCTTAGAAGCAACAGAACAATATCGTGATGCCCTACTGCACACGCTGCTTGGAGAGCTGTCCCAATCTGCTCCCCGATTTTCCCACTATAGATGTTGGGGTTCGCATAATTGTCGAGCAAAGTTTCAACAACGTCTAGGTGACCAAGAATTGATGCTTCCTGGGGTGTAGTTGCATATCCATCTCCTTCCCTATAGGCGTTAATATCAACACCCTTATTGACAATGCATTTTATTATCTCTAGGTAATCCGTAAAACATTCAACGCTCACAAAAACCTCGCTGTGGTTTTGAAGCCCTCCTGAGATAAGCGCGCCACAGTAGCCCCACCGGAGATGCGCTGGGCCCAGTGAGCTTCGGATGGAGTGCGGAAGGTGTAGGCGCGCTGTGAGGACATCTATTTATGTTGGACGAGCGGAATCATCTTTACTATGGGAGATTCCATAAAATTCGATGATCCTCCATCTCCCCTTTCTCGCGCATCAGTTTCCTGGTTAGAATTGAAATTTTCGCTTCAGTTCTCAGAGATCGAGGACGAAGGCGCGAAGCTGCCTTTTGTAGCAAACAAACATACATAAATTAGGGGCCTTTCGGCAGTTGACACAACCGCCATAAACCGAGCGGTTGGGAGGATAATTGATGATTCATGAGAATTTGCATTAATTATCAACATAGCGCACTTAATAAACATCACTAATATACCTATTGGTTTTCACATTTTCCAGCCACAACTCCGCCTCTTCATCAGTCTTGCTCGTCTGCTCCTTATAAATCTTCTTGCAAACCTCCGCTACACCTTCCCCCAACCGTGCTGCGCTGCCACATAGAAATATTTTACCCCCAGAGCGGAATAGAAGCGCAACTTCTTCCCGGTTTTCCCATATGACATCTTGCACGTACCGTGGAGTGGAACCGTCGAGCGGTCTGCTGAAGGCCGGCTTGACGGTCACAATTTTCCTCTCCTCCCAGGACCGCAACTCGTCATTGTAGAGGAAGTCCTTGTTCGGGTCGCGGCATCCATAGAAGAGGATTGCTGGGGCAAGTTTTGTCACGCCAGTCTCGGCGATGCTGGCACGCTCTTGCAGGAAAGCTCGCATCGGAGCTATTCCAGTTCCCGCAGCCACCATCAGGATGGGAATATCCGGGCTTGTCGGAAGCCGGAAACCGATGTTGGTGGGGTGCACGTAGCAGTGAATGTTATCACCGGCGCTGCACGAAGCCATGTAGGTTGATGCAACACCATAAAACATGCCGTGGCCAGAGATGGATGGCGATTCATGTACATCAAAGGTTATTGAGGCAATGTTGGAAACGGAAAAGCTGTTGTGATGCTGAAGCGGGGATGAGGAGATGGAGTATTGGCGTGGAGTGAGCGGTTGAAGCATGTCAATATAGTTGCTGAAATCAAGGTCTGTGGGATGGTCTTCAAGCACATCGATTATGCTATAGCGCTTCTGCATCAGCTTCTTGTGTACGAGCTCGTCTGTTAAACTTTCGAGATGCATTTTTCGCTCTCCTTTGGCACTCGCCGCAAGAATTGCCAGCTGGCGCTTGGTGATCGGAGTATTCAACTCGACAGCACTCTCAAGAAACTGTACGACCGGCATTGGCTCCTTAGGCATAAACTTCTTTTTGGACCCTTCGACGCGCATGATGTCATCTTCGCAGATACCAAAGTACTTGAGCACCCGACGAATACCCGCCTGTGGATTTCTCGGCTGCACCACGAGATAATCCCCAGGCTGGTACGACTGTCCTTCCGGAAGGCGTATGTCCATATGTCTCTTAGCAATTCCAACTTCAGCCCCCGCGATCTCGTAATTGTTGACGACCCGACAAATGTTCATCTCCTGACCGCCAATTGTTGGAGGTAATTTTCTGGGAAATATTGACACAGAAATGGAGGGCCTTTCACCAATTGCTTTATCATCTGATACTCCAAGCTTTTGCAGGAGAGTTTCAGACCATTCTTCCCAAGGTCCAAGGATATTCGCTTTGACATCAGTAAAGCCTGCCTCGAGTATGCGGGAAGCTCCAAGTTGAGCCATCCTCTCATCCACAATGTTAGGGATTCGTTGGTAAGTTCTGGCCCAGTCTGAGTTCCCTACTCCGAAGACTGCATACTTAACCCCATCCAGCTCATTTTCTTGCTGAATGAGTTCCAGCCAAGCAACAAACTTCTTTGCATTGTCTGGAGGCTTGCCCTCAAATGACGCGGTCACAATGATGACTGGCTGATCCGTAGGGAGGTTCTCGGTTGCTGCGTCCATGTGCATAAGCTTGGGCCGAAAGCCAAGTTCTGTCGCCTGTCTTTCCAATTCCAAAGCGAATCCCTCACATGTGCCGGTATTACCACCAAATAGGATGGTTATCGAAGGTCTTGAGTTCTTGGCCGCAATAGATTTTGTGCCAGGCTTCTCGATTGGCTTCTCAACATTTGTTACAACGCTCCCGCCAGGCACCCCCGTAAGTATACCTTTTCCACGGCGGCGCCGAACCTTCATTTTGAAACATTTTGGCTTGATTGTGAGTGTCGACGTAATCCCCAACTCGTACGAAGGATCGGCGAACTCAAGCTGGAATTTTTGAAGGACCAAGGCAGTATTGATGAGCATCTCCTGTTCAGCAAAGCCCCGCCCAATGCAGGCTCGCATACCGTTACCAAAAGGCTTCCACGAATTAGGAGGTAGAGATGCGAATCCACCATTGAGCATACGCTCGGGCCGGAAAACATTTGCATCTTCGCCCCAGACGGCTGGGTCTGTATGCAACCCGCGCATGTTGCACTGAATCCACGTGTTGGACGAAACTTTGTACCGCCCGCCGAGCGATGTGTCTTGCTTTGGTTTGACTACGAACGTGGGGATAGGGCTGGACAGACGCAACGTTTCCTTGATGCATGCATCGAGGTAGACCAAATTTGGTAGATGTTCAACGGTCAGGACCGAATTCCCCACGACTTTGTCAACCTCTTGCTGCGCCTTGATCAATGTCTCGGGGTACTTGAGCAAGTTATAATAGAGGAAGCATAGTGTGGCACTGGTTGTCTCGTGACCAGCAACCTACTCGTGTTAGCCACTGCTGCTCAAACCGAAAGTAGTATATTCAGTGATATTGTCTGACTTACAAGGAAAGTCACTAGATTAAACCGAATATTTTCATCCGAGAGTTTTTCACCAGTTTCTCGGTCAGCCGTCAACAACATTGTGTTTAGTAGATCTTTGTTATTCGGCTGCGGGTGTACTTTCCGATCTTTCACAATGTCGTCCGCTACAGCATGCATCCTGCAGATGTCTTCTTGGCGCTCATGCTCGCTCCAAGCCAAAACTTGGTTGACAAAGCCAGGCCTAAAAGCCCGTTTGCCAGACGCCAGCAAAACCCGGGCCATCTGTTCTGCGAATGGATGCACCTGCTCACCATAGAACTCGTTGAACCTGAAGCTGAAAGCACACAGACCGATGGTGTCAAATGCCAACCTGGTCAGATCGTCGGACATATCGATCTCATTCTGGGCACCAAGTCTGTCCCACTTGAGGACTATTTGTGAAGAAATATCAAGCATATCGTCGAACATCTTTCGGATACCGAGTGGCCCGAAAGCTGGAATCAACAGGCGATGGGCTTTTCCCCAGTTTGTCTCGGAAGGGTACTACTCAGTATCATAGTATGTTAGTACGACCAAGCTAGCTATTCAAAAGCGATAACTCATGGGCTTACAGCAGTGAACAGACCATCGCCAACCAAGGGTCGAAGCTCGGTAAGGGGCCCGCTCGGTAGTTTCTCGAATCGATCTTGGTCGCAAATTTCATTCACGTATTGCTGCGAGGAGACTACCACGATGTTTTCCCCCAGCTTCAGTGCGAAAATTGGTCCGTACAGATCGGCCAATTTCCAAATCGACTGGAAAGGGAAGCTTGCATCCATTTCTGGTATATGCCCGAGGAGCCCAAAGAACCGCTGATCGGGCGAGGGTATATCTTCTAGCTTGGAAGGATCCAAATTGGCATTGCTGCTAGGGCGAGACATGGTGACCAAAATTGAATGCACACCGGGGAAGGAGAGGAGATGGGGGCGACGGGGAGATTGTATGACAAAGTTTCAACTTGGTGTGCCCTTGATATCTTCATTTCCCTAACACTGTTGGGATAGACTCTTATATGTCTATTTTCTTACACATTTTTCTCTCAATCGTAAAGCGGCGGTTCTAAATTCATGTACCCACCGTTTCAGATCCACTGTCGAGTCGGCAAGCCAGAATACTGTTTACTAAAAACTTGATTTTAATTCATGCAGCGCTTGTCTTGAAATGGCCAATCCTCGGCCTTCCATTTTAGAACGGAAAGGACTTGAGACGGAGGTCCAATTGTCCCGCCCTCAAATGTATCGGAGCAGAGCCGTTGTGATGCTCGATGGGTAAAATACTATTCACGAATTATGCAACGCAGATCGACTGATTTCTCATGGTACTACCTAGCGTGTTGGAGGTGGACTTCTCTATTGGCCGGCGGTCTGACTAAGCGGAAGAAAGCACCTTGGCATGGCTTTCCTGTCGGCCGATCAGCCGCGCCCACAACTTAAAAACGGATTGGCCAATCAACGACTTCAGCCGAAAACCACTGAAATCATCCATGGATGGGTGTAGGCTTTGACATTTCTCGTGGGACCAAAAATCTTTAGTCCCGTCGCTACACTCCGTTAGCCCTGCGGGGATTTTAGGAATTGTAGTCCCGTTGACAGCCTGCGCGTAGGAATTCAAACGGGACTATATGGGACTCCAAGCGTAGAATATTTTAAGGTTCCAATTGATGAGTATGTTCATGAATAAGCACGAAGTACATCTATTGAATAGAGGTACATATCATGTAAGGACTTGCACAGACTCAAATAGCTACCTTTATTTTTAAGTCAAGGTTACTCACGTCGAATCTCCGTCTATTGGAATTTTACAGACCCCATCGGAACCGGCCCTTTTTGATCGATTCCCGGTCAGGGTGCTACCATAGCTTTCGCGGCGTAGATGATATTGTGATCAAAGATATGCATGTGATTATGAGGGATGTTAAGCTACTGAAAGGGAGAGCCTCTTTATCGGACTGCATGTTTCCGATGTCCGAAACATGACGCGGTATAAGCTAAGCGGGATGTCAAAATGCCTAGCTGTACCCAATGGGTAGATAAGTCCCGCAAGGTTAGGGATGTGGGACCTACTTATACTTGGTTTCCAGTTGAGTTGAGTTTTGTTTTGTTGGGATCATTTGAATGAATTTGTACTAAATATGTGTCAGATATGTGGTTTTAATAAGTCATGCTTATGCCTCGAATATATGAAAGAGTTGCCTGATTGTTCCCAAAAGCCCGGCCAAACTCTTAGTAGCCTTGGCCAAGTCGACTTTAGAATCGCACGCTGCAAAATCGATCCGGTCCATTCTCACAATGACATGCCGCTTCCCACCCACACTTTTCCACATGAGCGTCTCATCATCCCCCCGGGGTGTCGGATGTGGGGCTTATCCCTTCCCGACTAACCTTCCAGGTTTATATACTTAAGATTCACCTAGCTAACTCCACAAATTTTCAAAAATGGAATATATGGCATCGATACAACTTAAGAGCTCCAAGAACACTTCTAGATCAAGCAAAAGACAGGGCCGAAAACCAGGGAAAACAGCGTGCAGTGCCTGTCATGCTGGCAAGAAGCGATGTGACATAGCTCGGCCAAATACCCAGTGTATGAACTGTCGCAAGGGGAATCAAGTGTGCTTGCCTAGGGATCCTGTCAAGAGGTATGTATGACACATTGAGATATCTTACTGGAAGGAAATAGTATTCAGAGATAAAAGGCTTACCAGACTCCCGCTAATAGACTTAACCATCAATATTCCAAAGATGATCGCGGCTGCGACCAGTCGTATCAAATATTGGACCTACCTCTACCACAAGGTATTGACCACGAAGTTCCGCGATGGAGTGCACTTTATTCGGGCTATTCCGAAATTCGCCGATTATTGCCTCCCGTGGGAAAAGACGATAGCGACTTAGGCCACGTCGGGTCACCATTAGCAGCTCGACTTGAGAGTTACCCAGACCTGTATAAAATATTCCCAGGAGAGGGGTCTACCGATCATTCGCGTTATCAAGAGGAACAACTGGGTCTGCAATATGCAAACATTTCGCAAATAGAAGGTATCTGTATGCCGGCATCTCCTTCTCCCTCATCTTCATCCTTGCGAAATCGAACCGACTCAGGGCAAGTGGCATGGCTGCAAAGGACTGGGACTGAGGATCCCTCTGTATTGGATCAGAATTATTACCAAGTCATCCCAGATTTGGGGACCGATAATTTTATGGATTATCTCGACAAATTGCTTGTGTTTTGATCCTTTGTTGTGATTTGCAAGTTAGCTTCATAGGAATGGTTAAATTTAGGTTATTCTCTTGTCATCTAGTGGCAATTATCAACTGCGACACAGAGCTACGAAGTCCTGCCAGGAACTCTTCCTAGAGGGCCAGACCCTGAAGGACATATTGGAATCACCCCATACCACCAAGGTCTTCTTCGACGTTCGTAATGATTCAGATGCACTTTTCAGTCATTTCAACACCAAATTGGCTAGAGTCATTGACCTTCAGTTGATATAATTGACAACGAGCTATTTCTCGAGGAGATATGTCAACGAGCTGACAAAATGCATAGAGAGAGATGCTCTTCTTACGACTCATGAAACTCGATTTTGGAAGGTATCAAAAGAGAAGGGTCTGAAACTCTTCACTCCTGAGCGTGGTGAAAGCTATTCAACGTCCGTCCTCTTCCGGATGCTATCAAAGAATAATATGTGCAAGACGTACAAATCCTTCCTAGGCTTTGGGTCAAATATCATCAAAAGATATCCATCTTGGACTAAGAGGGTCGTAACGGAGGCCGAAAATAGAATATCACTATCACAGACAGCAACCTATGACGGGAAAGGGAAATGGAAAGCTCTAGCTGAGGTAGGTTGGTGTTAATTATGCGATTGATGTTATAAAAAGTCCTATAATTTTGGAAGGGAGATTTGGCGTTGTGCGTTCTATCATCAGCGGAATCACCCAGATGGAATATTTCAAATTGACGAGCCATTGACATAAGCAAAATGAACTGGGCAGAATTTCTTGGCAAGCCTATAAACTCCAGTACGCAGCTGATGCTCAATCTTATTGGTTAGATGACGGACTTAGCAAATTGGGACAGCAATATACACTCTATGAGGGTAAGTCCTGCGACAGTGGGTTTTTACCCGGACCCCATCAAATATATATATCTAGTTTCAACTATTTATTTTACAACACCAATACATTAAATATATATTAAATTTAATATTAATAGATAGAGAATTGGTTGACGAAGTTGATACATTTAATATTTTGTGTAGTAACCCTTTTCTTTGCGCGTAGCAAGCAATCTCCTAGGTACAGATCGGATCAATTTATCAATTATAACTTGATCAAGTGCATCCATCCTATGTAGCGTATATAGCTCTCTTAAAATACGCCTAGTCTGCCTCAGTCCTACCTATATCTACTAATTCGGGGTAGAGCTTTAACAATTTAACCTTTAATAGCCACTAGTAAGGCTTAATAGGGCTAAGATCGGGTGAATATAGAGGCTAATCCTCGACGTATACCCCGTATTCTTTAAACCACTCTCCTTTCCTCCCCTCTTCATAGTTTAAGACTTCACAATACTACATATTGTGCTTTCATGATCTCATCTACTAGGTCGTAGATTCTAATATCAAAATTGATATTGAATATAAATTCGCTGGAGGTCACCCACCCCACTACTAACTCACCGGCGAGGGGCTTATATGCGGCCAATAGTTCAGTGGGTGTCGCCAGGGTGAGAAATGGGTGCGCGCCGCTTTACAGTCGCGCGACCGGGGGTGACAAGGGTGAGTGCGCTATAGTCAGGGTGAGAATCAGGGTCAGAATCACCCCAGCGCAAAAATAATATTGTTACTGTTCAAGCAGTCACGATGCAATACCAATTGGTATAGATTCGGGGATTGATTGACTATTGGTGGATCGTCTGTGGAAGTAGATCTACGATGCTCCGGGTGATGGAGAAGATGTCGATGCCAATGAAGACGATACCGATGAAGACGATGTCGACGATGATGCTTGGGTATTGCATTGAGATTCTCGCACAGTTACTGGACCAAGCTGGTGCCCGTGCGTGTTTCGATAATGCGGTGTGGAAATGTGAAAATGATTGGGTCTCTGGTTTTCGCATCCTGCCGCAACTTGTGACAGAAACGTCATATACAAAGGTTCCTGAGGCCTTAGTGGACGCCTTAGGTTATAAAGGCGATTCATCCTTTACATCTGTTGAACATTGGACCATCCCATGCTTGTTGCTTGCAGGGTGAGAATATTGTTTGATCGTTGTCTGGTGGCTACTGGCGAAGGGGAGGAAGAGAAAGAAGAATCATTGTTGTTCAATCTAGGAAAAAGCAGGATATTTATACCCTGATGTCTTACAAACAATCTGCCCAGTCTTCAAGCAAACAATGGGAAATGAGATCATCCAACACTGGGGAGTGAGGACATTTGACGCCTAAATCACGGCTTCTCGCTGTATTCAAGAAGATAAAACGCTTTTCCCACCGTCTTCCGTCAGTCTGTCTCTAACCTTGATTACCATGTACCCCGAGCCCAGATTCCTGAGCTCCTGCGAGCCTCCTGAAGCAGTACAAGAAACGGCACTCGGTGAAAAGAGTAAAGCCTCGCCCACCCGGAGATGAACGATTCTATGAAACAATAAGAACTTTCTAGCAATCTCAGCGTTTTTCGGGTGGTCATCGTCATAGGCCGACGTCTCTTGATTCGACTGTACATCCAAAGCGGCTCCAGCCACGTGGCCCTGTAGTGCGCGTATCCACGCAGGGGACGAAAATCTATGGACAATAGTGACCGAGCACAGACTGAGAAGGTCGCTTGAAATCGTTGGCTCTTGGGTAGAAATCAAGATACGGGCCCCGAGGTGACGCTGTAAGCGAACAGTGGAGAGAAGGGTATCTGTAAAGTTTCGAGCTTCGACCGAATCTTTCATGTACTAGAAATTGTCAGCAGCGATAAATCAGCTAAGTGCGTGTAGACCACATACCTTATGAGCCTCGTCAAGGGCCACTATTCTGCCAATCTTGGTATCCTGCTCCATGAAAATACTAAAGCAAACGTTGAAAAGTGAGCAAGCGATATCAGGAGAGATACACGGACAGGAGAGGTCGACAATTGTCAATTGTGAGGCCTAGATCGTTGATTAGTCCCTGAAAGTAACTTAAGGATTTATTGTACCTGTCTTACCTTCGGTGTCCAGTTAGAGCCTGCTCCTTGAGGATTCGCCTGCTTTCCATTTCCTTTCTTGTTCAGGGCTGCCTGCTGCGGGGGCATGAAACTCTCAAGCGTATCTAATCGTTGCTTCAGAGGCTCGATCTGACCTGGAAGAAGGCCAGAACTAAGGATTCTTTTCTTGAAGTCCTTGTAGTCAAATTGGGATCCTGCCTTTTGTTGTAAAAGGCGCATTTCCCGCAGAATCCTCTGGACGGTATACACGTACAGAGGAACGGGCCCCGAGCCTTGACCAACTGCCATAAGATCCAGCATACGTTTAATGTTCAGATTAGCTTGGTCTATCTGCAAAGGCTCAACCTTGATGTTGAATCTCGAATAGGTTTTCTGCAGGCCCATTAGCGAGATGAAGAAAACCGGAGTTATTCCACGCTACCTGTATAGTGAGAAGGTTGGTCGGAGCACAAAGCACCCTCACTTTGATGTTCGAGTGGGATGCGAGGAATGCGGCCTCACAGGGCGAACCACCATTGTCGCAGATGAAAGTATCGTAGTGGAAAACAACAGCTGTCAGGGGGTTTAGAAGTCTGCCCGCTTTAGAAAGGATTAAGCACCCTTCTAGTATGCAAGATAGAGTATGACTTTTTCCAGAGCCCTGAGAGCCGCAAATAAAAGTGCTGGATGGCGAGGAAACGTTGAAAAACAGCCTCGGGTCCTTTTTAATGATTTCGTTCTCCGCGCTTGCATAACTGGACGTCTCGATACTTCTGACCCCTCCAAGCAGACCATACTGCGGTGGAGCTAGTTCGGGCTGTCTCAGGACAAACCCTGTGAAAATGGGGGCAAGAGAGGCTTTTTCTTTCTGCTCATTGGAGCTGTCAAGTTTCAACAAGCTCAGATGATATGCCAGTCTTGGATCTATGAGCATGAATATCAGCTCCAACAAGGATAGAGAGAGAGAGAGATATAGAGAGACATAGAGAGAAGATTCATGACAGTGTGAGGCAATGTGAGCCTGTAGTGACGTACCTGCTTGGTGCTCTTTGCGCATTGGTGCAGACATTTTCGGATTGCAATTTGCAGAGATATTCCAATGTCCCTGATTTCCAGCTCTTTTCATACTCCGGGGTTGTGGATTCACTCACATTTTTTCTTTATATGCAAGGGTAAGTGGGTGTCGAATATTTGACCAAGTGCAGGGTGTACTCGTTTACGATCGCGATATCCTGAGATGGTTGACAAAAAATGACCAATGAAGTGAGGTATGTGAATGCAAGGCGCGCCTGATGTCGCGGGCCTGTTAGACTTTTGTCAAGAAATTGGGCCAATATCAAGAGCCCGAACCAGCCGGTAAGGGCTACCCTAGTAAGTCCACGAGTGATTAATTATCTCATAGATGGCCTCTCACATTGGCAGCCTCCCGCATTGACAAATTCTCTCATATATGACCTCCCACATTGGCAGCCTCCCGCGTTGGTAGCCTCCCGCATTGGCAGCCTCCCGCATTGGCAGCCTCCCGCATTGGCAGCCTCCCGCATTGGTGATCTCCTCCTGCTACAACCTCCCGCAGTTTCTCTGCAGTGATTCACTTCCCTCGAAATCTCCAAGCGTGACATCAGCACCGGCTTTGTGCCTTGGGATCATAAACAAGTCTTCTTGGCTCCCTCTAATCATGGATCGAAGCAACACTTTAGACCTAAAAATCACCGATATGAAAGAGAAACGCCGCTTAGAGGTTGATTCCATTGGTGTTGGCCCCCCAAGATTTGATCCATACCGAAGACTTCTGGCCCGATTCTACGAGCCATTATTTCTTTTGAGGGCACTTGGTCAAACGCGAGGCGAACATATACCCCAGCCCACGAGCTTCGATGCTCCTATGGAAAGCAGGCGAAGATTCTTACAGAACCTTGCTTATGTGTGTGATTTCAAGAAAGGAGGGGATTCTTGCACCGCAATAGGCTTGGAAAGTCGCCAAACACACTACCTGTTTTGGGTTGCTTCAAACGCGATGATCGAAAAGATAGTTTCTTTTCTCAACGAAGCTCTCAACGTCTTGATGGGCACGAACAGCCAGCCTGCCTTGGGTCTGGCAGCCACAGAGTCTGCATTCATTCAGCTTTGCGCAGACTTTGCAATTTCTCGTATTAACCTGGAGCGCAAGAATTTCCAAAGAGAGGCGATGAACTGCATTTCAAGACTCACAGAAAAGACCTCAAAACCTGGTGAGCATAGAGATTCCATAAATATTCTCATAGGTCTGCAGCTGAGGAGCCTCTAGCCCAGGAACTGGTCAAATGGCTGCACATAGCCTTTAATCACAGTCACAACATCGAGCTTTGCAACTTCGCGTATAAGAACCGCAATTCGATCTATATCGACCAGCTTGCAGCAATAGCATTACAAGAAGAGAACAAACTAGACCCTGCAGGCAGACGGTCATGTTTTTCCTTAGTCCGACATCACATTTTAGTGCTTGCCCATCACATACGGGCACCAAAAGAGCTCGTTGACGACTCCTTTCATTTGGGACACATATTGCAAACATATGATGTTTGTGGCATTGATCCATTTCCAAGTGTACCAGGACCAGTGTGCGATTCACATACAAACCTCCGCGGAATTCTGAATCGTATGTACAAAACGCCCGGAGAGGAAAAGAAAATTGTCGAGGAAGGTCTCCTCTACTTGAACAGAACTTCAGGTTCTCTAATCTTCGAGCATTTTATGGAACAATACGAACAACCTTGTCCTCAAGTTCATGCAGAAGTTCAAGTATTAGAGCATTTTTACCAGAGAAAGCTCTCCTTTGCGGACGGCGATCGATTTATTGCTTGCAGCAAGCCCGCTTGCCTTTGCTGTGAGCTATACTTCAAGCATCATCCAGCGCGCATGGTGCTGCCTTCATCACATCGGAAGGTCTGGACAAGATGGAGTCCTCCAGCCGTGAAGGTATTTACCAAGAATGACATGGCAACTCGAGAGCAAACCCAGATTATGAGCAAGATTACGCAAGAGCTCCGTGACCAGATCACTGACCAAGTTTTGCGGCGCTCACAAGCAAGCCGCTGGCATCCAGACTCTATAACTTGCATCACGGAGATGCACTCTGCAAGTAACTTTAAGTCGCTTGACGAGCAAGACATTTGCGAAAATGCATACAGCGAATCTGTTGCAGATCCCTTGGATAGTCCAGAGACCGGAGAGCGAGGTGGTCTAGATCAGGAAATTGATTCGGACGATGGCGGCGTGTCCATTCATATTTAATTCGTCAATTCAATTACAACGTCTCACGTGGGTATCAATTTGCGATGCTATATCTCGTGTACAGACTCTACATCCATCTAATTCGATCGAAAACTCGACTAAAGGACAATCACAATCATATTTTCTATCTTCTCATATCAACTGGATGCTTTTTCCTGCAGTGTCGTTGGAAGTTATCCTTGCGTGTAAACGAGACATTGCACATCTGACAAGAGAACTGTTCTTCCACATTCCAGCGTTGCTTAGCCCACGTGTTATGAGCACGCTCGACATGTCGGCGCATATCCCCTTGTTGTGCAGCAGCGTAATCGCACACAGGACATTTGATTAGTTTCTCATGCCATCGTAAGTGTTTTCTGAAATGAATTAGATACGATCTTTTATTCCAGTATGGAAGCCTCACCGAAAAAGTCCCTTCTGCTGGAAACCCTCCCGATCGCGACACGTCTCCCGCTGGCAGTAATACAGCCCGTCCGAAGCAACATCCGTCATACTGATTGAAGGCATTTCTGCTTCTTCAAATCGCCATTCCGATTTTGAAACGCTTTTGGGAGATCCCGAGTCTTGCTTGGTGTTTATAGCCAATGAGCTCAGAGCCTCTGAAGCGGCCATCGGATAGTCGCACATTTCACCTACATCAACCGGGATTGAGCTCGACCCAGCACTCTATAGAGACTGGTCGTGGTCGAGCAAATCTAGATCTGAAACAGGTTCAAGGTCCGTTGTGTATGAACTGACATGCTCGTCGAAGCTGGCAAATTCCATTGGGTTTGCGTGAGTTCCAGGTGACGGGAAGATACTGTCGTCTTCAGGGTTGCAAAGGAGTGTTATCTCCGGTTCCATTTCAGGGGCCGAATTATTATCCGTAGTAGAAGTCGCAAAGTCGAAACAAATATCCCAAGGTGCCCCCAGTATCCAATCCCCACTCTCACTTTGCCCAAAGAATCGTGGTTCCATGGCCGATTGACTTGAGTGGGAGCAATGCGCTTCGTACAATTCAGGCGGGCGCCAGCGAGTATATGTATACGAAGCATTCTCCGTGAAATTTTATGATACATAGGATCTACGTGGGGATGACGACGACCAAGAATGAACGGAGAGGCACGTATGGCTCAATTAGCTGCCAAGACACCCCTTTATCGTTCACCGCTAGTTGTGGCCATGTAGCTGCTGACAGCGCATTCAGCCAACCCAACGTCTTGCCAGCTGAGGAGCCTGTTGGATTGATGAAGTCATAGTAGTACCTACGAATTTAGTGTTAGTCAACATTGCCTTTCGGTTTCAGCTTGTGTTATACCAGAATTTAATATCATATGTATTTCAGTCCAGCACGTCGAGATGTGACTCTAAATACAATATCTGATAACCTTTCTTAGGAAGTACGTTGAGCGTTAAAGTGATATTCGAAATCAGACCTGCAGTCTCGCTCTCTTTGTTTCCCAAGCCCCACCTCAAATGTACTAGTCTATATATATTAGGAAATATTTCCGCCTTGCACTTGCCCTTGTATCTTCAATGAGTCTGATTAGCAAAGTATTCCCAGGAGCATCTATCATATAATGGCAATGCTGATTAGCGCAATTATTTGCAGCCAGTTTACCAGGATGAATAGCCATAGTGCTGATGCCAGGCCGTTCGGACGATGGAGGCCGTCTAAAAGTGGAGTCTTGCATGTGATAGAACTAGTACCCAGTCTTAAAGCGCTCAGGGTTCAAAACCGCTTTTTGGGGGGGAGGGTACGCCGCCGACTTCGGGATGCCCGAGGTCCCTGCTTAATCTCGGTTTCCCGAGGGTGAGGCTGCCAAGTCTTTACGTCCCCTAATGAATGGATGATTTTCCCGAAAGATGACTGCGTGTCTAACATCCACCACTAACCTATCTAGGTAACTTTCGATTCAACTTTATGCGTCAAAATAGATAAATATGCCAAGACCTTCCTAGTTAGTTCTAAGTATCCTTATCCCTACCAACCTACCATAAACTGATGAAGGGTGAACCGTACTACTGCTTGGTTATCAAAAGTATTTTATGTGCTTAAGCTGGCGTCCAAGGTAGCCGTTCTCAGCAGCCAATTTATCATTAATCAGCGTTAGAGTATAATCAAGAGCGGTGCTAGTTTCTACGCCTATCAGAAAGCGATCTTGAGAAGACAAGAAGAAGACGTGTTACTAGAATGTCCAGGCATGGGTCTGCTACTGCCTTATTAGCGGCGAATTTTATAGGAACGCGGGGAGTCTCCTGAGTATGATTCTGGGCCGGGGCTGGGCTCTCCTTGGACATATGTGGATATCCAACAGTTATCCATAGTATTCTCCATAACGCTAAAGATACATCCAATTAACATATTGTATTACGTTTTGACACGTTCAAATCGCGTCTACCCACCTATATCACAGTTTTACTTTTACTACTAGCTCCCCCCCTGTAAGTCACTCTCCTTTACTTTCTGGCCTTCACGGCTAAACTAAAATTATGTCTCAATCTCAAGCATCTGACAGTCTATATGAATGATCATACTACGACGAATCGATCATCGACCCCTCACTTCTTCAATCAGATAATTATCAATGCCCTGATCTACCGAGCAGTGATATCACACGCGCCTCAATTTCTCTCTCGAATACCTGGCCGACCCTAAAAAAGCTAAAGCCCCTCGCCCCTGTATCGCTTCGACGTGTTGGTAAGCCTTTACAGCAAGTCTACGTCCTCTACAACGAGGATAACGAGGATACTAAAATGGAGGATTCGCATGATAAATTTGTACAATGATGGTTAAAGACTGACTATGGCCACCAGTCAAGTCTATGTAAGTCTATTAAACGGGATAGTGAGCTTAAAAATTCCGACGTTTGGCCATCCTTCAATCAGGTTGCACATGAGAGGACTGATAAGCCTAAGGTTATGTGTAAACGCTATTAAAGTGTCATTATTCATGCAGGGCATCGCCGCGCTGGATATACTCCTATAAGGGCGCAGTTTAAACAGTTATATTTGTATCCAGCCGCGCCCTCTGGGATAGAGCAGCTAGAACGGCAGTCTGCAGCCGCCAGTGCGCCAGTAGCACTGGGGGCTATAGACTGCCGTACGCCTATGCCCGAACCATGGGCGCTAGGTGACCACGGCCTTACATATGCTGTTGTATGTTTTTGTTTTTGCACTTCTCAGCGGCTGGGATGCGTGCGAGTGATATGGGTGAGAAGTCTAGAGACTAGGATGAGAGGAGAGAATGGGGTGACAATTCTCACCTTGGAGTAAGAGGGGCTAATTCACGAAGACTCGGGAGATTCTCGGGGATTTACAACGCCAATTCATCCCGGCTGACTGCCATTGGCTGTGAGCACCCCAGCATCCGGGTATTGAGTTGTTTCCACCCCGATTAAAATTTAGATAGCTTCCCCAACCCATCGGCGTCCTTTAGTAATTTGCGGGGGAAACCATGAAACCCCCTGGACTTAGACTTCCACCACCCGAAGATATTACGATGAAACCCCGGGGAAGTAAAATGAGACATTTGCCCTTCAAGTATAAGAAGGCGCTATCAATCCTCACTTGGAGGTGCGAATAGTCCAAACAGCAACTATGACCCCGAAGACAGCAATTCTTGGTGTGGTGCTCGGTGTCACCGTCTCAACCGCATGGGGTCAAACCCTGACGGAGGACATGGTCGAGAAAATGGGAAACAATAGCCTTTTCACTCGTTGGAGACCGTACTCCCATTTTTTGGCCCCTGCAGGGTGGATGAATGTATGTCTCATTTCCAATTCCGAAAAGCCTTGGATGAACTAAGTGGCACTAACCATTGATCCAGGACCCTTGTGCCCCTATGTACGACCCGGTTGAAGGCATTTATCATATGCACTACCAGTTTAACCCCAATCACGTCAACTGGGGTACTGTTCCCCTCTCCTAGCTGTTTAGCAAGATCCTTGCTAAATGTCTCATCCATATAGGCAACATATCGTGGGGACACGCGACGTCCAGCGACCTCATAACTTGGACTGATGTTGACCACAACCCCGGCAATGGACTTGCAGGATGGCAAGACGGAGAAGCGAAGTCAATTGGTACAACCAACTTGACTACGGACCACCACGATCCACCGATGTACAACCATCTGGGCATCTTTTCCGGAACAGCCCAGCCCGTCAATATCTCTGGTGAAGTCGATGGAACAATTCTCGCCTTCTACACATCCGTTTCAAAACTGCCAACCTCGTATACCTTACCCTATCTGCCTGGGACCGAAAGCCAAAGTCTGGCATACTCCACAGACGGTGGAGTGACATGGCAAGAATATGCCAACAACCCAGTCATCAGCAGCCCACCTGACGGTTGGAACGTCACCGGCTGGCGGGATCCCTTCTACCTCCCGCTTCCCCAGTTGGACACGCTACTAGGCAACTCCGAGCCTCACTACTATGCCATACTTGGCTCCGGTATTAAGGGCGCTGGCCCTCGCATGCCCTTGTACAGTGCTCCCGCGTCTGATCTCACCAATTGGAGTTTCCTTGGTGCTCTGTGGGAACCCACAGCGAACAGTACCTTGGGCTCGTTGGAGGAAACTGGATCGTATGGGCTCAACTTTGAAGTTTCCAACTTTTTCACTATTGACGACCACTACTTCGTCAGCATGGGTGCTGAAGGAGGCGAGGTCAGCTTCCATGACCGGAGGTGGGCTTTGTGGAATGAGGGGGAAATTTCCACGCGTCCGAATGGTAGCATTGCCTTCAACCCTGTCTCAGGCGGTGCGAGCGACTGGGGTATTCTGTATGCGGTAAGAATCAGATCATAACTAGACCATGCGATTTCCTCGAACTATGGAATACTAACAAGATCTGCCAGATCACCTCGTTCAATGACACTAAGAACAACCGCCGTATTCAGTACGGCTGGGCAAGCGAGGACATGGACAACTTTGGCATCGTGCAGCAAGGCTACCAAGGGGCGCTGTCCTTGGCCCGGGAGCTCTTCATCAAAGAGACCAGCGGTGTGGTCCACAACCCTGCTGACGCCACCCCTGGCAACTCCCGCTATACGTCAAACTCCAATGGCACCTGGACTGCACGCACTCTGGGCGTGCGCGCAGCCAGCGATGTAGTTGCGGGTCTTCGCTGTGGCTCTCGTCACACCAAGTCTCGTTGTAGCAAGAAGGTGTGCAGCAACACCAGCAACATCCGCCTGCCCAGCACTCTCAGTAATTCCTATGAATTGAAGCTGCATATCAAGGACACCACGGGTGTCACAGGTGTGACGGTCGCTGCCTCGCCCGGTCGCGAAGAGTACACGAACATCTACTATGATCCCTCCAAAAAGTCCGTCGTCTTGGACCGCGCCTACTCCTCCCAGATCAAGATGTTCCCCAACACGACACTGGCTGGGTACTTTGAACCCTACCAGATGGCAGGAATTCATGGCGGTAAAACTATGACAGAACCGATCGAAATGAACATATTCGTCGACGGCTCCCTCGTCGAGGTCTTTGTCAATGACCGCTTCGCTCTCACTGGCCGCATCTATCCCAGCAGGGAGGACAGTAATGGCTTTGCTTTGTACAATGCACCCGGCGTCAGCGTCCAGTACGGAGATATTGAGATCTGGGATGGCTTGCTCAACGTCTGGCCCGACAGACCCCTGAACAGCAGCTCCGAGCTCGTCTTTGACACTCCTGCCGAAACTAACAACTACACTTGGTGGGACGGGAACTAAAGAAGAGAAAGTAAAATTGTGTCTCCATGACATAATTACTCAGTATTGTACAAAGCTGTCGGCCTTTGGCTGTACTCTCAGTCTTTTGAACACTTCAGCCTATGTGTCAGAATGGGGGGATCAGCCTACAAATTCCAGAATATTTATTTACCTTGAATGCTGCATGGCCTCTGCATGAGAAAACACACGAACCTTAAGTACATATTAAAATTAGTAGCGCCATGATAAATCGCCATATTTCGATAGTTGAATTGAATCAGACAGATATATACCAATTCTGGTTATCATGTATAAATCCGCTGGGGTTTCTATCACCTAGGGGTGATAGGGGCTAACTCACTTAGTGTTACTTGAATGAGAAGGAATACTAGAATACTAAAAAGACATGAACATTTTTTTGATGAACTCCAAGAACCGTATTTCTTGCAATGGCCATATGACAGATGATAGTCTGCGGTACGGTACCTGTATACTAGAGCTATCGTTCTTTACTACTTGGCCTGCTGAGCCTTACCGACAAGATAACTACACAAACTTTCTCGACCCGGAAGGATTCAAGGGACTGCGAGTCGGTGTTCTTCGAGACCCCTTTTTCCAGAACATTACTACTCGGGACAGGATGACTATCACTGCCTTTAACGAAGCCATCCGCAAGATGTCGTCTTTGGGTGCGACTGTCCTGGAAACGCCGTTGCCTAACGCACCTGGGTGGAACTACACTTTTGTGGGGGGATCGTCACGAGTGAACAATGGAACTGTTCAGATCCGTAAGTAAAACGAGAATGGCGTCGCTATTGAGTCTTACTAACTTGGTGCAGAGTATGATCTCAAGACAGATATTGCTCACTATCTACAAACCCGGAGGGTTAACTCGGGTGCCAACACTCTTGAAGATGTCATCAACTTCACCGTCAAGCTGTGGGATCTTGAGTCTCCAGAGGGCCAATGCTGTTTTCCTATCCTAGTTGCAGCAGATCAACTGGGTGATCGGTCGACTTCTAGAGAATACTGGTTGGCCAAGAACACCCAGGCTCGCCTTTATCAAGAAGGTCCGGCTGTCCTTTTTGAGAAGTACAGGCTCGATGTGCTCGTGCTGCCGACTGAATTCTCGTCTTCGCGACTCGGTGCGGTAGGGAGATTTCCCGTTGGGTCGGTTCCTCTGGGCTATGACGATATTAATCTGCCATTCGGTATGACGAGGGATCTGTCTTTCGCTCCATGTCTGCGTATGAAGCAAATTTCCCTGCTCGCAAGGTGCCACATCTGCTGGAGTAAGGTACGGCATGGAGTAGCGGGCTCAAGGCGCATGGTATGTGGCAATAGTATTGAAGATGGTACAACATTATTGGATATCTCGGAGAGATAAATCAAGGTGTAGCAATAGTATAGCGAAGGGCAAGGGTTGAGATTTAGAGCGAAGGACGCTGTCTCTTTATTACGAGATAGAGATTAGGATTAAGTTCTCCAACAATCGCGTATTTACCTTCTTTGTGGTGGTGTCGATTGAGACACAAGCGGGTGCAGGGGTAATTCTGATCTTCTGACCCTTCTGTCGCAAGGTTCTTCAGCCAAATCCAGTAAACATCACTTTCCTGAGACTTGTAACCACTTAGCACTAGAATTACCCTGGACAAGACGAAATATTATGAATCGTGCATTAGGGTTTATCTAACAGGCTATGATAGCATTGACTTTTACAACTTTGAAGTGCTCTCCTCGCGGCCAACAAGGTTAGGGTGGCCGTCGTTCATTGGTCGGGTGACAGCGTAGAAAGCAACACCCTCAGACTTTGTTGAGAACTATAAATGGGTCAGCAAGTGTATACAGGTTGATTGGAGTACAGAGAACTAACCTGAGCCTTGGATCCAACATGGAAGAAGGCCCAGTCTCCAGCAACGAGGTGGTGGGTCTTGCCAGTGGCCTCATCCTGTATGTTATCAGTATCATTCGTAATACAGATTTCGAAATCGACTGGGATCTTACTGTAATGTCGATTTGACCCTTGAGAACATACTTGGTCTCCTCGTAGTCGTACTCGCCGTATCGTGTAGGTCCGGGCACAACACGGTAGAATCCAGTGGTCAGGTAAGGGGTAGAGTGTGAGCTCTGGGATTTGATTGAGTGGAAGTCGGCGATAATGGCGCAGTCGCCCTCGGGGATAGGGATGTGCTCATGGCCGGCACCCTTGATAATAGTAAGAGGAACGATCTTGTTGTTAGACACTAGAGATGTTAGCACAAGATTTTAGACGACGACTAAGTGTATCTTACTGTTGAAGCGTATAGATAAAGACTAGAGATATAGACAAGTAGGTACAAGACAAGCTGTCAGCACCTGCTTATATACCCCGATTGAAACGGAGCATTCTCGGCATAGATAGGGTTATCAGACCTTGAGATACGGGGTCCGGCTCCGGGGCCGTAGCTCCGTCTGGGGCCGTGCTACCATTCAAGCTTATTCAGCTGTCACTAAGCTACAAATAGGGTTAGTGTCAGCGAATTAAGGTGGACCGAGACATAACGTGATCGGAACCTCACGGCCCTTGGCCGGATTATCCTGGAGGAAAACCTATCTTCCTTTACCTTGTCGGTATTTTGTTATAAGATCTGAGTTCCGAATGTCTCATCTGGTTGGCTCGGCCATCAAGGGACCCTGGGGCCACGGTTGCTTCGTCCCGCCCCTCTGTGCTACAGCCAATAAAATGATCTTTGATACTTGTGACTTGCAGCAGTATTCACTCAAACTCAAGTATTCATGGTCAAATGGAGATGGAGGGACGGGACGGCCCCGTAAGCATCCGGGGTTCCTTGATCCCTCTAGAGTCGACTCGGTCAAAACACATGCCTGTTTCTTATATGCTTGTCGATGATCACAACCCTCCCTTTTGAATCTTTCAACTCATCGTGAGGAAACGAGTCCACGAGCTTAGAAGCGTTCATTTCAAATACTGTGTAAAGAGAAAGATTCAGCGAGATGCCATTGTTATATGTATACAATCGTCGGGATTTATTTAATCTGTCTGGTTTGACCGTTTCTGAGGGAATTGTAAGTAAGACAGGCATTTATAGCGTTGCATTGTTAAACAATATGGATGCATCAATGGATGATTTCATATACCTTGAACCTTGATCCATCTATGAGCGATATGTAGACTACAAATCATGTGAAAATAGATGATCGATTTGGCGCTAAACAACTTCGGGACCCCGACACCCTTTTTGTGGATCACAAATTTGCATTTTCAGCGTTGCATCAATCATTCTCGCGATTGAGCTGTGACATAGACATTCAAAAGCTGCGATGTCCCCTGATAAATCATCACACTGCTGGCACATATTTCATCCTAGTCTCCTCTTTGCCTCTCTCCCTATCGCCCAAGACACCCCATCATGCATCAAAGCAAGATGGCCACGTTGACTCCCGTTCCTGTGACTCTTTCCAAAGACAAGGTACCGACTAAAAAGAATGTCAGGGACATTATCGGCACATTCCTGACGGAAGAATGGCCATCTGTGGATCCAGAGACCCTTACCGTGTCATACCATGCATCGTATGTCAACGCCCACTGTCCCGTGGAGCGACCGAAGCCCGCTACTGGCACACCTACTGAGACCTTGAAGGTGTTCATTAAATTTCATAATGACACCGGGGGGTGCCTCGAAATCTTCAAGCCTCTGGCACCAACCAAGCATGAGGAAGCACTTCTCTGCTACGAGTACGGTCAAACCGGACTGGGAGCCAAAGTATATGGATTCTTCGAGACACAGGATGGCACACTCGGGAGAGTCGAGGAGTTCCTGGATGCACGTAACATGGAACCGGAGGATGTTGAGAATCCGGTCATCCGAGCGGATGTTGCTAAAGGGCTGGCAATGTTTCATGTCTTAAAGACGTCACTGGAGAAAAAGGCAGTGGAATCATACTATGAAGCCGTCATCAATGGACTTACGAATTACCACAAGATGGACAAGTTGAAGGCACTTGGGAAAGAAGGAGGTGTTAGCATCGACAAACTAGTTGACTACGACTTTGGGAGGAGGCTGAGAAAGGTGGTGGACAAGCTGGAATCCATAGGAGGAAAGACAGGATGGTGTATTCATGACATCCAATTCATGAACGTGATGGTGAAAAATGATCCAAAGGAAGGGGAGAGCAAAGTCACCCTGATTGACTTTGAGTTCGTGATGCAGAACTACCGAGCATTTGACATCGGCGGGCACTTCATGCAAAAGATGTTCAAATGGTTTGACGAGGAGAGCAAGATAGCAGGTTGCAGGAAATATACAGAGGAGGAAAAGAGACACTTCTGTGACTCCTATGCCAGACAGTGGAACAAACTGACAGGTGATTCAGATACCGGGAATCAGGTGTTCCTGGAATCCGAATACGGATATTTGTTAGCCATCACTTTTGACATCCATAACATGCTTTGCTTCATTAATGCGCTAGGTGACAAGGATCCCTTGAACCTGCTCGGACTAAACAAGCTGTTCGATGAGTTTGTGGATCAGTATGCCAAACTTAATTTGGAAGATTCATGATAAAAAGAATGCATGTGCTCTCCTCCATTCTTCTATTTTCTTATGCCTCTTCTTACATGTAGTTCAGTAGTTAGTATTTCACTCGCAATTTCAGTGTATTTGGACGTGAATGAGATAGTCATTATCAATTTTTTGTCCTCTTCCGACGTAGATAATTGAAGCAGTGGCATAGTATTTGGTCGGGCCCATTGGCGAGCACCATGAAGGGGAAGGGGCTAAGTTGTATCGCGTAGCGTAAAGGCTGCGGGAATCCTGTATCTTTAACCACATTGAACCCTGACTGACAAAATTAGTATATAGCTTTAAGCCACAGATCACAGCCACACGCTATTCTCCAAAGCTTCGACGAATCCGACGCAAGAGATGCAATTACTGTAGTTAATTACGCTGACTCATCGAAGATACATGGACAAATGCAAGGCCGTAGAAAGATATTCCAATACGTCTAGTGCGCTTGAGGTGGGGCTGGAAACAAGGAGAGATATTGGAGGTAAAACTTATTTGACAAATTATCTGTGGATATATGTGCAGCACAGATATCCACTCTATTCTATGTCTTTTGTCGGCAATAATCACGCCCATGTTCAACCTGCCAACTGCACAACCAGACCTCCCACCCCATACTGAGGAAGCCCGCAATGCAGATACCTGCCGAGTCACTGACAGTGGTAGCGCCCAATGAGAATTCACGGTCCTCCTTAGGAACATGCTCTGCAATCTCAGCAAAGGTATTGACATATACCACTCCACCAAGGAGGCCCTCCCAGAAAACGACGATGAACACAAGCCATACGCTGGGAATAAAATTAAACAGAGCATGGAGGGTCAGCAACGCAAGGTTGACCACCTGCAGGAGCGACGGCAGGTACAGATTGTGGATGCGAAAGAATGGGGTCGAGGAGCGGGATATAAAGACGCCAATCTGATAGATGGCATTATAGGTCGGGTAGAACGAGCGGAAGTGCTCGAATGGTGATTCACGCAGTGGGAAAAGCAGAGTTGGAGCCACACCTTGGTTGATCACGTACTCGGCGATGTAGACCAGTAGCATCGGGACCATGCTATATACCTGTCAGCCTAGATTTGGGAGAATCGAAAGACTCGGATACTCACAAAGGAATGAACAGTCCCTTGATGCGATGTAGATTCACGCGTGCCTGGTCCTGCCAGGAACCACCTTGGTTGACATGGATAGACTTGTGGACGGGGGACACTCCCAAGAGCCTCTCGTCTTCACCACCAGCGCCATCATCCATTTCATCTTCCTCCACCCGGCCCCCGCCCTCAACGGCACGATATCTATCAGCGCCGATTTCAGCAGATCTCAAGGGGGACATGGGGAGCACGACAAAGAAGCTCATAGCCATAATGGCCGGTAAGCAGGCCGAAACCAACAAAGTGACATGAACGGAGAAGCCCAGCGCCGAAGTTGCGAGGGCATAAGCACCAGCTCCGATCAGCCCAGCGGCGCCAGTACCACTCCCCCACGCAGCCAGACTGAACGGACCGTAGAAGTGCGTGAGACCCACAAAGCTCAGCTCCCCAGCACCGCAAGAAAAGCTAGCCAGGATGATTCCCGCGATCTTGGATGCTATCGTTCCCCCATCAGTATAACCTGGGCTCATGGCGATGACCAGCATGCCCACGGATGACAGCAAGGCGAAGACGAGGATGCGCATCCAATATGGGACCAGGTGGATAAAGTGCGGGGCGACAAGTTTGGTCGCAAATGACGGGACCACATCCGCGAGGAGAACGACGCCTTTTGGTATATCGGGTCCGACTAGATCTACGGCTGCCGAGAGGATGATCACATATAGGACATTGTTGATAAGGCCTGCCGGGCATGGGTGTTAGTTAAGCTGATCAACTGGGGCTGGTTGAGGGTGCGCACCGAAGAGCCAGAAAGCGACGCAGACTCGGGGGTCTGCGCCACTAAAGGCACCACTAACACGGGCGCCGAAACGATTCCAGATGGAAGAAGATTGCTCTTGGGAGGAAAGCGTTGCGGCATCCTCATCGGATGCTGTGAGAGGCATTCGGTTGTTGCGTTGGGGGGAGTTGGTAAGAAACTACAGTAAAGTGACAAAAGATATTCAATCCACCATTCTTTATTCTTATTGAATATTCAGGGAATACGGGGGCATATCGAATCAGGCGCGAAGAGTGACGACTCCTTATCTACGCGATCCACCGCCTTCCGCCCTACACGTGGCTGAGAATTGGCATCTCCACATAAAAACAATGGACACACGACACTTTTCCTATATTGCTCTAGTATCTATGATGAAAATATGTCTTGTCATATCCAACGCAAGATGGTATAAAGGGGAAACAAAATCATAACCGGCATTCAGGACAAGACACTTACGACTTGGCCACAACCGAATCCACAGCCTGCTCCAAAGTCCGCAGACCAGTCTGAATCTGGTCTTCGGTGATCGTCAGGGCGGGGACAAATCGAATGCAACCCTCACCAGCAGTGATGATCAACATGCCGCGCTCACGGGCAGCAGTGATGATATCACCAGCCTTAGCGGTGTACTCTGGGGCAAGCTGAAGACCCAGGATCAGGCCGCGCCCGCGGATCTCGGAGATCACACCTGGGAACTTCTGCTGCATGGCCTGGAAGCCCGAAACAAAGAGATCGGACTTGGCCTGGACGGACTGCTGGAGCTCCGGCTCAGCAAGACGCTCAACGATGTGGTGAGCGACACGGCAAGCCAATGGGTTACCTCCGAAGGTGGTGCCGTGGTCGCCGGTCTTAATGTGCTGGCCAACCGTCTTGCCAGAAACAATGGTGGCACCAATAGGAATACCGTTGCCAAGAGCTTTGGCGGTAGTCAGGATATCGGGGTGGGCAGCCTCGCCAGAGGCCGGGGCGAGAGAGGGGTGAGCGTGGGCCCAGAAAGTACCGGTACGGGACAGACCGCACTGGATCTCGTCGAAGATCAAGACGGCGCCGGTCTCGTCACAGCGCTTGCGGAGAGCGGCAAGGAACTCGGGGGTAGCGATGTTGACACCGCCCTCGCCTTGAATGGGCTCAACGATGACACCGCATGTCTTATCCGTGATAAGAGTCTGGAGCTGGTCGATCTGGTTGAAATCTCCGTACTTGAATCCGGGGAGCATGGGCGAGAACGGAGTCTGGTACTTGGGGTTGGGAGTGGCCGAGAGGGCGCCCATTGTACGGCCGTGGAACGAGTTGTTGAAGGACACAAACTCGTGCTTATCACCTGAAGGGTCCAGAGTGCGGCCGGTCTTGCGAGCGAACTTGATGGCGGCCTCGTTGGCCTCGGTTCCGGAGTTGGAGATGAAGACCTGCGAGGCATCGCGCATAGCACCGGACTTCTGAGTCAGATCAATCAACAATTGACTCAGAGCACCGGTCCAAGGGTTGTGATAGAGGTTCGAAGCGTGGATGAGGGTTTCAGCCTGTAATTGAGGACCTTTTGTTAGAAATTGACCGATATATGGTCCATAAAAGCATTTCGCACCTGCTCCGCAATAATTTTCGCGATCTCCGGGTCACAGTGCCCAAGAGAGTTAACTGCAATGCCCGCCGTCAAGTCCAGATAACGTCGGTTCTCCATATCCCACAAGTAACAACCCTGTCCCTTCATCATCATCGGAGCCGGGCGAACGTAAGTAGGCACCATAAAAGGAGCCCGCTCATTAATGAAGGACGCCGTGACTGAGTCCGCCAAAGGGTCGGGGTTTGGCAGAGTTGTCTCCTTCTATGTGATCGTTAGTTCCCAATCTGAACGTTGTCTTGAACACTTTGCGTCACACATACCTTGACCTGGGACTTCACATTTTGAGGCGCATTGGACGTAGTTGCGAAGCGGCGCTGTACTGGTGACTCGAGAGCAGGGACGAATTTAGATACGCGAGGCAGACGGCGCGCGGCCACACGGAGGGCAGACATGGCAAACTTTTGATTTATAAAAATAGAAGGGGAAACAAAAAGCTAATCTGCAGCAAAAGAGAGGTGAGGATCGTAAAGAACTGCCTGATCAGATCACCGCGGTGAACTGCCGGGAGAAATAAAAAGGCGATATCGGGATCGGCAGCCTTAGTCACATCGGTGGAGTGAGTCAACAACCCCGAGGTCCCGAGATCTCCCCGTACATCGTACAACTTCAGACTTGCCTCATTGGACATATCATTCCCCTCATACACAAACACAATGGTATACTCTCTCGTTACTCGCCGTTCAATCCTCTCGGCTGCCACAGCCCGCGGCGCAATCCGACCACTCTCCACAACTCGATTCCTGCGCCAGAGCGGCGACGACAAGTCCATGCCCTTCTCAGACTCCCCGGCTCCGCCACGCCTCCCGAAGGAAGAACAGGAGATATTCGAACAACTCCAGAGGCGCTCCACTGGCGCATTCAGCACACCTCAGGTCAACCAGTCCCCACAGGCTGAGATTCAGGCAGACGGCAAAGGTGGCGAGCTTCACCCCGATGCGCCAAAGGGACTGCAGCCTGAGTTTGAGGGCGAGAAGAACCCAAAGACTGGCGAAGTTGGTGGGCCAAAGAATGAGCCACTCCGATGGGGCGCGGGTGGTGATTGGAGCTATGGTGGTCGCGTCACTGATTTCTGAGTGACCTCGGCTTAATCAGAGATATTTGCATCATGTTGGCGTTGGTGTTTCTTGCCTAGGAATATAATGTCTCCATAACCGGAGATGGAGAAGTGGGTGTTTAACTATAGTTGATCACAACTACAATGTACATAACAAAATGGCCTAGACTAACAATGCAAAGCACATTTACGCATCATTGCGGTGTTGGCGAATACAAGAATACTCGGCCGCTTATAGGGCCTTATCGTCTTTTAAGTGGTCTTCTCAGATGGTTTGTTTAGATGTCTTTTTTTAGATATCTTCTCCCCCTTCTCCGGTTTATAGCTAGACGGCGAAAGGGCTTAAAATGTGCAGACGACCTTTGATGTGAAACCCGTTAGGAACTAATGAATACTCCGAACAATGATAAGGACAGGTTATAGTGCAAATTGATCAAAGCGACGCTTTTTCTCCCGCGAGACGAGCCAGAGTCGCTTTTCCAGCCCGGCTACCATTAGCTCGGCCCAACTCTCCACTGATCCAAGCTCCAATCTTCGACATCTCATCTAAGCTGACCCCCGTGTGCATTCCCAAGCTGTGAATCGTGTGCACGAGGTCCTCTGTCGCCACATTTCCCGTCGCACCCTTGGAATATGGGCAACCACCAAGCCCGCCCACGCTGCTGTCGAAAATACGGACACCATGCTCAAGGCCGACAATTGTGTTCACCAAGGCCTGTCCATAGGTATCATGGAAGTGCAATGCCAAGTCTGTATTAGCGATGCCAGCGGCCTTGAGCGCTTGCAGAAGCTCCATGGTCCGGGGAGCGGTACCCATACCCGTTGTGTCCGCCACTGAGACCTCATCCGCTCCCATCTCCAGCAGCGTGGCGGTAATATCAGCCACCTTGACAGGATCCACATCGGGGCCTTCGTAGGGGCATCCTAGTGCAACAGAGACATATCCGCGTACCCGGATATTCTTGGTCTTTGCTAATGAGACAATCGGCTTGATGCGCTCCAGTGACTCGGCAATGGAGCAGTTGGTGTTAGCTTTCGAGAAAGCTTCCGTTGCTGCAGCAAAAAGAGACACCTCTGTAGTCGTCGCTGTCTTTGATGTCTCTCCAGTTGCGTCCGCGGAGACTCCCGTGTCATCAAGGATCTTGACCAGGCTCTCTAGCCCTCTGACGTTGGGGACAAGATAGTTGTATGCGATTGTAGATTGTGCTGGTGGTGGTTTTGTGAGAAGATGCTCGCAAATCTCAGCTGTGCTTGCCATCTTTCATAATGTCACAAAATCATCAGCTTCCTGTGGATGAAATCGCTGTACTGCAAGATCATACCTGGGGTACCCATTTTGCGGGCACAAATGAGCCAGCTTCAATGGTGGTAACACCCGTCTTAGCTAGTCGCTCGATCAACTCAAGCTTTGTTTGCATCGAAATGGATTTCTTCTCATTTTGCAGTCCATCTCGAGCGCCAACCTCCACGATGCGGACATGGTCCGAGGTTAACCGCGACTCGGTTGCGAAGCGGCGTGCGGAATATGGAGACCGCAAGGCAGAGAACAAACTCAATCTAGGGCGAGCTGTCATCATGATAAAGGTTAGGCCAATGTGTATGACCAGAGAAACCAGAATTACAAGGGAAATAGCAGGGAAGAGGGCAAGCTCTGAGAATGGAAGAGTAAGAGGCCGAGAATGCGGAGAGCGCTTTACCACTTCTGGACTAGTTGATCACCCCACCTCCTGCTGAGTCAGTCGGCAGAAAAAGAAGTGGGATGATATCAATTCCAATATTTGAAGGTTATCAAGATCAGTGAAAAGCCCAATTTTTGATATCTTTACACATTACACCTGAATATCATGGAGCCAAATCTTGCTACACCCTCTACTGAGGATGGGTCACAAGCCGCTAGCCAAATGCGTCAGCCAAAGAAGAGATTTGTCGGACGACGAACAGCAGATGCCCAAGCCCAGAAGGACACGACCAGTCAGAAAGATGTCGAGTCCACAGCGGTGCAAACAGGTACATATCGTCCTCTAGCTCAACTGAAGTGCAAAGACTAATTTCCGCTTCCTCCAGCCGCTCCCAGGCGCACTCCCCGCACCCTCAACCAAGTGCCACCAGAGATTCTGAACGATCCCGATATCCAAGAAGCAATGGAGCTTCTCCCCAAGAACTACTCATTTGAGATCCCCAAGACAATCCACCGAGTCCGCACATCAGGAGCTAAGCGAGTAGCCCTCCAATTCCCAGAGGGACTCCTCATCTTCGCGACAACCATCTCCGACATCCTAACCCAGTTCTGCCCTGGGATCGAAACCCTCATTATGGGCGACGTCACCTACGGCGCCTGCTGCATCGATGACTACACAGCGCGTGCCCTAGGCTGCGATCTGCTAGTCCACTACGCGCACAGCTGTCTGATTCCCGTCGACGTAACTCAAATCAAAACGCTCTACATCTTCGTGGATATCAGCATCGACACAAGCCACCTCCTCGCAACCTTAGAGCGCAACTTCAAGCCGGGCCAGTCGATCGCCACAGTAGGCACGATCCAATTCAACGCAACGCTACACGGACTGAAACCCGTGCTAGAGCGCGCCGGCTTCCGCGTCATAATCCCACAAATCACCCCGCTCTCCAAAGGCGAGATCCTCGGCTGCACATCACCGCAACTTTCCGAAACTGAAATCGACGCAATCCTCTACCTCGGCGACGGCCGCTTCCACCTCGAATCCGCCATGATCCACAACCCCTCCATCCCAGCCTACCGGTACGATCCGTACTCGCGAACCCTGACGCGCGAGAGCTACGAGCATGAGGAGATGCACACGATCCGCCGGGACGCGATCGCCACGGCCAAGACCGCGAAAAAGTGGGGGATTATCCTCGGCTCGCTCGGTCGACAGGGTAACCCGCACACTATGGCGATGATCGAGCGACACCTGCGTGAGCGCGGCATTCCAATCGTCAACCTGCTGCTGAGTGAAATCTTCCCCGGGAAGCTGGCGTCAATGGCGGATGTGGAGTGCTGGGTGCAGATTGCTTGTCCGCGGTTGAGTATTGATTGGGGATACGCGTTCGCGCGGCCGCTGCTAACGCCGTATGAGGCGCTTGTTGCGCTGGGGGTGCGGGAGAACTGGGATACGGGGAATAAGGGCGTGTATCCGATGGACTTTTATGCGAAGGAGGGGCTTGGACGGACGAGGCCGGAGCAGGCTTAGAGGTCGGCTGTTGAAAAATAGAAAATATATACCCCATTATAGACTCAGGGCAGCAGGACTGGCTCTGGCTGAAAGGTTATGACAATGATATACACGTTGATATGTTCCGTTCAGATTATCATGATAATATACTAGAGTATACTAGAGTATGTAGAGAATATGTATACACAGAGAGCAGGGGTATTAATAACCGCCGGGCTATCGAAGGCACCGACGAAAGACATCATGGCATTTCATTTCAAAATCCAATAAACCGATCCTAATCAAATACAAAGTTCATAATACAAGATGACGTTCAAAATCAATCACCCTTTCACATCATCAGTACTGTCAGTGTTGAAATCACTGGCACTTCCCCGCCGAAGGGAGAGGACATTTTTATTAGCCAATTCATCAGCAGTGCGTTCAGCAGCCCGCCATCGAGTAACAGCCTGCTGAACATCCTCAAACATCTCCAGCGAGTCCTGGATGATACCGCCCTCGTCGGAATCGCCCAGTTGAGTACTCTCCCGCGAACCACGGTCACTAGACATGGGGAAGGCAGGTCCGAATCCTCGCTGGGGAATTGGGTTGAACATGATAGCGTTGGCGAACATGCGAATCAACTCTTTCTCCAGTTGTGCAGAGTTCACAACTCCCTTTGGTGGTATGAAATCTTCATTCTTCTGCAACATGAGCACGCCGCTTTTGGACGGTGTGCCACCAGGAACCGGAGACTCTCCATCCCCAGCTGGAGTGCTGGCTGATTCTCCTGCGGTGGCGACGGCTTTGCTTCCCTGGTGGATGGCAGACTTGATTGTCTTGAGGTCAGAGGGCCGATAGATGAGATCTTGGTAGCCAGGGGCGTCGCGCTCGCTAATTGGCTTCGCAAAGATGGAGGCAAGCTTGTGGGTGGCTACATCGTTCATAATAGGTGCGGCGGTCCGGTGGAAGTTGCGCGTAGCCATGACATACTGAGTCGTATCGAATCTCGGGATATCCGCAGGGTGGGGTTCAAGTTCCACTGCTTCACTTGCGCCGCGTTTCCGTTTTGTCCGCGGTTTGGGAGTCCCTTCGTCTACGGCAGCAGCTGCACCCTTTCGGCGGCCCGTTGCTCGTGATTCACGTAGGGTGTCTTCCGAGGGTGCAGCAGACCCATCCCGCGAAGTCATGGATCGCCCGCGACTCCGGGAAGAGCCCGAACTTACAGCACGCGTCCTCCGAATTGAAGCTAGTTTCTCAGTCTTGATGACGGGGGCGGGTTTGGCGTCAGGCTGACCACGTCGCGGTCTCTTGTCTTCTGCAGATTGAGCTCGTTGGCCTAGATTTATTCTCGGTGGTGGTGACATTTCCATCGCATCAACGGGTGATTGATCTCGTTCACTAATGGGACTGACGTCCTCCGGCCGTGGCCGTGGCGGTGAGCTTGGAGAGCGCGAAACCCTCGGGCGAGGAGTCCTCTTCCACGGTGTGGAGGAGCCTTGTGTGTCAATTGACAGGCGTGGATGGGAGGCGCGCGATTCGGAGAAAGAGGGCAATGTGGCACTCGGGGTTTGGGAAACACGCGGGCGACCAATTGGGACAGGTGTGTGAACTGTAGATGGGATTGCGCTGGGTGTTTGTGGAACAGGAGGTTGGAGGGGGGTCTGGGCTTGTGACCCTGGCAAAGGTGGGTTGGTGGAAAGTGGTGGTACAGGTCGCTTGGTAGTGGCCTGAGCTGCTTGAGGTGTAGCAGCACCTGGGGAGACGACGGGGTATGGTGAGTGAGGAGAAGGATCCAGCTGCCACTGCTGGAAACTCGGCTGGGCGGGGGTTCGTTGGGACGCCGGCGCCAAGGGGCCAGCCTTGCCCGTAACAATGGGTGTAGGTGGGACGGGATTGGCGCGAGGTGCAATTTGCGACGGATGTGCGGGTGTGACTCGCGGCGCGGCTGGTGTGGTTGGAGGGGCTTTCTGAATAGATGGAGCAATTGGAGGTTGGATGGACGGTTTTGGTAGGGGATGGGTAGTGGATGGCTGCGGTTGAGGTGCTTGCCCAGCTATGTCTTGCGGTTTGGGTGTCGGGGTTTGCGCTTGGGTCATAGGAGGGGCGGGGTGTGTTTTCAGAGGCTCGTTTCTCGTTGGGGGCACATTTATTGCGATGTGCTGTGGTTCGGGCTTTGCCTTGTCCTCGGCGAGCGGGATGGTCGTCGCAAGAGGTTGACCTGTCTGATCTTGTACATTTGGGCGCGGCGTCTCTTCCTTCAAAACAGCATCCTTCCCTTCGATAGGCACCGGCTTCGTTGCAGCTGCCGCAGCGGCTGATTTGTCGTCCTCCTGCTGTAGTCGTTCCAGCTCAGCCCTGATTTCTGTGTACTTTTTCTCATCGTCCCTAATTTCTCTGGTGACTAGATCTCTGTATTTGGCGTAAAGGTGTGCCACTAGCTCTGGGACGAGCGTGGCATGGGTGAATCCGCCTGTCAATCCATCTGGTCGCGGACTGGAGATCTTGCGTTTCTTCAGATTAGGCGGACTAGAGCTACCTGCGGGCCGTCCATTGACCAAGAGCGCACCATCATGAGTGAATCCATCGCGCATCAATGTCGCATAGAGATCTTCCAGCGCCTCCGGGGTCAGGCGATCGGCATCGAAATCGACATTCTCGCGCACGAGCTGGTTGTTTCGCAAGAGGGTTGAGATTGAACCGAAGCTTGTCGGGCGGGAATCCGAAGTCGCTAGGGACTGGAAGAACAGGAGGGACTCAAACGAAGTGTATGTCGACAGAGGAGGCATCCCCCATTGCCCGTCCGGTCGGCCACTGGGGGAGAAGGCTTTGAGGATGGGGGCCACGGTGGTCGGTGGTCGGCGATCAGGGTGGTCACGGAAATCGTTCGGTGTCGCTGAACTGCGAGCTTCGAGGACTAGGTTGGCTTGGCTAGTATTTAGAGATAGCGAACGCGACAGGCTAGAAACGATAGCCCTTCAATCTATCCGCGCGAAAAATTGAGCGGAAAAAAATGAACGGCGACCACAACGGGTCAGGTAAAAACGCGTCGAATCTAGGGTTAGACGAAGCGACGAGATGAAATGCCCCTGTAGAATTGAAATGACGATGGAAATGGAAATGGAGATTGGAATTGGGGAAGACATCGATCACGATGCTACTGTACTGTACGGTATAGGTCATGTGACCAGTTGCCAGGGAGGAATCTGCCAGAATGCAAGTCATGCAACATACGATGATGTACTTTGTATATATTGGTTTATATAAATCTATAAATCGGAATGTCTTCTATAATCTTTGAAAGCATAGACATTTTCAACCATATATCCTTATATTCCGGTAAAATTGAGTCCATGTACTGTCAACGGTAGTATTTATAATGAAAATCCCCCCTAATTGCCTTGGAACCCATGTCAGGGGTTCCTTTTCTGATAAAGAAAGAAAGTCTCCTAATTTCCTAATTTCAGTTTGTAAGGTGAGCCAAGTACCGGACGTATGTAGGTACAATCAACCCCTATTTCTCTGTTTCTCTATATTGGTATAGAAAATAAGGAAATAAGAAACACACATATAACCATGGAAGTATAAAATAGTCAACCCCTGAAACAAAACCCCCCCCTATACTCCGTACTAATTATTAAAATGCGACACATAATGGCGTAGAACCCCTGTAATACAGTTGTAACACTTACGAGCTCTCTCCTTGCCGGTGGAGATATATGGGACCTCCAATTACCGCGACTAGTAACATAGTCGGTGGGCTATGATCATCTCTCAATTTCGCACTTCTCCCCTTCTTCTTTCCCCCCCTTTAGCTTCCTGGCAGGTCTCCAAAGTGCTTTGCTTATCACTCTTCTAACTATCTGTTCATCGCGACTACTATTGATATCCGGTATTTCTTTCACCTCCCCACCAGATTGTGGCTTATCTGTCGAGAAGTATAAAGAACTAACACTGTTTTTTTCCCCCTAGCAGCATCAAAATCCTCGGTTTAATTTCATCTGTACTTGATTCTTGGCTGGTCCTGGTCTCGACGATACCTAAACCGTCTAATACCTTAATTCTGCGACTTGGGTCTTGCCCCGCCTGTCTCAAGGTCGCACACCCCTCTGTCGCCGTTCAACTGTTGGGACCCGTTTTGTGATCACAGAAACCAGAGTGCTCAAATAACCACACGAGATGTCTGACATGGATCGCGAGTGGAAGCCAAAGGCCCGGCCTCAGTCGTTCGTTTCCCTATGTTGTTGTCGGATCTCCGAATAGTGGCATTAACCGTGACCTCAGGACCATGGCGCAAGCCTTCTCGTCGGCCTTGGACAGCGCCTTTATGCTTGATTCCGATGTCAACAATCTTTCGCAAACCATCGACCAGAAGTGAGTGGCGCATAATAATTCCTTTACCATCGATATCGCATGCGACTCTCGCTGTTATCATGACTCACATTTTCATGGGCGCTAACCTTAAACCCAAAGGAAGCAGCAGATGTTGATTCAGAACCGCGAATTGCAAGAGCTGCAGAATCGCATCCGCGAGGCCGAGAGGCGCCTCCAGTCCCAGTCTACCGGGGGTGACAACACTTCGTCCCAAATCAGCCGGGGACAAGGCCAGTCAGCTGGTGAGCGCTCAATCTGATCTTTTTGCGGGCCGATTGATATAGCTGGCCGGGTTTGCGCTGTAGCGGGGTCTGACTGTGTAACAGCTTCCCAGGGAGGATCCAACAACGAGCAGCAGCCGGAGCAGTATGAGCAGCAGGGGAACAACTGAATTCCGAACATCTGCAAATTTCGAGATCAGGAAGGTCAAAAATAGGCCACCTGGTCCTGGAGTCAGAACTAGATTAAGGCTGGGACGAGCGCATCAGGGCGGAACTCTCTACGATCCGTGATATTGGACCCGCGCCGCGTCTGATAGACGCAATATGTTCCAGTCGGCGTGGTTATTTTATTGGGATGATTCTTTTTTTCGGTTTTATCTTTTTTTTTCTGGCATCCTTTGAGAAACCCCCCTATTGTATGGATCTGGCCATGGAATCTATATTCCTAACGCCGTCCCTCGTTTGCACTGCTACGGCGATGCGATTGACCCGTGTTCTGTTTTTTGCCTTTGTGCCTGGAATTGAAATTCTTTCAATCAGACTTACAACCAGACCCGGGATATCTACATATTTATACCTGGGGATAATGTGTACCTGTTTCGTACGAAGTAACTGAATAGTTATAGTTCCGGGGATTTTCCTGCACCTTCAGGCCCGAGCCGAACGATAAGCAGGTGAGTTGTTAACTGGCTTACTATGGCGTCCAATCACAGGCCTGCAGTCAGAAATTGAACGCCCCTATCCACTTGATTCCGTCATTGTCCCTGTCTCCCTGGTCAAGGCGCAGAAATCAGAGGGCACGGGCTTCAAAAGCTGCGGAGCTGTAAGCTCCTGGAGAGCTGGGCATAATTTTGCGGCTTTCATATGATTCCTTATTATTCTCTCGGTTGATAATGGCAACTGGACGCTAGTCCTTTTCGGAGGATCTAGTAAAAGGTAGAGTGCTTGCCTAGGGTGTGTGATGAGAATATATAGTTTCCACATACGGTTAAGTTCTTCGCTACGATTACGTCTCTCGATCTTTGGGAAGCAATGTCTTTGGGATGGTAGGTACAGCTAGTGAACAGCAATAGTATAACTTCTTGGTTGTTATTTTCATCAGGCTTCGTTTCGATCAGAACCATTCTCTTAGATAAGCCGTAGTAGCCTGCTAGTTAGAGGTTAGACTACGTCTTTGGGCGAGAGCATCTGGGTAGCTTGCTGTGTCAGTTTCACCATCCAATATTTTGAGCGAGCTTGGATACGGTCTGGGTTGGAGATCGGCATCGAACAGAATAAGATGACATCTGGAGTGTGGAAGGTGGAGCTAGGGTACCTGTGGATCTGGGGAGATTGACCGTGGCAATTTTATCTGATCACAATGCCTCTTATTTACTTCTAAATCCCTCTGGATTTCCTTTTGGTTTTCCTTCTGAACTTCTAATACTACTTATTGTGGGCTATGTCAAGTAAATGTCGCCACCGCCTCACAGAGCTACAACATGAATGTTTCGGCTCCAGCTACTCCAAACGGCATGATAAGAACCCATTCCTTCCCGATACCAATTCTCAACGCTAGAATAATCGGGCAGAAGCCGATCTTTGGGCACCGGCCACTCCGGATCATCACAAATGAGACAAAATCTCTGAGCATGATGGCTCGAGCTAACATGAGATGATCAATGTGTGATCTTCTTTTTGTTCCCCGCTTTATATGGGGTGAGATACATAACTGGAACTCTTTACTTTTCACCTTCTTAAATAGCCTTGATACGTAAAGGATCACATAACGAATTTATATGCACAAGCAGAAAAAAAGCCGGTATATAGCTTATATAGCTCGTATCCTAAAGTCAATTGATATTTTCGAAGTTATTTCGGGCCAAAAAAACAAGGTCCATGACCTGTGCACCTTCCAGGCCCGAACCGAACACAATACTATCAGCCAATCATAGGCCTCTATTCTCAAATCCGACCCGAATATCCACCCGAACCTTTACCTGTGGACCCGTGGGACAGGTGATTCACGTCATTTCTCTCCAGGGCCCCAGGTTGGCACGGACTGCAGGGGACAAGATTCCCCTCCATTTGCGCCTTCTTTTCCCTCTCCTCCTCTCCATTTCCATATCTTCTTTTTTTTTGGTATTAACTTGGTTTCTTCTGCGCAATCATCATCATGGTCTTACTCGATGGGAAAGAAGTCATCACCGAGGAAGAGAAGCGCCTAAAGGAAGACCGCGAGAGAACCAAGTATTGGAAGGTAAGATCTCTCCAACTTTAGAGCTTTCAAGAAATTTCTGCTAACTGACCAAACAGCGCTGGGGACCATATGTGGTAAGTCAAGGCCTCGGACAGCTCTGAAACATACATATTAGCAGTGCTAAAAGCTCTTGGGTTGATATAGGCAGAGAGGCAGTGGGCCACAGGTGAGAGCTTGCAAATCATACCAAATCGAGAAATAGCAGCCTAATGCCCGCTTTCTCATTGTATAGTCAGAGAGGATTACAGCGAAGATGGTGACGCCTGGAGCTACTTCACCCACGATCACGCAAGATCGAGAACTTTCCGCTGGGGCGAAGATGGTATTGCAGGTGTATCTGATACGCACGGCATACAAAACATTGCCTTTGCGTTTTGGAATGGCGAAGAGTAAGTCGAGACTTTGTTTGAACGCTGTGTGTCTGGTCGCCCGCCATGGAATCTGACTGGAGCACAGCGACTTCTTGAAGGAACGTCTGTTCGGTTTATCGAACCCTCAGGGCAATCATGGTGAGAGTGTCAAGGAGGCACATTTCCATGTGGACAACACCCCAACGGTAAACTCATCTATAAATCCAATCCAGTTCACCTCTGACAACGCTGACCCCGGAGTATAGCATTCCTACATGAAATTCCTCTACAAATACCCCCAGAGAAAGTTCCCATACCAAGACCTCATCGATGAGAATGCAAAGCGCTCACGTTTGGAGAAAGAGTATCAGATCCTTGATACTGGCATCTTCGAAGATAACCGCTATTGGGATATCTTTATCGAGACTGCTAAGGAGGCCGACGATGAGGAAGAATTGCTCTTCCGTGTCATTGCGTACAATCGTGGCCCGGAGCCTGCTCATCTACACATTGTCCCTCATGTCTGGTTCCGAAACACATGGTCCTGGGGCGACGAGAAGAAAACAGAAAGACCATCTATCAAAAAAGAGGGACCGATGGTGGCCAAATCGGAGCACAGCACAATCGGCGAGCGATATGTCTCCTTTGCGCCATCGCCTCCAGTTGGATCTAGTGATGAAGATATCCTGCCTCAGATGATGTTCACTGAGAACGAGAGTAACAACAAGTTGCTATGGGGTACCGAGAACGACACATCCTATGTCAAAGACGCATTCCACCGCCATATTGTCGAAGAAGAGAAGGGCGCTATCAACCCAGACAACGAAGGTACCAAGTTCGCTGCGTGGTACGCCTTCAACAACGGCGAGGGAGTCCCTCCCGGCGAATGCGCCGTTGTCCGTTTTAGAGTGTCCCGTAAGAAGGAAGAATTCGTCGACGAAGAAGTTCTGGACGATGTGATTGAACAGCGCCGCGCCGAGGCGGATGACTTCTACTACCACCTCAACCCTCTCCCCATGAGCGACGATCTCCGCAATATCCAGCGTCAAGCCTTCTCCGGAATGATGTGGTGCAAGCAGTACTACAATTTCATCTGGGATCAATGGAGCAATGGTGACCCGGCTGAAATACCTCCTCCGCCGGGCCGAAAGGGAATTCGTAATGAGCAGTGGCGTCATCTGTACATCGACGACATCTTGTCGATGCCGGATTCTTGGGAGTACCCATTCTTCGCTGCGTGGGACACTGCATTCCACTGTATCCCCCTGGCTATGATGGATCCCGATTTTGCAAAGAAGCAACTCGACCTCCTCACCCGTGAGTGGTACATGCACCCGAACGGTCAGCTGCCTGCGTACGAGTGGAACTTCGGCGATGTGAACCCTCCCGTGCATGCATGGGCTGTGTTCCGCACGTTCAAGATCGAGCGGAAGATGTACGGACGACAGGATTTGGACTTCCTGGAACGTGTGTTCCAAAAGCTGCTACTTAACTTCACCTGGTGGGTGAACCGCAAGGACTCCGGTGGCAAGAATGTGTTTGAGGGCGGCTTTTTGGGACTTGATAACATCGGTCTGTTTAATCGCTCGGAGCCATTGCCCACTGGCGGTGTGCTTGAGCAGGCTGACAGCACTGGTTGGATGGCCTTCTACTCTCTGACCATGCTCAACATTGCGCTGGAGTTGGCCAAGCACCGTCGCATATACGAAGACATTGCATCCAAGTTCTTCGAGCACTTCATACTCATCAGTGATGCAATGACCTTCCGTTCGGGCGATGACACTGTCCAGTCACTCTGGAACGAAGAAGACAGCTTCTACTACGATGCCATCTCCTACGGCGGACCATGGACCCAGCAGCTCCCCATCAGGTCCCTCGTCGGTTTGATCCCGCTGTATGCAGTTCTCACCTTGGAGCCTGAGCTCATCAACAAATTCCCATCGTTCAAGCGGCGAGTGGA